GCACGGCAGGAATTTTCCCCACTTGGCTGACTGGCTGTTGCCATTTGGGTTTCGCCTGCCGCGTAGCAAATCGTCACAACTTGTAAGGTTGCAGATAGGCTCTGGTTCAGGTGATAGGGATGGAAGAACGCTCTCGCCATCCCTATGTGAAGGGTATTTCGTTAAAGGAATCCAGGGACTCAACTGGTTTGGTCAACCCCTGTGAGGGGGTTGTGCCTGTGCCTGAGTCCAGGGGGGCATTTTGGTGGCAGAGTTAGCCCATTCCCAGCTTTCCGCTTATCCAGGTGTTCACCCTTGGCTGACCTATGCTGGTGCCCTGGGTCAGCGCTACCTGCATGGCAGGGAGCTAGTCGAACCAGAGCCTATGTGAAAGTGCAACCGGTCACTTTCTGTAATCAATAAAGTTGTGGCCTAAATTCTGCCAAAAACCAAACCAAAATTTGAGTCCTGTCTGAATTTATTTAAGGGGGAGGTTTAAAGGTCTAAACAGGCAAGGGGGAAATCCTTGCCTGAAAGGAGGAGAATTGGATTGGGTGTGACTCTTATGTCTTAGCCAGTGCTATTTTTATAGAAAAAGAGGTTCCAGAACTCACCATGAACACCTCCCTTATTCTCTTATAATGGCAATGGCACCCATCAGAGAGGTGCCAGAACTGAGTTCCAGCCTAGTCTACGAATAAAAAAAAAATATTATTTTAAAATTCTGTCCTGCTTTACTCCCAAAGAAGAGTTCCTTAGAGAAATGGAGATTATTGCATGGAAATTATTCCCTCTACAGAGCAAGGCTGCGTAAGCATTGCCAATTTCTCCCATGTGCTCCCATCACTGACTTTTGGACCAGGGTGTCCAAATCTCAGGGTCATGGGTTTGAGAGCTCCACACTGGGCAAAAGAATTTCCTACATTGGAGAGGGTTGGACTAGATGACCCCACAGATTGGAGTAGCCAGGATTTATGTTGGGGGGGGCAGGGTGCCCATCTGCCAACCCGTCACCACCCTCTGTCTGGCTCTGTCCAGCAGATTCAGAATGAAATGTCTCAGCAACAGTTGTGCTAAATTACTTTATTTGGACCCCCCAGCGCTCAGAAAAAATCTGTCAAAACTTCCAGTCCTTTGAAAAATAATTGAAAAATTAGCATTTCCTGCAGTGTTTTTTTTTTTTCACTTCAAAATTATACAGCTTCTTTCAGGAGTGCCAGCTTGGCCCCCACGACCATGGGGGCCCGGGGACCTGCAGCGTGCATGGCCCTGGCGCCGAAGGTTGTGGGTGGCCCTTCATGGGGAATTTTGTGGGTGCTTGGAAACCCAGGGAGCTGGAACCTAGGCATTTTTTCATCTCAAATTATTATTATTTTGTAAATCTAAACTAAAACAAGTTTCCTTGCATTTGTTGAAAACCTTACCAGGGCTTCCTCCTCTCTTTTTTCCCTCTCCAGTGCAGTTTTCCTGTGTCCATTTATATTTTTGAGCAGTGCTTTCTTCCTGGGGGTACGCATACCCCTAAACATTTTGCGAATCTAAGCTTGGCCTCATTGTCAGGGCCGAATTGAGGTTTGATGAGGCCCTCAGCTACTGAAGGTAATGGGGCCCTTTATATGTCCAGCTGTGCTTTGTCAACAACAAATTGTCGCTGTTTTTTTGTGTTGAATATATGCTATATGGTAATTTATGGACCTAATAGGTATCTAAAGCCATTTGCACATAACAAAATATGTATTTTATCAAAGTTGAACTGAAATACAATTAAGAAGTGATATTTTAGAGAGCAGGCTAGCAGGCAGGGCCTGCTACTTACATCAGGCATAGGCAAACTCCGGCCCTCCAGATGTTTGGGGCTACCATTCCCATCATCCCTAGCTAACAGGGCCAGTGGTCAGGGTTAATGGGAATTGTAGTCCCGAACATCTGGAGGACCGGAGTTTGCCTGTGCCTGACTTACATCATATTGTTGCTGTAAGGTAAAGGTAAAGGTACCCCTGCCCATACGGGCCAGTCATGACCGACTCTAGGGTTGCGCGCTCATCTTGCTCAAGAGGCCGGGAGCCGGCACCGTCCGAAGACACTTCCGGGTCACGTGGCCAGCGTGACGAAGCTGCAACTGGCAAACCAGCACCAGCGCAGCGCACGGAAACGCCGTTTACCTTCCCGCTATAAAGCAGTACCTATTCATCTACTTGCACTTAGGGGTGCTTTCGAACTGCTAGGTGGGCAGGGGCTGGGACCGAACGATGGGAGCTCACCCCGCCGCAGGGATTCGAACCGCCGACCTTACGATCAGCAAGTCCTAGGCACTGAGGTTTTACCCACAGTGCCACCCGCATCCCAATTGTTGCTGTATGTAGGTTTTATTTTATTTTATATCTTATATTTTGGAAATGTACATCCCGTTGTTTTTTCCTTTATTTTTTGGGCCCCCCCCCCAAGAGAGTGGGGCCCTGAGCTATAGCTTCTTTAGCTTATGCGTAAATCCGGCACTGCGAGGCAATATTTCAATATGAGTAGGATAATGAGAGTACCTTTAAAAAAATTTTTTTTGGGGGGGAGCACTGCTTTTGAATACTGTATTTTTATTTATTCACTTGATTTAGGGAGAGGGGTGCGCAGCTGCTACGCCCATCATGCCGCCACCCCCCCCCATTTCCAATCCCACACTTCTAGAAGTGTGGGCACCCCAGGCTTTCCGTTTAGGGACGGGACTTTAGCCACGCTCCCCGGGCCGCCCCCGGCGCTTGCAAGGCTCGGGCTGCAGCGCCCGGCCGCGTCCGCCAGGGGTTGCGCCTCGGCCCTTTCCCTGCTCAGCCGCCAGGGCCGCCCGAGTCCCGGGCGAGGGTGGACGTCGGCGCGGCAGCAAGCGGCTCTTCTCCGGCTCCTCCGCCCGAGGCACGGCGATCGGAGAGCGCCATGCCCCCTGGCCCCGTGCAATAGATCCCTCCCCTCCTCCCGCCTTCCCAGGGCGAGATCCCCCTCTTTTGGAACCGACTCGGCGTGCGCTTTTTCTTTTTTGTGTTTCCACCCGTCCGCAAAGCCTTGGATTTGCGGGTGCGCAAAGAAAGAAGGGAGCGCCAGGAGAAACCATCGCAGGCAGCCGCCAGCGGGCTTACAAGGTAAACCCCCGAGGAGACGTGGATCGCTTTATTTTTGCGGGGGGGAGGGTGCCCAACCCAACCCTTCCTCCTCCGCTTTCCACTTGGGATCGCTTCAGATCCTTGCACCGGAATGGAAGGAGAGAGGTGGGGGTGGGGGGTGGACGTGCGTGGAGGAGAAAGCTGCGCATCTTGAATTGTGCAACAATGTGTGCGTGCGCGCAAACTTGGCGCGCCTCCCCCCGTTCCTCCGTTTGCAGCCAAAATGCAAGCCAGATCCCAACTCGTTCCCCCCGGGAAGCAAGTCCCACGGCTGCTCGGTGCTTGTGTGTGTGTGTTTATTTACTCCCGAGTAAGCGTTGGATGGAGGGGTAGGTGGGTCGTGGGGCAGGAGCGGCCGGTGTGCCCCCCCCATCCTCTCTCTGCATGTTTTTCACTCGGAGGTGACTTTGGAACTTTACTCGCGAGGAGAGCGTGCAGCAAAGCGCCCCTCTCCAGTGGTGCAATTTCAATGATCCAAGGGCTGGGCATTCCCGACCTCTTCTCCCCCCCCCCCCGCCAAAGAGCTCGTGCCTTCTGTTCCCTCCCCCACCCCCCACCCCCGCTTCTCGGAGCGATTGCACGGTGGTTTGAATTAAGACCCCGTAGCAACAGCGAGCACAAAAAATGAAGTTCTTTCTTGCCTCGTTGCAGTCATGCGCTCGCCTCTTGCCCTTTTGGTTCCGCTGCCTTTGGCTGGAAGGAGGTTCAAGAAAATAAGTGCGCGTGGAAGAAAAAATTGCGACTTGAAGCAGATCGATATATGTGTGTGTTAAGTGGGGGGGGGGATTCCAGCCCTTGGTGATATTTGGGGAAAAGGGGAGATAGCAACGCCTGTTGTGACTTTTGTTGTGCAATCCCATTCAACTGGTTGTTGCTTGGACTTTTTACTTTACTTTTTTTTGCGGGGGGGGGGGAAGAGAGAGAAACACAACCCACATGCAATTTAGTGACACAACCACATTCCATGAGTTGCAGTTAAGATTCCTTTCTCCTCCGCTGGGGAAGCTGGAGATTTGTTGTCAGGGAGCTGTTCTGGGTCTTCTGTCAAACATCTGGATTTTCAGCCTCTCCCTTTATTGCATGTGGGGGGGAGAAAAGTTTCCCTCGCTCTTCCTTCTCTGGTTTTTCTTTTTTTTAACATTTTAAACAGTAGGCACACAGAGGATGCAACACCCCCCCTTTTTTTACTTTCTTCCTGCACCCCATTCAAAGATTCCTAGCATTCTCTTAAAACACACACACACACACACACACACACACACACACCAGTCACCCACAGAAACAAAGGGCTTTTCTTTATCCTATTGTTTAAAAGTCAGATATCGGGAGATGAAGAGAGCAGAAAGGAGGACCCTTTTTGGAAGCAACCGTTTTTTAAAAAAAGCAACCCTGAGGATGGTTAGTTCTGAAAAGCTGAAGTATGCATTGAACCACATTCGGTAAGGAAGAGGAAGAAAGTAAACATATGGATTTGTGCGGAGCCGAAATCCCAAGTGGCCAAGTGTGCTGTCTGTTTATTCCCTGCTTAAGGGATTTGCCTGGTGCTTTTAAGGGAGCTCTGATTTTGCTGCCTCGAGGGGGACTGGTTATTCCGGGTTTGCCGCTTCAAAGTAGGTTGTACTTGTATTTATGGAGGGAGGGGAAAGCCGGAAACGTGAGTGTCCCGCAAGGGTGTCTCTGTTATCTGACAAAAGGGCCGGGGAAGAAGGCCTTTTCGCAACAGCTCTTCGCCCATCGCCTCTGTGCAGCCACAAGGCGGGAATCTCAAAATGGAAGCCCCCTCCCTTCGTTTCCGGGTGCGGGGGGGGGAGGCCCAGAGCCGAAGCCCAGGGATTGGTGACCTGTTTGTCACCTCTCGGGCAAAGCTCATTACAAATGGAAGTGACACACGGTTATTATGTAAACTGGAGGCTGCAAGTGCCACGGCTGAGTCGATCCCAGGCGCCTGTTTGCATGTCAGAAAAGCAGTCCAGGAGGCCGGTTCAGCTCGACGGGTTTCCAACTAAAGCCTGGCAAATGTGGAAGGTGAGTTGCCTTGTTGTTGTTCTTGCTGGGCAGGTCGTGGGGCAGGACACGTCCTTGTTTTTCCCAGTGAGGGCGAAACAAATAGGGCATCCGGGGACCTCTCTGTAATCATGGGTGTCCGGTGGCAATTGCTTTTAATTGCGAAAATGTGGAATTGAAAAACGAGTGGTCATTACAGGCCTTTGACTTGCCTACGTAGGAGTCTGAATTTCTCCCAGAGCGGATGTGACAAGCTGTGTCGTAATGCTATATATACATTGCAGGCGTGCAAAGCTAATTAACCCATATTAGTTCTTTCGAAAACATCACTTGCTGATGCTGTTGTTGTTTGCTCCTGCGTAATCTCACTTCTCTCTGCACCCCTCAAAACGGAAACCCGGGGCCGGATGGAGATTTCAACCCCCTCCCAACCACCGCATTCAGTATTCGTAACCAACAGTTGGGTTGGCACCGATCCTGGACAGTGTTAGAAATTAGCCAGGTGCGTTTTGCGACTGTTGTGGGTCCGATGGCGACCACCTGGGGAATCTCTGGTTGGCGACTTGGGAAATAAAAAATGTCACTTGGAGAAGGATCTGAACTATTTACCTTGAAGATTGACTTTCTTTTATTCTGGATTGTTTTATTGGGTGGTGTTGTAAACTGCTTTGAGATTTGTTCTTTAAAATATAAAGTGTTATTGAAATGAAAATAATAATAATAATCCACAGCAAAAAAAGGTGCCTAGGCACCACCTACAGTGGTGACTGTAACCTGGGTTTAAGGTGCCGTTTGGTGATTAGATTATATATCTGAGTTTCGAACACTGCTGATCTAGTGTCTTTGCATGAGTAGAGCTTTCTTCAGAAAGCAGTAATCAAACTGCTCTTGCAGAGGAAGCCCAGTTACAGCTTTTTGGACAGGATCCATGCAGCCCTGACAGCTGAGTTGGACAGAGGAACCTCACACTTGCCTGCTCAGTTCATTATCAAGCCTTCCACCAGCTTTGGTTGGTGGCCCAGCTGCACCCCTCTCTGGGCAGGGACAGCCTAACTACTGTTGTCTACACTCTGGCAACCTCAAGGTTAGATTATTTCAATGCATTATACGTAGATAGTGCAGAATTCAGCGGCCAGGTTGCTTGCCGGAGCAAGACGGTTTGAGCATATTACACCGATCCTGGTCCCACTGCACTGGCTGCCAGTTAGATTCTGGGCCCAATTCAAAGTGCTGGTTTTGACACTTAAAGCCTTAAACGGCTCAGGACAGCAGTGCCTCAAGGACCGCCTCTCTCCATATGAACCAACCCAGATCCTAATCTGAGGCCCTTCTTTGTGTGCCTCCTCCATGACAGGTCCGGAGGGTGGCAACATGAGAACAGGGCCTTTTCTGCAGTGGCTCCCTGTTTGTGCAATTTTCTCTCCTGGGAAGTTTGGCTGGCACCTCTAGGTGCCGGGCGAAAGCGTTCCTCTTCAGCCAGGACTTTGGCTGTTTAAATGTCTTGTGGGAGGGGAGTTTTTGCTTTTTTGTTTTTATTACCTATTTTGTGTTTTGCTTTTTTTAACTTGCGTTTTTGTGTTCTGAACCGCCCTCAGATCTATGGATGGAAGGTGGCCTGCAAATTTAATCAGTGACAATAAACTAAAGCTGGAATGTATGGGCCCACAGAGTCCTATCACTGCGCCCACATTTGGTGCAGAATGTGTGCATTGCTGACAGTTTCTCCTGCTTTCAGTTGTACCTGTGGACCCTGAAAGGTTAGGGACCCTTGAGTTAGAAATTTGCTTCCCTGTTGACCCTAGCTGCATGTGGGAGTCTGTTTCTAAAACATGCCCTACTTAACTTCAGATGACACCTCCAAAACAAACCAGTTCATGGGGAAAGGATTTAGCTCAGCAGTAGAGTGGGTTCGATCCCTGGGCAGGGTGAGTGCCAAATTGTAGCTTCAGAGGGCAGGAACGGGAGATGTTGAGTCCAGCCCTTGGGGAGATGCCGCGCGGTCACTAGGCTGTGGATGGGAAAGTGATGTGATCCCAGCATCCCTGACTGTATCCTCGTGGTAGCCCTTCAGGAAGAGCATTGGCCTATCCAATATTCTGGCGTGGTGTTTGCTGGGAGAACCCCAGGACGATGGCTCTGGTTAACTTCAGCATCCCATGCAGAGGTTGCCATTGGGGCATCACACGACTTTGTGTTCTCCATGGCAACCGTGTGGCTGTCTCCAATATCCATCAGTCCCACCCTTCGTGCAGGGGATATGATGGGTGGACAGCGGGCAGAGGGGTGGCAATGACTTCCCTTGTTGGTTATACGTACAAATTTAATAAATAATACAGTGGTACCTCTGGTTGCGAACGGGATCTGTTCCAGAGGCCCGTTCGCAACATGAAAGGAACGCAACCCACAGCGGCGTGTCTGCGCACGTGCGGGTTGCGATTTGCCGCTTCTGCGCATGCGCGTGACGTCATTTTGCGCTTCTGCGCGAGCGGCGAAACCCGGAAGTAACCCTTTCCGGTGCTTCTGGGTCGCTGCGGGACGCAACCTGAAAAAACGTAACATGAAGCTAACGTAACAAGAGGTGTGACTGTAATAATAAAATAATTTGGCTGGTTTGGGCCAGAGTGTAGCCCACTGGATCTGATGAACTGGTGCCGCGTAATGCTCGTTTTTTGTGTGTGTGTGTGTATGTGGCACAATGTAAACTTAGCAACTCCTTGCCTATTGACATTAGGCAGATGCCTTTGCTGTTCTCTTTTGGGACGCCTCCTTAAAACATTTTGGTTTGGGCAGGCCTATCCAGACATGTGGGACGCGGGTGGCGCTGTGGGTTAAACCATAGAGCCTAGGACTTGGCGATCAGAAGGTTGGCGGTTCGAATCCCCACAACGGGGTGAGCTCCTGTTGCTCGGTCCCTGCTCCTGCCAACCTAGCAGTTCAAAAGCACGTCAAAGTGCAAGTAGATAAATAGGTACCACTCCGGCGGGAAGGTAAATGGCGTTTCCGTGCACTGCTCTGGTTCGCCAGAAGCAGCTTAGTCATGCTGGCCACATGACCCGGAAGCTGTACGCTGGCTCCCTTGGCCAGTAAAGTGAGATGAGTGCCGCAACCCCAGAGTCGGTCACAACTGGGCCTAATGGTCAGGGGTCCCTTTACCTTTACCTTTTATCCGGACATGCAGTTGTTGATTGTGTTTTAAGCTCTTTGGTTGCTGGTTTTAAGTATCTGAAAATGTTTTTAATTTTTGTCATTTTTTTAAAGGTATTTTTACTATTTTGTGTAAACTGCTTAGAGGTTCTGTTTCAATCTAATGGTACGTACAATTCTTTAAATAAACCAGGGATGTAGCACACGGAGGGTGACCTCTAACTTTGGACCGCAAGGGGGGTCCAATTTGGTCCGTAAGTTCGTTTCACAGGGCGATTTGCAAAGATGGAAGAGGTGTGTGGTTCGTTCCTGCTGATGAAGAAGACCTCTGAAGATGAGCAGAGAGTTCAGTCCTGCCTGCTGCTTCACTGGCATGTTGTCTGTCGGTGGGCATATCGAAACATATCGCTGGGATTCCCGGTGTCTCGTAGGAGATGGATCTACTAACTTGTTTTCTTCGCTTGGAATCGAAACGTGCCCAAATTGCCTTTTCCTTCTTTTTTCTCAGCATCTTCTCTCCCACAACAAAACTCCACCCAGCTGTGAGTCATTCCAAAACTTAACAAATCCCTGATTTAGATAAGTTTTAAAAAATGAAGCAAGCATAGAATGAAATTATACTTCTCTGCTTCACCAAGTTTAAATTACAGATATTTAGTAAAACGGGTCGAGCTCTTTGATTGGAGCGAACCGCCGAAATACGAAATCGGACGGGTTGTTGTGAAGCTGTATTAAGTTTAGACTGAAGGCAAATTGTGCATTTGGCTAGATGTCTACTGGTTACAGAATTAAAGGGAAGAAAATCCCTGTAACACCAGGAGACTTACTGAACAATCTGGAACAAAACAAAGCCCTTGTGTTCTGTGGATTGTAGCTGCCTTTCTAAATTGTGATTCCATTGTGCCTGGCAGATACCAGTTTTTCAACATTGTGGTATATCACCAGCTAAACATCGCGATACACCGATATATCACGATGTCTGAAATAAGGATGGAGCTATATAGAGGCAGTGGCTGGCTTCACGGTTTTTCCAGCGTTGTGATTTTTGCATGTGAGACTCAGTTTAGCCAAGGATTCTTAAAGCGCTGTGCATAAAAATGCTTAATGTCCGCACATAATTAATAAACAAATGGCACAGAGGATGATTTGGTTGACTAACTCGTCTGCCTGTTTTTCTGTTTGTTCATCTGTAAATGCAAAGCTGGTGGAAGTGGCAGCGGCAGCAAAAAAAATAGAATTGGTGAAGCTGGTCACAGTTGTTGTTCCCTGAATGTTGTGGACACGGGTTTCAGTGTCTGTATCCTGGTTGAGGTAACTTGTAACAAATCGATGAGCAAGAGCTTCTTTCACCTGTTCCTAGGGGGAAAGAAAAGGTGGGGGATTTTTTGCATTAGTGCCGTTATTTCAGTGAATTAAGAATAAAGACCATCTGGACACAGTGTTAGAAACTCAGATATACAAGCTAGGTATCAAATGGCTCCTTAAACCAGGGCTGCAGTTGCCAAAACGGAACATCTACTTGCCATTTGGGGGCCAGACGTCAAAGTGCAAGTAGATAAATAGGTAAACGCCTTCGGCGTTTCCATGCGCTGCTCTGGTTTGCCAGAAGTGGCTTAGTCATGCTGGCCACATGACCCGGAAGCTGTACGCCGGCTCCCTCAGCCAATAAAGCGAGATGAGCGCTGCAACCCCAGAGTCGGTCACAACTGGACCTAACGGTCAGGGGTTCCTTTACCTTTACGCCCTTGCTATGCCGTTGTGGGTCGTTTGTTCTTGGGACAGGGGCCCAGTAGGAATTTTCCCATTTGGCTGATTAGCTGGTGCCACTTGGGTTTAGCCTGCCGCGTAGCAAATCGCCATAATTTTGTAATGTTTGGTGGTTAGGCATCGGTTCAATGTAGAGGGTAGGGTAGGTTGTCATACCTGCCCCTCCCAGTGTGCGATAGGATATTCCATTAAAGGAATCCAGGGGCTCGCCATACTTTTGTCCGATCCCCTTCCAAGGATTAGGGCCACGCCAGAGCACCTGGGAGCATTTCGAGGTGAGGTTGCGTCTGTGGTAGGACCAATGCTCCCCCAGTATGTTTACCCTTACTGACTTCTGCCGGTGTCCAGTTGTCAGTGCTGCCCTGCCAGAGGTGTAGGCGCAGCTAGTCGTACCAATGCCTAAGCAAACCACTCACATTCCGTAATCAATAAAGCTGTGGCCAAAATTATGCCAATAACCTTGAACTAATATTGGTGTCAACTGTGTCTGTCTTTGGGAGGTCTTGGGGGGTCTTCATACGTAACAGTTGTACAATGCTGCAACCCTGGTGTAAGTTACGTGAAGTGCTTTGAACAATTGTTCTCTATAAATATCACATATTATCATTATGCAGTGGACGCTCGGGTTGTGAACATGATCCGTGCGGGATGCACGTTCGCAACCTGCAGCTTTCGCAACCCGCGTCTGTGCACACGCGGGTCACGATTCGGTGCTTCTGCGCATGTGCAACCATCGAAACCCGGAAGTAACCTGTTCCGGTACTTTTGGGTTTTGGCTGTCCGCAACCCGAAAAAACGCAATCTGAAGCGGCTGTAACCCGAGGTATGATTGTATCTATTTTTAAACGATGCTTTTAAAAATGCCAAGAATATCGCAGATACAAAACTAATACTCTAAAGAACAGGAAACCGTACAATAATATGGTATATAAGACAGTGGAAAGATTTTTGAATCGTTGATTTTTAAAAACATGATTTGAAAGATCTCAAGGGAAAAGACCTGATTTAGACTTTAGCCTTAAATCAGGTTTCCCATTTTGCAATTCCTATATTTGCTGGATAAGCACGCATGCCAACTGATTGCTTTCGCATAATGGTTTGCAACTAAATACAGCCTTTAGTATAACCAAGGAGCTTAATCGCTAAACCTTTGCTCTTGCAACCGACATGCCTTTTGCAGAGCAGAATTAAGCCTGCTTAGGAAAAAGAGGCAGATTTGTTTGTGACGACCCCCTGTTCACATGCGAGGAAGCAACTTCCATTTGATGGTTGGAGCCCCACAATGCACAAAAGATTCCTGCATTGCAGAGGGTTGAACTAGATCAGGGGTAGGCAACCTAAGGCCCAGGGGCCAGATCCAGCCCAATCGCCTTCTCAATCTGGCCCGTGGACCAGCATGTTTTTACATGAGTAGAATATGTCCTTTTATTTAAAATGTATCTCTGGGTTATTTGTGGGGCCTGCCTGGAGTTTTTACATGAGTAGAACGTGTGCTTTTATTTAAAATGCATCTACGGGTTATTTGTGGGGCATAGAAATTCATTCATTCCCCCCCCCCAAAATATAGTCCGGCCCATTTTCAATTTCCCCCCCAAAATATAGTCACATGGTCCAAGAGATGGTGGACCAGCCCACGGCTGAAAAAGGTTGCTGACCCCTGAACTAGATCAGGGATCAGCAAACTTTTTCAGCATGGGGCTGGTCCACTGTCCCTCAGACCTTGTCGGGGTGCCGGACTATATTTTGAAAAAATAATAATGAACGAATTCCTTATAAGCCAGTTTGTGGTGTGGTTGTTTTGTTGCGTCCAGTCCAACTCTACAATTCTAAGATTCTAAGGCTAAACTTCCATTCCTGGGCTGCTTTGTCTGGGAAGAAAGACCCCTCTCCAAACATGGTTAGATTTACTCCCAGCAAAATGCACAGGATTTGGCTGCAGGTGTTCAGAAACGTCCAGAACGAAGAGAAAGTCACTATTGCCTTTTAAAATGTGGCTCTTTTGGGGGGGGGGGATGTGTGTTATTGGGTGGTTGTTTTTATTTTCATTTTATATATTGTGGTTTTTATTTTGGTCTTTGCTGTGAACCGCCCTGAGACGTCCGAGTATAGGATGGTATGTAAGTTCAATCAATTAATCAGTCAAATAATGGAAAAAATAGGTAAAACAATAGTACCAAACCCTGGGTGAATTGGTTAAAATGTATAAAAAAGGGATCTAAAATGTGTTGGAAGTGACAAGAAGCAGAGGGGACCTTCCTACATATGTGGTGGGGATGTAAGAAACTAAGGGATATCGGGAGAGAATGGGAAAGGATTTCTCTTCTGCCTCCGTTTGAAGCGAAACTCCCCAGCTTGTGTCTGAGGGATCATGTTCAGATCAGGTAGACCAGTGGTTCCTAACCATTTTCTGGCCGTGCCCCACCTAAGCATCTCTAAAATCCTCATCTCCCCACCCCCGTGACATATAATTCTTCTTATTGAAAAAGTGAACTCCTCTTCACATGGAAGAAGCCTAAAAGGCCATTAACTGTTAATAACTCGTTCTCGAACTGCCCCCCTTAAAAATCGAATTGTCTCCCGGTGGTGTGTGCGCCCCACATTGGGAACCACGGATGTAGACGGTGTGGGTTAGATCCCATGTTTTCTATGAATCTTTCAGAGCATCTGTTTACTCCTTATTTACTCCCAGTGGCCCTGAGTTGGAGGAAAGCACATTCTCGCTCCATCCGTCACCCAGGAAAACAAGGACTACTGGCTTGTGTGTGTGTGTTGTGTACTTAAAGGCAGGGAGGTTCACCTACCCAGTTTAGATGGCACTGCTGATATTGGAACCTGAATTTACTGCCTCTCCCCTTCCTTCACTAACTTATTTTTTAATAATAACAGTAATTCACAATGTGGTGTTTGATAGACAATAATGATTCAGTCTTTCGTAATTGTAGGCTTCAGCACATTTGTTCTACATTCAGAATTTCACTTAAGACTCCTTATATATATATTAAAATAGACACACTATAATATATATTTTTTTAAAAAAATCTGTCTTAATTTTTTTTAAAGCTGATTTAAAATTACAGATTTTTATCTGCAATTAAACCCAAAAAGTATTTGTTCTTTCTACACTAGCCGTGACCTTTCATGTTGAAATGTACCCTACACATGAGTAAATACTAAGATTTAAGCTAAAGAAGGGAACCGTACACATTCAGGATACTGGATGTGATTTTAATTATATGTTGCTAAGTTTTTAATTCCTTATGCCCACCTGTAGATGAAAACTAGATTTTCTTTCATCTTCACGCTGCAATATCTGGCATACTATGCAGTCATCAATTTACTTTTTTTAAATTAAAATTGCTGTAAATGAGACTTCTTTAGCTGTTTTTTTAGACGGATGCTACAACCACTCCTGGCTAGTTTCCAAAGAGCATACTTGAGGTTTTGGGGTGTTAATACGTCGATATAGGTTACCAGGAACTTCGGTTATAGGTTACCTATAACATCCTTCCAACTTAATGGGATTCCAATTCATCTTTGTTGACCAGTTCTGTTCATTTCAGTGGGACTTCTCCAACAGATTTCCCCTGTGTTTAGCATCGTATGAGAATATTCTTAACTAAAAATAAATAAATAAATACAGAGTTCTCCTAACCTTAAGCCTTCTCCCCGCACACCCCCAAGCTCTTACGCCAAGGTATATGAAAATATTACTTAAATAATATTATTACCTTACTCCTTTAGCTTGTTGAGAAGCTGGGTTATGAACAGAAAGCAGCCTTTCAGTTCTAGGTGGACCAGCTCCCAGGCGCAGCGACTCTGCTGGTTGGCGGCTAGGAAACTGTTCATTCTTTGAAAGTATCGCTTGACTTTCATGGGCGGAGGAGATGGTGCCGTGTTGGCAGAGTTTGCCAGCTTTCCTCCCTGCGTTTCTTTTGCACACGCCTCCAGCTGTTTGGTTTGCTGGTAAAGGTCGCTTCTCAAGGATTCGAGACACGTCGCGTTCCAGGCGCCCCAAGGATGGTCTTTGCCGAGAACGTTGAGGCTCTGCTGGAGAACCTCGCGGACGATGATGACGGCGCCATCGCTCTCCAGAGCGTTGAGAGTTTTCAGAGGGAACCTGAAGTCCGTTGTCTCAGATATGCATTGCAGAGGGAATTGTCCAGCCATCCTGCAGAGGTGGTTCAAGTTGGTCTGGATCATTTGGTTCCACTGGGTGTGGAGCACAGGGCATTTGGAAAGGGGGCTGGATTGGGCGAGTTTGCCGGAGAGCACCAGCACGAGACAAACGCTTAAGCCGTTCCCACCAGTAGTGAAGCCCATGATGAACCAATGGCTATAACTACCTTATCTTCCTGGAGTCTCTTTAAATATATTTCGGAACACCTATAAAAATCTGCCATCCTGAATTCATTCAACATGAGACATTTGTATTAATCATGATATGAATTTTCCCCACCATCAAGATTCCAAATGCCTTTGAGGAACATGATTTGGTTGCTTTCAGTTTCGTTCAAGGAGTTTTAATTAAAATATGAGGTTTTGTTTTGTTTTGTTTTTTACTACCTTCTTACAGAAAACTTAGCAAAGTTTCAAGCGAACCATAGCCCTTCTTTTCTCTTCTTTCTGTTTATAATATTCTAAATTAATTTCCAGTGCCTTCTTAGAATTAGAAAATAAACAAGAGTTCAGCATTAGCTCTTTCCTAAAATCTGAAGAGATTTCCCATCTCATATGTCTACATCCTTAAAAGGTCCTTATCTGTTTATTCCTTGTTTAGTTTATACTTTTATAATGCTGTTATTCAGGCAAACTGTTCCCAGTTGATAAGAACACTAAAATAACAATAAAATTAATCTTAAAATCATACTAAAGTGGTCAATAAGACAACAGGTTAGAATAAAACCCAGAAGTCTGGGAGAATAGGGAACTATTTTCCTAGCACCAAAGAGAAAGCATGAGCCTTTGATGAGCGGGATTTGCAATAGATCACTACTGCAAAGGGTTTTTCTCTGGTTACCTTAAATGCCCTTGGATAGCTCATGGGAAAATACCTCCATTTTTTATTTCTTCACATGGGGCAGACTGAGGTGGGAACAGCTATTCCTTCAGGTACTGAGGTCTCAATTTCCTATTTTATGTTACTTTACAGTGGATGCTTGGGTTGCGAACATGATCCGTGTGGGATGCACGTTCGCAACCCGCAGCAGTGCGCCTGCGCGGGTTGCGATTCGGCGCACCTGTGCAAAGCACGATTTAGCGCTTCTGTGCATGCGCAACCGCCGAAACCCAGAAGTAACCCATTCCGGTACTTCCGGGTTTTGGTGGGTCTGTAACCCGAAAAAACGCAACCTGAAGCGTTTGTAACCCGAGGTATGACTATATTTTTAAAACAATGTTTGGTCCCAAGCCAGCTAATAACTTCCTATTTCCTTGTCTTCGGCATCTGAGTTTTCAGAGGCTGTCCTGTTTTTTCTACATGCACTTAGGTTATTGTTGTATCACAGAGAAGCCACTAAGGGAGCCCATTTGTCTGTGAATTATCTCTGTTCTAGACTTAACTTTGCAGGTATCTGTTACGGGTCAAAAAGCGAAAACTGCTTCGTTTCCTACTGCATTGCCTCAGCTGCCTAACTGGTGGCAACTTAGCAACTCTTCAAACAGGAATTAGGGTGAGCATAATTTAATAAAACTTTCAGGGCATAATTTAAACCCCTGCCTGGACTGGTCTTTTCTCTGCTTATACAGTGGTACCTCGGGTTAAGTACTTAATTCGTTCCGGAGGTCCGTACTTAACCTGAAACTGTTCTTAACTTGAAGCACCACTTTAGCTAATGGGGCCTCCTGCTACCACCGCGCCGCTGGAGCACGATTTCTGTTCTCATCCTGAAGCAAAGTTCTTAACCTGAAGCACTATTTCTGGGTTAGCGGAGTCTGTAACCTGAAGCGTATGTAACCCAAGGTACCATTGTAGTTGCCTGTGCATTAATCTCAAGTGAGACTTAAGCTCAGTTAACTGGGATTTAACATAAGATCCTATAGGTCTGGCTAAGGCATGGGTGAGGAAATTGTGGCCCTCCGGAACTTTTTACACTACAGCAGGGGCCAGCAGACTTTTTCAGCAGGGGGCCGGTCCACTGTCCCTCAGACCTTGTGGGGGGGCAGACTAGATTGGGGGGGGGGAATGAATGAATTCCTATGCCCCACAAATAACCCAGAGATGCATTTTAAATAAAAGCACACATTCTACTCATGTAAAAACACACTGATTCCCGGACCGTCAACGGGCCGGATTGAGAAGGCTATTGGGCCGGATCCGGCCCCCGGGCCTTAGTTTGCCTACCCATGCACTACAGCACCCATAATCTCTGACCGTTGGCCATGTTTCCTGGGGCTAATGGGAGTTGGGAACTCAACAGTGGCTTACTGTAGATCCTTAGTAGGTTATGCTTAAGGAGTGATGTGTACTCATTTTGAACTGGGGCTGGTGAATTTTACTTCCGAGTAGAACCTTTTCTCAGCCATGAAGCTCAGTGGGCAATATTGCACTATTTATACTTTCTCAGCCTAACCCACCTCACGATTTTTGTTGTGAGGATAACATTGGGTGATGGGTTGATGGAAAAGAGGAGACTGAGAGGAGATAAGAAAGCATCTTCAGATATCTCAAGGGCTGTCACATGGAAGAGGGAACAAGCTTGTTTTCTTCTGCTCTGGAGGGTAGGACTCGAACCCATGGCTTCAAGTTACAAGAAAGGAGATTCTGACTAAACATATGGAAGAGGTATTCAACAGTGGAACAGTCTCCCTCTGGAGGTTGTGGACTCTCCTTCCTTGGAGGTTTTTAAGCAGAGGTTGGATGGCCATCAGTCCTGGATGCTTCAGCTGAGATTCCTGCATTGCCAGAGGGTTGGACTCGATGACCGTTGGGGTCCCTTCCAACTCAACAATACCATGATTTCATTTTTGTTATACCAGTCTTGTCATCAATTTGCTGTTTTAAAACCTTTCGTTCCACAGTCTGCAGCCGTTGGGCACAAGACGTTGGGTAAATTCAACCAGCTCAGCCACCTGGTGGGAAATAGGATTAGACGCACCAATTCACCAAATGTCTTCCTTCCCAAGCGGAAGGGGGTTCATTTTTGTCCTTAGGAGCGCTTAGAGCAGGAAACAAATCAATATTAAAGGGATTTATACAGATTCATGCTAAGTCTGTGTCTCCTCAAAACAGATGGACGAGAGCTGTGCAAGTGCGGTTTCTAAATTTGGCCCAGTGGAGCATTTAACTATGGGGAGCCAGCTTTCTCCATTGGGCTACTGCAGGCATGTCCAAAGTCCATTTCGGGGGCCTAATTTGGCCCGCTGGTTGGTTTAATCCAGCTCCTGTGGCAGTTTATTTTCTGGGGTAAAATCCTAAAAAAACCTCAACAACTTCAATCTTTAAAAAATCCCTCAACAGATTCAACCCTAAAAAAAACCCCCAGCAACTTCAATCCTACAAAAAAGGTCAACAACTTTGGTTGGCCCTTCGGTCGGCCCTCACGGCCCTTCACTTCATCAAATCTGACCCTCTTTGAAAAAGGTTTGGACACCACTGATTTGCAAATGGTGCTGAAAAGCCCCTTTTCCATTCCTCAAATTCTCACTTACAGGTATTTCAATTCCCTCCATTGCAAGCACATGCGCAGGTTGGATTCTGCCCAAGAGTGACATAATGACTTCTTCTGTTTCATGATGACTGTGCACAGCTATATGGGTCGGGTGATTAAGAGCACGCTAAGCATTAGTATATAAGGAAGACGTATACTAGACAGAATGACCCAGACAGCGCTCTTAATTTGTGCGGCATCGCCTCCGGCATTTGTGACGAGGATAATTACTGTTGTTTAAGTGAGAGTGTTTTTCTATCCAGAGTTATGACTCAAGGAGCCAGCGTTTGAATTATTTGTGCTGTGCTTTTTATATATATACAGTGGTACCTTGGGTTACAGACGCTTCAGGTTAGGACGCTTCAGGTTACAGATTCCTCTAACCCAGAAATAGTACCTCAGGTTAAGAACTTTGCTTCAGGATGAGAACAGAAATCGTGCTCCGGCAGCGCAGCCGCAGCAGGAGGCCCCATTAGCTAAAGTGGTGCTTCAGGTTAAGAACAGTTTCAGGTTAAGAATGGACCTCCAGAACGAAGTAAGTACTTAACCCGAGGTACCACTGTATATAAGAAGGAAGAAGAAATTTTTGAAAATTGTCATGATCCATAATCTTCTCTGATGCGCAAAGGCTGTGAGTTTTACGGAGGATGTTCCATGGTCCTCCTACCTGATTGCTTTAGGCAAAAATGCCAGGAATTGAACCTGGAACATTCTGCATGCAAAGTATATGTTCTGTGTCAAGGAACAATAAATACTAAACCACCAGATTACTTTGGCTGCACATGCTTTGCAAGTTCCTGTCAAATTATAGTCTCTGAAAACTTTCCTTAGCTTGCCTCCCCAACAACTTCAACATATATGTATGAGTATTGTATAGACCAGGGGTCAGCAAACCTTTTCAGCAGGGGGCTGGTCCACTGTCCCTCAGACCTTGTGGGGGGCCGGACTATATTTTGAAAAAAATAATAATGAATAATGCCCCACAAATAACCCAGAGATGCATTTTAAATAAAAGGACACATTCTACTCATGTAAAAACATGCTGATTCCCAGACTGTCCGCAGGCCGGATTGAGAAGGCGATTGGGCCGGATCTGGCCCCCGGGCCTTAGCTTGCCTACCCATGGTTCAGAGTGACTGCACACATGGAATCAGCACATCTGATCTCCAAACAGCTCTATGGAGAATCTTGGAATCGTAGAGTTGGAAGGAACCACAAGGATTCATCTAGTCCAGGCATGTCCAACAGGTAGATCATGATCAGCCAGTAGATCACTGGACATCAGTGGTAGATCATTGGCTCCCCCAACTATGGTTTCCCTAAAAAAATGGTTCCCCTGAGATTAAGAGTCTCGCGTTCCTCCAGCTGAAGAGGGCAGGAATCGCCTCTGTTCGTTGTTCCTGGCTCCGCTGTCGGGACAATCCAGCAAATAATGCCAGGCTCCAAAATGTGGGGCTGGAGATTGTCCCAGCTCTCGTGCGCAGAGGCAGATGTCCCGTGCCAGGAGGCAGGTTGGGTCTTGCCTACCGCAAGGACCTGGCTTGCCTAGGAAGGTAAATCAAGATTTGTGGGCCTAAATAAAATGTCGGTATCAGGTCAAGGGGCGACCTCAACAAGTGGGGCACCGGTGATAATCTCAGTGGGTGGGTGCCCATGGGTGGAAGCCCAGAGAACTGATTCCTCAAATGGTATTTTATTCCCAGTTACAGTGGTACCTCGGGTTAAGTACTTAATTTGTTCCGGATGTCCGTTCTTAACCTGAAACTGTTCTTAACCTGAAGCACCACTTTAGCTAATGGGGCCTCCTGCTGCTGCCATGCCATAGCAGCACAATTTCTGTTCTCATCCTGAAGCACTATTTCTGGGTTAGCGGAGTCTGTAACCTGAAGCGTTTGTAACCTGAAGCATATGTAACCCGAGGTACCGCTATACTGTTCTGCACAAACACTGCAATCGCAGGTGGGAAATTTATGAGCTGCTCCTGAGCACGGCATAATAATTAAAAAGCTGTCAAGAGCAAAATGTAAATCTAAATGACACTATAATCCTACACATTTATATAATCTGACACTTTCTTCAACAGAACTTAATATGTAGTAAAAAGTTTTCAGGACTGCAGCTTAAAGGTATAATCCTATACAGTGGTACCTCAAGTTACATATGCTTCAGGTTACAGACTCTGCTAACCCAGAAATAGTACCTCGGGTTAAGAACTTTGCTTCAGGATGAGAACAGAAATCATTCTCTGGTGGCGCGGCAGCAGCAGGAGGCCCCATTAGCTAAAGTGGTGCTTCAGGTTAAAAACAGTTTCAGATTAAGAACAGACCTTCAGAACGAATTAAGTACGTAACCAGAGGTACCACTGTAAATGTTTATTTAAAAGTAATTCCTACTGAGTTCGATCTCCGCAGTAAATGCAACTTAAATCACATTTGTCCATTTCCTAAAAAGACCTGTGGATAAACTGTTTTGAAAACTGACGGCTTTTAATGGCGCCGTGATGTTTTTATTGTAATTATTTGTGTGTTTGAAACGACTTTTTAATATACGTGTGTAGTTTTGATTCTGTTGATGTTTAATTGTTTTTTATGATTGTTTTTTCTGTGTTTAAAAGTTCTGTGTACAAAACTTGAAACAGCTACTAGATGTGGAAGAAGATCTTCTAGAATCGTTACTCGGGCCATTTATGCCTCTTGAAATTGAATTTCTTGTCTTAAAATTCGTATCATGTGTCTCTGTGTTTATTATTATATTTCCTACAGCTGAGAATCTTACCAATTCATGCAAACATCTTTCATTTTTATATTGTATTGCCGTGCAAGGACAAATATAGAAAGACTTGTGAATGAATAATTTCACAGAATTGATTGTATGATCGCATTCATAAAATGAATATGACTTACTCATCTGATGTAGCTTTTAAAGGATATTTTAATAATTTCTCACTACAGTGTTACTGCATCCCAGAGTTGGGGTTTTTTTTTATTTAAAAAATGCTAATGCAATAGGCATGAACAGGCAATATCAGGCAAAGAATACAGACTTTATGCATATAAGACAGCAGTGCAAAGTGTTTTCCTGTAATGATCAAAGAGGTAATTGGGATTGATTTTTTGTTTAACCTACAAGTCTGACTGTTAAATAATTCCAAGGGACCTGCTGGGGGAAAATGTGCAGAAAACTAATGAGCGGTTTGCCAATGCTGGCTCAAATCGTTGTGGCAAATGAACTGGAAAAATAAAGAGAAGCCATCAGAATAGAAGTAGTTTAGGAACATTGGCATGTAATCCTAGTGGAAAAGACAATAGCATTATAGCAAATATGGGGAGGAAAATTACTACAGATTCCTCTGTATCTGAGCCATGGGGGAACTCTTAAGAACATGTGGAGAACCTACTGGATGAGGCCAGTGGTCCATCCATTCCTGTATCCTGTTCTCACAGTGGCCAACCAAGATGCCTGTTGAGCAGGATTCACACACGAGGACTCTGCCCTTTTGTGTTTTGATACAGCATCTCTTGTAAATTATGTTTCCTGAAATAATAATCACAGTAATAAGACTATGAAGCGTCTTTTGTACATCCCATCTGCTCCTGTTTGACATTTATTCATTCCCGTGAATGTGTGTTGTGCTACAAGTTGAGTAACGCCAACAGTTATGGGAAGATAGTCTCCCTTGTTAAATTCCAGAGCGGCTATTTGCAGAGCATCTTGTTGTCTGTTGGCTCAGAAAGATAACTAGGGCAAATTAAGCGACCAGCTGACTTGGGTCATTACACATGACTAGGGCCATATGGTGAAACAGGATTACTTAAGTATGTCGCTGCTGGGCCACATCGTCTCAGGCATTAAAAGAGAGCAAAATGGGTCAGATCATTAAAAAACCACACCACGATTTTAACGGCTGAATAGTTTGAGGGAGGTTACTCACCTAACAGAGGTCAGAATAATGCTTGTGACCTTACATGGAGCTTATAACACAGGCTGTAATTGAAAAACGGTTGCTCCCAACCAGCTCATTGTCCACCTGGTGCATAAAGGTGTCTGTGCCTTGCTCAATATCGGTAATGCTGTCTCCAGGGTTTTTTTGGGGGGGGGGTCTGTGGTCCAACACCCTCAATAAAGGTAAAGGGACCCCTGACCATTAGGTCCAGTCGTTACCGACTCTGGGGTTGCGGCACTCATCTCGCTTTACTGGCCAAGGGAGCCGGCGTATAGCTTCCGGGTCATGTGGCCAGCATGACTAAGCTGCTTCTGGCGAACCAGAGCAGCGCATGGAAACGCCATTTACCTTCCCGCCGGAGCGGTACCTATTTATCTACTTGCACTTGACGTGTTTTTGAACTGCTAGGTGGGCAGGAGCTGGGACCGAGCAATGGGAGCTCACCCCGTTGCGGGGATTCGAACCGCCGACCTTCTGATCGGCATGTCCTAAGCTCTGTGGTTTAACCCACAGCGCCGTCAATGGCCCCCCTCTAACCTAGACCAGAAAGGACTTGGAAACTGGGAATTCTTTGAGGCTGGTTTGATCTTTGATATTCAGTGCAAAGTGGCAATGGAAGCACTGTTGGGGCAAGGAGTCCTCTGCAGGTTTGGGGGCCATGGCAAATGTCCAACTTTCCATCCCCTGGGGGGAGCCCTTGGGAGCGTGGCCTTACCATTTGGAAGGATGAGATAGCTGGTTTCTGGGCATCACAGAAGTGCATAAAACCTATTATTTGATTTATTATTGCATATTTTTTCTGTCACAAAGAGGTGGCTTGTGAGATTTGGTGTGTCAGGTCTTGACTGGTCTTGGATATTCCTCACCTTGACTCGTGGGGAAAAGGGGAGACGTTTGCTATTCTGCTTCAGGCAGCAAAAAGTCTTGGGGTGGCCCTGCAAGTATACATGCCCCTTGGTCTGTGTGCAATCTGTTTATGGAAGTCCATTGATGGAGGCAAGAATGGGCTACCAAGTATTAGGGATTGTCGGCAAATTTTGTTCCCCATTATCGTAACGCTAAACTTTGCAAAGTGGTGCGGAGTCGTTATTGAGTCGTTTCTCAGTCATGCTGAAGTATTGGGAAGTGGCTGTTCATGATTTAAGTACAGTCGTATCTTGGAAGCTGAATGGAATCCATTCTGGAACTCTTTTCAACTTCCAAAACGTTCGGAAACCAAAGTGCGGCTTCTGATTGGCTGCAGGAAGCTCCTGCAGCCAATTGGAAGCCTCGTTAGATGTTTGGCTTCCAAAAATAGTTCACAAACCGGAACAGTCATTTCCGGGTTTGCGGCATTCGGGAGCCAAAATGTTCAACTTGCAAGGCGTTCGGGATCCAAGGTACGACTGTAATATGGAAGATCTTTCAGATATTTATTACTAATAAAGCTTTGAGATGTACCGTATTTTTCCGTGTATAAGATGCCCCCATGTATAAGACGCTCTCTATTTTGGGGGGTTCCAAATTAAGAAAACACCCCTAATCACTACCAATGTATAAGACGAGCCCCAATTTCAAACCCTTTTTTGGGGTAAAAAAAAACCCCTAGTCTTATACATGGAAAAATACAGTAAAACAAGTCTGCATTTTTAAAAAATGCATCTTAAATATAGCTTTAGAAACCTGGAAGAATCAGATACCCCCTTTGGGGGGAAGGTGTGGAATTGGACAAGATCCCAAATGCTTTTGCACAGGTGTGTGTTGCCGTGTGTCTCGCTGCCCTTGGCTTGCGTTTTCCTGCCATCTGTTTGAGCACGTTGTAAATCGGTTGTCGCTAGGCAGCTGGTCCCCTGTTGCCGTATCTGCAAAGTGGTCATCTTGGACGCCAATAAAATTAGCACTCAACGGAGCTTATCGCAACATAACTGGAGGAGGGCTAGACATCTGTGTGGGATTCTAGATGCTCTGCTGTTTGCACCAATTAACAGCATCTGGACGGCAGTCTGTTTTCTTAAAACTTTCCAGCAGGGGAAGGTATTGGGGGAAGAGGAGGAGGAGGAGAGGGAAAAAAATCATAATAATCTAGTTATGATGATGTTGTATGAGCATGCCAGATATATATCCCTGAGAGAATACAGGCTCCCAACTAGGCGCCTTATTAGATTATCAGAGTTTCCTAGCATGTTGTTCCCAGAGGATGAAAGATCAGAACAAAAATAAACTCTTGCTATGTGGCAAGGCTAGTGGCTACTTGAGTGGGTCAGCTGTTCATACAAGGAAGAAGGTTTGCATTGATTTGGCTAATAGGATCGTGGCTGACCCAAACCAATAGGGACTGTTAGATTAGTTGCAGAGCCCAAGCACTGCATGCAAAAAGTCCCAGGTTCGTTTGCTGGTTCATTCTGCTTCTTCTTAGGAGGGGGATTAAAACTTCTTTTTAATTGGCCGAATAGATATTTGAATAGCTGTGCTGACCTGCTCTGTTTGTTGTTGTTGTTGTTTTTATTGTGCGGTGCTCTGTGGAAGCATGGAATATAAATTACTTCGAATAAATAGATGGGCAAACAGTTTGACTTGGTGTAAGGCACATCCTTACGTCCCAAGAGAAAACATTATTAAAAAGCCTTAAAACTTAAAACTGTCTGATAACTTATTAAATGAGGTCTGGGGCATTAGAATGGAGACAAGAACTCCATAACTTTGTTCCCATTTTTTTTATTATTACACAGAATGGCTTCTAATGGTCAATTCTATTTTATATAACATGTAATGTAAAAGAGTTATTGCTGTTAGAAATTGACAATGTTTTTAGCCACCGCTATTTAATATAAAGCAATATGACATCGAAACACAGATTTCCCAGTAGATTGTATTGCCTAGACCTCATACATCAATCCCCCTTTATGGCTATGTAGCAAGGTGGTAGAGGAATCAGAGCCTTTTATCTGTCAGGGATGTCGTTCCAACCTTCCAAGTTTAATAATTTCAAGCACAATTCAGTGTTGGTGCTGACCTTTAAAGTCCTAAACGGCCTCGGTCCAGTATACCTGAAGGAGCATCTCCACACCCATCATTCTGCCCGGACACTGAGATCCAGTGCCGAGGGCCTTCTGGCAGTTCCTTCGCTGCGAGAAACCAAGTTACAGGGAACCAGGCAGAGGGCCTTCTCGGTGGTGGCACCCGCCCTGTGGAACGCCCTCCCACCAGATGTCAAAGAGAAAAACAACTACCATACTTTTAGAAGACATCTGAAGGCAGCCCTGTTTATTGAAGCTTTTAATGTTTGATGGATTGTTGTATTTTGGTATTCTGTTGGAGGCCGCCCAGAGTGGCTGGAGGGGCCCAGGCAGATGGGTGGGGTATAAATAATAAATTATTATTATTATTATTATTATTATTATTATTATTGATACAGATGGGGCTCATCCACCTGGAAAAGTAGCCCATCTGGGATGTGGAAAACTCCGAACCTGACCCTTGCAGCTATCCTGATTCATGAGGCTTCAGGAGTAAACCCTGAGGAAATATCTGTAACCGCTGCCTTGCGGGGGACATATTCTGGAGAAGAAAAGGTTAAGGAGTAAGCCCTACACAAAGTGGGAGTCCCTAGGATGGTTGGGTGGTGCCGTGTACACCTCCTTTCCGCAACTCCTTCATTATTATTTTTTTAAATGATATTTATTAAAATTTCAAAAGAAAAAGATTACATTAATAAGAAAAATAACAATAAAAAAGAAAAAATACAAAGTACAAAAAAGAAAAAACAGTTAAAAACAATTCCATCTTTTCATCACTTCTCTTACATTTACTTGTTTCCCGGACCTCCTCATACCTCCCTTTTTTGTATTCCAATTCAATTTGTTAGTCCAGCAATTCCTCTCCCTCCTTTTTAATCCTGATCTTTAATCTTGATATATTATAACATTAAATTTTTACGTATTAAAAACCAATTTTTCCATATTCTTTTATACCATTACAGCTAGGAACCACTTAACTTCATTCTGACATCATTCTAACATTCATTAATTTTACAATATTTCTGTAAGTAGTCTTTAAATTTCTTCCAATCTTCTTCCACCGACTCTTCTCCCTGGTCTCGGATTCTGCCAGTCATTTCCGCCAATTCCATGTAGTCCATCATTTTCATCTGCCATTCCTCCAGTGTGGGTAGATCTTGTGTCTTCCAATACTTTGCAATAAGTATTCTTGCTGCTGTTGTGGCATACATAAAGAAAGTTCTGTCCTTCTTTAAAACCGATTGGCCGACTATGCCCAGGAGGAAGGCCTCTGGTTTCTTCAAGAAGGTATATTTAAATACCTTTTTTAATTCATTATAAATCATCTCCCAGAAAACCTTAATCCTTGGGCACGTCCACCAAAGGTGAAAGAATGTACCTTCAGTTTCTTTACATTTCCAACATTTATTATGGGGCAAATGGTAGATTTTTGCAAGCTTGACTGGGGTTATGTACCCTTTCCGCAACTCCTTCAGCCAAGCTGGTGCCAAACATATTGCTCTGCTTTCCTTTGGACCACACCAGCGAGGCCGAGAGTGTGGGCTCTTGTTGTCTGGGCACCCCCAGGACCTCCATACACACTGCCCTGGCTTGCACCCCAGAGGGGTCACTTCAGTGCTACTGATGCAGCAAAAACAATACAGGAGGCAGCCCTTTACAAGCTCCTGATCTTTGCAACCACAGCTGGCGCTGCGATTCCCCAGCGGTTTGGCTTGACCCCCAGGAAGCTCACTCCATTGTCTCTTGAGCCAGACGGATGCCAACTGTAGATTGAAACGCCTTACTGTTAAATTAGCGAAGAGCGTGTGCGTTTTGCATGTTGACTCTTTAAAATCCTTTTTTAAAAGAACGTTGCCTTAAGCACCGTGCACTTGGGAAGGCATCTAAAAATGTCACAAACAGGTAACGTTTCTGTCGCTAAGACATGAATATTAAAATTAAGGAACAGTAAATGCAGGGCTGTCGCCACTTATATTGGTCCCGGTGATATTTACACGGATTGTTAGTCCTTGGTAATTGATCCCCCGCCCTCTCCGCCTTTATTGATGAAGGAAGTGGTTGGAAGTTGACTGCAGAATAAGTGATTCAAGATACTAGTTTTGTGGCATTGGAATGGGATGTGTGGGGTGGAAAGCGGCACCTGCAGCTAGAGACCCATGGGAATCAAACTGCACATTATGCCTAACGATGATAATTGCATAAATTAAAAACCAGAAGGTAAAAGAAATTGCATGTTATGCTCCATGTCAAGCGTGGCTTTACATCTCCTGTTGCTTTTAAAATCGCAGCCTCTGTGTGTGCAGTTAATGGGATTGTAAAGGTAAAGGTAAAGGACCCCAGGACGGTTTCAGAGGCAACTATGGGGTTCGTCTCGCTTTCAGTCCAAGGGAGCCTGCATTCATCCACAGACAGCTTTCCAGCAGGACTAAACCACTTCTGGTGCAACAGGACACTGGGACGGAAACCAGAGTGCACTGAAACGCCATTTACCTCCCGGCCACAGTGCTACTTTTTTATCTACTTGCACTGGCATGCTTTCAAACTGCTAGGTTGGCAGGAGCTGGAACAGAGCAACGGGACCTCACTCCATTGCAGGGTGTCAGGTGTGCGTGCAGGAGCCAGGTCCTGTGACCAATAGGACTTTGCTGGACTGGGGCCTTCCTAAGTTTGTTCTGAAGAGGCAAGGTGCGGCTTCACAGGTGAGGCTGACTGGTAACTCACAGCACCTGGTGGCAACAGCTGGGAAGGGGTATAAGGTCAGCATTTCCCTTTGGCTCTTGGCCACAGCAACATGCTTCCTGTCTTAGGCTTCTTGCTTCCTGATCCTTGAACCTCGGCTTGTTGACTCCCTGCTTCTTGATCCTCGGACCCCTGACTTCGTGACTCCTTGCTTCCTGACCCTCGGACCCTCGGCTTCCTGAATCCTGGCTTCTGGAACCCCGTTCCTGCTCCCACCCCGCCATCTTGCCCCCGGTCCTGACATCCCCTGCCGAGACTTTGATCGCCCATGAACACAGGGATTCGAACCGCCAACCTTCTGAGCGCCCAAGGAAGATAGGGTTATTTTCTCACCCCTGGGCAGGCCCAGTGTTTGAAATTCCCCGGGTGCCAGGTGCACTTTGCAACCAGGTGACAGTGCCCAGCTCAAGATATTCATCTGAACTAGCCAGAGGTTCAAGTGAGAACCAACCACAGTCAGTCCAACGTTTGAAAAATAAAACGTTCGAGCCGTCTCGCCCCCAAATGGCAACAAGGCGACCGCAACCTTGGTTTAAGGGGCCATTTGGCGCCTAGCTTAGATACCTGAGTTTCTAACACTGCCAGAGAGGTGCTGTCAGTCAATATTAAGTTGGATGGATTGGGACCCTGACTTAGCATAGACAGGGTCGGATGTTGCAATATTGTGTGTTTCTAAAGCTGGCCTGAAGTCGATGTATTCAGTCTGACGCTTTCGACCGCAATGGTTCATTTGCAGCGGTTTGAGAGTTTTGAGATTTGGATCTAGTTTGAGTCTCTCCATGCCCTCCAGTGTAAAATTCATGTGCTCTTGGTCTATAGGTTTTGACTCATCCCGAAGGAAAGGCATTGTTTGTGCCAATAAATAAGAAAGGGCTGCAAGGTATCCAGGTGTGCCTTCTTCCATCTTCAGACGCCGATGATTCACACCTAGATAGTCTGCAGGTAGCTGCTGTCAGCTTCGGGCAAAGACAGTGCAACATTAAAAAAAGAGGCTGTTTGCATGTTTCTCAGTCATGCTACAAGCTCACGTTTGCAAATGAGACAAGGGTACCAGCCCGATGAATGCTGCGGGTTGAGGCTCACAGTCTTGTCTGGTAATGGGGCTTATTTTTTAATTTCATGAAACATATACACCACTTGATTTTTTAAAAAAACAAAACAAAGCAGGTTACTATAAAACTGAGAAAGATTCAAAACCGTACAATATTATTATAAATTATTATTATTACTATTATTAGCGCTCTCCTTGTGGAATGCCTTCCCATCAGATGTCAAGGAGATTAAGAGCTACACAACTTTTATAAGACATCTGAAGACAGCGCTGTACCTGGAAGTTTTTAACGTTTTATTATGTTTTTAAAATCTGCTGGAAGCTGCCCTGAGTGGTTGAGGAAAGCAAGCCAGATGGGTGGGGTATGAATATAACAACAACAACAACAACAACTTCAAAACTTACAAAAGTTAAAGTACGAAAACAGATGTTTATTTCACTGCTAGCTCTATTTCGGGAAAGTTAACCAAAACGCCCTCTAGCCAGATGTCTGACACAGAAGGCTTCCAGCATCCTTCCATCTCAAGCAACGAGGCGCTATCCTCAACCAGAGGAGGAATGAGAGGCAAGAGCCAGTGGCAACATCGGCACCAACTCTAAGGGGCCCAGATCCCTTCGCCCCCCTATAAAATATTCCCCCCCCCAATGTTGAGAACAATCGGGGGCAGAGGAGGCCAAGCGCAAAGCTGAGCAGGGTGTGGATTCAGTGACCGGTGGTTCGTCCTGCTCCTGCTGTGGAGGGGAAGGAGCGGGCCAGCTGCCCTGGGCCGGTGGCGGCTGCAGGGGAAGGATGAGGTTGACCACAGAGCCATGTATGATGCAGTGGCAGTGGCTGGTGGCTTCCTTTCCCCCTACTCCTGCTGCGGAGGGGAAGGAGAGGGGAGGAAGCAGCCCTGCGGCAGGAGGAGGAGGAGGTGGTCGTGGTGGTTGACCACTGGAGAGGAGGAGCTGCCAGCCATTGAAGCTGCTCTGTAGCCGCAGCTGCTTTCAGCTCTGCCCCTTGGCTCTTCCTAGTGTTCTTGTGCCATACACACACACATCATGTGCGTGTAATAGGGTCACATACGCCACAAAATCTTCTGCTCATGTTGGTGCCTCTGAGTGTGAAGAAGAGGCGTGGCCAGCTTGAGCCAGGGTTGGTTTGCTTTGCTTTGAGGAGTATATTGGTACATTGGTACCTCGGGTTACAGACGCTTCAGGTTACAGACTCCGCTAACCCAGAAATAGTACCTCGGGTTAAGAACTTTGCTTCAGGATGAGAACAGAAATCGCGCAGTGGCGGTGCGGTGGCAGTGGGAGGTCCCATTAGCTAAAGTGGTGCTTCAGGTTAAGAACAGTTTCAGGTTAAGAACAGACCTCTGGAACGAATTAAGTACGTAACCAGAGGTACCACTGTATATGGAAAAACACTGCTCTAAAAAGAATATGTTGATATGCGTGGATTAAGTATGTAAAGTACAATTGAGAACAATAATTAAAAATGGCTACAAGAGATTATATTATCCAAAGAATGCAATGATAGTATTTAAACTTGAGCTAAAGGAAGTTGAGTCGTGGTGGAGGAAAGTCACGGGGGTACGTAGGGTTTATGTTTTCAGTGTAGGGTGTACATGTATTTCCTTCATTTTAATTTTGTTTTAGTATTTGTTTGTTTATTTTATTTCAATGTTCTGTATCATTTATTAAGAAATTAAAAAAGAAGAAGCGGAGGTGTGGCCAGCTTGAATCAGGGTTTGTTTGGTTTGCATGCTCATCTGACGGCTCGGAGCAGTGTGCGGAAAGGCGAAAGTGTGTCATTTATTTTTCATGCAGCTGCTTCTGATGAAAGCCGTGGCAGCGTGTGCATTGTGAACTTCGAAAGCTCTGCCTTCTCCTTTAAAAGAAAGAGTAGCCGCTCCTTTGCGTCTCCTGCGCTTGTTATCTGCTGTGCAGGATAATATAGCAGCTGGCCTGTAAAGCTGAGCTAACCTTATAAAACCAAGCTAACCTTAAACCGCTCCTGCACACGGAGGGGACAATGAGGCAACAAAGGAGATACTGTAGGTCCATCCTGGGAAGGACATTCACATTGTTTCCTTCATTGCAGTGGCATTTTGATTCCACCGCAATTAAGGCAAATGGAGTTAAAATGCCATTGGAGACAGGGAAGTTAAAAAAGAATCCTGTGTTTCTAAGTTAGCAGGTGGAATTGCTGATTTCTTCCTTCCTTATGGAGTCGGTGGGAGGAGATAAGGAATCTAAACCATAAATGGTTGCTTTGTTGTTGCAGTTTCCACTGATGATGACTTTGCCCTTAAGTTTCAGTCTGCCACATTTTACATGCTAAGTTGTACAGTCGAAAAATCATACTATATATATTTTTTTTAAAAAGGGAGAGAGAGGAAAAAATTAAGAGGTCTTTCCCCATCGTTCAAAAAAATAAGCATGCGTGGAGCTGTTTGTAGATCAGATGTGCTGATTACGCCTGTGCAATTACTCTGAACCATGGGTAGGCAAACGGATCCGGCCCAGTCGCCTTCTAAATCCAGCCCGCGGAGAGTCCGGGAATCAGAGTGTTTTTACATGAGTAGAATGTGCCCTTTATTTAAAATGCATCTCTGGGTTATTAGTGGGGCATAGGAATTCGTTCATTCCTCCCCCTCAAAAAATATAGTCCAGCCCCCCACAAGATCTGGGGGACAGTTTGCTGACACCTGCGAACCTTCGCTCAGAACTCAAACCTGTTTTGTATCTTGACAGTTTCAAAGCTGACACCATCTAAATGGCTGAAGTCCCACAGAGTTTCTGGTATCCTTCCAGATTAGTCTAGTGCCTGTTCCCAGACAAAAGAAGTTCCCAAACCCAAAATGTTAGATTTTGAAATCTGCTGCTAATACAATAACAAGACCTCAGCCAGCATTTTGACTTCTATGCTCCCTATGGTTCTATTTTCATCTGTAACCATGGCCAGGTTTATTATTTATTACCATTATTATTATTATTAATTACAAGGCAGTTTACAGATAAAAAACAAGAATCACTATAAACACAGAAAATCACTATAAACACAGAAAAAACAATCATTAAAAACAATTAAACATTAACAGAATTAAAACTACATACAGATATTAAAAAGTCTTGTTTCAAACATACCAATAAGTACAATAAAAACATCACGGCGCCATTAAAAGCCGTCAGTTCTCAAAACAGTTGATCCACAGGTCATTTTAGGAAATGGGCTGCAAGTGTATTTGGACAAATGTGATTTAAGTTGCATTTACTGTGGAGATCGAACTCAGTAGGAATTACTTTTAAATAAACATTTATAGGATTATACCTTTAAGCTGCAGTCCTGAACGCTTTTTACTACATGCTAAATTCTGTTGAAGAAAGTGTCAGATTATGTAAATGTGTAGGATTATAGTGTCATTTATATTTACATTTTGCTTTTGACAGCTTTTTAATTATTCTTCCGTGCTCAGGAGCAGCCCATAAATTTCCCACCTGTGATTGCCGTGTTTGTGCAGAACAGTCACTGGGAATAAAATACCATTTGCGGAATCGGTTCTCTGGGCTTCCACCCGTGGGCACCCACCCACTGAGGTTATCACCTGTGCCCCACTTGCTGATGTCGCCCCTTGACCTGATACCGACATTTTATTTAGGCCCACAAATCTTGATTTGCCTTCCTAGCCAAGCCAGATCCTTGCGGTAGGCAAGACCCAACCTGCCTCCTGGCACGGGACATCTGCCTCTGTGCGAGATCTGGGACCATCTCCAGCCCCACATTTTGGAGTTTGGAATTATTTGCTGGATTGTCCCGACAGTGGAGCCAGGAACAACGAACAGAGGCGATTCCTGCCCTCTTCAGTCGGCAGAACGTGAGACTCTTAATCTCAGGGTTGTGGCCCCACATGGGGCGAAAGATTCTTGCATTGCAGGGGTTTGGACTAGATCAGGGCTGGCCAGCTCCCAGGAGACTCACAGAGTTAAAAACTGGCAGTGATCTACTCCCTTTTGGGGGGTTCAGGTCAAAGCTGTTGAGCTTTTATTAGGAAGGAAGGCACTGTTTTTTGAGTTTCAAGTCAAAGTTGTTGAGCTTTTGTTGGGGGCAGCCAGTGATCTATCACAGATGTCCAGTGATCTGCTGGTAGATCACGATCTACCTTTTGGACATGAATCCTTGTGGTCCCTTCGAACTCTATGATTCCAAGATTCTCCATAGGGTTATTTGGGTCCGGTAGGTGCTGAGGCACTTCAAATACCCGAATTGCAGGTCCCCGTTTCTCTCTCCAGCTTGCAGTGCATCCTATCTTGGGGAACATACATTAGGAACTGCTATTCTCCATCTTGCTGATTACTGTCTACACTAATTGGCAGCAGATCTCCAAGATTTCAGAGGTGGGTCTTTCCCAGCCCTACCTAGAGAGGCTAGGAATTGAACCAGGAAATCAGCTGCCCTGTCACTAAGCTATGTCCGCAAGCTGAGGAGGAAAGCTAAGGCTTACCATGAGCTAGTGGAATTGTTGGCTGCTGCTAAAGACTACAGCGGGTGGCACTGTGGTCCAAACCACTGAGCCTCTTGGGCTTGCCGATCAGAAGGTTGGCAGGTTGAATCCCCGTGACGGGGTGAGCTCCCGTTACTCTCTCCCAGCTTCTGCCAACCTAGCAGTTTGAAAGCACGCCAGTGCAAGTAGATAAATAGGCACCATTGCGGCGGGAAGGTAAACGGCGTTTCCGTGCACTTTGGTTTCCGTCACGGTGTCCCGTTGCGCCAGAAGCTGTTTAGTCATGCCAGCCACATGACCCGGAAAGCTGTCTGTGGACAAACGCCGACTCCCTCGGCCTGAAAGCGAGATGAGCACCGCAACCCCATAGTCGCCTTGGACTGGACCTAACCGTCCAGGGATCCTTTACCTTTTTACCTGAAAGACCACAGAAATCTGTTATGGGTTGGAACTGTTACTTTATAAACTAGCGAGCATTAGAAGGCCGCTCTTGGGAGTCAAAGTGCATTGCTTGTAACCCGTGTAGTTAATTGGAGTAAATATTATCCTTCTCCAGTATCCAGTACAGGCAGACTGGCTCCCCCATTCCATTAGGGTCAAACACCTTGCTGTCCACATAATCAATGGAATGTTCTTTTTTAAAAATAAAAACCAAACCCCAAAGCAGCAACTTAGTTTAATTAGTTCCACAAATGTAAGCTTTCCTCGCTTATTGGTTTTTGCTTTGCAGTTGACGCTCTTGGCTTGAGTTCAAGTGGTCTGCTGTGTCCCTGCCTGCTTTTAGGAAGTTGAGAGGCTCCTTTCCCCCTCGTATAACTTCAAGGAGGTGCCTTTCCAAGATCAAATCCAGAGACCTAGCTTCAGGAGGGAAGAAAAATATCTAATTAGAATGGAACACGGCTATGCACTTTAGGGCCGTACAAAAGCCCAATTAAACAACATTCTTTCTTTTATCGGGTAGGGCAGGTTGGGCTTTGGTGATGGATGTGAAAAGCAATACTTTTTTTACTTCTTTAAAAGTGTGCTGGTTTTTTTAAACCGTTTCAGGAGCAGGTAATAAGCTTTTAGGTGGTTTTTGTCTGTAGCTGAGTGAAAAAGCCATAAAGTGCCTTTCCCCCTTAAAAATCCAACCCTAAAAGGCCAATAAAGGATAGGAAAAAAATGTGAGAAATGGAGACTTGGAGCAAAGGTCTTCTCTTAATCCTTTTACATTTATGTGAGTCTGGGGTTCCCAAGCTGCTCTTTTACCAAGGTTAATTCTAAACACTCTTTTCTTTTCTATCTGGGAAGATGCTGTTCGGATGAAGCCTAGTTACCTCTCTGCCTGGCTAAATGGTACTTGGGCAATCTCAATTGTTATGTGACAGATTTCCCCACAAAGTCATCCTTCTGCTGAAGTTCAGTTTGCAGGACCCCGGAAATTGCCTGCACCAGGGACCCCCCTGCAAGACAAGCATCCTGAGCTTTTTGTGTGGCCAAAATGAAGGGATGGGGTAATGTCAAGCTCAAACCTGCCCTTGGATCGCTGCCTTTTGGCCTTTGCTGTTTGTGGACTTCCAGTTAGTTTTTCAGTAATGCAGGAAGACCAGGCAACTGAAGCATCACCCCGTCTGGTCCTCAGCCCTTGAAGACTCTGACACTACCAGGGTGGATAAAAATCAACGATTTTTTTTTAAAAAGGGGGGGAAAGGAATTTTAAAAATTTAAATCAGATTTTTAAAATAAAATGCTTTCGGAGGAAAAATCTTTTTAAAGATAGTTTTCTATTTAAGTTACATTAAAGTCCAAAGGCTATTCATCAGGAAATAAAGATTTGTTTTAAGTTTTTCATGTATGCTAAAACCCAGTCTAAGTTTTTAAAAACAAAACAAAACAAACATTTAACCACACCAGTTAACAAACATGGATACATATGCTATAATGTTATTCCTTTAGTTAAATAAATGGTTTAAATTGTTATTAAGGAAATGATTGTTTTTCGCCTTCCAATAAAGTACAGAGGAAAAGTTGTCCAAATATAAACAGTTAACTTATTAAACCTCACAATCATTTCATAATTACCTGTCTATGTATTTCTAATAGTACAGTGGTACCTTGGGTTACATACGCTTCAGGTTACAGACTCCGCTAACCCAGAAATATTACCTCGGGTTAAGAACTTTGCTTCAGGATGAGAACAGAAATCGTGCTCCGGCGGCACGGCAGCAGCAGGAGGCCCCATTAGCTAAAGTGGTGCTTCAGGTTAAGAACAGTTTCAGGTTAAGAACGGACCTCCAGAACTAATTAAGTACTTAACCCGAGGTACCACTGTATAACCAAATCAGTAATTTTTTATATAACTGTTAAAACTACTCCGAACATTTATTATTCCAAAAATGAAACCTTCCTCTGGTTGTAAATATTAAGATTATACCAGCAAGAATGAGTCTTTCTGCAAAAAAAGATGATTTAAATCAAGTCTTACTGACTAGTTGTGTTTTAATTGTGATTTAAATTGATTTGATTTAAATCAAATCCACCCTGGACACTACATGATATGGGAAGCTCGGTCCAAGTTGCCAGGCCCCACTTTCCTTAATCTCTTGTAAGTTCTTGAAGATGGTTCTATGTAACCAGGGCTTTTTTTCAGCCAGAACTCACCTCTCAGGTGGGCACCATTGCCATGCTAAGAGAACGAGGGAGGTGTTCATCGTGAGTTCCTGCGCCTATTTTTCTAGGAAAAATAGCACTGTGCGTAACAAACTAGAAGTGGTGACCAGCCCTTTGTTTTAGACCACCCGAAGCTTTGGAAATGCTTAACATCACTACAAGAAAAAGGACCTGCGATAATTTTCATTCACGCTCCTGAAAACTGCTGCACTTTATGGATTTGTTTGAATTACAAAATAAAACCAGTTTCATAATAATAATAATAATAATAATAATAATAATTTATTATTTGTACCTCGCCCATCTGGCTGGGTTTCCCCAGCCACTCTGGACGGCTTCCATAGAAACAAAAAATACAGTAAAATATCACAGATTAAAAGCTTCCCTGAACAGGGCTGCCTTCAGATGTCTTCTAAATGTCAGGTAGTTACTTATCGCTTTGACATCTGATGGGAGGGCGTTCCACAGGGCGGGCGCCACTACCGAGAAGGCCCTCTGCCTGGTTCCCTGTAGCTTTGCTTCTCGCAATGAGGGAACCGCCAGAAGGCCCTCGGCACTGGACCTCAGCGTCCGGGCAGAACGATGGGGGTGGAGACGCTCCTTCAGGTATACCGGGCCGAGGCCATTTAGGGCTTTAAAGGTCAACACCAACACTTTGAATTGTGCTCGGAAACGTACTGGGAGCCAATGTAGGTCTTTCAAGACCGGTGTTATGTGGTCTCGGCGGCCGCCCCCAGTCACCAGTCTAGCTGCCGCATTCTGGATTATTTGTAGTTTCCGGGTCACCTTCAAAGGTAGCCCCACGTAGAGCGCATTGCAGTAGTCCAAGCGGGAGATAACTAGAGCATGCACCACTCTGGCGAGACAGTCCGCGGGCAGGTAGGGTCTCAGCCTGCGTACCAGGTGGAGTTGGTAGACAGCTGCCCTGGATACAGAATTGACCTGCGCCTCCATGGACAGCTGTGAGTCCAAAATGACTCCCAGGCTGCGCACCTGGTCCTTCAGGGGCACAGTTACCCTATTCAGGACCAGGGAGTCCTCCACACCAGCCCGCCCCCTGTCCCCCAAAAACAATACTTCTGTCTTGTCAGGATTCAACTTCAATCCATTAGCCGCCATCCATCCTCCAACCGCCTCCAGGCACTCCCAAGCAGTTTCACCTTGTGGTTCCTTGTCTCCCTCAAAAGTTGGGTCCGTAGGCCCACAGGGAAGGTTTCACAGAAATCTTTGTGGCATGGTGAGCATTGTAGAATTCTGAGCACTCTCATGAAACTTCACCCCCCTAAGGTTTGAAGTTTGTATTGTAGTTCTCAGGATGCAAAACAGGGAGTTTGTTTTCTCATCTCATCCAGGGAAGCAGTTTTCCTCTTCAGGGACAAAAATGGTGGTAGAAGATACTTGACACTAGGGCTGGGGCGATAAACTGGTTTTCAGCATCATGATATATCACCAGCTAAACATTGCGATATATCACGAAATATATATGAAATAAGGATGTAGCTACGTAGAAGCGAATGGGGTGGTGTCCTGGCAACTGTTACTGCTTAGGGGTCTAAAACTGATCTATTTTTACTTACCTTTAACATATTGTTACAACTGTTATTTTATAGTACAGAGTGCCAGGGGGCAGCAGGAATCACCAGAGAAGCGATGGATGGCTTCATGGTTTTTGCATGTCGGGGACCCCAAGCCACCCCCAAATAAATTCACAGTTCACACCATAATTTTTGTTTAAGGTTTTTGGCATAATTTTGGCCACAACTTTATTAATATACAAAGTGAGTGGTTGCTTAGGTATTGGTTACGACTGTCTGTCTCCGCCCAGGGACAGAACTGACATCCGCAATACTGTGAAGTCCGTAAGGGAAAACATTTTAAGGGGAGTAAATGGAGCTGGGTACCAGACCCTCACCTTCCCCAAATGCTCCCAGGGGCTCTTGCGTGGCCCTAGCCCCTTGACAGGGGTGCGGACAAAAGCATGGTGAGCCCCTGGATTCCTTAATTATTTTTTTTTTAAATGATATTTATTAAAAGTTTAACAATTACAAAAAAGAGGAAAAAAGAGAGAAAAAAGAGACAATAAAGAGTTACAATACATCAAAAAAAATAAAAAGCAGAATAAAAAAACAATACAGCACAACAATAAAAAGAAAAACAAAACAAAACAAAAACATTTAAAAACCAAAAACATTTAAAAACACATCCAGTATTTCCATGTCTTTGTCTTTCATTTACTTGTTTCATCGACCTCCTCACACCTCCCTTTTTGTATTCTAATTCAATTTAGCTATTTCAGCAAATCCTTTCCATCTTTCTCAATTTTTGTTCTATAAATTACCTTAACCCAATCTGACCTTAGATTTTACACTTTGGCCCATTAACAATCCATTACCTTATCTTACCATATAAAGCCCTAAAGCTTAAAACTTAAAACTTATTTATACATAATTCCTTAAAGCATTTCTACTAAAGCCAAATAGTTTCATTCCAACATTTTTTCTAACACTCATTAATTTTACAATAATTCTCTAAATGAATTTTTAAACTTTCTTCCAATCTTCATCCATCGTCTCTTCTTCCTGGTCTCGGGTTTTGTCAGTCCTTTCTATCCCTTCCATCTAGTCCATCAACCTGGTGACCTTCTATCCGAGGCTCTTAAGTCTTTTCCATGTCCCTTCTGCAGGTCTTCTTCATGTTTATACCTGCACTTTACTTTGTCTTCTGCTGATCTTATTCTTAATTTCCTTCCTTTCTCACTGAGGGGTAGATCTCGGGGAGACTCCAACTTGACAATATCTTTATCCCTTCTTGACAGGTCAGCCCATTCTCCATAGTCAGCACTAAAATCCAAAAGATATTTGAAGGCATGTTTCAAAGTCCCTCCAAGGTTAAGGGCCCCCACAACTCCAAACTCCCCCTGGCCCAAAACCAAATCCCAAAAGTCAAAACATCCCTGCATAGGGGGATCTATCTGACTTCCCATCTCCAAACCAAACAGTACTCCATCTCTCCAAATCTGACTTTCTCCAGGTTCAGTCGTCAAAAACAACAACTTATGTTCCTGCAGGGCCACGACTCTCTCCATTTCTATTACTTGAGGTTCAGCAACAACCTCCTCCTTTGTCTTCCCCTGCCCCTGGATTCCTTTAACGGAATACCCTGGCAGCAACAACATTGTAGGGGCAGGCACAGCCAATCCATACCCCTCCACCAACCAATTTTTCTATAAACCAATGCCTAACCACAACCTTACAAGTTGTGATGATATGCTATGCAGTAGGCAAAAACCAAATGGCACCAGCCAATCAGCCAAATGGACAAAATTCCTACCAGGCCCCTGCTCCAAAAGCAGACTACCCCATGACAGGCGTAGAGAAGGTCAAGCGCAACAAACTTCCCAAAATTAAGGGAGGGTGGGCGGGTGATCCGATGCACAAAGCGAAAAAGAGAACGCTCAACACTGCGTGCAGGGAATATATTTCAACCCAAGCTGTCAATCAATAATAGCAACATCACACTCTCCCCAGCAACCCAAGGAGTCCAATCACACAGTGGGCCAACCAAACCAACATGCCCAGCAGTGGGGTGTGTCTGGTTAATCCCACCGCAACCCATGCACTCCATGAAGGAGAACACGCTTTCCCATATCACAATTTTTTATTTTTTATTTTTACATAGCACATGCACACATTGTGATTTCGTGATATATCACCATGTCGGATATTATGAAACCATTATCATGAAGGTGGACTTCAAACCGATTTTGGACGATGTAAGCCCTACTTAACAATACTTTTGACTCTCTGCCATTTGTATGACTTACGCTTTAAGTAAATACATATATAACACAAAAGACACTCAGATTTCGTGTCAATAGAATTTAAGTTCTGTACTGTTTACAAAATGTGCACATTATCTGAACTTTTCTGTGTGCCCTTGCCTTGTGTAATTTATTCCCTTTGGAATAAATTAATGGGCAACTTCCCTTCACCCCCCTCAGCCGAGAGAAGGCTTGGATCCTGCAGCCATTTCATGCATTTTTCAGGTTCGCCTTCATAAGTGCTGCACTTAAAACATGCGCGCGCGCACACAAATGTCTTATTTGGATTTCTGTATTGATTTGGAGCACTATTTCCACACCCATATGCCACAATCACAACATTTATTATTATGCTCTTGCAGACAAGAGATTAATCCCTGGCTTCCATCCTTCCTCGTGCAGATGACTGGTGATTTTTAGATAACTGTCCAAACCATGGCCAGGTCAGCAAATGGCTAATGGCATAAAGCAGGCTAGTAAAATTTAGATGCACCAAACTGATAGCCTAATTTATAGAGGCTCAGCTTCCTTGAATAGATGTGGCCTCTGTTGCAGACTGCATGTGCACCGTTTATTGGCAATATCGTTTGCAAAGCCATGGCTGTTTCCCTCTGGATCTAGCCCAATTGTTGCAAAATCTGTTTGGGACTATCGAGGAGACAAGGGAACGCAGTATAACCCAATAGCATGTTCGCCATAACAAAACCATCTCCCAAATACAGCGTCCTAATTCGAAGCAGCAAATTCGTTTGGCAACAAGTTTACTAGCATGCCAATATTCAGATATGATCCTCGTTAATCGTACCCACAGGCGTCATTTTCCCCCTTGCGGTTGATGTAGACATTGGCAGGAACAGTGCCAGCAGCCATTAACCACTGTCTGGGCTTGTTGGCAATATCAGATAGGCCGGTAGAGATGGTGGCTGGATCAAGTTTTGGCGAAGGCAAGTAAGAAGCAACATTTATAAAATTAATAAAATTATTAAAAAGTTTTTCTCCCTCCCTCACTAATGTATAACTCATGGACAGCTAGTAAACTGCTCTGTGTAAGGAACAGTGGAATAATATTAATCAAGACGAGGATGAGGTTTTTCCAGTCCAGTTATTGAGCCAAAAGACCTAGAAATTTGACTCGGAAGTTTCATTTCCATTCACTTCCTTTATATTAAATTATAAAGGCTACTCAGGAGTGCAAAAGGGCTTTCAAAAACCAATGTAAAGTATAACAACACACACACACTAAAAATGCTATGAAATGAGAGTAACGCATGCTATTAAAAACGGCGTTTTATATTTTAGGGAGTTGCACCCAGTCTTTCAATAAAATTCCCAGGATGGCTTACAAAATTTAAAAGCACAATAAAACAAATGTAAAACATTCAAATTAACACTAATAATAATAATATTGGAGACCAGTTCCCCCAGATTTCCGATGGTAACTAGCAATCTTGAAGGTCAGGTGTGTGTTTTTTCCCCAGATGGCTTGGAAAAGCAAATGAAATCCTTGCACTGGGTTCTGGAGAATGTGGACTTCTTAACCAATGCCAGGTTGTTCTGGTTTTTTAGAAGCTGCTGAAGAGTCCAGCCTTTTTACTGGAAGTGCTTAGTTTAGAATTGCTTCCAGCTAATTATTGTACTTAAGGGATCGTGTCAGCAGCTGCTGCCGCTTTTTCTGGGATTGTAGCGTTCGGCTTCTTCATAGACTCATCACCATTTTATAATGTTCTTGTTGCATACAAACCCTCCTTTCTGATTACGAAGCAAGTTGTGTGTGTGTCTTTTGTGTCACCCATGCTTCCGGGCATCCTTGTTAAAGCCTGCTGCACAATGTACTGTTTTTAATGATCCGAGATAAGCTTCCACTTAAGACATGCCAGGATTTTTAGATTAGTGCAGGAACAGCAGGAATAGGCAGTTGTTTTGGGAGGAACACAATTGCTGAAAGCTGCTTTCAGATAACAGCCCCTTAACATGCCCTGGGGATTTTTAAAACCATTTAAAAATCCACCTGTGGATAAAATAGCCCATTGCAAATATTTCCACGTTGGACCTCAGCTGTGGGGAATCTTCGAGGGCCGAGATGGGGGAACCTTTGGCCCTTGAGATGCCAATGCATAATAATTATCATCCTGCCTGAGCTGAGTGTGGCCTCAAAGCATGCCCACCTGTGCCTGTTCATTGTGAGGAGAGATCAACGGTGGTGGACTGGGCAATATGCCGATATATCACGATGTCTGAAAGAAGGATGGAGCTACATAGAAGCATTGACTGGCTTCACGGTTTTTCCCACATTGCAGTTTTTGCATAGTGCTCCCTCCCTCCCCCCCCTCGTGTGTGTGTGTGTGTGTGTGTGTGAGAGAGAGAGAGAGAGAGAGAGAGGATTCACAGTGCAGTGGTACCTCGGGTTACAAACACCTCTAACCCGGAAGTAGTTGCTCCGGGTTGCGAACTTTGCCCCAGGAAATCGCGGCATGGTGGCCACGGGAGGCCCCCATTAGCGAAAGCGCGCCTCAGGTTAAGAACGGTTTCGGGTTAAGAACAGACCTCCGGAACAAATTAAGTTCGTAACCAGAGGTACCGTCAAAAATTATGAAACTGATATGATATGGACTTCAAAATGGTTTTGGACAATATATTGCTATACCCAGTGCTTTTTCTTCCTTAAAAAAAGTGTTTAGGGGTACTCAAGAAAACTGCCATTTTATAGTTCAAATTGGGAAAAATAAATACAGTAAATGGACAAAAGTGCAAAGATTCACAAAATGTTTACGGGTATGCGTACCCCCAGAAATTTGTTCACTGAAGATGCTTTTAAGAATACTAGCGTTCCTTGTATGCAGGTATCAGGCGAAGAACTTGGAAGAATGGCACATGCAGAAAATAAGACAAGGATTCCAGGATAATTGTGTCTCCTGATCAATCTGCTGGATTTTAATTTCTCATAATACGTTTCGTTTATATGATAAGTTGGTCTATAGAACCATATATTTTTATACGATCTGTTGAATCGCATTTAAAAAGAATTTACTTAGTTACAAACAGCTTGTTACGTTGCATGTGTTGCTGTCCCTGGATTAGGCAAGGCTTCTCGCTTGGTATCGGTGTCGACATGCGATAGCGTTCTGGAAACCAAACCCATGTCACAGTTTAAGAAGATGACAACTTGAATGCTTCCTTCGGTATTTTTCATGCCCCGGTGGTGTGAAACTGCTTCATTTCATCTTCCCATTAATGGGAGAATTAGTGCGATGAAGCTGGCAGAGGGATGTGGTGGAGCAAAACCAAGCAGGTAGGGTTACTTATTACCCAGTGGCGATCTTGTGTTGAAATCTCCTTGCTCGTTTGTCGATATTGTTCTGGGCCTATCACAGCAGCCCAGAACCAGGAAATCCTATCTGTGCGACTCAAGGCCTGGTATCCAAGAGTTGTTTCCAACCTCTCCACCTCTCGGATTTCTCGTTTCGGGAAAGTCTTCCTAGATCTAAGTCTCGTGCAGTTGTATTGCCTCTGTGTATGCACAGGCTAACGGCAATTGTGTTATTTGAGGCACATTGCAAGTTTGCAACTGAGAGTAGCACTGTGCCGATTTCAGGACCGGGGAAAAGAGCTGTCTGCTGGGGTAGAGAGCTTATGGTTGCCATTTCTGGGAATTTTTTCCCCATGCTGTCATAAATACGTTACCTGCCCCTGTGTGAGGAGTCCCAGCGTGCAGAGTCTTGCACATGGAAGTGTGGGAGTTGGGGAACAGCATAAGCGCCAAGCGACGTGATCGAGTGAGTCGGAGAGCCATGGAGGATCGTGTGATTTGCGTGTGTTAAAAGAAAAAGGAGGTATGGACTAATCCAGACACAAATTGAGTAGATCTTGCCAAGTGCTGATTGCAGAGGATAAAAAGGAGGATGTGGCTGATAAATAAGCTATATAACTGAATCATCCTCTAAGTTATTAGTCACATACTCTGGAATGTGGTGATAAACAAGGATGAAAGGAATTGGTTTGTGTGAGATCAGGTATTCTAAGTCTGTTTTCTTGTAGAGGTTTCTTTGATTGTGGGTTTCTTTAGGGGGGTTATTGGAACTTGAATGGGCTTTTCTTTCTTTTTTTAATTAATCTGTATTTGAGCGGACTACACTGTTTCATTATAAGGATTTAAGAGTCTGTGATTCTAAACACACAGATGTACCATCTGGGAAGGCAAGCAACCAAAAGTAGCCCAGCTCCATATTGGAATGCCAAATTATATTACCATGCTGGTGAAATCCAGGTTTCACAAAGCATGGGGCTTCGAAATGACTGTAATAATTTTTTTTAGAAGCTCAGAATAGATGACTTTGGTTGGTAGAGTAAAAAGGTAGTGAATTGGCGAGGCCTGTTTTTTAATTGGCAAAGGTAAATGTTGCTCAGCCATGCTGAGTAACGTTTTGGAGGCTGTTCTCAGTGCCGGCCCTATCTTTAGGCAGGGTGAAGCAACTGCCCGCAAACCAGTTGCTCCTCCTCAGTTCCCTGAGCAAACCCGTCTGCTGGAGAACGAAGCTGTTTGTGTCGCAGTTCTTGTCCTGCATCTCTGTACCGACCTTTCTGCTTTCATCAGGGGCATCTGAGGACATCATACTGTTCCCAGTGCTGAAGGAAAAGTCATCTGTCATTTGGCTTCTGCATATGGATTTGTAGCAGGAAGGAGAGCATCTTGGGGCCCATCCTGGCTATTCTGGTTCTGGCTTGATAACTATAACCACAACAGACAGTTGAAGAGAAAGTATTTCTTTTCAACAATACTGTTAAGGTATAACTTAACTTTACACTCCCTTGCGCCCTCTTTCCCACGCCAGACGACCTCCTTTTACAAGCCCGCTTGTTCAGATTAAATTTGCATTGTGTCAGATTCCTCCGGAAACCTCTCACACACAAAAAAAGGTATTGTGTCAAGGCGGGTTAGGGACTGCCAAATCTGATGCCGTGTTTTACATCCGTGTTGTGGGAAGTGGATATATTTAGATTATTTTCTCCCAACTTAATAGTAGGTTACTCCGGCAAAAATGACAAGTCTGTACACAACTAAATTGTAGGTTAGCGCTCCGAAGTGGGTTTTGGGAGAATTTCGTTGGGGAACGGACGTTGAGCAAACTTGTATCGGAGACTGGATTCATGGCACAGTCTCTTTCTGTGCCCTCCTTCCAAACATTACAGGTCATGGGGTTCATCAGCACTTGAGAAACATTCCCTCACTGCAATGATGGTCGCTAGGATTTGAGACGAACCCTATCCCCGTGGGAACTGCTGGGAAGCTCGTTTTTTGTGTGTGTGAAGTACAGGATTACTGCAGCCAACACCTCGTGCCAATTATGACACCACAGCCCCTCAAGAGTAACCCAGCCGTGGAGGACAGAAAGTATTTTAAGATACTCCCTCAGGGGAACCAGCGCTGTTCTCAATCCAGACTCAAGCTGTAAAAGCTTAAGAGGGATTCCTTTGAACTCTGAGATGCTGTTTCTCTTTGACAAAAGCTGTCAGAGGAAGCGTTGAACCAGCGGAACGTTGCTTTCTGCACTTCCTCTCTCAAAGTTTCTTTAATGAGCGCTGCGTATATATAGCAGATTTGCAGCACCTCCAGCTTAAAAAGAATGATTTCGAGGCGGGATTTTACCGCATGCCAGCAAATCCAGGTTGTGCAATCCGAGCAGATTTGGAGCTTTTGCCCGACAAATCTAGTCCCCCAAAATATCAATTTTCCGATAGGGAAATTGGCAGGAACGTGCAGTGGAAAGTGTGGGATAATGGTTTGACAGAATGCTGTTCCTTGCCTTGACCTGCTCTCCTCCTCCTTCAGTCATACAAAGCGCTCAGATCGGTGCGTCGCAAATAGTTTGAGTAACACAGCTAGCACAACCCTTCCGAGATGTCTGTGTTGCCCACACTTGCCTATTGGCTGGCTGCTTCCTTTTTTTATTGGCTCCGGAGCCCCCTACCCACCCCAAATGCCCACCTCTTGCTGTTTCTGATTGGTAAAACCATCCCACTTTCTGGTCAGCTGTGCAGTGCTTATTATATGTTGTATATGCCATTGTGGTGCCTTCCATCTGCATTTTCTAAAACTTCAAAGCTAGGAGAAACCTTCTATCTCATCTGGTTTTAAATGAGAGGCAAAGTGGGCTATGAACAAAGGGTTAAGAAGCAAACATTACTTTGGCAAGAAATTCTTATCTGTCAAGGAGTGGGGGCTGTTGTTGGCTGAATTCTTGAATGTCTCATCTGTTCTGCCCCTCTTAATGGAAGGTTGAACGAGGCTTAAACATCTAGCACAAAAGGTCTTAATTTATCCCTCTTGAAACTGACTCAAGCTCATTCGCCAAGCAATACACGTGCCACCACAATAGCAGTCTTTTATTGCCCGAGGAAGGAGGTGCCAGGTCGTACATGGTTTGTTTGAATAATGGCATATATTGTTTTACAGTCTGTGCAGCTTGGCATAATTGTTGCTCCTGTCCCTCTCTAGCATGTTCACTATGTGCTTCTGAATCTCCAGTGATGGTAGAGGAAAGGTTACAGTGGTATCTTGCTTTAAGAACAGCTTAGTTTACGAACAACTTGGATTAAGAACATTGCAAACCTGGAAGTAGGTGCTTTGGTTTGTGAACTTTGCCTTCGTTTAAGAACATGTTTCGCTTCCTGTTGAGTGTGTTCCATTTGTAAATGGAGTCCCCCGCTGCTATGGGAAAGCGCGCCTTGGTTTAAGAATGCTTTGGTTTAAGAACGGACTTCCAGAATGGATTAAGTTCGTAAACCAAGGTACCACTGTACATAATAAAAACAAGAACACAAACACATTCAAATGGATGTTAAATCAGCCAAACGCATTCAAATAGGATGCTAATCAGCCCAAGGCATGGTTGCAGAGAAACATTTCCACCTAGCGCCTTACGCTATATAATGAAGGCACCAGGCGGACTTCCCTAGGGAGAGCATTCCACAAATGGGGAGCCACCACAGAAAAGGCCCCGTTCTTCTGTTGCTACCCTCCAGACCTTTCATGGAGGAGACGCACGAAGAAGGACCTCAGAGGATGGTTTCAGGGCCTAGGTAGGTTCATATGTGGAGAGGCAGGCCTTGAGGCATTGCGGTCCTGAGCCGCTTAAGGCTTTACAGGTCAGAAGCAGCACTTTTGAACTGGGCCCCAAAACTAATTGGCAGCCAGTGCAGTCGAGCCAGGATTGGCGTTACATGCTCAAACTGCCTTGCCCCGGTGAGCAACCTGGCCACTGAATTCTGCACCAACTTAAGTGTCCGAATCATCTTCAGAGGCAGCCCCACATATAACACATTGCAGTAATCTAACCTATGGGTTACCAGAACATAGACAACAATAGCTAGGCTATCCCTGTCCAGATAGGGGAGAAGCTGGGCCGTCAGGACCACTCCGTTGAGCCTCAGGCATGGACTTGCTGCAGACCTTGGCCACCATCTGAGAGACATTGAAACAAAGCTGGCATGCAAAGAAGGAAGAGGTGACTGATACCAACATCATTAGGTCCTGTAGGCTGGCAGTAAGGTTCTGCATAGATCAGGAGCAGTGTTTGTGCTGGAACAGTGCAAGAATTCTTGGCATCTTAGAGAGGCGGGAACATGCAAACCCCACAACTTTTCCTGACCGCACTGAGATAGTTGGAAGCAGTTGCAAAGGATCCTGATAAAGGACCATAAATCTGTGGCACCATTTTCCTTGGCAAGGAGCTGGTGAAACTGTTTTGACCCAATGGTTTTGGTGATGTTGGCACACACAAAAACCCAGTCGAATGCCCTTCGTTATATTCCCTTTCTCCTCTCTCGTTATGTTAATTGATTGCAGACTTTAGCTTGCAGCCAAATACATTTCCCAAGTTTGAGGAATTATCTGGGGAACAATCTCAGGGGAAACTGTTGGACCCTAAGTTTGCACAGAGGAAGGCGGAGCGGGGCATTCATGGCATTTTCAGAAGAAAGGCGTTGTTTCTGTGTTGCTTCCTGAGTTGAAAACTTGATCGCAGATGACTGCAGAAAGCATTGGGAATGATCTCAGAGGTTTTGGTTCACCACAGAATCCCATGAAAGTCAGATGATCATGGACTTTTAAAAATACTTTTCTACACAAGGAGGAAAGAGAGGAGGGACGCAGTTTTCTAACTGAATGGTTCTCATGTGCCTTTTCCACAGCTGTTGTTTTGATAAAAGCAGTTGAGATCTTTCCAGCCCAACAATTTTGCAGTCCTCAGAAGTTTATCAGAGTTTCTTGGTGACCAGATGGGTAACAGTAGGGAACCTTTTTATCGAAATACAGCTTTCCCCTAAAACACATCGTTATAGTGTTGAATATGTACCGTATTTTTTGCTCTATAAGACGCACTTTTTCCCTCCTAAAAAGTAAGGGGAAGTGTGTACGCGTCTTATGGGGCGAATTTAGGCTGTGCGGCTATCCCAGAAGCCAGAACAGCAAGAGGGTATCCCAGAAGCCAGATCCCTCTTGCTGTTCTGGCTTCTGGGATTCAGAATATTTTTTTTCTTGTTTTCCTCCTCCAAAAACTAGGTGCGTCCTATGGTCTGGTGCGTCTTATAGAGCGAAAAATACGGTACTTTGAGTATGCAAAGCAGTGACCCAACAGCCCTGCCACACGAACTGATTTAGAAGAGAACATGGAACATGTTGGAAGTCTTTAAGTCTAGGCAAATCACAAACTAGGAAGCAGTGAGTGGACAAGCCAGGAAGTTGAATGAAACCGGCTGCTGCTAGTTTGCAGTTTCTCCCTTTCAGTGCTCTTGACACTCCTCAGCAGACCATCCCCTGTTGCTATGGGTGAAATCTCCAAATCATACCTGCATCAAAACCAAAATTGCTATATGTGCAAGGCTCTGAAGTTGCAAAGACGCCTCTCTTGCACCACCACCTGAAATGAAAACGAAAACTTAACGTTGGTGGCAGTTGATAGGCTAGCAGTCACTACGGGGCCATTCCTGTGACATAATGAGATACTGATTAGCAGTCCTTACTGTGTTTAATGTGTCAGGATGCATTGGAAAAGGGAGACACTGTAATTTCTGGCTTATTTTTATTGTCCTTATTTCTATAGCTGTTTTCCAGTCTGTAAACGGGCAGTATAACAGAGTCAGCCTCTTGTCTCTCCATTTCTTAATTGTACTCAGGGTGGATAAAAATCAATGTGATTTTTTTTATTTATTTAAATCAGATTTTTTAAAAATTTAAATCGGGGGTTTTTTTATCTAAATCAGATTTTTTAAATAAAATGCTTTTGGAGGAAAAATCTTTCTAAAGATAGTTTTCTGTTTAAGTTACATTATAGTCCAAAGGCTGTTCATCAGGAAATAAGGATTTGTTTTAAGTTTTTCCTGTGTGCTAAAACTCAGTCTAAGTTTTTTTAAAAAACAAACAAACGTTTAACCACATCAGTTAACAAACATGGATACATATGCTATAATATTACTGCTTTAGTTAAATAAATTGTTTAAATTGTTATTAAGGAAATGATTATTTTTCTCCTTCCAATAAAGTACAGCAGAAAAGTTGTCCAAATATAAACAGTTATTAAACCTCTCAATCATTTCATAATTATCTGTCTATGCATTTCTAATAGTATAACCAAATCAGTAGTTTTTGATATAACTGTTAAAACTACTCTGAACATTTATTATTATTCCAAAAATGAAACCTTCCTCTGGTTGTAAATATTAAGATTATACCAGCAAGAATGAGTCTTTCTTTTTTTTTTAAAAAAAAGATTTAAATCAAGTCTTACTAACTAATGATTTAAATCAAGTCTTGCTGACTCGTAATTTAAATCGATTTCATTTAAATCAAATCCACCCTGATTGTACCTGTTGATATGCAAGCCACCTTTGGGCATCCTTGGGATGCAGTGAGGTAGCATATATGGGACAGAAATTCCAGCAGCCCTCAAGTAGTAAAGGTAATGGGACCCCTGACCATTAGGTCCAGGCGTGACCGACTCTGGGGTTGCGGCGCTTATCTCGCTTTATTGGCCGAGGGAGCCGGTGTACAGCTTCTGCGTCATGTGACCAGCATGACTAAGCTGCTTCTGGCGAACCAGAGCAGCACACGGAAACGCCGTTTACCTTCCCGCTGGAGCGGTACCTATTTATCTACTTGCACTTTGACGTGCTTTTGAACTGCGAAGTTGGCAGGAGCAGGGACCGAGCAATGGGAGCTCACCCTGTTGCGGGGATTTGAACCGCCAACCTTCTGATTGGCAAGTCCTAGGCTCTGTGGTTTAACCCACAATGCCACCCGCGTATATGGGACGAAAATACCGGCAGCCCTCAAGTAGAGCTCAGTTTAATTGAAAGGGGTGTGGGAAGAAGAGACTGAAGCTTGTCTGGCTATCTGAAGTGGCTTCTTGATATGGGTGTAACTCTGCATAAACCTATTAAGTAACACTTTTACCCCGGTAGACTTGCAGGTAAAGGTAAAAGCAAACAAAAAGCAAACGAGTGGATGCCAAATTTACCACCAACTTGCAGATTTTATTCATTCACGTTTTGTCTCTGAACTTTCAGGACCATGAAGTCTCCCGGGAGAACTTTCAGCAGGAAGAGCTAGTGGACCAAAGGACCTCCTGCCGCTGTTGAAACCCACTTTTACCTTGGATATACCAGAGTATTCTAGTGCCTGATTGTTTGCTATAAGGAAACTTGAAGACTGTAAGACATGTCCATTGCACTCAAACAAGTTTTTAACAAGGACAAGACGTTCCGCCCCAAACGGAAATTTGAACCCGGGACCCAAAGATTTGAGCTCCACAAACGAGCGCAGGCCTCGCTGAACTCTGGGGTGGACCTGAAAGCAGCTGTGCAGTTGCCTGGTGGAGAAGATCTGAATGACTGGGTAGCAGTTCACGTGGTGGACTTTTTCAACAGGATCAACTTGATCTATGGAACTATCTGTGAGTTCTGTACGGAGAGGACCTGCCCTGTGATGTCGGGGGGCCCAAAATATGAATATCGGTGGCAGGACGATCTGAAGTACAAGAAACCTACGGCATTGCCAGCACCCCAGTATATGAATCTTTTGATGGACTGGATTGAGGTGCAAATCAACAACGAGGACATATTCCCTACTAGTGTAGGTAAGTTTACACTTGTGTCTTAAGAATCGCATGCCGCACAAGAGGTTCCTCTTAAGACTTGTTGGGTATGGTGTTTGGCTCAACCATCGGCCTACTCTTCAAAATCCCTCGCACATCCCTTATTTGAATCTCCGTTGGGTTTCCAAGTCTCCCCACACCATGCAAAGCCCACACAGCGGTGCTCTTTTCAGTCGGCAATTTGGAGGTTGGAACAAAAACCGTGTGGTGGGGTTTGCAAGGCCTAAAGAAGCATGGAAAGCCGGCTTTGAAGGAGAGGCATGTGAGGGATTTCGATGGTTTTTGGGGGGGCAACACACCTGTTGGTCATGTGATGTCACTGTGACACCACATGAGCGACAGATGGGTTGCCTGAAGTCCTGTCACAGTGGTCTGCAGGGTTCCAAAAAGCTGGTGTAAGGTCTTGGTGTCAGGTGTGCGTGCAGCAGCCAGGCCCTGTGACTAATAGGACTCTGCAGGACTGGGGCCTTCCTAAGTTTTTTCTGAAGAGGGAAGGCGCTGCCCCACAGGTGAGGCCGATTGGTAACTCACAGCACCTGGTGGCAAGAGCTGGAAAGGGATATAAGGTCAGCATTTCCCTTCGGCTCTTTGCCACAGCAACACGCTTCCTGCCTTAGGCTTCTTGCTTCCTGATCCTTGAACCTAAGCTCCTTGACTCCCTGCTTCTTGATCCTTGGACCCCTGACTTCATGCCTCTTTGCTTCCTGACCCTTGGACCCTTGGCTTCTTGATTCCTGGCTTCTGGACCCCCATTCCTGCTCCCAGCCCGCCATCTTGCCCCCAGTCCTGACGTCCCCTGCCAGGACTTCGATCGCCCGTGAACTGGACCATGACACTTGGTTGATAAAGAGGTATGGAGAACTTGAATGTTTGCCATGCTTTGGGGGACATTTTGATTTGTCACAATACAGTTGTACCTCGGAAGTCGAACAGAATCCATTCTGGAAGTCCCTTCGACTTCCAAAAAGTTTGGAAACCGAAGCGCGGCTTCAGATTGGCTGCAGGAAGCTCCTGCAGCCAATCAGAAGCCACGGAAGCCCTGTTGGACGTTAAGGTTCCAAAAATAGTTCGCAATCCGGAACAGTCACTTCCGGGTTTGCTGCTTTTGGGAGCCAAAAACATTTGAGAACTAAGTTGTTCGAAAACCAAGGTACAACTGTATAAGTGTTGTCCAACTCTGGGTTTTGGAGTTTTATGGACCAAGCTACCCTTCCTTTGTAAGTACTTTTAAAGTTTAGTTTTGCAATGTACATGGATATACATGTGACCCTCAACTTACACTGTGGTTACATTCTGGGAATAGTGCTGAAAGCCAGTGTTAGAAATCAGCCGGGCCCTAATTTTAGACTAACGTCTGTGTAACTTGGCAAAGTGAAGAGTAACCGTACTGAGATTTATTAGAAATATATTATAGTGTGTTTGGGAGAAGGACGACTCACAGGTGGGATGTTTATGCCCTTGTGGCTTGTTGGATGGATTTGTTAGGAGACACTTGCGGACAGCAGACGCTACAAGGAAATGCCAGAAGCGTTCTATTTGTTTGGCTGAACAGGTGGAAGCTCTGTTTCCCAGTGATTGCTCTGTTTCCTTTTGTTGTGCATTGATGGGAAAGGCAACAAACTCCATTGTTATAAATTAGCCAGGCGCGTTTTGCGACTGGTACCGGTCCAATGGCGACCATTTGTGGATTTCTGGATTGCCAGGTTGGTGACTAGGGAAAGCAAACTGTCATCTGGACCTGAAAGATTTTCCTTGAAGCTTGAATATCTTTTATTTGGGATTGTTTTATTTGAGGTTTTAATGTGTTTGTAAACTGCTTTGAGATTTGTTCTTTAAAAACACAAAGCAGTATAGAAATGATATGAATAATAATGATAAATTCCACAGCCAAAAAAAGAGGTGTCTGTACATTCCATTGTGGCGACCGTAACCTGGGTTTAAGATGCCATTTGGCGATTAGATAATATATCTGAGTTTCTAACGCTACTTATGGAAGTGTCAGTGCTTCTGAAAGCAGTAGGTGTTCCACCAAACCCCATCTTATTCTCAGCAACCAAGACATCTTAGACTAACCTTCAATGCCTCCCTTTCCATGGAGGTGCAGATTGCAGCCACAGCAAAGGTGGCATTTTTCCATCTTCACCGTATTAAGCAGTTGGTCCCTTACCTTTCTTGCCCTGATCTGGCCACAGTGATCCATGCGATGGTCACCTCCTGGCTTAATTATTGTAACTCTCTACGCGGGGCTGCCCTTGAAGCTGCCCTAGAAACTCCAGCTGGTGCAGAATGCTGTGGCGAGGCTCCTCACGGGGTCCTTGCCTCGGAAGCACATTCATCCAGTGAAATACCAGCTGCACTGGCTCCCGATGGAGTACAGGGTCAGGTTTAAGGTGCTGGTTTTGACCTTTAAAGCCCTATGCAGCCTAGGACCCACATACATACGGGACCGCCTCTCCTGCTATGCCCTGCGGAGGACCTTAAGGTCCACAAATGGCAACACTTTGGAGATACTAAGTCGCAAGGTGGTTAGATTGGTCTCAACTAGGGCCAGGGCCTTTTCAGTACTGGCCCCGACTTGGTGGAACGCTCTGTCGCAAGAGACTAGGGCCCTGCGGGACTTGACATCTTTCCACAGGGCCTGCAAGACACAGCTGTTCCGTCTGGCCTTTAGTTTGGACTCAGTCTGACCCTTATGTTTCCCTCCCCTAACGGTTTTAATCTATGGGCAACTTTTAAAATGGGGCTGCATTTTAAATTGCATTTTAACCTGTATTTTAAATTGGTCGTTTTTTTGTGTATTATGTTTTTATTGTAATTTTACTGGTGTTAGCCGTCCTGAGCCTGGCTCTGGCCGGGAAGGGCAGGGTATAAATAAAATGTATTATTTATTATTATTATTATTATTAACGAACGGGGCAAAAGCCCCACGTGCTGAATGTGGGCCTATAAGGGGCAGCAGCAACTCCTCTATATGTGCCTGAACTATTTTGTAGTGAATTTCCTAGTTATTTGCCATACTTAAGATGCTCAAGATAAGCAGGTGTGCGTATCTCTACGCAAGAAGGAACATTTTCTGGAATATTATTTGCGGTCTCCATAAGCAATTGCCTGCTTCGTTTTGTTCCTAAATCCCTGTAGTGTCTTTGTGAGAGATTGATTCCTTGCTGCCCCTTTCGGAACGAGTAGCTTTAAGGAACTGTATCTTTCCCAGCCTGCTCCGTCTTGTTTCAGGACAAAAGCCAAGAACAAAGAAATCAATACATGATCTCCTGCCAGCTTCCTCTTCCCTCGAGTCTGTTTCATCTCTGAAGGCAGCAGTAATAGCTAGGGGAAGGAGTTCCTGCATCAGCCTTGGGCAAGCAGGAACAAGAGTGCCACTATTTTAAAAGACATGTCTGTAGCATGGGCCTAGCCAGGATTTATGTTTTTTGGGGGGACAGGACACCCACCTGTCATCATCCTGTCTGGCTCTGCTGAGCAGATTCGGAATGAAACATCTCAACAACAGCTGCTTTGAATTTCTTTTAACTCCCAAGTGCTCAGAAATACCTGTAAAAACCTTCCGTCATTTGAAAACTAGGAAGTTAAGTGAGCATCAGGTAGTACCTCAGTTAATGAGCATATTTTGCAAAATCACAAAGAACACGCCTTTTCCCCATCTTGGTTTTTAAAAAAATCTAAACTGAAACAAGTTTTATTGGATTTGGTGAAAACCTTTTCAGCACTTCCTTCTCAAATTCCTCCTTTTCCCCATACGTACATAGGTTCCCCCCCCCACTGTTCACTAGGTACTTCTCCACCAATTATACCTAAAAGAAAAGCTTCTGGTTTTTTCACAAACGCTACCTTCATCATTCCCCTCACCCCCAACTCATTATAAATCATTTCCCAGAAGTGATCAAGTCACTTGTTAATCATTTCTTTCTTTGGGTAAATGAAACTCCTGTTTATCTTGCCAGAGAATACTGCCGGTGTTCCTTTCACAAGCACAGCCCTGCTGTTGCAAGTGCAAAGAGCTAAAGGCTGGTGAGACTTTCAGATAATGGACTTACAGTGGTACCTTGGTTTACGAACTTAATCCGTTCCGGAAGTCCATTCTTAAACCGAAACCGTTCTTAAACTGAGGCACACTTTCCCTAATGAGGCCTCCCGCCGCCGATTCCCTTCCACCATTCAGCTTCCGTTCTTAGACCGAGATAAAATTCAGAAACCGGGACACTACTTCCGGTTTTGCGAAGTTCGTAAACCGAATCGTTTGTAAACAGGGCTGTTCTTAAACCGAGGTACCACTGTAATTCCTGATTTCACTGAGCTCAGTGCGGGGATGACCAGGAAGGTGTTGACAGGAAAGGTGCCCCTCTTGTATCCTCGAAAGGGTGTGCCTTTTTTTTTTTTAGGAAGGAGAGGGCTTGGCATGGAAATATCTGACACATGGCAACATTTTGGATGCCATAGTAGTTGCGGCCAGGGTGATGAAGCAGCAGAATCTGCCAAATTGGTCCTCAAAGTCTTATACCAAGGAAGTGGCCGTAATGTTCTCTGTGGGCCGTTGGCCTTGGGAATTACAGTGGTACCTTGGGTTACAGACGCTTCAGGTTACAGACTCCGCTAACCCGGAAATAGTACCTCGGGTTAAGAACTTTGCTTCAGGATAAGAACAGAAATTGTGTGGTAGCCGCGGGAGGTCCCATTAGCTAAAGTGGTGCTTCAGGTTAAGAAGAGTTTCAGGTTAAGAACAGACCTCCAGAACGAATTAAGTTCTTAACTCGTGGTACAACTGTATAAAATGTACAAGTTGTCACCAAATGTGCCTCATCAATCAGGGATGGGGACCTTGTGGCCAATGCGGCAACGAGACATTCCATTTTGGCTACCACATCCTTGGTTTGAGGAGCCACGGCGGCGCCTAGCTTACTGTATATCTTGAGTTTCTAACGCTTTGAAAAGGTATTAATGAGAAATGACTATTGGGAGTGGCGTGTGAGGGTTAAACCTGCCCCTGTGGCGAGCCTTGCCCAGTGGGGCATGAGAAAACAGCAGGAGTCCTTTTTGAACGTCTGGTGGGTTTCCATGTCTCCCCACACCTTGCAAAGCCCACCCAGCGGTGCTCTTTTCAATCTGCAATTTGGAGGGTGAAACAATAACCGTGTGGTGGGGTTTGAAAGGCCTCAAGAACCAGACCGATATAGTGGTACCTCGGTTTAAGAACAGTCCGGTTTAAGAACAATTTGGTTTACCAACTCCGCAAAACCTGAAATAGTGTCCCGGTTTGAAAGCTTTACCTCGGTCTAAGAATGGAAGCCGAACGGTGGAAGGGCACTGGCGGCGGGAGGCCTCATTATCATCATCATCATCATCATTTTTTATTTGTATGCCGCCTTTCCACAGTTAAAAAAACAATGCTCAAGGCGGCTTACAGCATAACAAGATTTGCATAATTACAAAAGTCATAAACAATAAATAGATCACACCAAAAAATACACAACCAATTGGGAAACAATTTCCACATAAATCAAAATCTAAAACTAAGAATACACCATTCATATCAGAGTTTAAAATGACATAGGTAAAAAACAAAAACAAAATAAAACAGAGCCCTCTCTGCCCAGCAGCAGCAGTGGCAGCAGTCCTTTATAGAGCCCATCAGGCCCTGACCTGGGCCAGGTGGTGAGTAGTAGGACTGGGTCCCTCAGGCGCTGAGCAGGGGAATCCTCCTGGATGGTGGCCGCAGCAGCAGTTCTTAAAGGCCTGTCAGGCCCCGCCCTGGACCAGTCACATCAACAATGCCCTGTTATAAAGGGGGAGCAGACAGCTGCAATTCTCTCACTCTCAATGAAGTTTTTCAGTGGTTTAGCAGAAACTGGCCAGTCAAACCCTCCAACTTCTCTGCATTTCAGATGTGCCCCCATCACATTCATGTCATGTCATCTGCAATCTCTCTCTCTCTCTCTCTCTCTCTCTCTCTCTCTCTTCAACACTCATGGAGAAACCACAGATGGTAGATATTCTTTCCTCTAAAAACACCAAAACCTTTCATATTCCAGGGGTGTCAAGTGCTTGTTTCCCAGTTCTGGGAGGACTACCTCATTAGGGAAAGCGCGCCTCGGTTTTAAACGGTTTCGGTTTGAGAGCTGGACTTCCGGAACAGATTAAGTTTCTTAAACCGAGGTACCACTGTAGTTCCATCTAGCTCAGTGTTCCCTACACGGAATGGCAGGAGCTGTCCAGACAGGAGTTTCTCCTACCTGGTGATGCTGGAGATTTGATGCTGGGACCTTCTGTATGCAAAGCTGGTGACCTGTCCCTGAGGCCCGTTTGCTTCACCTGTCCCTGTTCCTCTTTTCATGGATGTGGCAGCTCCTTTGTCTCCGGAAAGGGACTTCCCCCACCCCCATTGCAGCGGATGGTGTGAGAGGCAAGGACTTCCCCAGACTGTGCATCACAATGGGTCAACGTGGTAACTTTTAAGGATCTAGTTGTGTGGCTGGGTGCCTAGTTGTTAACAGTGAATTGCAATTTGATGCTGTGTAGTGTTTCAATGCAGCACCCCCTAATTCGATTCTTTTGGGGAAGCACGTGTGTGTGTTTGTTTGATGGATTTGTGCTCCATTAGCGAATGGACTTTGCAGAAGGAAAGTCGGCGAGGAATTCACAGAAGCCGTAGATGTTTTCTGGGTTAATCTTATTAAAGCCACCCTCTTTAATTTTGCATGCATCCATGCACGGTATTTAGAGGAGGATTTCAAGAAACGCAGTTAAGTAGGGCTTTGGTTAAAGAGTCTGTTGCAAAGGGGTGGGAAGCAATTTCAGGGAAAGCACAAGCCTGCTTGGACAAATAGCTGCCCCCACCCTTCCCATTCTTCTGTGCCTTATGATGGATAGTATTATGGGATTGGGTGATCTCGGGGATTGCCCCTATAAAGTTGGAACCTGTAAAAGAAGACAGTTAAAATGGCCAAACCATTTTCTTCCGTTAGGTAAACAGCCAGGTCTATTAAGTTCCTCCTTTGTTAGGTGAACTAGGAGCAATATGTTGCCCCAGGAACTAAATATCTGGAGGCAAGGACAAAGAGGGCCTGTCTTTCTTCCTCCCTGCCCTCCCTTGGCGGGAGTTGATGCCATGGAAGTGGGCTTCTTGTGCAGAAGGGTACGTAAAAAGGTAAAGGTAAAGGACCCCTGGACAGTTAAGTCCAGTCAAACTTGACTATGGAGTGTGGTGCTCATCTTGCTTTCAGGCCGAGGGAGCCAGTGTTTGTCCGCAGACAGCTTTCCGGGTCATGTGGTCAGCAGGACTAAACTGCTTCTGGTGCAACGGGACACTGGGACGGAAACCAGAGTGCACGGAAACACCGTTTACCTTCCTGCCACAGTGGTACCTATTTATCTACTTGCACTGGCGTGCTTTCAAACTGCTAGGTTGGCAGGAGCTGGGACAGAGCAACAGGAGCTCACCCCGTCGCAGGGATTCGAACCGCCAACCTTCTGATTGGCAAGCCCAAGAGGCTCAGTGGTTTAGACCACAGCGCCAGAAGGGTACTTGCTGTGCACATTCCCAGCTCTTTATCCTCCACTGAATCCAGGACACATTTCAGGCCAGGCCAAAACACTCGAGGAAGGTATGAAGCAAGGGCAATGAGGTGTGGCTGTTGAAAAGATGGTGTGGCCGGGGAGGATGTTTGGCCTCCCTAGAACCAGACGTAGAGGTCCGGAAGGCTGGATTTAGCTCCTCAGCCTGCGGTTCCCGAACCCTGAACTAACAGGAACACTCATAATAAAGTTGCAATTTCAGCAGTGGTGGACTTTGGGCTTTAAAATCTCAGCAGTGCCCCGTGATCCACATGTATATACTTTGTAACTAAGTCTGCCTTCTGCAGACTTACCAGGAACTTACCAGGAACCTAATATTGAGAGGCTTAAGCAAGCCTGCAACCAGCTACCCGCTGTGTGTTTAAAAGGGGAATGCAAAACTCTGCTAAGTTCTAGAAATTGCTAGCGCAAGTTAGGAAGGATATTAATAAACAACATATACTCTCCTGCCTCCCTGAACATTCCCACACCATATTCTGCTGGTGGGAGGAGGAGTCTGTTTTTCTTGGACATTCCTTACAGCTGTATGACTCCTCTTGTTCCCTTGATCAAGGATGGTATTCATGACGGTTCAACCCGCACGCTGTCTTTGGGCTCACCAATCAACACTGAATCTTTTGTGCATTTTGATAGCTAATAATGTCAGGCTGCGTTGTCTTGTCCCTGAAGCAGTTTCTGTCAGCGCCTTATATTGCGAGGAGCCTGTTCCGAAGAATCAAGAGAACACCTTCTATCTCCCTCTCATTGTATCCAAGTTCCATATTTCCTGTCTTGGAACAAGAAGCTATATGCTCTCATTCTACCCTCCACCCCCTGTTTCTGTTATATGAAACAAGCCAGAGTATTTATGGCCAGATGTCGCAACACTATTTAATCATTATGTCTAATTACAGTTAACTTCCCCCAGCAGCCTCACGTGAGCTGTCTGGATTTAGCGGACCAAATTTTACTTTGCTAAACTGAAAAGATAGATGTGTGTCAGATAAGTAAAGAACTGGAGCCAATTAAAAAATTCCTTTCGGAAACTTTGAGCCTGCTTACCACCCTAACTGAATTAATTGAGAGACAAGAAGCTGCTTTCCTTCACATAACAATGTGTGTGTGTGTGTGTGTGTGTGTGTGTGTGTGTGTGTGTGTGTTATCTATGCACGTACCTTTTTGCAAATGCTACACCTCAACATTTGATTCATCCTGCATGGCAGCTGTTCTGACGCATGCAAACGGTTTTCCCATATGAAAAAACCGCAGTGGGTCCCTCCCTCTTCATGCAGTGATCATAGCTATTTTTCTAGAAAAAGTGATGCCGGAACTCGCCACGAAGTGCCACACTTTTAACATTGGCTGTGTGTGCCGGTACTGAGTACCATTGAGTGCCACCAGGAAAACCCACTGGCCAGAAACCATATTATAAGTGCTGGAACTGAGTTCCTGTGAGTTCTGCCTGGAAAAAAGCCCTGCCATTGACCATCAAACGAGTGCCCCGGGCCCCCAAATTTGGGTGCAAACCAGCACCCGTGCACCTGGGAATGCCATTACATAGCATTGTTACTGGTGGGATTTTTTCCACGATAGTGGCCACTTCCAACAGATTGCAATGCTTCCCCACCCCTTTGAATTTAACACAAGATTTATCTTACTTTGTTTATTATTCCATGGAAATGAGAGCTATTCCATTAGATTTCCACAGGTGCAAAAGCTCCAACAGAATATGGAAGCAAACAGGGAAGTGTCAGGAAATGGAGTCGACATTCATGTGAATGCAACCTTAATGCCATTAAAGTGTTAGTTACAGGTAGGTAGCCGTAGTCGAAACAAAATTTAAAAAATTCCTTCCAGTAGCACCTTAGAGACCAACTAAGTTTGTTATTGGTATGAGCTTTCGTGTGTCGTTGCCCTCAAAGTCTCCGAATGTTTGCCCCTCTCCCCTTTGGTATAGGGTGAATTTTGTCACACAAAATTGGGGAGCAGATTTCTGTCTCAACACGAGACAAGCCCCCCCCCCTTAAAATGGTAATTCAGAAGGCTCTGAAACTGTTAAAATCATTTGACACCTAAACAAAACACCCCAAAACCTGCTGGGTGAAGGCAGAAAGGAATGGCTGAAGATCTTCTGCTGCTAAACTGGTGGCGTGGGAACAGGATGGGCTTTTGCAACGAACTCCATGAGGAAGAATAGAGAAGACACTGTGAGGAAGGCATATGTGCAATGGGGGGTTGCAAAGAAACGGCTCACTCTTGCTGAACCAGTTTGCCTGCTATTTCCTTGCGCCTGGGGATCGCTTTTGCCAGACCTATGTAAATTTAATGGGCGCTTGTCTCGGCTGACAATTGAGTGCCTGCTGGAAGAGGAACAAGATAGCGCAGCTCAGCAGATGCCAGAGGTTAAAAACACGAGGGATGGAGCTACAGAAGAAGAGCTAATTTCAGCAGCCCAGCCGACTGCTTTCTTCTGCGTCCCACCATCTGGCAAATGGCAAACACCCCGCTTCATTTTATACCGTGTCACCCTTTCATGTTTAATTGGTGCTCTAGCCTTGCACAGATGAATTCCATAATCTGCAGGCAGCGCTTTAGACAAGACTCGCTTCTTGCAAACTCAGTGGGTGTCAGGAAACATAGGGACGTAGGGAAACACAGAGCTACAAGGCTTTGTGGGGTCCCTGATATGACTAGGAGGGTCTCTCATCATCGTGTTTCAACTTAGGGAAAATAAAACCCAGAATCATCCCCGTTTTCCTCAGTATTTAGTTCATGTACAGAGCCAATGCACACCCGTAGTATGAGTCGTTTTTAAGCACTGGTTTTTGCTTTAGCACCTCAGAAGTCATTGTTCTTTTACGCCATAGCTGTGGAGAATGTGTACAAGCCACAAATGTGTACAGCAGTGCCTTGGTTCTCAAATTTAATCCGTTCCCGGGGGTCCGTTCGATTCCCGAAACGGTCAAAAACCAAGGCGCAGCTTCCGATCGGCAGAAGAAGAAGAAGAAGAGGAGGAGGAGGAGGAGGAGGAGGAGGAGTTTGGATTTGATATCCCGCTTTATCACTCCCCTTCAGGAGTCTCAAAGCGGCTAACATTCTCCTTTACCTTCCTCCCCCACATCAAACACTCTGTGAGGTGAGTCGAGCTGAGAGACTTCATTGTAGGAGCTTCAGACCTTCGGCTTCCAAAAGCCATTTGCAAACCGGAACACTCACTTCCGGGTTTGCGGCGTTCGGGAGCCGATTTGTTGGGGAGCCAAGCTGTTCGACTGCCAAGGTAGCACTGTATTTTTGAATTAAGGACAGGGTAGGTTTTCACTTGCAAAAATTCTGACACCTACTGCTGAGTAGCTCTGGGCATGTGTGAAGTGCCTTTCCTTGCAAAGAATACAATTTCTTTTCCTTGCCCGTCCAGATGCGCTGTGGAAACCAGTATCCTATGCCTCAGCCAGCAAACGTGCCCCACAAGAGAGGTAACAGTGGGGTGCAGAGGCAGGCAGTTTCTTGTTGAAGTGTTTCTGCTCTGGGCTGGCAAACTTGCTGCATCGCAGCCGAGGGTTTAATACAGAGAGGTATCCTTTCACTTGCTTTTTTTCTTTGCAACTGGTGCAGTGCGAACCCAGAAGCAAGCACCAAGCAGTTGCTAGGAAATGCCCCAATCGACATGCCAGATTCACGTAATTAGCAGGCCGTAACGTGCCATTTTGGCTGGCCGGGGTTTGTGGATAGCGGCACATGGCAAACAAACCTGAAGCCATCCTCCTTCCAAAGGGAAGACCACAAGAGTTAGAAGTCTGCAAGCAATGTTTGCAAGCTTGCCTGCCAACAGATATCTGTTAGTCACATATGCCACATCGACAGCCAGAGAAAGAAAGAAAGAAAGAGAAAGAAAGAAAGAAAGAAAGAAAGAAAGAAAGAAAGAAAGGTAACAGTTTACTTCCAGTACGTAGAAAATACTGGCTGTAAAATTGCCCCATTATACGGTATATGGTTACCAGTTCTGGATCTGTCAGAGTCTTTTTCCTTTTAGAATTGCATCAAAGGTCCAGCTTTGCCAACCGCACCTTTTCCTCATCATTTCTGAAATTATGAAAGGACCCTCACCTGGATAAATCCCCTTCTCCTCCCCCTTCCCACCCCATCCTGAGGGCCTTGAGCCACAAGCCTTCCAAGATTTGAAGCCAGGAACACTTCTGTTTCAGCATAATTTTTGCCATTAAAGATAATTAACCTGTGTGCATTTAATTTAGGGCATTTTCAGCACAGCTGGGAGTTTTAAAACGGAACAGGGCACTCACCTATAGCAACCTTGTCTTGTCAGGAATGTGCTTTGGGTTGTTTTGGTTCATATCTAGGCCTAAAAGAAAGCAAGGGGTGAATCTAATCTCATCTGCCCCCCCCTCAACCCACTTCCTTGGATACAATACTTAGGTGTGTGATTTAAAAAAAGCACAATTTCAATTATGAAGATACATTAGAAAGAAAGAAAGAAATACAAAAATACAATGTAATATATTGTATATAATATAAATACAATGTAATATATTTATATAATTCTTATATAAATATACAGTACAGTGGTGCCTCGCAAGATGAAATTAATCCGTTCCGCGAGTATCTTCGTCTAGCAGTTTTTTCGTCTTGCGAAGCAACCCTATTAGCGGATTAGCGGATTAGCGCTATTAGCGGTTTAGCGGCTATTAAAGGCTTAGCGGCTTAGCGGATTAGCTGCTAAAAGGCTATTAAAGGCTTAGCGGCTTAGAAAAAGGGGGGGGGAGCGAAAAAAAAATCTCAAGACTCGCAAGACATTTTCGTCTTGCGAAGCAAGCCCATAGGGAAATTCGTCCTGCGAAGCGCATTGAAAACGGAAAACCCTTTCGTCTAGCGGGTTTTCCGTCTTGCGAGGCATTCGTCTTGCGGGGCACCACTGTATATGTGATTATTGTAATGCATACACTAGTGGCCAAAACTGTGGAAACCTTTTGGGAAAAGTGTATTTCCGAGGTTTGATAGGTCATAACACCACTTTTTTTTTGGAGAAATACCATAACCATTGATATATAATTTTATGGTATTACTCCAAAAAAAAAGGTGGTGTTATGAGCCATCATTGCCAAAAACAAGATGACACCTGATTGGCTTTCTATAAACACTCCCTTTTCTGGTTATTTGGCTATAACTTTTGATAGAATACAGATAATTGGACAAACTTTGTTGCATTACATTCTTCATTAAACTATCTCTCCATTGAGATATATTTTTATGGCATTAGTCCAAAAAATAAATAAATGGTGTTATGAGCCATCAAACCTCGGAAATACACTTTTCCCCAAAAAGTTTCCACAGTTTTGGCCACTAATGTATGTAGATATTAATAGCCTACTATATTTTGTATAGACTTGTTCCAAATGTCATTTATCCAAAATGTATTTATCCAAGTAAAGTCTCCATCTGTAAGCAGTCTGTTCAGAAAATTGCGAGTGTTGTCGAATTGTCAATCCGTTGATTAATATCATATCTTTATTCTTCCAGTTCGTCAATTGGCCACCATTAGGGCACGTAGAATCCATTTTCATTGTTCCATTAACTTCCATACAATAGGTATATCATTAAAAAGAATATTCTCTGCTGGAAGTTTAACTTCCTCTGTAGAATCATACAGCTCAGAAATTTCTCCCAACACTTAGTAAGTATAGAACATTGTACAAGCATTTGTTTCAAAGGGGCACTTTCCTTGCCCCTTCTCCAGCAGAAAGCTACCTTAGATAGTCCTTTTTTTATACAAACGTAAAGGAGTCCAGTAAATTCCGAATATGGGGTTTTTTTTGGTAGTATAAGCAGTGCTTTTTTCTTGAAAAAAAGGTGGAGGAACTTACCACGAAGCGGTTCATGCCCAAGCGCAGTGCCAACGCTCCTGGGCTAAATGCAAGATGTGATTAAGAAACTCAAGCAGACGGTGATCTGGTTTAGAAATGGCCACAACTTTATTGGGTTACAGATATAGATGGATTTTTCGCTCAAGCATTGGGTTTATATTGGGGGGGGGGATCAATTATTTAATTTAAAAAATAGGTAGGGGAACTCAGTTCCTGTGAGTTTCTGTTCAAAAAAGCCCTAATAATAATAATAAATAATAATAATAATAATAATAATTTATACCCCGCCCTCCCCGGTCAAAACCGGGCTCAGAGTGGCTAACATCAAATCAGGCAATCAATTAAAATACATCCTAATTTTTTTAGTTTAAGGTCCATTGATACCTTTGATATTGAGGCTAAAACACTTCCCCACTGTCTAGGAAATATTGCAAGTTCTGATTCTTAGTTCTCATGGGTAACCAGGAGAGTGAAAGAGGCTCTTTGCAGGTCATGCTTGCACCAGATGTTGGGGGCAAACCTGGGGCAAAGGTAAAGGGACCACTGAGCATTAGGTCCTTTCAAGCTGCTAGGTTGGCAGGAGCAGGGACCGAGCAATGGCAGCTCACCCCATCGTGGGGATTCGAACCGCCAACCTTCTGATCAGCAAGTCCTAGTTTCTGTGGTTTAACCCACAGCGCCACCCGCGTCCCTTGGGTAGCCACCCCCATTTTGCATGGTCACCTGTAAAGCTAGAGACCTTAGAGCAGGCATGGCCAGACTTGGCCCTCCAGCTGTTTTGGGACTACAACTCCCATCATCCCTAGCTAACAGGACCAGTGTTCAGGGATGATGGGAATTGTAGTCCCCAAACAGCTGGAGGGCCAAGTTTGGCCATGCCTGCCTTAGAGGATCTTGCCTGTTGATAATTGGAGAAGCAGGATTCTGCAGGGCCCCTTAAATCAGTTTTAGGGCCTACTTGTTCACGACTGGCTGGGCCCTTTCCAAAACAGCGCAGAGAACCCATCTCTTACAGTACGCTATCCATTTGTTTCACATAAATACAGACCCCAAACCCCACACGGTTACTTAAAATAAGCTGTCACACCAGGAAACCCGAAAGAATGCTTTGATACCGAAGGCACTTTCATAAGTTGAAAGAATCAGCTTCTTCCAAACATCCGTGGGAGTTTTGGAAAGCGCATCTTTGTTGATAAGAATGGATTCCTTTCGATGTTGGGATGGGGAACCCACTTTCCCCCAAGAAGTTGCTGAACTACAAACCCCACCATCCTACAAACCATGCTGACTGGGAGCTGATATAAGTTGGAAACCCACAACATCTGGAGGAGCCACAGATTCCCCATCCCTGTTTTAGTGTGCGTCAGGGTGGATTCGATTTAAATCAAATCGATTTAAATCACTCGTCAGTAAGACTTGATTTAAATCATTGTTTTTACAGAAAGACTCATTCTTGCTGGCATAATCTTAATATTTACAACCAGAGGAAGGTTTCATTTTTGGAATAATAATGTTCTGAGTAGTTTTTACAGCTATATAAAAAATGACTGATTTGGTTATACTATTAGAAATACATAGACAGGTAATTATGAAACGATTGTGAGGTTTAATAAGTTATGTTTATATCTGGACAACTTTTCTGCTGTACTTTACTAGAAGGAGGAAAATAATCAGTAGTAACAATTTGAACAATTTATTTAACTAAAGAAATAACATTACAGTGGTGCCTCGCAAGACGAAATTAATTCGTTCCGCGAGTCTTTTCGTCTTGCGATGTTTTTTGTCTTGCGAAGCACGGTCCGTCGCAACTGCGCCTCTTCAAGCGGCTTTAAGAAAAAAGCGAACAAACTCCGAAGACGTTTTCGTCTTGCGAAGCAAGCCCATAGGGAAATTCATCTAGCGAAGCAACGCAAAAACCGAAAAACCCTTTCGTCTAGCGAGTTTTTCGTTTTGCGAGGCATTCGTCTTGCGGGGCACCACTGTATAGCATATGTATCCATGTTTGTTAACTGATGCGGTTAACCGTGTTTTGTTGTGTGTTTTTTTTTTAAAAAAAACAAAACTTAAGACTGAGTTTTAGCACACATGAAAAACTTAAAACAAATCCTTATTTCCTGTTGAATAGCCTTCAGACTATAATGTAACTTAGATACAAAACGGTCTTTAGAAAGATTTTTCCTCCAAAAGCATTTTATTTTAAAAATCAGATTTAAATCAAAACAATCCGATTTATTTTTTTTAAAAATCCGTTTTAATTTTTTTATATATATAAAAAAATCATTGATTTTTATCTACCCTGGTGTGTATTCATGTGCTTACACGTGTGTTTTTTTTGAGGGGGGTGGAGGTAAGGTTGTGTGCCTTGAGGCATTATGTTGTGAAGTGAAATCCCGAGGTGATTCCTTGAGGACTGTTGAAAGTGACCCGGAAAGTTAAATGGGTGAAAAAGAAAAGCAGTCAACTTAGAAGAAGTGCTTTGCATATCTTAGGGAAAGAGGTGAATCAGATACACCTCACCGCTGACACATGGTGCTTCATTCTCCCTACTCATGAGTTGAGTTCACACGGGCACTTCATTGCACAGCGGCTGCTCAGACACGTTCAGAACTTGAAATTCTGCCTCTTCTAGTGACTCTACGTTAACCACACAACATGAGAGGTCCGGTCTTTCACGCTGTTCTAGCAACAGCTGCAGAGAGCATATTTAAGGGTGGTGAGATTTCATGCGCTGCTTTCCAAGCGTTTGTCTTCCCAGAGGGTCGGTAATGTTGACCCAGGAAGGACCTGTATCTGCAGAATGACATGGACTTGACTCACAAAGAACGACAGGTTGTGGCTTTGGAGAGATGCTCAAACTTAAGTTACTAGAAACTGCCATGTTTCTTGTAACGTTCACATGTCTGCATCTGTCCAACAGATCTACTTGAGCTCTGACATGTTTAATGTTACTTGCTTTCAAAAGCATGATCGGCTTCAAGGTGGAGTCGGGATTTGAACCACAGTATGACTGCTACCCTGCACAACTTAAATGAAACTAAATGACAACAACAATTATTTTATTATTTACCATATTTTTTGCTCTATAGGACGCACCCGACCATAGGACGCACCTAGTTTTAGAGGGGGAGAACAAGAGAGAAAAAAATTCTCCCCCTCTCTACTCAGCACCCCTTCAGCGAAGCGGCAGGAGAAACGGAGCCCCTTCCATTTCTCCTCCCGCTTCGCTGAAGGGGTGCTGCGCAGAGAGGGAAAGCTGTGCAGCGCCTCTCCAGCGAAGTGAAGCCAGGAGAGCGAGAGGGATTGGTGCGCACCGATCCCTCTCGCTCTCCTGGCTTCAGCGAAGCAACCCGAAGCCTCCAGAGCGCGGAGGGAGCGCTCCCTCTGTGCTTCGGAGGCTTCGCATTGCTATCGCTGAAGCCAAGGAGCCTGCATTCGCTCCATAAGACACACACATTTCCCCTTAATTTTTGGAGGGGAAAAAGTGTGTCTTATAGATTTAAAAATACGGTATACTCTGTCCATCTGACTGGGTTGCCCCCAGCCACTCTGGGCAGCATCCAACAGATATAAAAAATAATAAAACATCAAACGTTAAAAACTTCCTGATGGCCTTCAGATGGCTTCTAAAAGTTGTATGGTTGTTTTTTTCCTTGACATCTGAAGAGAGGGTGTTCCACAAGGAGGGTGCCACTACTGAGAAGGCCCTCTGCCTGGTTCCCTGTAACCTCACTTCTCACAGTGAGGGAACCACCAGAAGACCCTTGTAGGAGGACCTCAGTGTCTGGGTTGAACGATGGGGGTGGAGACGCTCCTTCAGGTATACTGGGCCAAGCCATTTAAAGATCAGTAGCAACACTTTGAATTGTGCTCGGAAACGTACTGGAAACCAATGTAGGTCTTTCAGGACCGGTGTTATGTGGTCTCGGTGGCCACTCCCAGTCACCAGTCTAGTTGCTGCATTCTGGATTAGTTGTAGTTTCCGGGTCACCTTCAAATGTAGCCCCACGCAGAGCACACTGCAATAGTCCAAGCAGGAGATAACCAGAGCATGCACCACTCTGGCAAGACAGTGTGTAGGCAGGTAGGGTCTCAGCCTGCGTACCAGATGGAGCTGATAAGACAGCTGCCCTGGACACAGAATTGACCGCTGTGGACATCTAGTGAGTTCAAAATGACTCCCAGGCTGCACAGCTGGTCCTTCAGGGGCACAGCTTGAAAGTGTAGAGCTGCCCAGAGTGGCTTTTAAACGAAAGCTTTAAAGCTAAACACATTTAAAAACAACAAGCAAAAACAAAAAACCCTGTAGCTGTTTTATAAGACTCTGTATCAGCTGAATATTTTATCATGAAACCAGTCTTGGCGTGATAATCGGCTTGAAAACAAGACGACTGGAAGCTATGTCTAAATTGCAGCTATTTTGTTAGTGATTTCTGTGCAGTTTGACCTCATCAAGGCATGGCATTTGGCCGCTCCTCTGAATTGCTAATAATGATGCATTGTTTTGAGCTCTGAGCTTCATTAGGCCGCCTCCGTCATCGCTGGTCGCAACTCTAGGCAACTTAAGAAGATTAGCATCAATCCCGTCTGGGTAGCATCTCTTAATGTCTCAGCATTTCGACAGGGTTATATGAGCTTTTTAAAGGAACTCGTAAAACGGGAGTGGGTGGTGTGAAGCCCCCCAAGCAGCCTTGCGTTGGCAACAAATGTTAGATTTGGGAATCTTGGACAGGGAACCTGGCCCCTGCAGTGACGGCTTGGAGCTCGAATGCTTTGCCATCCTGATAACAGTAGTTCTCCCCCCCCCCCCCCAGATCAGGGATCCCTTGAAACGAGGAGAGTTCAGGGGTCACCCAAGCACATGTGACGTTTTGAGATTTTTGAGACAGGTGCCTGCCACAAAATGGCTGCCTCGGGGCACGAGGCATAACCCAAACTGTCTACCACATCTGAAAAAGGAGACAGTGCTATCGGACTACAGTGGTACCTCAGGTTAAGTACTTAATTCGTTCCAGAGGTCCGTTCTTAACCTGAAACTGTTCTTAACCTGAAGCACCACTTTAGCTAATGGGGCCTCCCGCTGCTGCCGCGCCGCCGGAGCCCGATTTCTGTTCTTATCCTGAAGCAAAGTTCTTAACCTGAAGCACCATTTCTGCGTTAGTGGAGTGTGTAACCTGAAGCGTATGTAACCCAAGGTACCATTGTATGTGGACACCCCCTTCACCCAAATCAATGGATGCCGCTGCCATGTTTGCTTGCAGTGAGAAGCTCTTTGTTCAGAAAGGGAGGGAAGGGTGTCCAATCCTGGCATCCAGTGAAATGCGAGCAGGTTTAATGTGGGACAGGATAAGGGCAGATCTACATTTCCATTTGCCCCACTGCTTTCCCCCGGGGAAACCTCTAGTTTGGTGCCAAATCGGAGCAAATGGCAATTGGGTTCTCTGCAGATGTTTGCTTGTTCCAATATTTATCCTAAGAGCCGTCTTTTTCCAGGGAAAAGGGGCAGGGCAAAGGCAAGCCCGCTTGGACCCATACCTAAAAAGTGTGGGGCAAGTGGGAAACCACTCGAACCCATGCTTTCTCGGCACGCAACAAGTGGATGAGCCCTAAGCTGATGCAAACAGGAGCTGAGCAGGAGGTAGAAACAGTATTGCGTGCATTTTTGCGGGTTTTTGACTGGGCGGCCCTGCAGGTGTTGCTCCCAGCAGCTCCAGGCAGGTTTGCCAATGATGAGAGATGATAGGAATTCGTGTTCCCCTGCCATGCTGCATCCTGTTGCTGGGCAGTGATTTGGATCTGAGATCTCCAAGGCTGTGTTTTGTAAACAAAGAGAGCTGGACCTGTTGCAAGCACATGAGTCAAAACTGCGGTTAAAATCTGACCCTTGGAACCTGTGGTTTTTGTCTGCCTTCCTGCTAAACGCCAATATTGCTGCTGACACAACATTTATCTGTGGTTAAAGCGAGAGGGATGGTGCTGAAATTTGCTTTGGGAAGTTGGAAAATGGAACAGATGACCTAGTAGTCCATTTGCAAACCCTGAACTAATAAAAGCCACTTTTTAGAACCAGTGGTACCTCGGTTTTTGAACGCCTCTGTAGTCAAATATTTCAGAACTCGTACGCCGAAAACCCAGAATTAAGTGCCTCAGTTTTCGAACGCGCTTCGGAAGTCGAACAAGAAACACGGCTTCCGTTTTGAGTTTTGTGTATTCAGGCTTGCGTTTTGAGGCTTTCAGTTTTCGAATGTTTCAGAACTTGAATGGACTTCCGGAGCTGATTATGTTCAAAAACAAAGGTACCACTGTATAGTGGAATATTGTACAAGTTTAGCACCCATTTCCATATTGTTTGCAAGCAAATTTCCCCACCGGAAGCAAGTACCACAGAAATGAGCCCTGAGCTTCCACTATTGCGTCACGTGAAAGCTTAGATATATGCACTTAACAATTAAGGGAAATTCATGGAAACAGAATGAACTACCATGTCAGGGCAGCCAAAGCAGAAAGATGGGAATTTGGGGTGGGGGGTGGGGGGAGATCCATGCAGATAAACTCTACATAGAAATTTTCAGAAAGTCTCATAACCCACTGCATATAGAAAACTAGATATTAGACAGAAAGGCTCTCACATTGGCCTCCCCTATTGTTTTCTGTGTATTGTGAAGCCTGTTTTCCCAAGAGGGAATGTTCAGACATGCAACTCCTCCCTGTCTGATGCGGTCTAAAAACAGCTTGATCACCTTCCCAAATGTTTGTTTTAGATCATGCCAGAGGTATAAAGGGAAATGTCTGCCATGAGTTGGTACCCAGCTTTTTTCCTTTTTGCAAGTTACTACTTGTCTTAAAGTCTGTTAGAGTGTGTGTGTGTGTGGTGTTTGGGGTGGGGGAGAGATTATGATGTTTTAATTGCTTTCTCTACATCTAAGAGAAAGGCACCCGTGTTAAAAAATCTGACAACCAACAATCGGTTATTTGAATGAACCCTATATTTACTAGTAATTTTGGCAATGGCATTGCTTAGATACTGATCTGGCTTCTCGCTTTGAAGCAGCAGCTGTTACTGCCATACGCACGTGAGCTGGAAACATTAAAACAAGTGATGGTGCATTTGTGAAAAACCAGGATGGGTAGGAAGTGGGTGGGAATCTTCTTTTAGAATGTGGAAATGAAGGGTTTCCTTGTTATCTTTTCTGTCATCTGCCGGACTGGATGCCAGCTTCCCCTGTGATTATGAGAACTCAGCAGTTAATACACACGTTGTCAACCTCCTTCCATTCATTTTCTATAGGCAGATCCTGCGTGTGTATGTGTGTTGAAGAAGGAAAAGAAGATTCTTTTTAAGTTTCCAAGCAAAAAGTGACCAGTGTGATAATAACCTTGAGGATTTGAGCAAGGGCTTATCAAAAAGTTGACATTTAGAAAGTTAAGATACACTGATGAGGGAGGATCTTGTAGTCCCTTTTTTCCCTGTTCATTCTTTACTTCCTTTGTTTATTTCTTGCATATTAGTTTGCTTCTTTTACTGTATTGTGAAAAGAAGAAGCAATTTAGAACAGGGTGCCTAATTGCTTGGTTGTATTGTTTTCTGATCGCTTGGCAGTTTCTTGGGCTGTCTCACTAGCAGCGCAAACCTATTCACATTTACTCGAAAGTAAATTCCGTGTCCTTCAATGCAGCTTACTCACAGCTGAGCGTGTTTTCGGATTGCAGCCGAAGAGTGTTGGTTTATTGATGAGAACATTAGATATTGGAATAAATATTTATGGGATGGGAGGCAGGGAGGCAGCAGAGGTAAGAGCACAAATTACATTGGCAGTCAGTTGATAAAGATGAACAAATGTTCCTTGAAGCTGAGTCGGTTTATGAATTTGGTTCTCTATGCTGAAACACAGCTATTTTGTGTGTTTGAGGTGTCTTTAGGTTATTTTCCCGTGTCTGTACTCTGTACATTCTTGGTTCTGTTTCTTCCCTTAGAGACCATTGCTTCTTCTCATACTGACTGTGAACACAATTAGATGGTTATTGTTTTAACGTTGGTTTTAACAATTCAGCCCTGACCATGGGTCCTGCTGGCTAGGGCTGATGGGAGTTGCAGTCCAAAAACAGCTGGAGACCTCTAAGTTTGGGAAACCCTGGTCTACTCCGGTCCCCTGCGATGCAGGAATCTCAGCTAAAGCATTCATGACAGATGGCCATCCAATCTCTGCTTAAAAACTTCTCAGGAAGGAGAGTCCACAACCTCCCGAGAGAGACCGTTCCACTGTCAAACAGCCCTTACTGTCAGAAAGTTCTTCCGTAAGTTTAGTCAGAATCTCCTTTCTTGTAACTTGAAGCCATGGGTTCGAGTTCTGCCCTCCGGAGCGGGAGAAAACAAGCTTGCTCCCTTTTCCGTGTGACAGATATTTGAAGATGCCTATCATATCTCAGCTCACTCTCCTCTTTTCCAGGCTAAACATGCCCAGCTCCTTCAACCATTCCGCATAAGGCATAGTTTATCTCAGGCATCCCCAAACTCGGCCCGCCAGCTGTTTTGGGACTACAATTCCCATCCTCCCTGATCACTGGTACTGTTAGCTAGGGATCATGGGAGTTGTAGTCCCAAAACAGCTGGAGGGCCGAGTTTGGGGGTGCCTGGCTTATCTGTTTGCTTGTTTTTAAAAAAACCACGATGTTTTATAGTGTGATGCATTTTGCGATAGGTCAGTATAGAAATACTTTTATTAATACATAAAGAAATAGAGAGGGGTAATCATCTTCAGCCAATTTTGTGAAGCAGAAATAAATCTTCCAAGCTCTCTCAAGAGGAAATATAAAGCGCAGAACTTCAGTTCAACTAGCTGAAATGAGCTAGTTGAAATCCAAGCGCTTAATTAATTACCTCTTTGGGCACATAATGTCATACTTGCATTCCTTCTGCTGAAGCTGGAGGGCAGGGTTTTTCCAGCATGCCCAAGAATCATCTGTTCACTTCTAATTGTCTTCCAACTCTAGCAAGATTACAATTAGCCCTTTTCCCAAGGATGTCGTTGTCAGGAGTGCATGCAGGAGGCAGGCCCTGTGACCAATAGGACTTTGCAGGACTGGGGCCTTCCTAAGTTTGTTCTGAAGAGGCAATGCGCAGCTGCACAGGTGAGGCCGCTTGGTAACTCACAGTACCTGGCGGCAAGAGCCGGGAAGGGATATAAGGTCAGCATTTCCCTTCGGCTCTTTGCAACAGCAACACGTTCCCTGCCTTGCTGCGTTTGGTTTCTTGCTTCTTGATCCTCAGACACCTGACTTCGTGACTCCTTGCTTCTTGATCCTCGGACCCCTGACTTCGTGCCTCCTTGCTTCCTGATCCTCAGACCCTTGGCTCCTTGACTCCTGGCTTCTGCACTCCCATTCCTGCTCCCACCCTGCCATCTTGCCCCCCGGTCCCGACGTCCCCAGCTGGGACTTCGATCGCTCGTGAACCAGACCGTGACAGTCATTTAAAGTTGGTGTCAAGGATCACCTTGACTATAAGAAGAGAGAACACAGTACGGAGTGCTCACGCTCCGAATAACATTCGCCCACAGATACATGCTGTTCTAGGCAATTATAGTTTTATGTGAATATTTATTTGCAATCCTGGCAATGATTTAATTCCTCCCAGGTAATTCTTGCCGAGATTGCAGGGGTTGGACTATGTGACCCTGGCGATTCCTTCCAACGCTATGATTCAGAACACTTCCTGCGTTGTATTCAGTAAGCTGTTTAAGAGAACTTCAGATCCTGGCAGCAGATGCTACTGGCATTGCTCACCTTTTCGTGGGCAGAGAGTTGACTTCCACCTATCTACATATTGGTTCAGTCATTAATTACTACCTGTTGTTTTATCCAAAGAGACTACAAACGTTTTTGTACTGTACTGCGGTTCCTCCTCAGGGCAGTGGAGTTCACAATTTATAAAGACAACGTTTAGCTTTACTTTCTGAATCGTGTGATGGCTTAGCGCGCTCTACTCTTGGGTAGGGTTGCCATATTTCAAAGAGTGAACGTCCGGACGCAAAAATTGTTGGGCATTTTAGGGCAAAGTTGTTGAGCTTTTTTTATTATTATTGCAAAATCTGAAAAAAAAGAAAGGAAGAAGAAGTAGTAGTTTTTGAGCTATTTTAAAGTAAATCCCCCAAAATCCACACTTCTGACATGTTTTGCCATTTTCCCGGACATTTAATTCCAGATGTATGACAACTCTGCCCTTGGGTTTAGGTCTCACTCTCTCTACCATTAATTGTTCACTGGGTGGAGTCGGAAGTCCTTGACAAGACTTTCTTGCACAGTTTTCATATCTAATGATCACCTATTATTATTATTATTATTATTATTATTATTATTATCTTCCATACATTGCTTTAACTTACCTTAAGCTCCTTCCACTACAGGGAAGTGACCCTATCTCAGTGGTGGAGCATATATTTTTATTTCTGGTTAAAAGTATTGGGTAGCCATAACTGGACAAATAATATGCATGACTTAGTCTGTGGAAGTTCTCTTATGTTCAAATCATAGAATTGTATAGTTGGAAGGGACCATGAGGGGCATCTAGTCCAACCCCCGCAATGCAGGCGCACTCCTCCCAAGACAGACGGATGCCAACAGATGCTTTGCCCAACGTGGGGCTGGAACTCTCGACCCTGAGATTAAGAGTCTCACGCTTTACGGATTGAGTTGACTGCTCCTTCGATAGGAAAAAAGCATCTATTTGCATAATGCAACAGCAGTATTCGTTAGCTAAAGTGATATTTGCAATTTGTTCCTTCTACAAATGGGCTAGGGGATGTGGGTGGTGCTGTGGGTTAAACAACAGAGCCTAGGACTTGCCAATCAGAAGGATGGCGGTTCGAATCCCCGCAACGAGGTGAGCTCCCGTTGCATTTGTTTCAGCCGTTTTGTCGAGGAAGGCCAGGGCGTTGGATCCTCTCCAGGTTTAGCTACCGTTTTCTTATCCTTTCGATAGAGTCTGATTACAGTGATGTCTTTTTTTAGTATCAATGCTGTTTTGCAAGCGTGGCAATGCTGAAGGTTGACCTATAGCCAGTCGAAGTTTTATGGCGCGTTACCATAATAAGGGCCAAGAAGAATTGGCAAAGAAAGGGGGAGGAGCGGGGAGCAATTAAATAAATTGCAATGCGGACAGACCACTGGGAGATCAATGCATAGTAATCACATATTTCACCTGGGCTCGACGAAGTTGATAGGAAATCATTGTAGCTGTTGGCGACCGTCTTGTGATTCCAATTATTCTTACACGGTAGACATCAGGGGTAGAAAATTTCTGCAGGGAAGCAAGTCTAAAAGGAAGTCAGCATAATTGTGGCCCAAAACATTTGGAACAGTGGTATGTTTTGGTGTGATAGACTATAAGGTGGCATTCAAAGACTATCATCCCCCAAATCCATCTGTTGAATTCTACCAACAGGCTGTAGCAGATGTGTTTGCTTGTTTAACACCTAGCTGGCAAAGTGCTACTTCCCCTCCCCTAATCTCAAGGATAAACACCGAGCTGCAAAATGGTTTTAAGGCTACTAAAGGTAAAGGACCCCTGACAGTTAAGTCCAGTTGCAAACGACTCTGGGGTTGCGGCGCTCATCTCGCTTTACTGGCCAAGGGAGCTGACGTTTGTCCGCAGACAGTTTTTCCGGGTCATGTGGCCAGCAGGACTAAGCTGCTTCTTGCGAAACCAGAGCAGCTCACGGAAACGTCGTTTACCTTCCCGCCACAGTGGTACCTATTTATCTACTTGCACTTTGACGTGCTTTCGAATTGCTAGGTTGGCAGGAGCTGGGACTGAGCAACAGGAGCTCACCTTGTCGCAGGGATTCGAACCACCGACCTTCTGATCGGCAAGCCCAAGAGGCTCAGTGGTTTAGACCACAGCGCCACCCGCATCTTAAGGATACTAGAGGTACCTATAAAATGACCCATTTGGCTTCTGTGGATTGAGATCAGTGACTCACAGATGCAGATCAGAGCTCAGATTCTGAATACACAGGCCTTGTTTTAAAAATGGTAGCCTTTTCCTTCCCCTCCCCCCTTTTATTTTTTTTAAAAAATAATGATTAAACGTTAATCTTGTCTTCTCTGACACACACGAAGTCAGACCACACATTTCTGCTGAAAAATAGTTCAGATATGCAGTAGCACACGCAGTGATGGCACTGAATTTTTCCAAAAAACCAGAGAACTTCTCGTATCTCTAGCCTTGTTTGAGTTACACCGATTGCCAAGGCCATTTTAAAATATTTATTTGACCAGGCAGGCAATGGGGATGATGAGGTTAGACGCTCTCCCAGTATGGCCCACGGGAGGAGATTTGACAGCTAAATTGAGGACAGCTAGAGAATTCTTTGTGACACTCACTCGAGGGATTTATAGCTCACTGAAATAATGAACTCGTGGGATACAAAAAATAAGGAAATCCCTTTCCAGGGCAAGTTCCAAATTTGGCGATTGTGACTTTTGTGTTAGTGCGGCATTTGGCCAAAGTCCTTGCCTCATTTTTTTTAAAAAAAAAATATATCTGTGAATGTCAATTTTTGGGTTCTAGATTCAGGTAGGTAGCTGTGTTGGTCTGACGCAGTCGAAATAAGTAAAACAATTTTAAAAATTGTTCAGTAGCATCATAGAGACTAACTAAGTTTGCTCTGGGTATAAGCTTTTCGTGTGCATGCACACTTCTTCAGAACTTCTGGGTTGTGAGTGTGAGGGGTATTTCTTACAGGCTTTTTAAGTAAGGGTTTTTACTGATTTAAAGTCCAAGGACAGTCAAGTCCAAAGATTGTCAAGTCCAGCGATTACAACATACAGTTTCTGTTGGCAATGCCATTTCATACTGATATCTTCCTTCTGCATCGTCCTGTCTTAAAAGTGTAACAAACGAACTTGCCTTCGCATTTGTTTGTTACACTTTTCGTTTGATTATCCTTGGACTTTACGACAATAAAAACATATAGAAGGCTAATAGTAATATGATATGTTATTGCCCCCACAAACTGCTTTGTAATTTTTTGATATGACGATTACCGTTTTATTATATATAATGTTATGTTACTTCACAGCCAGTTACGTGTGTGTTGTGGTATTCTGAACATGATTTGCGTAATGAGGCAATTGTGGTGTGTGTCAAAACAGTAAATGTGCAGAGAGCCCAGCTTGGGACAGAGTTAATTTGCAAAAATGGGCTGCTTGCTGGAGCAATGTCTTGGCAGCTCAGCCTCAAGGCATCTGTGAAGGAGACAGGTCAGTGAGATTGGCAGAGTGCCACCAATGTTTCATGGTTCAGAAATGGGCGGGGCTTCAGCGCTAATCCAAAACTTCCCATGAGGAAGGAAATGAAATTGGTAGAAACTAGGAACATCATTATTCCTCACCTCTGGGGGGCAAAAGGCTTTCTTTCAAACATTCCCCCAGGTGTGAATGAGAGGACATCATTGGTTGGTGATAGTACATCTTTATGGTTTAGGGAGCTTATGTATGTTTTGTGCAATTAATGAAAGTCTAGACAGGATCCAAGCGAAGCTATTGTGAGGCTTTGAAAAGGTGTCTAGGTTTCTTCATCAGAATAAAAACACTGTCTGGTTATTGGTATTTTTTGTATTCAGACTGTATTCCTTCCAGCTAGGAAACAGAAAGATTTTCAACCATTTACAGCGCATGATATGAATAACCCCATAAATATGTAGATATTCATAATGTGCTGTTCTGTTGCTTCAATGCAATCCCGCTTTTATGAGTTACTGTGTTTGCTGTAATGCCTACATATTTGCTGCATCCCAATTATTTGTTGCATTTTAAAAAATAGGTTTTGCAAAAAGAAACCTGTGTGGCCAGGAACCAGGAAGGAAAAAAGCAGCGTTGTTTTCCATGGGACTTCCTTAGGAACTGAATTGCACAGTAAATGTGCTCAGAATCACAATCTTGGTTGGTTTGCTGTTTAGGCTGAGGGACCCATTTATGTTTTCCTGAGAATGCAAAGTCGCCTAAAGGAAATGGGCGTCAGGTTGGTCTCTTTACTGTCAGGAAGCAATAACGACTCTTTGGCAGATAAAAATGCAAACATTTTTGAAAGCAGAGGCTTTAAAGGCCTTTGGGTGGAATTATCCAGCAGTAAAAGACTGTTGCAATTAGATTTGGAAATGACAGAGTAGGGTTTTTTCTCCCCCCCCCCCTCCAGCACATGCTTTCCTTCCATGTTTTGGTTCCACTGGGCTTCATTTCTACTAATAATTGTACAGGAAAGAGATTGGTTGCCCAGGTCTTTCCTTTGCCTTTGCAGAATAAAGTCTGCTGACAGCTATCTCTGCAACAAAACATTAATTCAAGGGAAAACGTGTTAATTGTGTGCAGAGAATGTGCATTTATTGTACAGGAAACAGACCGTGTGGGAAGATCCCAGGCAATATTAAGGCATTGTTGCATAATCTGTAAACGTGTCCTGTGATACTGGCCAAGTAACGATGGCATGCAAAATATAGGGTACAATATACATATATCAGGTCCATTAATTTAAATGGGCCTCCACTGGATGCATCCACTCAGGCTGAGGGTATTTTCTTTGCAGGAATACATTTGAGCCAATACAATTTAGGGCTGTTTGTCCATATTTTCAAAGTGAGGGGTGATTCCAAAAAAAGTACCCTTGGTCTGTCAGGTCAAACAGTATTGGGCAGTACAACTCATGGAGGAAAAATTCCAGGAATAGAAAAGCAGTTCCAAAGGTCCTTTTCAATACATGGCCTGCTTTGCAGCTGAGAAAAGCAAATTTGAAAATATCCAATAAAATAAAATCCAGTTAAGCCACTGAAATGTAACAGTATAACATACAAACAATTACTGAGACTTCAGAAACCGTATGAGAAGTTCCCAGAATCAGAGACAAGGCTTTCCTTTTTCTTAACAGATTGTTTCCCCATTCCTCACCTCTTGAAGATGTTTCTTGCTTTGCTGGCCAAAAATTCTCTGTACCTGGTAGGCTTTGGAGAGAGCATGTGTTAAACATATCAGGGACATAAAGGTGTACAGTACATGGGACGCGGGTGGCGCTGTGGGTTAAACTACAGAGCCTAGGACTTGCCGATCAGAAGGTTGGCGGTTCAAATCCCAGCGACAGGGTGAGCTCCCATTGCTTGGTCCCTGCTCCTGCCAACCTAGCAGTTCGAAAGCACGTCAAAGTGCAAGTAGATAAATAGGTACCACTCCGGCGGGAAGGTAAACGGCGTTTCCGTGCGCTGCTCTGGTTCTCCAGAAGCGGCTTAGTCATGCTGGCCACATGACCTGGAAGCTGTACACCGGCTCCCTCGGCCAATAAAGTGAGATGAGTGCCACAACCCCAGAGTCGGTCAGAACTGGACCTAATGGTCAGGGGTCCCTTTACCTTTACCTTACCACTGTACATCTAATTCTTGAACTCCTTTCTCCCTTCCTCCCTCTCTATTTCTGTGTTTTTAGGAGGAAGGGCAACGACGGTATTGATATTTGTGTAGCTTAATGTGCCTGCGCATTGAGCTTTGTGTAGCCAGCTGTATGTAAGGGAAGAACACAGTTACTCTATAAAAAAAAGAATTACAGGCCGGCAATTGCTCTGACCTTTAGTTATTCCAAATTTTCAAATTCTGGGGCAATGTGTTTGGTGCATTTTCTTTCTTTTATTATAATGCAAAGTACATGGCCTTGGCTGCCAAATTCTGATCTCTGCTTAAACTTGTTGGTGCATATGCAAACCCTGATCCATTAGTGCTTTGAATGCCCAAGGATAGGCAGCACCTAGAAAAGTGACTATTTTAAAATAGCACGGGTGGTTTAAAAAATGTTTGTGGTTTTAGCTTGCGGCTTTTCAGGTGCTATGGAGTAGCTAGAAATAATTTCAAATGGCTTCTGCTTGGATGATTTTCTCTCCCCCCCTCCCCCCCTTTCTTGATAAAGCATGGTAAAAGAGGGAAGGGAAATTGCAGAGAAGTTGGAACACCTTAGCTTCAGAAAATGTAGGACAGACCTCTGTCATGTCCTCAAAGAGGGAATCGGAGGAACTGTGGGAAATAGTGGGAATGAGACCAAGTTCGAGGCAATAGGGACAATTTTAAAAACAAACAAATCGCTGGGTTCCAAGAGTCCTTAAATAACTCAAATGTGAAATTGCTGATCTCCTAACCAAAAAAATGCATCGGATCCCTTAGGTAAGTGTCTGTACCTGAGGACTTGTTGTTGTTGTTGTTTAGTCATTTAGTCGTGTCCGACTCTTCGTGACCCTATGGACCAGAACATGCCAGGCACTCCTGTCTTCCACTGCCTCATGCAGTTTGGTCAAACTCATGCTGATAGCTTCGAGAACACCGTCCAACCATCTCGTTCTCTGTCGTCCCTTTCTCCTTGTGCCCTCCATCCTTCCCAACATCAGGTTCTTTTCCAGGGAGTCTTCTCTTCTCATGAGGTGGCCAAAGTATTGGAGCCTCAGCTTCAGGATCTGTCCTTCCAGTGAGCACTCAGGGCTGATTTCCTTAAGAATGGATAGGTCTGGTCTTTTTGCGGTCCATGGGACTCTCAAGAGTCTCCTCCAGCACCATAATTCAAAAGCATCAATTCTTTGGCAATCAGCCTTCTTTATGGTCCAGCTCTCACTTCCATACATCACTACTAGGAAAACCATAGCTTTAACTATACGGACCTTTGTTGGCAAGGTGATGTCTCTGCTTTTTAAGATGCTGTCTAGGTTTGCCATCGCCTTTCTCCCAAGGAGCAGGCGTCTTTTAATTTCATGGCTGCTGTCACCATCTGCAGTGATCATGGAGCCCAGGAAAGTAAAATCTCTCATTGCCTCCATTTCTTCCCCATGCTTAGTACATAACAAGAAGTGCAGCACTCAAATTGGAAGCGTAACATTCAAAACGGAGCATATCCGGCTTCCAGGTTTGCAATGTTTGGGTTCCAAGTTGTTTGAGAACCAGGGTACCACTGTACTGAGAAACAAATGAAGCAAGCCATTTGTCCATCTGCTGCTCTGCTTCAGATGTCAAGCTTGGCCCCAAGGGATAACATATATCTGTGTTAACTGGGATACTGTACGAATCGCCTTGTGAAAATCTGCTTTGAAAGGGGGGGCTTTTCAAGAGAGAGAGATGTGGGCAGTGCAAATGAAGGACTGCTCCACGAGTTGACAGCGGCTCTCTGTGCTTTAAGGCCATTAGAGCTGCTTTTCACAGTCCTTTGCTGAGCTGGTGTTTATCACAGCTGACGGCATATAATTTCTCCATTAGAGGTGAGGGTGCTCTGTGATTTGGTAAAGAAAACTGAACGCACACAGTGAATGAAATGTCCTTCTCCATAACGGAAAAACGTTGGATGGATCAGGATAATAATCCGTACTGAAAAATAATAATGTAACGAGTCCTCAGGGTGTCTTTAGAAGTAGATCTTAATTTATGCTAACTTCATAACATCAGCTTTTCTTGGGTTGTTGTTTTTATTTTGATTATATATTTTGTGGTTTTATATTTTGCTTTGGTTCTGTGAACCGCCCTGAGATCTCTGGGTATAGGGCAGTATATAAATACTCATGTAAAAACACACTGATTCCTGAACCGTCGGCGGGCTGGATTTAGAAGGCAATTGGGCCAGATCCGGGCCCTGGACCTTCGTTTGCCTACCCATGCTCTAGATTGTTGTCCATCCTAGAAAAGGTCCGGACTTGTACAAACGCATGCGCAACTCAGTACAGGAGTTATTGTGGCAGCGTGAATGGGATTCAGCTTGCATGAGCGCTCCAGCCGTAGGGCTGGAAGTTGAATCAGATCAGCTTCAGGTTCTTTCCAGGCCTGACACCACATCTGCGAGGATGATATTTTAGGAGCCTGAAGTGCGTGGCTGGAAAGCTCGCAAATCTGTTGTGTAATAACTTGGCAATTTGTAAAGGGGGTGGGGGGGAATATAGCTGGATCCCCCCGCCCCAGGATTGTAAACTCCCGGTTAACCGAATCTCTCTGTCATTATCCTTTGTTCAGAGACTGGATCTTGGCTGAGTCAGTAGTGCTGCTTGAATTACAGCCAGTTACTTCATCCAGGAGTAAATTCTTTTCTTCTATTTCAGCAAGTAGCTGCTAGCTCAGAAGCATCTTTTCTTCTCCTAATAATGACAGCAGCTCAGTGATCTAATTTAATGTCTTTATCCTTCTTTGTCTGCCCACTGTGCATGCTTTTGTTAAAATTGATCTCCGCTGTTGGAGATTATCGTATAAGTTTTCGTCTTCGTCTTCAGCCACTTTTAAGTCTTTTTTAAATCATGATTGTTATTTTGCAACGACGCACCAGGAATTATTAAGTGCATGTGGGCTATTTGCCAGTGTGGATTTTTAACAATGGGAAGAATGGAGCCATTATGTTGTGAGATCTGCGGGCACAGGGCAGTATACAAATTTAAATAACAATAATAACAATAAACAAATAAGTGGGAAAATGTAAATTACCCAAATATAAATTGTTTTGCTTTACTTATTTACTTGTCTTTATCTTGTATTTTATTCTGTGAACCACACTGAGATCTTATGATGAAGGACACTATACAAATCTAATAAATAAATAGACTGAAATCAAATCAATATATGTAGGCTGTTCTGGAGAACTGGTTGTGCTTTGCGGCTTATTTACTTCTGAAGGAGCACTGTCCTCTTTGTTATAGAAGCAGTGTTCAAAATTAGCCAGATGCCAGGCGCATTTTGCGACTGGCGCAGGTCCAGTTGCGACCGCGTGGAGATCTCTGGGTGCCCAGTTGGCAAAGCAGGTTCTCCTTCATGGAGAGCATGGGTTGTGGTGGGGGCAACCAAGACATCCCTCTTTTGCTGGGTGGGTTAGTATAGATGGCCACGAATCTGATTGGGTACCCCTCAGTCGTTGGGGATAATTTGGTGTTGCAATTTTATGAGTGACTGTTGAGGGGCTGTTTATTCCCTGCGCGCAGCGTTGAGCTTCCTCTTTTCGCTGCATGCATCGGATCACCCTCCCTATACTTACAACAACCGCCATCATGACAGGGTGGGAGATCTCAACCTCCTCTCCTTTTCCGTTCCCAGGCGTGCCGTTCCCAAAGAACTTCCTTCAGATCTGCAAGAAGATCTTGTGCCGGCTCTTCCGGGTCTTTGTCCACGTCTACATCCACCACTTTGACCGCATTATCATCATGGGGGCTGAGGCCCACGTCAACACCTGTTACAAGCACTTTTATTATTTCGTGACGGAGCTCACCCTCATAGACCGCAAGGAACTGGAACCTTTGGTAAGTGTTTAGTGTTTTATTTATTTATTAGCCGCGGAGGGAAATGCAAAGCCAGCAGGGGCAGCTGCTCCTTCCTTGGTCAAGGGTTTTGGTCAGACCAGTCTTCCACTCAACATGGACCTTGATTTCTCACTGGTGGCAGAAGTGAGAATGAGTCTCTCTTCAGTTATGCAGTTCCATTTTTTTTTAAAATGATATTTATTAAAGTTTCAAAGAAAGGATTACATAAATAAAAAGAGGGGGGGAAAGAAAAAGAAACAAAAAGGGGAAAAATACAAAATACAAAAAAAGATAAAAAACACTTAAACAACACATCAGTCTTTCCATGCCTTACATTTCATTTCCTTACTTCCCTGTCCTCCTCACACCTCCCTTTTTTGTATTCCAGTTCTGTTAGTTAATTCAGCAATTCCTTTCCCTCTTTGTTTTTGTCTTAATCCTTTAACTTAATATATTATAACTTTGGATTTTCACCTGTTAACAATCCATTTTTACATACACCTTTATAACATTACTGCTAAAACCACTTAACTTCATTCTGACATCATTCTAACATTCATTAATTTTGCAGTATTTCTGTAAATAGTCTTTAAATTTCTTCCAATCTTCTTCCACCGACTCTTCTCCCTGGTCTCGGATTCTGCCAGTCATTTCCGCCAGTTCCATATAGTCCATCACCTTCATCTGCCATTCTTCCAGAGTGGGTAAATCTTGTGTCTTCCAATACTTTGCAATAAGTATTCTTGCTGCTGTTGTGGCATACATAAAGAAAGTTCTGTCCTTCTTTGGCACCAATTGGCCGACCATGCCCAGGAGAAAGGCCTCTGGTTTCTTCAGGAAGGTATATTTATATACCTTTTTCATTTCATTATAGATCATCTCCCAGAAAGCCTTAATCCTTGGGCATGTCCACCAAAGGTGAAAGAATGTACCTTCAGTTTCTTTACATTTCCAACATTTATTATCGGGCAAATGATAGATTTTTGCAAGCTTGACTGGTGTCATGTACCACCTGTATATCATTTTCATAATATTCTCTCTTAAGGCATTACATGCCGTAAACTTCATACCTGTGGTCCATAACTGTTCCCAGTCAGCCATCATTATGTTATGTCCAACATCTTGTGCCCATTTAATCATAGCAGATTTCACCATTTCATCCTGAGTATTCCATTTCAACAGCAAGTTATACATCTTTGACAAAATCTTAGTTTTGGGTTCTAACAGTTCTGTTTCTAATTTTGATTTTTCCACCTGGAAGCCAATTTTCTTGTCCAAATTGTATGCCTCCATTATCTGATAATAATGAAGCCAATCTCACACTTTGTTTTTTAGTTTCTCAAAACTCTGCAGTTTCAATCTATCTCCCTCTTGTTCCAGAATTTCCCAATATTTCGGCCATTTGGCCTCCATATTGAGCTTTTTCTGAGCTTTCGGTGACAGCCCAGTTATGCAGTTCCAGGGCAGAATGAAGAAACCAAAGATCTGTTTTTGTTGGCTTTCCAGATTATGTTATCCTGCAGATCTCCTGGGCCAATAGAGCCCTACCAGTTTTCTGTCAGTTTGGAATCATAGAATTGTAGAGCTGGAAGGGACCCTGTGGATCATGCAGCTGCCCCATACAAGGATTGAACCTGCAACCTTGGCATCATCAGCACCACACTCTCACCAACTGAGCTATCCAGTTTCCTTGGGTGTATTTTGTTGTGAAGGGAAGTGATGGCACTGACCCATGCCTCAGATGTAATTTCAGTTCCCCCAGGACTTGTAAGTCTTTCCAGAATTGGATTGATCATTCTGGGAGTATCAAGATCGATTTTACATTCAACCCAGAAGGGTCCTGTTTGTCTCTCCACCCCTCCAATCCATCTGTGTAAGAAAGCTTGCACATCATATTGCTTAAGTACGGCATGAATAATTTCCCCCGTGAGCACACGGCAGTGTGTTGGCTTTTAACCGAATCCAGCTACAATTGCACAATCTACAGGTTGTAGTTGATTGCTTTGCTAAGTTTAATTAATGTAATGGAGCTGCATTTCGGGGGAGGAAGAAAAGTCAATCATAATAAAGAGCAAGGAGTGTTTCGAAAGCAGATTCTGGTTTTTCATTGCCAAAGCAAGACGCTACCAAGCAGCTAACTTTTTATATTTGATTAAGAATATAAAGTAAACAGACGACTACATCACCTGTTTGTTGGACCTTCTAGCTATGTGGGAATCTACACGTGGTTGCAAAGGGCCTGAGAATGTACACCCAAGTTTATGTACCCAACGCGTACTTTGAAACTTTATCTCAAGGTTCAGGGGGCATTTGGGGGGGGGAGGTATATTCAAGTCTAAACACCCACCAGACCTCATCCTCTGAGGCAAGCCATTTCATGAGAAAGGCACATTGTCGCTCAAGTGCTGGGAAGTCTCAAAATATTAGTATTTGCGTAGTACAAGGCAGTCTTTTAACAACGAAACTGTTCCAAGTGTGTCCCTCCATACCCATGAAACTGACCTGGCAAGGTTAATCTTTTTTATGCAATGCTAAATACTGCTCAATTATTAACTTGTCGCTCACTCATTTAGTCCTGGTTTTTCCCTTTTGTTTCTAAGAGGCTCTCCCATCCCCTCCTAGAAAAGGATGGGAGAGAGAGAATAAAATAAAGAACAGGATTGTTGTCTCTATGGATTTCCTAGTGCTTGCTGAGCAATTACAAAGTGGGGAAGGGGGGGTGGGAGGTAGGATTCACAAAGGGAGCTTCCCAGTGAACAGAAGTACTGAGCCCAGTGAGTTGCAGAAAACTTCAGGCGTGCTCTGTGTGTCTTTGGCTTCCAACTGTCAATCACAGAATCGTAGAGTTGGAAAGGGACCCCCGGGGTAATTTAGTCCAACCCCCCGCAATGCAGGAATCTCAGCTAGAGCATCCAGGACAGATGCATCCACCCCCATCGTTCTGCCAGGACACTGAGGTCCACCTCCAAGGGCCTTCTGGAGGTTCCCTCTCTGCAAGAAGTGAGGTTACAGGGAACCAGGCAGAGGGCCTTCTCGGTAGTGGCACGCCCTCCCATCAGATGTCAAGTAAATAAACAACTATCTGACGTTTAGAAGACATCTGAAGGCAGCCCTGTTCAGGGAAGTTTTTAATGTGTGACATTTTAATGTATTTTTAATTTTTGTTCGAAGCCGCCCAGAGTGGCTGGCGAAACCCAGCCAGATGGGCGGGGTATAAATAATAAACTATTATCATTATTATGGCCATCCAACTTCTGCTCAGAAAAACTGCCAAGCAAAGAGAGTCCACAGTCTCCAAGCCGTGACTGTAATTCCCTCACCCTTTGTTTGTGAGATATTCTTTTTTCAAAAAAGAAAATTAAGTTCATTTCATTATTTTTAGCATTATTGGTGCATTCTGCCTTCCGGCGTTAATTATGGGAATGTGATGATGATTGAGAGGTTTCTTTGAACACTCTTTGAGTTTTTCTTACAGTCAAGGGGTGTGTATATTCTGTTAAGTAATCTCCACATCAAAGATATGTGTTGCACGGAGGGGGAGGGGAGACCATGTGGTTATGGACGGAGCTCGCAGGTGAAGGGAAGAGGTGGAAAATGCTAACAGGGACATGGATTGATGGAGGAAGAGCATCATCGTACAGTGGTACCTCGGGTTACATACGCTTGAGGTTACATATGCTTCAGGTTACAGACTCTGCTAACCCAGAAATAGTGCTTCAGGTTAAGAGCTTTGCTTCAGGATGAGAACAGAAATTGTGCTCTGGCTGCGCGGTAGCAGCAGGAGGCCCCATTAGCTAAAGTGATGCTTCAGGTTAAGAACAGTTTCAGGTTAAGTACAGACTTCTGGAATGAATTAAGTACTTAACCTGAGGTACCACTGTACTGAGAGCCTTGCTGACCGGTTCTGCAAGGTTTTGGGGGCAGTGCTGCGGTTATAGCACATGAGCTGCGCACAACGCGAGCCTCCGCTCAGCCAGATACTGATTCTGTCTTTATAAATAGGAGTAATCACCACATTTTGTGCTACCCACCTCCCTCAGTTGACATGTGTGCTTGGAGGAATTCGGGGAAAGAAATATATCAAAAATAAAATATGCAAATACAAAGTCTGTCGTAGTGTTGTGCAAGGAGAAATCTCCCAGCGTTCCCCCTAAATCTGTTTTGGAGCATATTTAGGGGTTGGTTCGTAGAGATAATTCTACCGTAACTGCACTAATTCAGTTGAATATTGCTCAAAGTATTTCTGCAGGGAATTGCAAAGAGCCACAGAGAGTGGCTGCTCGTGTTACTATTGGGGAGTCACTTTTAGTCCCAGAGCCAAATGTCATTCTGGGCAACAGTCCAGAGGTTGCGTGCCTGAGATGTGCATTTTACCTTCATACAGTAGGCTACTTTCTACACACATGCACCCTCTATATCAGGTGTGGGGAACTTTGGCTCTCCATATCTTGTTGAACTACAATTCTCGTCAGCCCCAGAAGCATGGCCAGTGGCCCTGGGTTTTGGGAGTCATAGTTCAACAACATCTAGAGAGCCAAAGTTTTTCCACACCCAGTCTATATCGTCCTCCATTCAGGCGAATGAGCAGCATTTCCTTCAGACTTTCGCGGGAATCTTCTCCATTAAATCTTCGTTGCCATGTTCATAGATCTAAGGAGAGCTCGGTTCAGGTTGCAACAAGTATATAATTAAAAAGGGAACATTTTGCATTTCTTGATGGCTAAATACCAAGGCAGCTGCTTATTTCCGTGCACGTTGAAAATCTGTGCGCAGGTTTGCTTTGCCTCACGTCCACGTTGCTTTCATAATTAATTGGATGTTTAAATATGGGACTGTAATTTTGCAATGCTGGCATTTGGAATTATGTGAGTGTGTCGTGTTTGTTTTTCACTTAGCAAACGGCTTTGTGTTGGTGCCTTTGTTGATTGGCCTTTATGGGCACGGAATGATTTAAACGAGGAGGAAAAATCTGCTTCTGTTTTGAAATTGCAAACATTCACAAGCCCACAGAGTCTTTTCATTTGGGTCTGCGTAGGCTCACGGGTTTGCTTAGACGGTTGAGTCATTTTGTTGCGCTGCAGCTTTTTAGTCTGCTTCCAGTTCAGATGTTTCCAGCTGCAGAGCATCTGTTTCTCATGCAGAAGGCCCCACATTAAACCCCTGGCATCTTCAGGTGGGGCTGGGAGAGAACCCCCCGATTCTCTGGGCATGCCTTCTAGGAAGACGAGACTGCTGTAGACCAGGGGTCAGCAAACTTTTTCAACAGGGGGCCGGTCCATTGTCCCTCAGACCTTGTGGGGGGCCAAACTATATTTTGGAGGGGGGGATGAATCCCTGCGACGGGGTGAGCTCCTGTTGCTCGGTCCCTCCTCCTGCCAACCTAGCAGTTTAAAAACACGTCATGTGCAAGTAGATAAATAGGTACCGCTCCGTTGGGAAGGTAGACGGCGTTTCCGTGCACTGCGCTGGTTTGCCAGAAGCGGCTTAGTCATGCATGACCCGGAAGCTGTACGCCGGCTCCCTCGGCCAGTAAAGCGAGATGAGCGCCACAACCCCAGAGTCAGTCATGACTGGACCTAATGGTCGGGGGTCCCTTTACCTTTACAGCAAACTTTTTCAGCAGGGGGACGGTCCACTGTCCCTCAGACCTTGTAGAGGGCCAGACTATATTTTGGAAAGAAAGAAACCCAGAGTTGCATTTTGAATAAAAGGACACATTCTACTCATGTAAAAACTCACTGATTCCTGGTCCGTCCGCAGGCCAGATTTAGAAGGCGATTAGGCCGGATCTGGCCCCTGGGCCTTGGTTTGCCTACTCATGCTGTAGACCATGTGTGTCCCACATATGTGAGTTGCAACTAAAATGTGAGGAGGGTACCAGCTTGCGGAAGCCTAAGCTATGGCAAAATGCTGAGATATGAAGCCAGATGCTCTGGAGGACGGGATCGAGACCGACCCTTCGCACCTGAAGTGGTAGATGATGTTCCCCCATTTTATAGGCATAAAAACTACAGAGAAGACACTCATGTATCAGAATGACTTAGTGGTGAATGACAGCTTTGCTGTCTAGGTCATTTTTTAATCATCTTTTCAAAAAAAAAATAGACTCACACCATTACACTTGGTTCCTAGGCAATGGTTGCGCAGGCAGAAAATTCATCTCATTCTGCATAAATCAGCTCTCAGAAGCTGTAAAAGAGACTTTGGTATGGCCCTTTAGTGCACTTGCAGCAAAGGGAGAGATGATAATTAATTAATTTCTGTACTTCCCTTTATCCCAAGATCACAGAGCGGCTTACAAGATAAAAACACAAAATGTCTTACTATACAGTGGTACCTCGGGTTACATACGCTTCAGGTTACAGACTCCACTAACCCAGAAATAGTGCTTCAGATTAAGAACTTTGCTTCAGGATGAGAACAGAAATTGTGTGGCATTAGCAGGAGGCCCCATTAGCTAAAGTGGTGCTTCAGGTTAAGAACAGTTTCAGGTTAAGTACGGACCTCCGGAACGAATTAAGTACTTAACCCGAGGTACCATTGTAGTAACAAAAAATAATAATACTCCCCCCCCCCCGAGTTTAAAAGACCATAGTTTAATTACTCAAACCTTTACAAACTCAAGGCTTTAAGATGCCTACATCTTAAAAATACACCAGCATTTGTTTAACTCAGATACAGAACCAGATAGGAATCTTATTTTGTGTGTGTTTATTTTCCCATTCAGAGCTTGGGATAGCCAGTTAGGAGTACTTTGATCATAAACATTTGAGCCTGGGACTGTCTGAGGACAGGATCTGGAGTGAGTGAGGCAAAAGCTATTTTGCAGGGTAGTGTTTTCCAGATATTCTGCTGTTTGTATTCCCAGGGTATTTCAGAACAGAGAAGCTCATAGAGGGTCATCTTTTAATGATTGGGAGAGAAGGCCGGGAGTGGTCCAAAAGCTGTTTTGTGGAGCAGATGTGTTTAATTCCAACATCCTCATTCAGGGAGCATCTGCACCTTTGAATCGAAACAGGGAATTTGGAAAAGTGGGCAAGTAACCACCTGTAATTCATCTCTCTTTGGAAGGCTGTACCGTTAAAAATAGTCCCACATCACGTTTCATCTCCCAGCCACAGCAATAGGCTTGGCGCCGCTTAGTGGCTAGAAGTCAAAATAACACAAACAGGAGCTGATGCTTGAATCTGTTTTGTCCATTTGAGAAACATCAGAAAGCAGGGGTCAGCAAGGTTTTTCTTGCCTGGGCCGGATCAGTTCCGCAGAGATCCCTCCATGGGTCGGATCGCGATTTTCAACCTCTGCGCAGGTGCGGTTTTCGGCGCCGCACTGCGCCGGTTTAGCACAGCGGGCAACTCAGTTCGGGGGCGGCTCATGGGCGGGTCAAATGACCCCTGCGGGCTGCTTCCGGCCCATGGGCCTTAGGTTGCTGACCCCTGAAAGTATCGTTTGGCAAGTCTGTCAACTATTCCTCAGAAATCCCGCACTCGGTCGCTTCCTATTTGCAGTAACAATTCCAGTTTTTGCACCGTCTGCAAATATGAACTGTGGAACTCCCCACCATAGCTGTCAACCGTCCCTTATTTGGTGGGAAAGTCCCTTATCCCAGCGCCGTGTCCTGCTGCTGTCCCTTATTGATGATGTCCCTTAAATTTCCCGGGTTTCAAAGGAAGCAGCTCCTCTCCCTCCCTCCCTGCCGGCCAGGGAGGAGGGAGGCTCCAGCTGTGTTGCTTGGCTGCATTGCTCACCCAATAAGGAGTCTAAGAATGACTGGGGGGTGGAGCTTGCATGCCTTGTGCCGATCAAATCGGCCGCGTTGCCTGGGGACTTGCCTTTGCTCAGCGCTTCCCAGCGGAGAGGTGACGGTGGTTTTCATTGCTGGGATGCTGCGCTGTGGGAACCACCGCTTGAGGCTTTGTTTGGCTGCTAGCTGGGCTTTCTGCCTTTGGCTCGGAGGGCCTCAGAAGTTGAACATACCTGTGCTAGGAAAATCCCTTATTTTGGCTGCTGATCCCTTATTTTCGAGGCTGCTGGTCCCTTATTTTCGAATCTGTAAGTTGCCAGCTATGCTCCCCACAGGGACTTAACCCTGTCTTTTGACTCTTGATATGTGTCTTTTGAGGACCAGCTTGGTTTTATTAGTTTTTCTCCCCACTGCGTGGGGAAAGAATTAGGAGTCATATATTAATACCACTGTTACCTGTAAGAAGCAGCTCTCTGAACTTACATGCGTCCATTAGTATTGTGGTGGTTACAAGGCAAAATACATTGTTTTCCCTGTTGTCCTAAGTCTTCAGACATTGTAAACCAGAGCTGCACAACTTGTAGATCCACCAAGCTAAGCTCAAGGTCACCAGCCATGGCATCAGGGAGTATTTGGCGACTGTTGTTCAAGCAGCAAATACAGGACGTTTATTGGGCTGCTGTTGGACTCAGCTGGTCCGTAGATCAGTAGTAGAGCAGGCAGAAGGTCTTAGGTATTATTCCCAGCATCTCCAGGCATGCCCAGGAATGTCCTCTGCCAGAGCCATAGACTAACTGGTTGTAGACATTATTACTGAGTTAGATGGACGGCCCAATGATCAAACTTGCTTTAGGGCAATTTCCCATGTCCCTGTGACTTTGTTCTGCACAGCCCTAGCCTAGCATAAAGCCCTCTAAGAAACGGTGCCAATTCAAAAATGTCTCTTCCTTCCCAGCCTCAGCTGGGGAATTGCAGGTCACAACCAAGGCCCTAAAATTCACCCATTTAAGGTTAGATTAGAAGCTGGCTTTTAATTTGAATTCAAAATGGGGAGTGCAAACAGCAAAATTCAGATTTTATTTGCCTGACTTGTACAATACAGTTTCTTTATTTGTTACCTATGGTTTATCCCACTTAAGGTGTAATCCCATTCCATTGGAGATTTGACTGCAGTTCCATCAGCTGCCACTCCCTGATGGAAAACTAACTTCCAACGAGGGGTTATTGGCATATTAGGAATCCCACTGTATGATCTTGAAATGCTTTTTGTCTGATATCTGTGCAGCTAATTTCCTTGTTTTAAGGTAGGATGCAAAAGATTAGGAAATTAAGCAACCCATTAGAGCTGTCAGAATGATAAAAGGGTAGCACATGAATTTGCTGGTTCCCGATACTGCCCTTGAAGATGGCAGAGAGAAGACAGAGAATGTTATGAAGCTGCTTTATACAAGTGGTGACTATTTTAGGCGTGTTCAATTGACACACAGGTCCTTTTTGACCCAGAAGAACGCAGAATGGGAGTGGGGCAGGGCGTAATGGGGCAGGGGGCGCTTATATGCTCTCTGATAATCATGTGGGGTGTCGGAAACAGAACCCCCGTCTGAAATGGCTGCCCCTTGCCAGATCATTGGTCCATTTAGCTCAGCATGGGATTGGGGAACTTTTTTTGAGGCTATTTGTGTTTCACCCCCCAGGCCTGAGACTCTCCTCTACTTGTTGACACAGTCTGGAAAAACGTGTTCTCCCTAGCAGAGAGCACGTGTTGCGGTGGGGGATACAAGCCACCCCAGTGTTGCTGGGCGGATTTGCAGAGTGACCCAGGCAGTGAATTGGTTACCGTATTTTTCGCTCGATAACACGCACCCGACCATAACACGCATGTAGTTTTTAGAGGAGGAAAACAAGAAAAAAAATATTCTAAACGAAACAGTGGATGTATGATTTTTGTGGTTCATGCTGTGGCCACAGACATGTGATCTGACGGTGAGTTTGGGGTAGCCCAATGCAAAAATCCTGAGGATCCATGTGGATCCATGCTTTGTAACCACGTTTTTGCGCCATTGCGGCCCCATGAAACAGTGGGTTCGTGTGTTTTTTGGTGCAGGCTGTAGCCATGGACATGCTATGTGATCTGATGGTGAATTTGGGGTGACCCAGTTCAAAAATCCTGAGGATCCATGTGGATCTGTGCTTTGTAACCACGTTTTAAGTGGGGAGGGAAGGAAAAGCACTCAAGCGACAAGGAGCACGTGTGGAGCAGGCTCTGCTTCTCTCCCTCCTCCCCCCCCCTTAAGCAGGTTCCTTTTTTTTTTTTAAATAATTTTTATTAAGGTTTCAATCAAAAATTAAACAGAAAAAACATAAAAAAGATACACAAATACACAATACAAATCCCAGAAAGAAATAAAAAAACACAAAAAGCAAGAAACAAGAATAAAAAAAGAAACATAACAATTAAAAACAATATCACTTTTCCATTTCCGTTTTTGAATTTACTTATTTTCTGGACTTCCTCATACCTCCCTCTTTTGTATTCCAGTCCAAATTGTTTGTCCAGCAATTTCTTTTCCACTTTATTAATCCCAATCTTTAATCTTAATATAATATATAATGCTTAAACTTCTTTAATCCTAATCTTTAATCTTAATATAATATAGCATTAAAATTTTACCTCTTAAATACCAAATTTCCATTTCCTTAAACATCTTTAATCCTAATCTTTAATCTTAATCTGTCAATAACTTTAACCTGTACAGCTGGAAACCACTTATTTTCGATCCAACATCACTCTAACATTCTTTAATTTTGCAGTGTTTCTGAAGATAATCTTTGAATTTCTTCCAATCTTCCTCCATCGACTCTTCTCCCTGGTCACGGATTCTGCCAGTCATTTCTGCCAGTTCCATATAGTCCATCAGTTTCATCTGCCATTCCTCCAGTGTGGGGCAGGTTCTGCTTCTCTCCCTCCTATCCCCCAACCCCCCACTCTCCCCTTAGCGAGCTGAAAATCTTTCCTTCTCCTTTAAAGCAAGCAGGTTCTGCTTCTCTCCCTCCTCCCCCCCCCCCTTAGCGAGCTGAAAATCTTTCCTGCTATTTCCAGCAAAGCATGACGAGAGATACAGAGAGCCTGCTTGCTTTAAAGGAGCCAACCGGACAGGAGCAGCTCCCCTCCCGCTTTGCTCCTTTAAAGAAGCAGGCACTCTGTCCCTCTCTCCTCCCCATTCAGCGGCTCTTCTCCCGCTGGAAACCACGGAGGAGGGAAGCATTCGCTCCGTAACACGCACAGACATTTCCCCTTACTTTCTAGGACGAAAAAAATGCGTGTTATGGAGCGAAAACTACGGTAATTGGGTCGCTGGGGAGAATTGCTTGTTGCCAATTTTGAAGGAGGGGTCAGAGGTTTTAAATATTGGACGCCCAACTTTGGCCGTCATCTTGGCTGCTTGCACCGGATCACCCACCCACCCTCCCTGTATTGGGGGGGTTGTTCGCTTGACCTTGCTATGCCTGTCATGGGGTCGTCTGCTTTGAGGCAGGGGCCTGGTAGGAATTTTGTCCATTTGGCTGATTGGCTGGTGCCATTTGGTTTTTGCCTACTGCGTAGCAAATTGTCACAACTTGTAAGGTTGGCGGTTAGGCATTGGTTCAAATTGGTTGGTGGAGGGGTAAGTGCCTACCCCTCCAATGGTGATGCTGAAAGGGAATTCCGTTAAAGGAATCCAGGGGCTTGCCATTCTTTTAGTCCTTGTCCCTGGCATCGGACTTGGGCCATGCAAGCCACCAGGAGCATGAGGGTGAGAAGTGAGGGACTGAGGCCCAGCTTCATTTTCTCCCCAAAATTGTTTCCCTCACTGGCTTCCGCTGGAATCTGGAAGTCAGTTCTGTCCCTGGGCAAGGACAGATAGTCGGAACCAATGCCTAAGCAACCACTCACTTGTGTGTATTTAAATAAAGTTGTGGCCAAAATCGTGCCAAAAACCCAAACCAAAATTGATGTGTGATGTGTGAATTATTGGGGGGTGGCTTGGGGACCTCGACACACAACACTTCTCCAGGATACCTGACGGGAATCTTTCCCAAGTCTTCCTGGAGATGCTGAGAATTGAACATGGCGCCTTCTCTGTGTACAGCAGATCCCCTGCTGCTTGGCTCCCCAGCACTGTAGAGATGCACAGAATAACCGCTGCTGGTGTCAAAAACCTGTCCAGATTTGTGGTATGTTAAAGGAGCGACTTGTGACTTTAACTGCTTCCCTTGTTTTACAGAAAGAGATGACAGCCCGGATGTGTCACTGAAGAACCACTGTTGAATGAACGAAAAACACAATTTCCTGCTAACTAAAGAAGACCTAGAGGACACGCCAGCCCTCAGAGGGAAAACTTGCCTCCTTTAATCCTTAAAAAGCAGGAACCGTCAGGGACAGGAGTTTATTGCTTTCACAGACACCTTCCCACAGTTGTGTATGCTCTTAACCCTAAAAATGCCGCTCAGTACCTCCTTGGAATGATGTGGATGACTTGGAAAGAAAGGACAAAATGATTCTTTTTTCCGTATTCCCTGAATGAGTGAGGAGGAACTCGTCAGACTACAATTCGATTCCGTCCACCTTCCTGCTCTTAAAGCTTTACTGCAAGTTTGGTCTCTCGGTGTACTTTCAAAACCAACTATTGTTAAACTGTGGTTATAAATACATTGTTTTCGGGTACAGTACATGTTAAAGACCTCAGCAGAGTATCTGGCTGCCTTTTCCAAATCAGCTTAGAAAGTAACTCTCAGCCTGTTTTTTGCCTAAAAGGGGAAAAAGAGATGATGTGCATTTATATATATATATATATACACCAGAAACTGAGATTGATACTTTAGGCATCAATCTTTGTTTTCCAGAGCTCAGGTAGGGAAGTGATCAATTACCTAGTGGAACAGACAAACTGGTTTTTTCCACTTGAAACTGTCATGCCTTAGAAAGGTGGCGACTTTCAAAACACCATGAGTTTTGTGTGTGCTTCTTGCCTGTGTTACAGCTCTCTAGGATTGATACCTACAGACCTTAACTCAGTCCTGAAACCACTTGCAATGATCACCACAGTCCTGAGGTCCCAGATAAAAACTGTGGGGGCTTTCTCTCTACTTTCCCCTGGCAGCAGGCTCACTCAAACCGGGAAAAGAAATGCCAAATCATATTCTCACACACACACACACACACACACACTATAAAAAGTTGTTTTCCAACTCGTGATAGTGAGTAGCAATGGCAGTTTCTGGAAGGAGGCCATAGAGAATGCTCTGATGCATGAGATTCATGGATTAAATACAGTGGTACCTTGGAAGTTGAACGGAATCTATTCTGGAAGTCCATTCGACTTCCAAAACGTTTGGAATCCAAGGCGTGGCTTCTGATTGGCTGCAGGAAGCTCCTGCAGCCAATCGGAAGCCGCACCGGACGTTCGGGTTCCAAAGAACATTCGCAAACCGGAACACTCACTTCCGGAACGTTGGACTTGCAAGACCTTCAGGATCCAAGGTACAACTGTAATACATTTCAGAATTTGGAAGGCCCAGTTGGTGTGTGCATGCAGAGCCCACTAAGGAAACAAAAAGCGCAGGTATGGGGAACCTGTGGCCCTCTAGAAGGTATTGGACTACAATTGCCAACATCCTTATTATTGGCCATGCTGGCTGGAGCTGATGGGATTTGTAGTCCAACATATGGAGTGCCACAAATTCCTGTTCCTGACTTAGGGAGAAATATTATTGTTGTTATTTTAAAAAAGGAAGGCAGTGACAACTTCTGACAGAAAGAGAGAGATAATATGAGTCATAAGGAATTCCAATTTGTTAGCCCTATAAGCGTCACTCCGCTGCACCATGTTTATTGAAATCAGTGACTTGTAGGGCATTTTCAGAGACCTGGCTTGCGCACGCCCACCTCTGAACTGCAATTATAGTGATTCAGTGAGAGCTACACTATGAGACCATAGTACATGTCGTGATCACCTATGCAGCTTTCTAGATCTTCTTTTACCTTACTCAAGATGACCTGGCAAATGCTTCGAAATGCCACTGTGCCTCAATTATTTTTCTACTAAAACGTTTGTTTTCTTTCTTGACACTTCACTTACCAGGAAATTGGTGGTTGGTGTGATTGTGATACTGGTTTCAATGTTGAGTGGGGGAAAGGAGACCTTTGTTTGAGGAAATGATAAAAGTAGCATGGCTTTAAGGCAGCATCCCAGTGCTTGTTAAAAAGCGATGCACTTTGTAAGTGCAAGAGATCTGTAGTTGATAAGTTGCATGTGTGGCTGACTGGAGTGGTTACGTACATGTCTTGTTCTTCCGATTGCTGTCCTTCATTCCTAATTTTATCCCTTCTCGTAATATGAAAAACAAACTCCTTGTTGGATGTTGCAAGAATAATGATTGAATGTTGCAAGAATAATGATTAAGATGATGATGTTAGACTCATTCCATTTTGTCTGGTGTCTGATAAAATACCCACCCTCCAAAGCTTAGTAAACAGATGAATTGTCACCGAGTCTTAGCCAGTGAAATTGATATTGGTGACATCCGCAAACAGCCAAGAGATATCCACGGCTAAGCCTATTAACCAGTGTTTACTGACACAGTTTTAGAGATGCAATTTAGAAAACGAAAGGAGTACTGTAGAATTCGCCATGTGCCTTCTGTGGAATTTAGTCCAGTCTTTGATCATATAAATAGCTTTGGAATTTATTTGTCCTTTGACTAACTGGTAATTCTTTGACTTTTTGAAAATCAATAATTTGGAAACTAATCCCACAGGAGGCGAAGATTTAAAAATATTGATGGGATAAGGCAGCATGTATTAACCTTGCAGCATAATGTGCATTGAAAGATGTTGGGAATCTGCAAGAAGTTATTTTTGATATGCACATGTTTTTGTTCCCATATGGTCTGAATACCAACTTTTACAGTTAACACAAAAATGTGAAGTTTTGAATCACAATATCAATGTAATTTTTTTCTATTTAAAGATGAAGGTTTCTAATATGCAGAAGTGCTACGGGAATGGATTTGTGATCTCACGAGGGCAAATCTCATCACTGTTAGGTAGAGGTGGTTTCTACCGCAAACTGGTAAGAACCAGTTTCCCCTAACCTCAGTCCTGACAAAAACATTGTACATTTAAACACAACACAGCGGATGAGCTACCCCACTTCTACCGCTCAGGATTTAAGTGGTAAAGATTACTGTTTCCATTTAAAAAAACAACACTTTACTGGTTTAACTTTCTGCTATTTCAAGAATTTTCAAACCTAAGCCAGGATCAGAGCAACCTGAGAACTTCCACATGTTAAGCAATGTTTTGGATACTCAACTTCCTGAACCTAGCGCCCATGGTACCATGCCAGCGGATGGCACATTTATGTTTTGAGGACGAAATTCTTTGTGTCTGTCTCTTTCAGTAACCTGGCATTTAGAATTTATTTTAACATGTAACCCCAGGGGAATTAAATAACAGGGACCTGATTGGGTTGATTGGAACCACTCTGGGTAAGATTTTGGAAGAGCGTTGAGGCAACAGGGACAGCTTTAATACAATTTGGTGAATCGCTATTGTCTCATTGCACAGAGTTGCTTTGTAAGGCATGAAGCGGCCAAATTCTAAGCCACTACTCTGGGTGGGTGGGGTCGACTGTTGCTCTCCATGGTTCATAGTGGTAGAAGATGCACTGGAAGCTCAGCTTTTTAAAAGTAGTCTATATAAATGAGGGTTCAAAGCCTGCAAACTGGCCAGAGATCTCTGTTGAATTTCACAACGGTTAATGTCCCAGGATACAAGATAAAGCTGATGGGAGTTTATCAGAGAGGCCCTGGGGTCCCTGTTCACAGATTGCCATATTTTTCACTCTATAAGACGCACCAGACCACAAGACGCACCTAGTTTTCGGAGGAGGAAAACAAGAAAAAAAATACTCTGAATCTCGGAAGCCAGAACAGCAAGAGGGATCGCTGCGCAGTGAAAGCAGCGATCCCTCTTGCTGTTCTGGCTTCTGGGGATTCAGCAGCCTGCGCAGCCTGCATTCACTCCATAAGACGCACACACATTTCCCCTTACTTTTTAGGAGGGAAAAAGTGAGTCTTATAGAGCAAAAAATACGGTAATCTACAGAAGGTAACAATGCTGCTAAGTCTGGATCTTAAACAGCTCACCCTGATGATGATAAAATATTTTTGGGAGCATTCTATTTTACAGACAGTGAAAGGTGAGTACATATGCTTTGCAGCTGCCTTTCCCCAAACTGGTCCCCTCCAGATGTTTAGGTCTACCGCTCCTAGCAACATGGCCAGTGATCAGGAATCATGGGAGTTGTAGGCCAAAACATCTGGTGGCCACTATGAACTGATTTTCTCCTTCTGAAGTTTTGAATAAAACATGGCTGGCCTGAGATTTCAACAGTTTATTAAACACAGGCATAGAAACTCCGTCTGTCATGCATTCTCAACTCTGTTTTGAGAACCCAGCAAAAAACAGATACTAGAAACTGATAATGCTGCTTCTTTTTGACTGTTCAGGCGTCCCTGCTTTGAAGTGGGTATAGTTTTATGTTGGAACAGTTTCCCAAGGAGCACAGTTAATGTGTCTTACCTGGTCTGTGATGGTATGTGGAAGTTTCCCCTCCACTAATTTAGACAAAGACTATGGTTTGTTTTGTAGTGTTTTTAGGGTTAACGTTTTTCAGCAAGTAATTGGTTAGATTACATCGTTCTTTTTCTGCCCCATCAATCGATCAAATTCTACCACTGTGGGCTTTAGCAGTGTCAAAGTCAATGCATTTGCAGAATATTTTAGTTATGTGTGTGATTAAATTAAGAGTTCAACTGTATGATGAGACCAATGCTGTCAATGAAATAAAATGAGTTTTACAAAACGATATAAAGTTGCATCAATCATAATTAATGCTTTTAAGCAACTGAAATACTACACAAAAAGCAGCACAACCCCACACGTGTTCTGCATCTGCATCGTAGAGCGAGATGAGTGCACAACCCCAGAGTCGTCCGTGACTGGACCTAATGGTCAGTGCTACCTTTACCTTTTTACTTTAATTAAAAATGTTGAAAAAGGTTTGGAGTCAGACATTTTTCTTGGAATCTGCTTGCCTTGATTTATGTCTTGTACAGCCCAGCAGTAAAAAGAGCAGTTTAGATCCAAGATGTCGTATTTAAAGTAGGCTAATTAAAACCAATGTGGCTTAAGTTATGAGTAACTTAAGTCTCATTGTTCCAGTGGGCTTACTCTGCATATGACTTAAATCTGGATCTAACCCAGCTAGCTAGATTCATTCATGCTGTGAGCAAACTGATGAGCCTCCTCATCTGTTGCAGTACTTTTCAAACTGTGTTCCAAGAAACTCAGGAGTTTATAAGAAGAAAGTATCAGCAATGGAGCACAAGGAGTTTCAAAGCAGTTAATCTGCCATTACTCATGTTCCCTAGCAGGACTGTGCAGCAAGGGAGTTATGGATATATAACTCCATGTGCGATGAGTAACAACTGACCCAGCGTCAACCAGTCTCTCTGGCCCCCGTGTGAACAGAGCATACCCTAGAATGCACATTCAGAACCTAAAATCAGGGTCAACCCACAAGTTACCTCCATTGTAAGATACTGCTGCATGTTCTCTCTCTGTCCTAGAAGGACATCTGACCTGAACAGGCATATTATTGCATAGATTGGTTGGAGAACCAATGTGGTTAGTGTTGGACGAGGTTCAAATCCCCAAGAAACTCAGCCAGGAAGCTTCACTGAGCCAGTCACTGTCTGAGCCCAGCTTGCCTCGCAGAGTTGTTGCGGGGATGAAAGGGGGAGGAGGGAACCATACCCAGCACCTGAAGGCTTGGGATATGAAAGTAATAATAATAATAATAATAATAATAATAATAATAATAATTTATTATTTATACCCCACCTATCCGGCTGGGCTTCCCCAGCCACTCTGGGCAGCTTCCAAAAATATATTAAAATACTGTAATACATTAAACATTAAAAGCTTCCCTAAAGAGGGCTGCCTTCAGATGTCTTCTAAAAGTCTGGTAGTTGTTGTTCTCCTTGACATCTGATGGGAGGGTGTTCCACAGGGCGGGTGCCACTACCAAGAAGGCCCTCTGCCTGGTTCCCAGTAACTTGGCTTCTCGCAGTGAGGGAACTGCCAGAAGGCCCTCAGTGCTGGACGTCAGTGTCCGGGTAGAACGATGGGGGTGGAGACGTTCCTTCAGATATACTGGACCGGGGCCGTTTAGGGCTTTAAAGGTCAGCACCAACACTTACAAAAATAAAAATGGGAGCCTCTAGGAGCATCTTACCAGCATCAGCATGGTAAGCTAATCATGGCTTGCACTTCTGTTATGGAAGTCTGGGCTTCCCTAACTTAAATGATGCTAATATCATAGTTAAACTACCACTGAAGTTCCTCAGATGTTTTGCCCAAGGAGAAGCCTCCAGTGTCGAAGATGGGAGCAACCAAACAGTTTTGCTGATTTTCTCCACCCTCTGCTACCCACGTTTTTATGTGCATCTTATTCCCACGAAATAAATAAAGGTATTGTGCATTCTAAGATGCTTAATGGAATCAGATGGATTGTGGACCACTTAACATAATTGGAAATTAGGATAAGATGCCTCCAGAACCTTAATCCTTCTAGCCAAGTATTAATATATATTGCGCACACCATGAGCACACCACAGTAGACAGACCTCACTTCTCTCAGCAACTTTTTTTAAAAAAACTATACAGAACCCAGAATCATCGATCATTTTAGCTTGGAAAAGACTTAACTTGCTGACCTGGCTATGCAAGAGAGAGGAAGTGACCCACCTGTTTGCCTACAGATAATCTCTGTCATTGCTGCCATCTCTTTTGGGATCTACTGCATTTTAAATGGGGTTTCCTTTGGTGCCTTCAACTGGTGGTACATCGTGGGCATTTGCTGCATTGTGGCTGGCGCCTTTGCCACCTTCCGCATCTATGAGGTCTGCATCTCGGTGTCGCGCTCAGAGGCATCCCCAGAGCTCAGCCTGCATCCCTAAACAAGAAGGTTCCAGGAGATGGATGCGATCCAGAAAGGTTGCACCACCACATAAGAAGCCCTTCCTGTAGGATGCTAGCAACTGCAAGATGCCTCTGCCCAAGGAGCAAGATATTAGTGGCTGAACTGTAGACTGTATGGCGAAGGGGAAATACTGTACTTTTTTATTTGCTGCATTCCAAGATATAGCTAAAGGCACAGAACATGTAACAGGTAATATTTTTAGCTCCAGACCAAAGAAAGCTAGAGGGACAAATAGTTCCAGCTTCCTTATGCATCATTCCAGTGCAGCTCAGCCAACTCCTTCGGTTACATTGCCTGTCTCTCCTCCTCCCTATATTATTCTCACTACTACTCTAGCTCAAAGTCACCCAGTTACATAGCTGTCAACTTTCAGATTTGAAAATAAGGATCAGCAGCCTCACCTGTCCCGGGGACAGTCTACGGGATATCTAACAATCCAGGATAGTAGAAGGAAGCAGCGGGAAACGGCGCTGGAATAAGGGAATTTCCCGCAAAAAAAAAAGGGAAGGTTGACAGCTATGCCCAGTTATTTGATGGGGATTTGAACCCTGGTCTCCCCAGTCCTTGTCTGACACTAACCATGACACTGCACAGGTTGGCTTACAATAATATTCTGTTTCCATCCTTGGGCTGAGCTGAGGCAGAGCTGAGCTAACTAATGTGGTACAGGGGGGTGGCTGCTTGGCTTCTCCTTCTCCTCCCCCCCCCAAAGTCCCTTGTTCTTTTCTTCTCAGCCAAGCTGGCATCTTTCAGCAGCCGCTGCCGGGCGAGGACTGGATCTGAAGCAACCCTCAGCAATAGGTCTGCCTTGTGCAGACAAATGGTGGGCTGGGCATTTATAGCAGGGCGTACAAATTACCTTTTGTTTTTGCTTTAGGTTTAAGAGTGTCATTTTCCTGCCTTCACTTTCAACCTCCGCCAATCCCTGTAACATTTTATTTTATAGATAGGGAGATAGCTCTCTTGTATTTGCCCCTGCACTCTACCCCATGATGGTAATTTGGGTGGTGGTGGTGTTTAAAGCGGGGTTTGCTAAACAAATGTCAGTCAATGCCTTCTTAGCCAAATCCTTCGGTGTGCCAAATGTTTCTCTCTTTCCTTTCTTCCTCGCCTCCTTTGCATTTTAAAAACTATCTCAGTACCTCACAGTCATTCATTCTCCCCTTTTCTCCCATTAAGTTATCTGAGCATTTCCATTCTTTTCTAATCCTGTTGTGCCTAATTTCCACACAATTCTCTCTCTTTTCTGACCTTTCCAAAAAAAGTTGATTTAAGTATACTTTTTTGACCCAGACCTTGCTTTTCCTTCTTGGCCTCTTTTTCCTGTTTCTCACTCACTATTTCTACCCCACACCCTAAATCATTTTGTTTCCCTTCCCCCTTCATTTTTCACTTTTCTCCTTTCCTTGCCCCTTTGCCTCTTTGTATACACCTGTTTCCTCATCCTGTTCCTCCCCTCCCTGCCCCACGTCTCTGAAAGGCTTTATTTTGACTAGGATTTCCCAAAGCACAGCTCTAGAACACATTTAAATGCTTGGGATCAGCTCCGGAAATGGGTAACAGTATTAAAAAGAAGAGTAGCTGTGAGCATATGCAGAATCCTTTACCTTATCACAAGCAGCAGACAAACACTGGAAGGAATAAAATATTACTGTTGTTGTTATTGCTGTTATTTGCATTTATTCATCACTTAGTACAAAAATGTCTCAGAGCAATACAATTATTAAAGCATAAATGGTAACAAAGCGTACCGAAAAGCTAAAATAACAATTGACTGAAAGCACTCATCCATTCAGTAACATACCGCAGTAAAAGATAAATAGCAATACATACAAATACCTGGATGAACAGAAGCAATTATTTCCAAGGCAGCTTGAGCCATTATACTTTTGACAACACTGCCTATGGTCAAAGTTGAACCTCAGGCCGCCCCAGGCCTCTCTGGCCCCCAGAAGACTTCCTGGCCTCAGCCACACACCCTCACCTCAAACCACACCCTTCATAAGCCTTACTTTATTCTGTCCTTCAGGGATTTTTTTGTATACTTAAGCTGTGCTCGCGCTGCACATTTACAGCACATTTGATGCACATCCCCCCTCCCCAGAATTCTGGGTAGTTTGGAAATTGATCCAAGTTAGATGTGTTTGTGTGAACTCTGCAAAATGCCCAGTCTTCCATTCTTCTCCAGCTGGTTCATTGTGAGGTTAAAGGGCATGGTGATGTCATAATGAGATACTACAGCATGCAACATGAATGATTCCAGCAGGGAAAGAGTGAGAGTCGCCCAGAAGAATGATTTGAGACGTTGGACAGTTTCCCTTATGAATCTGCTACTGTTTATCTTTTTATCATCATTAATATTTGCAGGAGCTACTAAAGGTATGATCTCTTTGAAAGCTATATGCCTCATCTAAGAACATGATGTTTATTGTACACTACTATTGTGCTGCAAAACCACAAACAACGGCCGGCCGGGGGGGGGGGGCGGGGAATGAAAGTGACTAGCTCAGACAATAATCACTGTATGGTGTCACTCAGAACCTCTCTTCAGCCGGACTCTTCTGTTCTCTGTTGAGTATGTTTGGTGTCCTTTGTTGAATATTTTAAGCTCCTGCCCCTTTAATTTCTGACACCACTCTACTGGCAACAAAATTCAGCGATTTGGGGTGTGTTGGTGACTGGATACCTTGTCTTCCTGTCCACGCCTATTATTTGCCTTTTGTCTCCATCTGTAGTCATGTTAAGAATATGAGAAGAACCCTGATGGATCTGACCATAGCTCCATATAGGCCAGGTATACCTTCAACCTTTACAGACCCAGGACCCACGTTTAACCCAAACTCGCATTTGGGGACCCACTTCTTAAATCTATTAAGCATATATTTGCATGGTGGTAGTGCTCCTATTGCAACTCACCTTGGATCAGACTGCAGTATGTAGGACCAGCAAATCCAGGACCAGGATGTAGGCCAGCAAATCGACTTCTCACAGTGACCACCCAGATTCCTCCATAATGCCCACATGTGAACCCATGAAGGCAGTTGCCTTTCCCTGCTGTCATTCCTCAGCCACTGAGATTCATTGGTATATCTAAATCTGGAGGTTCCATGTAGCCATAATTGACTGAATCTAGCACAGAAGTTAGTCATCCTTCAGTCCACTGGTTTCTGTTGCCTCAAGCAGACCTCTGATGGATATTAATATCATGACCTAAGAGAAATCCATTTGAAACATATAAACCTGTTATAATTATCTTAGAGCCGGGCTGGGGAAATCTTTGGCTCCCCAGACGTTGCTGTACTATAACTCCCACTGCCCCCATGTGAGTTGGAGCTGATGGGAGTTGTCGCTTGGCAACTCCTGGAGGGCCAAAGGTTCCCAACCCCACTCTTAAGAGTATTGGTCTTCAATTGCTGGGTTGGGACCCACTGCCAAAGCATGGCCTGATCTAAGGCGTGGGTTGCAACGCTTGCACTAACAAACCTACAAGTATATGGTATAACATTAAGAAATGGGTCCTCGAATGCATGTTTGGGTTAAAGGTAGATCCAAGGTCTGGAAAAACTGAAGCCTATTGTCTCAGAGTATCGTTTAAAGGTCTGATGTTGGGTTTGGATGAAGAATTCATAGCAGGCTTCTGCTCTTTCAACCATAATTGAATAAAGTGATTTCTTTAAATGTACCTCATTTTAGAGAAACATAAAGTTATTATTCGGATAAATCATGAGAAGAAAGCGAACGAGGAGGAGGAGGCAGGAAGTACAAAGCACATCATCATACACCCTGCTGTACATAAGATTTCTATAATGGAAGGTAAACTTTTTATTATTCTTTATTAAAAATAAAAAGAATTATAAGGCAAAAGACCAGCAACTTTTACAGCCTCAGAGGCCCAGAGTTATTAAAACATCTGATCAACACTTATGTAACAAAAAATACCCCACTGTCACCTTATGAAAATGTTTATACAGCAAACCAGTTTGATATGCAGATATTAAGGGACAAATGGAATAGCATTAGGGATGTCAATCTCAACCAAGCAAAGGGAAACTGTGCTAAGTTCTATAACAAGGGTGTTTCTGGACCTTAGACTAAGACTCGTACAAAACAATTATATTTTGAATTTACTGGAGTTAGGAAAGGGCTATCTAAGACATCTAGCTGCTGGAGATGATAATGCTTCTTTAAAATTTATGTTCATACAATGTCCCACATTGGTATATTTTTGGGAGAGGGCAGCAGAAATGATTAATGCAACTGTACGGAAAAATATTAAATTTGCAGAGGAAAATATCCTTTTGAATTATATTCCCAGTACTTGGAATCTAACTAAGGGGCAGTATGGAAAAAAGACTAGTATTGATGAACTGGAAGGAAAAAAATGTGGCTCTCTTCAACAAATGGACAGAAGATATGTATAAATTCACAACGCATGAACAAGTTGCAAGGGATAAAGTCAATGTATAACAGTGTCCCCAGCTCCTCTAGACAGTTCAGAAGGATGTCATAGTCAATGGTATCAAAGGCCACTGAGAGATCCAGCAGAACTAGGAAACAGCTAGTTCTGCAAAATGGCGGACCTCCATTTTCATATGGAGTAGGCAGTGGTAACAGATGCTCCATTTGGTCTTCAGTGTAGCTCCCAATCAAAAGAACCCCTTTTTCTTACTTCAAGTGTTTGCTTCTGCATGCTACGCAGCCATGAGCAGCAAAACTCTACACTTGTGTACCAATGAATAATAATGGTACCATTTTAATTACAAGAAGGCTCCAGCTGTTCATTCTCCTTGATCTATGTCTTTCATGGCTGATGTTGGAATTTGCACAGCCAAACTATACAAAATAAGGAGAGTACTGCCAAAGTTGTCGTTCTTCTTCACACTGGGAAGAGGGCTATCCCTGCACTTAGAAAACAAAGAACTACAGTAAGCCTGCAAATTACGTGGGGGTTATGTTCTGGGGATCATGCCTAAAGCCAAAATTGCATATAGTCAAAATGCACTGGGTTCAGTGGCAGGTGGGATTGCCAAAGGCATTTTTCCTGGAACCCCAGGAAAGTTGTGGGCTTATTGTATGTACATAACAAAACAATGGACAAAGAAAGTGGTGGGTGCATTAAAAAATATTGCATACTTCTGCAACTTTGTTACAGAAGTATGGGATAATGAAGAAGTTGACAAACATCCATCCAGAGGTGTCTTTTTCTATTGAGTAGCAGGTAAGGACATAGTTCAGCAGTGCTTAAAACTAAAATTTGTGTGTGAATCCACATTATGTATGTGCATTTTGTATTGCCCATATCTAGGACTGGGAAAAACCATGTAATTTTTCATGGAGCCATCACTGGGTTTTCAGGAATTGGTACTACTGCTGAAAAATGTTGGCAATGTATTTGTTGGGTCTGGGCCACTTTATTCTTCCCTGCTAGTATGCGAGAGAAACAAAACAACATCTGTGGCTTAGCTTCATGTCTGAGCTGGGAACTGTGGTCTGTTTTGCCTCAAACAAACTACAATCTGTAGCTGATATTTATTCTTAGACTACTGATCATTCATCAGTAAAAGAAATCATAATCCCCAGTTAAGACATAATACTAAGCCAGTTCATTAACTAGAAACAAAAGGATTGCTTATTTTTAAGTGATTGCTTAATTTTAATTAAATTGCACAGTTCTTAACTTTACTGTAGGGCCACAGAATCATGAAGATGTTGGATTACAAGATAATGAAGATGTTGACAAAAGTCTATCCATTGATCACCTTTTCCATCCAATACCACGTAAGAACAGTTAGCGGTGATGAAACCTGGAAATCCCATGTGGTCCAACCTTACATATCATATTTGCATGTCATGATAAACCATAGTTACTGGTTTGCACAAAAAGCGCATTTTCATGGCCCATATTTACATTTTCAGGGAGCCATCACTAGATTTTCAGGAACCAATTTAAATTCTGAAGAGTTGATAGTGACCTCATTTGCATGTCACAGTAAACCATGGATAATGAAAACTGTGGTTTACTGTGAACACATAGTTCTGGGCTGCTTTCCTTCTCTTTTTTTATACCAAGTGAACACAGAACCCATAGACTGCACACTGTCTTGTCACGCAGCGGGAGGGGGGTGGAGCAAAGCCAAAATTTGACATGCTGCCTTCCCAAAGCTGGGTAAGTGAGGCACTGGGTTTGGGGAGGGAGGTGTGAGGCTCTGGCAGGGTCCTATAGCCCTTCTATCTCCTTCCCAAAGCTGGGAAAGTGCTAACTGGCTTTTAGAAAGGAGGCAGGAGGACTCTAGGACCCTGTCAGGGCTCTCACAGCTCCCTCCCAAGGCCCAGTGTCTCACTTACCTGATTCTAGGGCTGCTGTGGGCTGCACATCCCAAATTTACCTATATGGGGTGGGTGGGCTTAACCCCTTCCTGTCTGGAATCTCCACCTGCAGTGAGAGTGTGGCATATTAACCCTTTCCTGCCCTGAGGGGAGAGGTTTAACTCTTCCCATAGCGGTCTTTTTTTTTTCTCTTAGAAGGAAAAGCATGGAGGAGGGGCCCATTCAGTTACTGCCCTTTCTTCCCACCTACCCTCTACAACTGCAATCTAGAGATAGAAACCACTTACCTTTATGAATCAACTGGGGATTTGTTTTGTTTTGTTTCAGACAAACCACAATCTCAGACAAACAAGTTTGGATTACTGATTGTGATTTGTTTGAGCAAAACAAACCACGGTCCCAAGTTTGGACATAGTACAAAGCCAGTTCATTAACTACCCATGACCTATGTTCATAAGAAATTAGTGAACAAGGAATCTGATTTATTTTTTTAACCGAATCACATATTTCTTAACTTTTATTATAGTACCACCAAAGAATGAAGATGTTTATAAAAATCAACCAGAAGATGTCCTTTTTCATCCGATACCAGGTAAGGGCACAGTTAGCTGTGGAGAAACTTCCATGTGATCCAACCGTACAAATAATTCTTCAGAGGCCATATCTACTTAGGTCTCACTATTGTTCAGTTACCAAAGCTACCAGAACACCTAGGCCTAATCTCTGATGCTTGCTATGTATTATTTATTTGGGGTACGGGCAACCCCCCATTTATGTGCATTCGATATGCATGCGACCACACATCACATCCAGTGTTTGAAACTCCCATTGTTCTAGGCGCATTTTGCAACAGGGAATTTCCTAAGTGCGAGCAGTTTCTGAGCTTTGGGCACAGTCCTGTGCCTAAGATTTCAGATTAAAACTGCAGAGTGGAAGGAAAGGAGGACCTTTTTCTGCCTCCCCACTTCCAGTTATTCTCTGAAGATAGGAGAAGAGACCCTCTTAAGAACATTAGGGGGTGGGCAGGGGAAGGACTAGACCATGTGAAAAATGAACATAATATTTTAGCTGCAGTTCATTCATATTCAGCTTTGTATTCTTGCTATAAAAAAGCACGCCTAGACATTCCATTGTTGCGCCCATAACCTAAGTTTATGGTGTCAATTAGCTCCTAGCTTTCATATCTCAGTTTCTAACACTTATCACATCGAAGCCCGGAAGTGGTCAAAAAAGTCACAAAAGGGGGCAGAATGGGGTGGAGGTGGAATGGGGTGTTTGCAGGCTTTTTCAATGGTGTTTCAAATATACGTGATTTTACTTAAGCATGCGGTGCCTTGGAACTTAACCCCCACATAAATGAAGGGTTGCCTGTATATACTTTGCTCCCATGCCCCCTTTGGGAAGATTCCTGTGGATTTTCAGGAATCAGTAAAAAGAGTTGACACTGACTGCATTTGCATGTCATTATAAACCATAGTTAAAGGTTAGCTGTGAATTACTGACCAATTTGTTTGAAGAAAGAAACCATGAGCCCTGGCTTGGACATAATGGACAGTCCATTAGCTATGCTTGAACTATGTACATAAGAAGTATTGCACAAATTAAATATTTGTTTTTAATTGAATTGCATTCTTAACTTTTATTACAGGACGAATGTTTAATGAAGACAGATGTAGGCTGAGCCTAGTCCATGCCAGGGAATCGTTGGCCCGCGTCCTCAGATCCAGAGAGAGAGCAAAAGAAAGCACCAGGAAAGATCCTTCTTTGGAGGAAAACAGTTTATTCTCTGTGCACAGAGACAGCCAGCAGAATAATTTCTGGAAGACTGGCTGCCCCGAAATACGCCTCTGCAAACTTTCTTATACCTTGAGAAAGCTCTCTCCCTCCTCCCCCCAAACGCCCTCCAGAAACTTCCCCAATCAGCTGGAAAGTTTTCAACTTATTTTTTATATGGCATGGCATATCTATAATGCTAGCCCTCTATGCAGCCCCCTCCCTATTTTCCCTATACGTGTCTTTCTAAGCGTCCTGCATCCCCTCCTCCCGTCTCCCTCGTATGTGTCTTTCTTATCTTACATTCCTAAAGTAAGAAAGCGAGGGGCCTCTGGTTATTTCTAGCTTACAGTCTCCTTCATATGTGTCTTTCTTATCTTGCATTCCTAAAATAAGAAAGCGAGGGGCCTCTTTTGCAGAAGTCAAATTAGCTCAGAAATTTACTTAGATCCAAAGTACAGAGAATATAGAAGATCCTTCTTAGGTACAAGGTACAAGGTATAGAAAGCATATAGAAAGCAACCCTTCCCTCTCCCTTCACTCCCTCCTCTTCTTATGAACAACCTAATACTTAGGTTCGTTCTGGGGTAGGGGTCTATAATCTCTCATGAAAGCAAGCACACGAGGTCCCATCATGCGAGACATCATCTTCTCCATCATACTTTGCATACATTGCATCAAGCAGGGCATACAGAAGCAGAAAAGCAATAAAAGCATTATTGGACCTATCACCATAGTAAATATCCTCCCCATCCATCCACCTGGGAAGATGCCGTCCAACCAAGACATATCCCAGCCCTCCCAGGTTTGTACAGGGACATGTGCTACCTTTTCAATGCTTGCTGCCAGATCACGGATAGCCTCGCCATGGTCTGAAATGTTGAAGCAACATGCTCCACCTGTCAGGTTCAGGGCAGCACAAAAACCTCCTTGCTTAGCTAAAATGAAGTCCATTCCCAAACGCAATTGGAGAATAGCCGTTCGGGTTTCATCTAGCTGGGTGGCAACAAGACGGAGGGCGGTGGCTGTAGCATTGGCCACAACTTCCACCACTGCCTGGAGCCTGATGATTCGATTGAGATTGTAAATGGGCTCTCTGGCACCTGCCACTAACTCATCAGGGTTCCAGGAGGCAGGATCATAGTGGGCAATTATCCGCTCAGGTGGCCATTCGTCCTTTCCCCAGGTTTGTTTACTACCCCCCGCGATGTTGGAGATATCAGCAAAGCGGCGGTTACGATGGGATGGGGAAGAGGGTATCCACATTGGAGGTACAAGAAACGCTGGAAAGCAGACACCATATCCGTTCTGTGGATAGAGGTGATAAGCTTTTGTTCCACAAATCCAATAAATATTACTGCCGCGCTGAGAAGAGGTCCAGCTGGCTCGAGAACCTTCCACCATGAGTGCAAGGTTGGTACAAGCCCCGCCACATTCAGAGATGTCCAAAGGACTACCACATGTACATTTACATGATGACCGTCCTATAAACCTCGTATAGTTGTAGACGGTATTTCGGGTTTGATTAATACAGAACCATCCAGAGACCCTATAAACTCGTAAAGGAGCTGAATGGTTCCAATAAGGAGTTGGGCGGGATGGACTATGTGTATATTGGATCTGAGAACGATTGAGGGGTATGGGGAGCATGGGCATTCCTCCTCCTCCATCTAAGGGTCCAAGGGTACAAACTAAACAAGCAGTTTTATTTGCTTCATGGGCTACTATTTCTGCCAATTGAAGCCACTTGTTATAGAGACTCTGAGCCCCCTGTTTTCTCATTTCCTGTGTGGGGAAAATGCTATTACGATTTAAGACCTGGAAGCATTCGGCCTTGGGAATAGATTCTCCCATCATAAATAGGAGAAGGATCATCAAGGGGATGGAGGGGATCGCTTCCTTCCAAAAAACCTATGGCGCTCGTGCCAACAGAAATACGAGAGCATCCATATGACAAGGGCGATACATATCACTCCTATCCACCAAACCCAATATCTCCATGGTTCCTCCCACCAAAAATCAGGGTTCATTTCTAGTTTTCTTTTACAGCTGAAGGGCCCACTGATACTCGTATTCAACTATTTCCTGGGCCTCAGGGGTAACTTTCCACTTCTCTGCTGAGGCACCTACTATACGGAGCAATTTCCCTACAATCCCTTGTGGGTGGACTGGGCTCTCGTGTTGTCTCTTCAAGATATTATACCCAAAAGGGGCTCCTCCCTCTTCATATATCAGCATGCACCCACAGGAATATGTCCACCCCTGCAATGGCCTGACACTTGGGGTGACTATATCAAGGGTTCCGGACCCAATACCAAAAGTCCGATTGGTGCCTCTGAATTTGCTGGAGAGCAAGTTTCTACGTTGGGGACGCTGCCCGCGGGCGCCCTCCCATCCAATTCTTCAGCCGTGCGTAGAGATATCAGCCTCCGGAGTGATATCAGCAGGGCGGTTGTCTACCGGGCGTCTGGAGATGGTCAGCCGAAGGGAATTCTCTGGATCTGGTGTTACTGTCCAGTCTGAAATGGCTTTCTTCACTCGAGTATGGTGGACCCACGGGGTGATGCCGGCAACCTTCACAGCAGTAGGGGTAGAGAGTAGCACAGTGTAGGGTCCCCTCCAGCAGGGCTGTAGGGGGGCTCGCTGCCAGTCTTTCACCCACACTTCGTCACCTGGCTCGAACTGATGGAACGGTTCAGTTAACACACATGGGGTGCGAGCCTGGGTCCACCTGTTGAGGTAAGAGAAAACTTGGGAGAGTGACTGTACATAGTTATTCAATTGTACATCTTGGCTAGCATATGGAGTTAACATTCTAACATATGGAACTGGTCTCCCAAACATAACTTCAAAAGGTGACAAATGGGTCCGTTTTGACGGGAGACTGCGGACCCTGAGTAATGCCAAGGGCAACATGGTCACCCAATTAGACCCGGTCTCCTGTGTCAGCTTGGACAGCTGATTCTTTAGAGTTCTGTTCATCCTCTCTACTTTTCCAGAACTCTGGGGTCTATAAGCAGTATGCAGCTTCCAGTTGATCTGGAGCGCTTTTGCCAGTCCCTGTAGGACTGCATGAACAAATGCTGGTCCATTGTCAGATCCTATGGACCTTGGCAGTCCATAGCGAGGATGATTTCCCTAAGCAGGCACCTGGTTGCTTCAAGTGCCTTTTCAGTCTTTGTGGGCCATGCTTCAACCCATCCGGTGTAGGTGCACACTGCTACCAGCAGGTAGCGGTGCAGTCCACAACGGGGTAATTCAGTAAAGTCCACGACAAGATCTTCCATAGGTGCAGTTCCACTGTGCTGAATCCCTGGGGGAGCCAGTGGTCCGGCTCTGGGATTATTCTTTTGACACAGCAGGCATTTCCTGGAGATCTGGGCTGCCAGTTGGTAAAGGTGGGCTATATAGAAGCATTTTTCCAGCTGCTTGGTTGTAGCATCTGGTCCTATGTGGGTTGAATCATGGTATCTCTGAGTAACCTGCCGAGAAAGGGACTCTGGAATCCATATCCTGTCATCAGGGGTAAGGTACCATCCTTCGTTGGACAACGTCAACCCCTGAGCGTCTGCAGTGTCCCTTTCCTGCTTCGTATAAGCTGGCTTGTCAGTAGTGCTTAAAATCTCTTCTGGGACCAGTGCTCCAATAACCGAGGCGGGGGCCAGTTCTTGGGCTGCTTCCTTGGCTACTCTGTCTGCCAATCGGTTTCCTCTGGCCACTTCCCCTGGTCCAGTCTTGTGTCCATAACAATGGATAACTGCCACTGCCTCGGGCTCCCATACAGCATCCAGAAGGTTCAATAAGGCTTGTGGGTGGGCCACCTGGCTTCCTCTGGAGGTAAGCAAACCTCTTTCTTTCCATAAGGCTCCATGGGCATGTAAAGTCAGGAATGCATACTTAGAATCTGTATAAATGTTTATCTTCTGTCCCTTTGCCAGGCTCAGGGCTCTGGTAAGCGCAGTTAGCTCTGCCAGCTGGGCCGATGTTCCAGGTGGGAGTGACTTTGCTTCGATCACCTGGTCTTCCAGGGCAACCACTGCATAGCCTGCCTTCCGCTGTCCAGTCTCAACAAAGCTGCTTCCATCTACAAACCATGAAGGCCAGTGGGGTTTGCCTCATCTTTTAGGTCAGGTCTGCTGGAATATACTTCATCCATCACTTCAATGCAATCGTGCATCTGCTCCTCACCTTCTCCTACCGGCAACAGGGTAGCTGGGTTGAGGGCGGTGGTAACCTGGAACTTCAAACGCGGGTGCAACAATAGCATCTGGCACTTTCTCATTTTTGCTTGGGAGAGGAAATAGGTACCCTTCATGTCAAGCAGAGCTGGGACTGCATGCGGGGTCACACAAACAGTGTCTTGGCCAAAAGTAAATTTGTCTGCTTTGTGCAGTAGGGTGGCTACTGCCACTACTGCTCTCATGCATGGCGGTAAACCTTGTTCTGTAGGCGTCAGGCGCTCAGATAGGTATGCCACGGGCTGCTGCCAGCTTCCCAATTTTTGGCATAGCACTCCCTTTGCTGTTCCCTGGTCTTCATCCACAAATAGGGAGAAAGGCTTCTCAGGATTTGGGATGCCCAGCGCTGGTGCTTGCTGCAATGCCTTTTTCAGATCCTTGAAGGCATGCTGTTGCTCTTCTCCCCACACAAAGGGGTCCTTTTCAGTTCCTCTGGTTGACTCATGCAGAGGCTTGGCAATTGTGCTGTAGTCTGGTATCCATATTCTACAGAATCCTGCTGAGCCCAGAAAGCCGCGAAGTTCCCTGCGATTCTTTGGCTCTGGAATCTGGATGATGGCTTGCTTCCTTTCTTCCCTTAGGGTCCGTCGCTGATGGGATATATCAAATCCAAGGTATTTCACGGTGGGTTGACATATCTGGGCCTTTTCTTAGATACTCGGTATCCTGCTTCAGCCAGGTGATTTAACAAGTCCTTGGTGGCCTCCATACACGTGCTCTCGTCTGAACAGGCCAAAAGAAGATCATCCACGTACTGCATCAAGACTCTGCGCGGACTGGTGGGGAAGCTAGACAGGTCCGAGGCCAATGCAACCCCAAAAAGGGTTGGAGAATTCTTGAAGCCTTGTGGAAGCCTCGTCCACGTGTATTGCACCCTGGTGCCTGTTCCCGGATCTGTCCATTGAAATGCAAACAGGGGCTGACTTTCTTCTGCCAGGCGGCAACAGAAGAATGCATCCTTCAAGTCCAATACGGTGAAATAACATGCGGTGGGAGGTATTAGACTCAACAGCGTGTAAGGATTGGGCACATTGGGGTGGAGGGTCTCCACGGCCTGGTTGACTAATCTAAGGTCTTGGACCGGGCGGTACGAGCCATCTTCCTTCTTCACCGGCAAGAGTGGGGTGTTCCACTGAGATTGACACTGCCTCAGGATGCCATGGCGAAGTAACCGTTCCAAATGTACCCATACTCCTTCCGCAGCTCTTCGGGGATCGGATATTGGTTCACAGCCACAGGGTTGGCGAATGGCTTGGGCTTGACTATTATAGGTGGGATGTTCTTTGCCATTCCGGGCGGGTTGCTTTCTGCCCATACACCAGGGTTAACTTCTTGCAGGAGGTCTTCTGGAATAATCCCCTCCTCTTCTTCTACCATCATTAAGCGCCAGTGTTCCCTCAAGGGTACCTCTAAGGAGAACTCTCCTGCTTGCCCTGTAGTCATTGTCACTTCTCCTGTCGGTTGGAAGGAAATCTGGGCTTGCAATTTTGATAGCAGGTCTCGGCCCAACAATGGGATGGGACACTCTGGTATATACAAAAACTTGTGTTGGACCACTTGGCCGCCCAGGCGACAGGCAACAGATTGCAAGAAGGGGGCTCTTTGTGATTTGCCTGTAGCTCCTATTATGTTAATTGTTTGCTTGGTGGGCTTGGACACTGGTACTGGCAAAACAGAGTGGGCGGCTCCTGTGTCAACCATGAAGGGGATGGTTCGGTTCCCTGTTTGTATTTTGACCATGGGCTCACGGGAACCTAAATCAGCTGGGCCCGGTCTGTCCTAGTATTCTTCCTCCTCCTCTCTCAGGCTCATCGCGGCGGGCTGTCTTTGGGCTGGAGGGTGCCAGGGAGGTCCCTGTCCACGTCCTCTACCCCTGCCTGTATTTGCAGATGTCCAAGGTCTCAGTTCTTGTCCAGGTCCCACGGGGATTGGGCCTGGGATTCGCTCTCCTCGTCCTCCTCCACCTGAGTGAGCTTGTGGGCATTCTCTTTTCCAGTGCCCTTCCTGCCGGCAGATGGCGCACTGGTTCCTCCCCAGACGGCCTTGCCCTCCTCCCCGGGCACTTCCTCTTTCCTGAGGGGTGGGTGCGGTAGCCTGTAGCGCCATCAACTTCTTTGCTTGATACTTCTCCTTTTTCTTTTGTGCCTCTTCCTCCCTCTGATTATAAGTGGTTTGAGCCAGTTCTAACATCCACTCAAGGGTGTGGCCCATGAACCCCTCGTGTTTTTGAATCTTTCGGCGGACATCGGGCGCCGCTTGGGCCACAAAGGCAGCTTTTATGATAGGGGCGTTGGCAGCCTCATCTGGGTCCACAGGAGTATACTGGCGGTAGGCTTCCTTCAGGCGTTCTAAATATGCTCCTGGGGCCTCTTCATTCCCCTGCACTACCTCTCTAACCTTCACAAAGTTGGTGGGTTTCCTAGCTGCCCTTCTCATACCATTTAACACATTCTGGCGGTAGGTAGTGAGGATGTTCTGGCCATCAACAGTCTGATAATTCCAATTCGGGGTGTTTTCTGGATATCCTGCTGCCATAGCTGGATCCTGCACTCCCTGCGCTCTCAGGTGTGCTCGGGCTTCAGCATGGATTCGCCTAGTTTCTTCTGTGGTTAGCAGCGCATCCATCAAATACTGCACATCATCAAAGGTGGGATTATAAGTTTTAAAAATCCCTTCAAACAGCTTTATGATCTTCGCTGGGTTTTCCTCAAAAGATGGGTTTTGATTTCTCCAGTTACAGACATCTGCACTTGAAAAGGGTATATGCTGGACCGTATAGGTCCGTTCTGCTGCTGCTCCATTAGTCCCTGGAGGTCCTGGTGGGTCATAAACCCTTCGGAGGGGCATTACTCCGACCCCACCCTTTTCTGTGCCTCATGGGACTTATGGAAGGCTGCCCTGGTTGCTGCTTCTATCCATTCCCTCTGCCATTTCTTCCCTTGTGTTGAGGAGCATCCTGCTGCAGCCAACACGTGGGGGCTAACATCCACTTCTTCTGCATAGGGTTGTACATACTGTTGCAATCTCAAAGACTGATACTGAGTCCACTCTCTTCCCTTCTTTGCTAACTCAACCAATCCCTTTACAAATTCCTCATCATCGTCTTCTTCTTCTTCTGATTCATTAGCCTTGGGGGGTTCAGGCTGGGGGCTAGCTCCTCCCGGTGCCTGGGGGCCTGGGTCCAGGGGAGGGGCAGTTGGTGGAGCATAGGGTGGAGGTGGTTTAATGACTTCCCCTCCTCTTCTTCTGGGTCTGGTATCACTGGGGGCTTTTCTGACGTCCCTGTCGGTCGAACTGCACAAACTGTACTTTGTGGGCGTCGCCTCGGCAGGCTTTCAACCACGATGGGTTCTTTTCTACATTGGTTTTCCAAGTAGAAATGTAGGGGATCTGGTCTGGGTGGACGTTCAAGATATTTCGATACAGTGGGTTGATTAGTTGCAAATCGAAGCTCCCCTCCGAGGGCCAGTTAGTTTGTTGCGAGGGCCAGTCAACCTCACATAATGTTCTCATCCTCCGTTGCCTCAATTTGATTCCCCAATCATCATGCTTTGTGGCTGCTTTCCAGTTGTTTAAAAACATTCCAGAGGACTACATTGGCTTGCCCCAGACCCCATTTTCAGATACTCTGCTGCTAACAGGTTGTAAATTCTTTCACTCTACACACACTACAGCCCTACAATCGCTCGGCCAAGGGGGACACTAAGCCCTGGCCCACACTTGACAATTCAGTCACTAGAGTATCTGACATGCAACATACAACATACAAAACACATCAATATAATTTCAACATGTAACACACTAGACACACCAAAATAATTTCAGCATGCAATACACAAAACACACCAAAATAATTTCAACATGTAATACACAAAACACACCAAAATAATTTTCCCCTCTGTTCCCCCCCTTTTTTTTTTTTTTTTTTTTTTTTTTTTTACCAAACCTTACCGGTGGCACACCACTGCCACGCCCCTTTTTTTTTTCCTTCCTGGCTGCACTCTACTGCATAACCAGGTGAGGCTGATCAGGCCTCCCTCTTTTCCCTTGGGCTCACGCCCACGCCCTTTCCCTTGGGCTTACCGTTTTCTGCTGCAGATTCCCTTCCCTGGCCAGTCCTCTTTCCTCCCTCGACCTGGGTCCTTGCTCCGGAGCGGTGTGGCTGGCTCCCCACAAATTGGCAGGGTGCGCGTGGAGCCTGCAATTGCCGATCCGAGCTGTCCACCAAGGTCGAGCCTGGCTCTCCCCAGCCCTCTGAGGTGGGGCAGATTCCCGGTCAGGGAACCAAGATGTAGGCTGAGCCTAGTCCATGCCAGGGAATCGTTGGCCCGCGTCCTCAGATCCAGAGAGAGAGCAAAAGAAAGCACCAGGAAAGATCCTTCTTTGGAGGAAAACAGTTTATTCTCTGTGCACAGTGACAGCCAGCAGAATAACTTCTGGAAGACTGGCTGCCCAGAAATACGCCTCTGCAGACTTTCTTATACCTTGAGAAAGCTCCCTCCCTCCTCCCCCAAACGCCCTCCAAAAACTTCCCCAATCAACTGGAAAGTTTTTAACTTATTTTTTATATGGCATGGCATATCTATAATGCTAGCCCTCTATGCAGCCCCCTCCCTATTTTCCCTATACGTGTCTTTCTAAGCGTCCTGCATCCCCTCCTCCCGTCTCCCTCGTATGTGTCTTTCTTATCTTACATTCCTAAAGTAAGAAAGCGAGGGGCCTCTGGTTATTTCTAGCTTACAGTCTCCTTCATATGTGTCTTTCTTATCTTGCATTCCTAAAATAAGAAAGCGAGGGGCCTCTTTTGCAGAAGTCAAATTAGCTCAGAAATTTACTTAGATCCAAAGTACAGAGAATATAGAAGATCCTTCTTAGGTACAAGGTACAAGGTATAGAAAGCATATAGAAAGCAACCCTTCCCTCTCCCTTCACTTTGACAGAAGTCCAGTAAAAGATCTCTTTTTCCAACCGGTACCAAGTAAGCACACAATTTAGCAGGGGTGAAACCTGAAATTGCCATATGATCGTACCTTACATAACATTTGCACAAAAGATGAACATTTTGTATTGCCTATATTTAGAGCTGAAAAATAGTTAAATTTTCAAGGATCCAGCCTTGACTTAGCTTTATTTCTGGCCTAGAGATTGTGGTATGTTTTGCCTTAAACAAACTATGATCTGTAGCCACTGCTGCTGCTTCTTTTAGTGATAATGATTTGTTAAAGCAAAAGAACCCATCCCTACATCAAACATGATGCTAAACCAGATCAGTGCATTCACAGTTAAACATCAACTATGGATTACTTGCAGGGGTCACCAGCCTGTGACCTGCAGTGGTGTGTCACTGAGCAGGTGCCCCAGACTGAGTTTTCAATTACAAAAAAAAAAAAAAAGGCCTCAAGTTCTCCTAGAAAGATAGATAAGGGGCAAATTGTGCAGGTACCTTCTAAATGATTTCTGTGAAATGAGAGTGGTGTGGTTATCTTGTATATTTTCCTCAGTACTGTACAGTGGAACCTTGGTTGTTGAACGTAATCTGTTCTGGAAGACCGTTCGACTTCCAAAACGTTTGACAACCGAGGTGCAATTGCCGGTTGGCAAAATCCATTGAAAAAATGGAGAAACGTGTCACAGCTAAAATGGCCGCTGTTTCTTTAATGCGAATAAAGCTGGGTCAGCATGACTCAGCGGCCTGCAGCAGGTTGTATATATAAAGTGAGAAATGTTAGTTTGTGCTGAGGCTGGTGTTTGGGTTGGTTAGTGCTGGTGTGTATAGTTATTCAGTCGTGTTTTGCACAAAGACTTTTAAGAATAAAACTCTGCAAGGATATTCTCGTGGACTCTTTTTGTGCCGACAAGGGTCCGAGGACCAGGCTGAGGAGACAAAGGGAGGTCAGAACCTTTCCCTCCTTTTTTTGCTTTTTACAAACACTGACAAAACGCGCCTCAGAAGCTGTTCGACTTCCGATGCGTGTTCGAAAATGGAAGCATTCACTTCCAGGTTGTTGGTGTTCGACAACTGAAGCATTTGATTCCCGAAGCATTCGACAACCAAGGTTCCACTGTATTGAGGAACACACTCTGTTGTTACTAGACAGCAACAGCATCAGTGAGTGTGTGTGTGTATAATCTCCATAATTAGGAACCATTAAGACATAGCTGACTTCCCATAGTATGTGCATAAAGTTGTTGGGAGTGATTGTCTCTCTAATTTTATTATGCCATGCCCCCTCCATGGCAGTCATTTTGTGACTGGTAGGTACTCTAACACTCTCTCAAAGTTCAAAATCTGCCTGCTAGTCAAAAAATGTTAGTGACACCTGGTACAGTGGTGCCTCGCAAGACGAAAAGAATCCGTTCTGGGAGTCTCTTCGTCTAGCGGTTTTTTCGTCTTGCGAAGCAAGCCCATTGATGGGATTAGCGGATTAGCGCTATTAGTGCTATTAGCGGCTTTTAGCGGCTTTTAGCGGCTTTTAGCAGCTTATCAGCTTATCGGATAAGCAGATAAGCGGCTTAGCGACTTAGAAAAAGAGGGGGGAAAGGGGGAAAAAAAACCAGGAACTCGCAAGACATTTTCGTCTTGCGAAGCAAGCCCATAGCAGATTCGTTTTGCGAGGCACCTCCAAAACGGAAAACTCTTTCGTCTAGCGAGTTTTCCGTCTTGCGAGGCATTCGTCTTGCGGGGCACCACTGTAGACTGTGACATGTAAACTGGGTTACTTTTTCAAATCCCTGGGAATTTTCTATCCAGAGGATCAGGTATCTAGGATTCCTGCAGCCCTGCCCATATATTTTCAACATGTGCTGTCAAGATCTCTCAGATAAACCAAGAATACACTTCTCTCTATGACATCTGTGCACCAAGTCCAAATGGCAAATGCATGCACAAAAGTGTTTTTGGATTGCTCCCCCATAGTGGAATACCCATTGCCTGGAGAACCACTATAAGCTAAATCTTTCAGGATTTTTTTTCCAGTCTGGGCTGGCTTCAGAAAATCTACAGTATAACAACAAAGGCAACAATGGCAACAACTGCAGATAAAACAGTGACCTATACAAAGATGTACAATAAGCAGTTTTCAACATATATTTATAAAATTATATTCAGAGCTTGATGATGATAACTTACTTATATAGTGAATAATTGGTTTCCATTCATTTGTTCATTCATTGCTATGCCGATGAATCTGTTGATACTTGTAATTCAGTTAATTTAACAACAACAAAATGCTTGGTACCACATCTTTTTCTTTTTCCATCATTTAGCAAAAAGAACGCTTCATAAAGTTAAAATGTATGGTTTTAATTCTTGCTGATCACACATTGACTTCTTTTCATACAGAATTTGGTAAGCAATTTAGTGGATTTAAAGGTAAACAGCTGTTTCCATTTGATTAATTTTAAACAACTGCCCTGCCTTAAGTTTCAGACAATGCAGAGATTGAGAAGCGCATACAACTTGTCTCCAAAGAAGAAGAAAGACCACGACCCCGGGAACAGATACTGTTGGCTGTATCCTCAGCAACTCTGTGTGTCTTAATATTGCTTACAATGCTTTGTGGTATGACTATATACCAATGTAGCAAAAGAATTAGGTAAGTCTTCCCATCACACAAATGATGAATTCTAACGATCCACCTGTATATTCTGTATTAATAGTCAACACATTATCTAAATGTGGTTCCTTGTGTAGCCAAAATGGCATCATCCACACACAAGAGGAAGGCATCAGTAGGCTTGGGGGAATCCAAAGGTTTAGAGAAGTATTTTTTTTAAAACCCCACAAAAAAACCTAATTTGTAGTAGAAGAGGCAAAACAACTCAGTCAAGACAGAACATGCTCAGTGGGCGCAGAACACAGGCTAACTGCTATAGGGGCAGGGGAGGAAGAGCAATGGAATGGAGTATCCCGGAAGGCGGAATACACGGTTAACTGACTCAAATCCTGGAATGGGAACACTCCATCTTGCAACTTTATACTTATAGGTCCTATATGTTCTTGCTCTGATATTAAAGGGGGGCAGGGCCCTGCCACTAGGGGCAAAAAGCTGCCTGTCCCTTTTTAACATACATTTTTCGCATCTCCCCTAATATGCCTGCATGCTGCCATCTCCACATGGAAGTGGCTTGGTAAAGCAACTGTTTGTCAGATGACCATGCAGGTCGCAGGCAAATGCTCTGCATTGTGGAGAAACCTACATAGGAAATGCTGTGCATGGGAGTGTCTTCCACGTGGGAAGGTATTTCGAGTGACACAGCCCTGAGTTCCTTAGAAACAGCAGACACAAAATCAACACCCTCTTTGCATTCCAGTTTCACAGAGCTCTCATTTACTTCTTCTGAAAATCAAGCACTATTTGGGCCATCCTTTTTCCATCCCTATCCATCCGAATCTGCAATGTCTAGAACTGAGAGCTTGATATGGAACGAGTCCGGACCAAGATCAGTAGGACGGAGCCCCTCGGTGGCTAAACCCTCAAGGATGCTAACATTTGATCCTGTTGTACACTCAGTAGATGAGGTGTCATCATTTTCTGATGAATCAGCCCGCACTCTAGAGTCAATCAGGCTTAGAGAGACAGAACCATCTGAAATAGTGGCACCCTCTCAAGCCCCATCAACTGAAGCACCACCTCCAAGTGCACCAGCAGCAGCACCGCCACCAAATGAGCCAGCAGCAGCACCACCACCACCACCACCTCCACCAAGTGAGCCTGCAGCTGCACCCCCACCACCTGGTGGCCCAGCACCACCACCACCACCAAGCGAGCCTGCAGCTGCACCCCCGCCACCACCTGGTGGCCCAGCAGCAGCACCTCCACCTCCACCTCCACCAAGCGAACCTGGAGCTGCACCCCCACCACCACCTGGTGGCCCAGCAGCACCACCTCCACCTCCACCAAGCGAGCCTGGAGCTGCTCCCCCACCCCCACCCCCACCTAGTGGCCCAGAAGCACCACCAGCACCGCCGCCACCACCACCACAAGGTTAAATCCTGATGTTGACGATGATTTTTGAAAAAGGAGGAAAGAAATCTGGATTACTAACTTCACAGTTGGCTGCTCCGTACAAAATTCAGAGAGAGAGAAATATTGAGATTCTGAAGTGAGGAGAAAACCAACAAGGAAGTTGGGACTACAGGGGTCTGAAGGCGTGCTGGAACGGTATTGATAGCTGAGCTTAGTGAGAAAAAAGTGGTGTAAGAAAGTACGTACTCCCAAGAGACATTGGAATAGTTTCATATTATGATGTGGGAAAATAAATAAATAAAGCTTTGAATCACTAGCCATGGCAAAAGCCACATAAGGTTACGTTACATGATTAAATTTTCTGTACAATAAATCAACTATATGAATGAACTCTCGTCTCCCCTACATTAAGATGTAGACTTGATAGCTATTTTCAGCCAGACTAATGCAGAAGTCACTAAATATGGTGGTGAGGACAGTCAGCTAGGTCCCCTTGCCTGGTGTTAACTGATCCTGGGAATAAAACAGGTTTCTGTGGGGTTTGGGGGTAATACGGTATGGAGCTATAGGAAACCTCTTTCCATGCATCCTGAAATTTATGAAATCAGCAAGGCATTCTTTCCTGAAAGACAGCATTAGTATGGGGTCTCCCCTATGTGGAGTTCATGACTTTTCTACTGGGCTTGTTCAGCAACCTAACCTACAAAAAATTAACTACTGAAGCTTTTTCTGACATGCCAGTAAAAAGGGATGTGATTAAAAGCAAGGAGGCTGGGTATGCAGCAAGCGAGAAACCCTCTGTGTGGTTCTGATTGTCCACTGAAATAACATCCAAAATGTTCAGCGCTTACAGGAAGCCTGCTGGGATCGGCTGTGATAGAGTTCCCTTGGGGGAATGCCATAATGCAGATGATCGCTGCAGGCTAGCTGTCACCGCCAGTTGGCTGATCAGCAGTTACAAGAAGCACGGCCAGCAAGCTTCCCTTGCCAGGGAACAATCAGGAGCACTTTAAGGCTCCCAGTTGTTCCTTGGAAGCCAGCTCAGGTTACTACTCCCAGCAACAATAAGGCCACAAGTGCATCCCCATCCAAATGGATGGCATAAAACACACAACGTAATGCTGCAACCAAATTCCACTGCATGTTTCTTACCACATGTTGCACACACCTGTGCAATTACAAGTCCTCCCCCATGTAATTCTCTATAAATTCACCTGCTCAACACAGACATAAGCAAACATGGGGGGTGGGGGGCAATCAACTCATCAACAGCAAAACCTTAGACCCACTTCAACCACACACATGGAGCAAATAAACTTTAATATGCATAATGAAACACAGTATTCTACCACCTTAAACATAGTTTCCCCAAAGAATTCTGAGGGGTTTAACAATCTCTCTTCCCAGCGAACTCTGGGAATTGTGGCTCTGTGAGGGAAATAGGATTTCCTAAAAACTCTCAGCACCCTAAACATGCTACACTTACCAGGATTTTTTTGGGGAAGCCATGTTTTACACCTGGAATGTCAGAGCACAGGTAAGCCTGGCAGGACAGCTTATTCTATGGTGTTAACTCCTTCATGCATTAATTAGATAGAAGCACGTTAGCTATACAAAGCAGATTACCCCACACTATGTATTTAGGGGGGTCTCATATTATGTCCTTTATTTTTCCCTGACCAAAGAGGCCTGTCCTGACATTACCCAGAACGAAAGCGAACTACAACTCCCAGCACCTCTAGCCAACCACAATTCCCAAGCTATATAGAGCAATACAGCACCAAAAACAAGGAACCGAGACCCTTGGCAGAAACGCCCAGCCAGAATAAACCCAGTAGGGCGCATGCGCGGGGGCTCCGCTACCTCAGGCAGCCTTAATCAGAAGCAACGTGCCTTAACCGCTCTCGGGGGGACCGTTAAACACCGTTGCGAAAGCCACGCCCCGAAATTGGGTGGGGCTTGCGTTTTTCTCTTCATTTAAATATAAGGAGGCGCCTTTGCGGAATGAGGGCCGCAGCAAGCAAGCAAGAAAAGGGGCGGGGCTTCAGTAGCAGCGGCGCGTGGCCTCGCCCCGCCCCCTCCGACGGTTTCGCGCGTGGCCGGGGCTTCGCCGGGAGCGTTGCGCGCCTTTTCTCCGGGGGCGTGGGGGGAGGCGGGAAAAGGCGGGATGCTCCCTTCGGCGGGTTTCTTCAGGAGCCTCCCTTGCCCCTTCGACGCCCGCGGGTGCCGGCGGCCCCACTGCCAGTACAGACACGAGGCCCTTCGGCGCCGCCTTCAAGGGGAGCCGCCGGTCCCTCAGCCGCGGCCCCTAAGCGGCTCTTCCGCGCAGGGTGAGGGAGGGGAGCAGCCGCTGGCGCGTGTGGACGGCGGGCTTTAAACGCGCGTTTTACTTCACGCCGCCGTCTCCGGGGTCCTTCACGGCCGGCCGCGCGTTCCCGCCTTTTCCCCACACCAGTTTCCCCGAACTGGAGCCTCTTCTCCACGAGCCGGATAAAATATCAAGGCTTGTCATCCCAGCCTGCGCTTTTAAAAAGCGATATTCCTTGCTTTGTGTCTCCTCGTTCAGAGAAATGAGATTGAAAATAGGCCCTTTTTAATTACCGGCATCTGTGTTGTGCAGTGCCGGATTTACGTGCAAGCTAAACAAGCTATATAGGACCCCAAAACATTTAAAGGGAAAAACAACAACTGGATGTACATTTCCAAAATATAAGATAAAAAACAAAACTTACATACAGCAGCAGTGTTTTGTGTTGTGTAGGCTCCTATGATGTAAGTCACCTGCCCCGCCTGCTAGCCTGCTTCCTAAAATATCACCTGTTTGCTCATTTCTGTATATAGGGTGCCTACATTCTGCATTTGCAAATGGCTTTAGATACTTATAGGTCCATAAATTACCATATAGCATATATTCAACACAAAAAAACCCAGCGACAGTTTGTTGTTGACAAAGGACAGCTGGACATAAAAATTGCCTTGAGTAGCTTAGGGCCTCATCAAACCTAAATCCGGCCCTGGTGTTTTGTTAATAATTTTTTTACCTTTCTTCGGTAGTTCTTATTTCTATGTTTTATGTGTTGCCATGGCATTATTTTTCAGGTGATTTGGAATATGGTTTCTTTAGGCACCCCTAAAATGCATTCACTTTGGCTCCTTCACAGTGTCTTTGTTGAGTAATTCTTAGAAACAACGCACATGGTTTAGATGGGTTTTTGTATCGTGTGTCGCTTTAAAGCAATAAAGTATTTCAATGCCCTTCAAAAATAGTTGATGACAGAACTAAGAGTTCGGACTAAGTTCTGTAGTTGTATTCTTTAATGCTCTGTTTACATATAATTGAAATATTAGTGTATAACCTAAGGCTATGGTATTTATAAAACTTTCTTCTAATCAACAGGTCTTGATAAAAATATCCAAGAATTAGAAATGATCAACAAAGCAATTCAATCACTCAAGACTGAAGTTGAAGAGCAGAAGAAACTATTTTGTTACGACTGGGTGCAAGATTTCAAAAATAATGTGATTCTTGCAACAAATCACAACAAAGGAAATAAATCTTTCTCTGATGAAGGTGATGCCTGTAATAGTCCTGTAGAAGTAAAAAATAATGCCATTTCAATCTCAAAAGAATCTAAAAGGTCCAGTAAATATAGTCTTGACCATAGCTGTCCAGCTACTGATCTTGAATATGACCCATTACTCAATTATTCTGCAGGTCTCGGGTCTTCTTTGAAGGAAGTAGATAAAAATGACACATGCCACTCTAAACATTTTAAAATCTCTCATTGTAGAGATTTACAAGCATCTATAAAAACTTTTCCAGGTAAAAATAGATTCAGATCCCCAAGGAAGAGATCAGTAAGTTCTTCACCAATAAAACTCCAGGAATCAGATGATGATATGCTTATAATAGATGCCCCACCAATGAATGTATCAAAGAAACCAAGAATAAGCAAGACCTATAAAAAGTGGAATAGGGAAGTAAATGAGATGAGTTTTGGAGCTAATTTAGAAACTGTTCAGAACTCTGGAACATCAGATATTTTAAAAAATTTAGAGGGAGAAAGATCAGAAGTCATCACTGTTGGCCTGCATAGTGTTAATCAAAGTGATGGAAATAAAAGTAAAATAAAAATTTCAGCAGCAGAAAGTGCTTATTTAGCAGATGTCAAAGCGAGTGCTTTGAGTGTAGGAAGCAAACTTCGGAAAAAATATTACCCTGCTACTAAAGGCAATAATGTATCTCCTCAGATGAAGTTTGAAATGAACAAAGAAATCTTGAAGGAGGAGTCACTGAATGTTATTTCTGTTAAAGCATGCAATATGACTGAGGTTAGTAATCATAAAACTTTGCTGAAAAACAAAACTCAGACTAACCTATATTCTAGAGGTAGTACAAAAGATAAAGTTACAGCCCTACAAGAAAGCTCTAAAAAAGATCCAGTACCTTTTGGGAAATGGAGTATTCAGCTACATGGAAAAAGCAATGCATTGCCTATTAAACGAAGCTGTGTTCCAGTTTTGAGTGAGGACACATTTGTTGAAAAAACTGGCGAAAATTGTACTGATAAAACTATGAAAAAGGATGCCAAAGAAAATGAGATAATAGTATTAGACTCTTCCGAAGAAGATGACGTTGAAGAGGATAATGAACTTTCTGAATCAGATGATACTATGGAAGAATGTCGGAGAATCTTCAATGAGTATGTTGAACATGAAGCACAAAAGGAAAGATTAGCAAAGCAGGTAATTTTGCTTTTCTCAGTTTATTCCTTCCTCCTTGTAAAGGCAGACACAAATTGTTTTCTATTTAATCTTTTTTCTGACCATTCAGCACTTTTTTTTTGGTGTATCAATGCATATTCACTTGGTGAGGATCTGGAATTAACAGATGATAAAATTCCAGCTAATAGTTAGGGGGAAAAGTAGTACTTTTTTGTTAAACAAAGGTTTTTTGTAATATTAAAGATTGCCTTTGGATTTCCATCCTCTGAAAGTCTTTTTTTAAGTTTCAGGAAGCCAGAGTTCATTACAGAACTGCAGTATCATGAAAACAAACTGTAATTTGTTGTAATTTTATAATTTAGAAACAACAATCTTGATAGTTTTTGCAGTTTGTGTATGGCTATTTTCCTTTCTTTAAAAAAAGCAGGCCCTTGCAGTGCAAACAGACGTAGACTCAGATTTGAAGACAAGTATGCTTCCTGGACAGAAGAGAAGAATTGCACACACTGCAAAATTTGATGTGAGTTTCAATCTAGCAGTTTGGGGAAATATTTGCTAGTATTTCATTATGTAAACATGGATATAGGTTAATAGCAAATAAGTGGTGTCAACCTATTGAAATTAACGGACCTAACTTAATCATGTTAATTAATTTCAGTGGGTCTACTGTGAGTAGGAGTATCATTAGATACAGTCCATGGTGTGGGAAACAGTTCTTAATATCTTAAATGAGATACTAACATTTTGTCTGTTACAGCATGTTAAACCTGTCAGGCAGGTTTTAAGTTGCATTTTCATGTCTGCATTTTCCTCTCTTTACTACAATTTCAGATGTTGACTTAATTTGTGTTTGTTTCATGAATAGATTGTAGATACAATTTGCATATCACCTTAAAGTTAAGAGCCACCAAACCTAAGATGCCAAGTGACAAAATATCAAATGATACATTGGTGAACAGGTCCAAATTGCTAATGGACAAACCATTTTCTGATGCAAGGTGCTCTACTTTTAACAGAATGGTATTGATAGTAACTGAAATAGTGACAAAACTGTTTGACCATTTATCTTTATGAAGAGATGGAAATACTGCTTTACAGTCCTGGGGTGTAACTTTAGGGTAGTAAATACAGTATTGCACTTACTGAATTTAGAAATTGTTCATTCTTCAATACTCACCAGGTTAATACCACTAAAGAAATAATTGTGCCTTTAAAAGCACCTCTTCCACAGCGGACCTGTCATTCCAGAATACTGCAAGCACAGCAACAAGCAACACAAATAACAACTGCTGTTAAAAGTGGTCAAGCTTTTGTTGCTGCAACTTGCGGCCCAAAGAGAACTGCATCTGTAATACCAGCTACTCAGATTCAAAGCATGGGCCCCATAGGTATGACTAAGTAGTATATTACACTTTTGATATTTGTTGAGTTTCATATGAGGGTTTGTGTGAGTTAAAACAAGATCGCATAAAATTTAGGTTTAATTTGCTTCCCAGTCCCCCAGACCAAGAAACCAACAGCAGGATATGTAGAGAATGAGTAGTTGATTGTTCCTAGGTTTCTGATTCAGATCAGGTTTCATCAAAACAGCCAGTGTCCATGCATTGATAGCTTAGAATCTGTGAGAGACAAATGTGGTGTCCTCCAGATGTTTTCAACAATTCACATCAGCCCTAGCCATGAAGGGGAAAGGGAATAGAACACTGTTCCACGCTATTTGAAAACATGCCCACCTGTGTGTATAGACAATACAGATGGTATCTGTGACTTTAAATGAGGTGATTGCAAGAAGGTGTGCACAATTGGTAACCACTGTACAAAAGCGCCCTTTGGAAAAATGACCCCTGTGCATTTCAAAGGCTACATTGTACACAGCCTGTATCACAGCCATTGCATCTCACAATACCTGTTTTCTCCAAAGCAGAACGGGATTGGTTCCCCCCCCCCCCCCCAGTATCTCTGATAGAATTAGTGATGTGTAAGGGATAAGCTCCCGTTGCTCGGTCCCTGCTCCTGCCAACCTAGCAGTTCGAAAGCACATCAAAGTGCAAGTAGATAAATAGGTACTGCTCCAGCGGGAAGGTAAACGGCGTTTCCATGCACTGCTCTGGTTCGCCAGAAGCGGCTTAGTCATGCTGGCCACATGACCCGGAAGCTGTACGCCAGCTCCCTCGGCCAATAAAGCGAGATGAGCGCTGCAACCCCAGAGTCGGCCACGACTGGACCTAATGGTCAGGGGTTCCTTTACCTTTTTTAAGGGATGGTTTTGGGATATATTGCTTTATGTACTGGTAATTGCTGTTAAATGTAAAATAAATGCCGGTACACATGTTCAGCAAGGTGTTGGAAGGCTGGTATTATCAACCAGCAGCATGGAAACCTTCAGTGAGCTCAGGTGATCACATGACAGGTCGTATTGTCTGTCATACCTGTGGCAAGGAATGGTCACCACACAAAAGCTGTTCCTCCCATGTGACTGCCTTAATGGTCACTCTGGCATTTACTGTAATCATTCAGCTTCCAGATAAAGTTTAAGAAGATAGTTTGGCTATGTGAAGTGCATTTACAAATGAAGCTTCAAACTACATAATATTTGTCTATTTCAGTTTGTTTAAATGTGTTTGAAGTTCAGCCTGTTGGAACAAGCACTGGCCAAGTGAATGTACTACTTCCTGGAAATGCATTAACATCAGTGCCATGTAGACTTCCCAATTATCCTGTAAAAAAAAATACTCCCATGCCAATTAAGGTATTTCATATTTTCCTTTGTGTTAAAATAGAGTAAAAGGCTTCTGGGTTTATTGTCAAATTTATTAAGAAGTTATTGGGGGACATATGGGAAACCAGTGCATAAAGTGCCATACTAGTTTGAAATGGTGATGTCCTAATAGTATTTTTTAAATTTAAAAATCAGTGCAGTAAAGCAGAGGTGGTTTGTAGGTTGAAGGTGACTAATAGGGCCTTCCCATCCAATCTACAGCCCCTTCTCTTCACTGCAGTGTGTTGTTTAGAAATTGACATAAACTGAAGACTGTGTTCAAGCCTAATTCTAGTATGAACATTTTTGGTATGTAGGTTGTTTATCTGTGTAGGGATAATCCTCCATTCCTGTGTGCTGTGACCCAATAGTAAACAGTGCTTATTTTGATTTCATTCGAATTTGAACCAGGTCAATGGGTGTGTGGGTGGGTGTATGTCCATGTCCATGTTTGCATGTGTGTGTGAGTAGGCCAGGACTCATTTTTGGCCCTGCTGACCTTGATGGGCTGGCAAAGAGGGAATGCAGCCAATGGGATTTAAAGTGTTAACAAACCACCACAATACAGTATATTTAGAGAGGCAGTTTGCTGTTGAAAAATATTCTGACTTTGCCATACTCTTGCAATTTTGGAGATAGGATTTGAGGGAGAAGAGTTTGTAGCTATATAATAAGGTATTTGTTCAAAAGTCTTTTCAGTGATTTAGAATCCTTTTCTTTTACCCAAAACAATACCTTTCAATAAGTTTAGGAACGTTATTTCAATTCATGCACGTAGTAAGTTAAATATAAGTTAACATTTCAGCCATCAAGTCGGAGAAGGCCTCCTGTGATTGCCGAGCTGGGATCCAAAGTACCACATGACACAAGGCAACGATATGTCAATTTTTTTTTGGAAGAATTCTTGAAAGTTTGTGCAACAGTCAATGAAGCTTTTGACAAGGTCTGCAGTAGTTTTAAAAACCAATGTAATTTATTTTTTATGACAGTTATATGAATTGTGGATATGTGAAATAAGTGCTGAGTGCTTTGTTGCAAACATAACATACATTGTGATCCTGTGTGTGTATACTCAAGAGTAAATGCCATTTATTTTGGTTGGACTTTTGCTCCCAATGAAGTCTGCAGTGTACTGCAGTTTTAGGCTGCAATCCTAAACCTATTTACTGGGGTGAAAGTTCCTTTGACCATAATCGGACTTGTTTCTAGGTGAACATACATATGATTGCAGTGTTAACTGGTACCATATTGGCCTGAATATAAGCCTCACTTTCCCCCCAAATTCAAACCATGAAAAATTAAAAAACGCGGCTTATATTCGCGACTTGACAATATGCAGCCAGGAGCACGGCAAAGTGGCACCCGCCCAGCGCGTATTCCTCCATCCTCTCCCCCGAGGCCGGCGAGGAAGGGGAAAGGCCGCCAGCAATGCAGCTCCATTCCTCGCTGCTCCCAGTGTGCAGCCCGGGCAGAATGATGGGGACTTTCTGTATTCATTATGGATTTGTCCTAAAAAGTAAAAGTTCATTCTTAATATTTAATTACTTTACTAAATGTATTTGTCACCCATCAATATTCCTATTTCCAAACAGTATTTGAAAAATAAACATTCCTTAGTAATAAAAAGGCTAAGAATAGAACGCTCATTATATATTATTAAATTGTTACTGCATATTTAAAAGAAACTTAAATTGGAGATACCAGGAAATCAACTAACACAATCTTCTTGAATGAAAATAATTGATTTTAAAAAAGAATCTGATTTAAAATAAATTCTGAATTTAAATTGAAGCGGATATGGTGATTGTACTTATCTCTGAATCTATTGTGAGACCATTACAGTTAAACATTTAATGCGGTGCAAAACTGTAGGACTATTTACAGTACATCACTAGTGGAGTGTTGAACTTGTTTCTCAAACTGCATGCAAGCACATATCAGTGCCACACAGAAAGCCACCGATGAAAACCAGAATACCTTTAAAAGCAGTTTGTGATGGAGGGAATGAAAACATTAAATTGTCTGGTGCAACTGAAATGGATCTCTTGAGTTGTGACCACTAAACTTTAAATGCCACTTTCTCTATATATATATATCAGGGGAAAAGGCAGGATATAAATAATATATTATTATATATTTATTTATATCCTGCCTTTTCCCCTCATAGGACTTAAAGTCGCTTACGTATAAAAACAGAACCACTAAAAAGGACATCCAAAGGCAGCCCTGTTTAGGGAAGTTGTTAATGTTTGATGTTTTATCGTGTTTTTAATACTCTGTTGGGAGCAGCTCAGAGTGGCTGAGGCAACCCAGTCAGAAGGGCAGCATATTATTACTATTATTATTATTTGTTTGGATGCTCTTCCCCGTTACATACTCTGTTCTATTGCAGGGGGCGGAGTACAGGGTAGATGTGCAATTTACAGTATGTATCATACACACTTTTCTTTTTAATGTAGGCATTGAAAGAAGAAAAAGCAATATATGACCGTTGTGGTAGTAAAAATATATACTTGAATATAGCTGTGAACAAGCTTAAAAAATTGAGGGATCATAGCAGTGTGTCATCAGATGGTAAGTTCCAGTGACGTGGGAAGGGAAAACTGGTGGTTAAAATGGACCAATTTTATTTCTCTTCTAAATACATTTAAATTATATACAATGTTTGTTTGTAGAAATAAGTTCACATTAACAATGTAAGACATCTGTGATTTTATTTTATATAGGCCAGCCCTCAGACAATAAATGCACTACTACAACTGGCTTTAGAAAAGAAGAAAAAAATGGTAAAATAAAACTATTACTGTCTTTTGAAAAATTCGCACAAAGTATTAAAATTCTTTCACGTGTGAAGTACTTATAATATAAAAAGCTAGTTTTTTCTAGTTCTGATACTCTTTACTTGCTTATAATGAAAATGAAAAGTAATGAAAAAAATCCAGTGCTTTCAAAATGTTTTTATTCTTGTTTTTATTATGTATTTTTCTTTTTTGTATTTTTACTGAGATCTTTGAATGAAAGGTTGTATATAAATTTTAAAAATGCTATGACAAAAGGCATATATTTAGGATGAATTTGTAAAGTTTCACAGCATATATAAACTTAACCAAAGAAAAACTAGCTGCTACTGACTACCTATAAGTTGAATCTGAAAATAATTCTGACAGTTATAATGCCTGAATGACAGCTCTTCAGAGTTTTTTAACTGTTTTGTTGGGGTGATTAAGATTTTACAGGAATTACTCTCTATAAACTTCTAAAAGAATATGCTTTGACTGATGAACAGTTGAAGGAAAATGGCTTCCCTGAACCAAATCCTGAGAAACCTGGCAGTGCTGTACTATGCAGTGGCTCCATAAAAGCAGCTTTATCTGACTGTGAGTAAATGAGAATGGAATGAAAAACTGAAACCCATCAGAAAAATCTTCCTATATTGTTCAAAAAATGCTTTCCAACATAAGATTTCATCCACAATGTGCTACAATAAAATGCTTGTAAGTGTCACTCATTGCCAGTACTGTGAATCAAGTCATCCTGGTTAATAAAGCTTGAAGAATAACTGTATTTTTTCTGCTCCTGATCTATCAATTTAACAACTTAATTAATATTGTTTGGGTGATTATCCATCTGTTCCATGCATAATTGGAATATATCTGAATTACTCCTACCAAAGCTTTACTATTTTGATCAGTAATTATGCTAGTAGTAGCAATTCTGCTGCTTGGTAATGTGAATGAGAACCAAATTCATTAGATTTTTTGCAGTTGTTCTGGTGATTAAAATGGTTTCTGGGGGTAAGTGCAGATGAACATCTTACAGGTCTCAATTCTGGCTTACTACTGGATTGTGTTACTGGTTACAGCTTCCAGAAGAATTTGTTGTCGATGCGGAGAAATATATACTGTAACTTCATCAGGAAGGCATGTTCGGAAAGAAGAATGCAGCTACCATTCTGGTAGAGTATTAAGACATAAAGGTAAGGATAAACTCCTGTCTCCCCAGACATATACTGGACATGCCGGTGAGATTGAGACTACTCAGGTAATGTCCACCGAAGCAGGGCCAGCAAGTTAAATTTTGATTAACAATGAAGGGGTTAAAAATAGTTTTGCTTGCATTTTTCCTTATTAAGCCACCAATCACTTACCATTAGATACAGACTTTGCACTAATTTGTGGTATAATGTTATTAAGCAAGGAGCAAACATTGGGTCTGTGTTCTTCTCACCACTTCCTGTCACACATGTTTTTTCATGCTTGTTTCAATATATAACAATACAGAGAACTGTGACTTAGTATTTTAGTAGCCAGGATCTTAAACTGGAATTGATTTTAATATTATGCTTAGTAAACCAACATCACAACACAGTGCCCCATTTCAGATCTAACAAAACTGATGCTGTGATGGTGATTAAATTAAACCAAAGTTGGTATCTGAGGGAGGAACATCCAGATCTGATGCTTGTTCCAACTTTCCTAAATGGTGGTTTAGCATGCCAGGACTGTCACCACCCCCAAAAGAGCCCATGTAGGTAGTGTAGTTAAAACTAATAAATTATATTCAGCTATTTATGCTTGACTTTGTACAGTGCCTCACTTTCATTTTCCTGCTCTTTTTAGTAAAATACATGATGGGTGATAAGGTTGTCATTTTGTATTCTCAGTATAGCTACAATCTTGAGAGAAACTGACACACATTTGTAATAAAACTATAATTTCTTTGGATAGTTGGAAATCCAATTCAGTATCCCTTTCTTCAATGCATGTATATTTGATCCTTGGAATTCAACTTGGTTTTGTTAAACTGATATTTTTTTTAAGCAGAGCTACTCCCTTAGTGTTCTGGTTTGCATATTTAAAATAAAGTGTATTGGTGTATGCGGCTAAAATTATGGGCGCTTCACACATCCCTTGGTATTACTGCTGCCAGGAAACAGACTGTTGTGTTCTCAAAACCTGGGGTTGTAGTTTCTTTCTCCAAACAAACCATGATCCAAAACCAAGGTTTTGTTCTTGGCTTCTGCTTGTGTTATGTTTAGGGGAAACTAACAATGAGCCCAGGGTTGAACTACATGAAAAAGGCAGACTATGGTATGTTTCCTGACAGCAGTGAAGGGAAAAAATGTTTGCGATTTCAGCAGTGTGCATCAACTTGTTTGTTCACATTAAACCATTGTTTATTTTAATTATTTGGTTGTGATGTGTGAACCAAGTCAGTGTAAGAAGGTAACTGATAGTTCAAAGTACAATAGATCAAAATTTTAATTTTTTGGATAAGAATTGATTTGAAATTACTCATCTGCTTCCTATTACTTACCCTGTAACAGTTCCGGGTGGTCTGGAAACACGTTACAGTTGTTGTGAAGGAGTGGTAGGATCTCCTGGATGCCAGGTTGCAAAGGTGAGAGTACTCTCCAGTTGCTGTTCTCAAACTTTTCACAACAAACCAACAACACCAGAACTGGCTTATGAATATAAACAACAATTTTACTAGAATGGGTGTAAAACCTCATAAACCAACAAGACAATGAACAAAGTAAAATGCAAAGTGCGTAACCAAGCCTGGAGATACTCATAAACATAAAATGTGGCAGATGGAACAAATACAGTGGTACCTTGGATTAAGTACTTAATTCGTTCCGGAGGTCTGTTCTTAACCTGAAACTGTTCTTAACCTGAAGCACCACTTTAGCTAATGGGGCCTCCTGCTGCTGCTACTGCTGCACCGCCGGAGCACAATTTCTGTTCTCATCCTGAAGCAAAGTTCTTAACCCGAGGTACTATTTCTGGGTTAGCGGAGTCTGTAACCTAAAGCGTATGTAACCCAAGGTACCACTGTAGTCATTCATTGGAAGCACAAAGCCACAAACGTGGGAGCAGCTGCCAGAAAGCGTTCTTCACGTAGCTGTTAGCTGGAAGTGCAAAGCCAAATGATCAATTGAAGCCAAGTAGATGAGACCTGTTCTCTGGATATTATCCAGGTCTCGTAGCAAGCTTCATCAGTCCATAATGCTAATCACTCAACACGGTTCAGTAACTGTTCCTGTGAGTTCCTTTTGTCTTGAGTGAACCATGTGTTAAGACATTCTTATCGCATACATAACCAGTATAGCAACGAGAGAGACGCTGCCACATTTTATGTTTTTGAGTATCTCCAGGCTTGGTTATGCACTTTGCACTTTAGTTTGTTCATTGTCTTGTTGGTTTATGAGGTTTTATACTCATTCTAGTAAAATTATTCTTTATATTCATAAGCCAGTTCTGGTGTTGGTTTGTTGTTTAATTATTGTTATAACACCTGATATTTTTTGTGTATACTCAAACTTTTCACAGCACATATATTTCTCCGGATTTTGTTTTAGCTTTTGCTTGCAGCAATCTGCCTATAGCCACTGATTGGCTGTCTACATAGAGAGGGATTGACAGGGGTCAAGCATGAAAGACAAAGTGTTTTAAAATCTCTTGAATTCCAGATACAGCTATTCTGTTAGTCTTGTTATCTTAGCAGAACTAGAGCAAAATAGGTGACCAAGTTTCCTTCAAGAAGCTCCAACCCTCCTCTTTTGTGTAGAGCAGCGTGGTCCAATGTGCAGCTCATGGGCCACATGGAGCCCTTGATGTCTTTTTTGTGTGGTCCTTGGCAACATTTGACACATACACCCTGCGATGCAGCCCTCCCACTGCTTTCCCAAAGCTGGGTAAGCGAGGCTCTGGGCTTTGGGAAGGAGGCTTTGACAGGGTCCTAGAGTTGTCCCACCTGCTTCCCAGAGCCCAGTTAGTACTTTCCTAGCTTTGGGAAGGAGGTGGGTGTCAAATGTCGGCCTTGTTTCCCACCCCTGCAGTATGCCACCTGCAGGTTCCATGTGAAAGTACTCCGGTGGCCCACTTGGTATGAAAAGTTGGGCGTAGTGTGTATTTTTTCTTGGCCCTAGAAGCCATTTCCTGAACTGAATATTGGTGTAAGTGTAGTCTTTGGCAGAGAGACAGACATGTTAAAAATGTATGCATTTCTGAAGTTTCTAAAAGGGAGATGAGAATAGGGGTAGATTTTTAATTTGTTTTGGGGAATTCTGTTCTCATGATATCATAATATGCTAGAAAACAAGATGGGACTGGTTCTAAAAAAGTGTTGGGGCTCAAGCCTGCCTCATTTCCTTAAATCTAAATTTGTGAGAGAAAAGCAGATAAGTAATAAATTAGTGTTGAACATGCTAAGGGACACTTTAGTTTACACTTTCTGGGACTTGGTCCTGATATTAAAACAAGCTGTATCTTGATGGACAGTGGCAGATGCTGTAATTGTTTTGCTTTCTGTATTAAGGTTTAGTCTTCTATTTAATGTTTTTGCCTCCCTCATCTTGGTTACTGTGTGGGGAAAATGAACATTTGAAATGCATGAAGAAGTAGCATTTAAAATTTAAAAGACAGATAATGAACGCTGAGGATTTCAACTTCATATTCTTTAACATTCTTTAACCAGTAATCAAGTGCTTGACAAAATAGTGTATAAATTTAATTAAAAGTTACTGAAAATATGTCACTTCTCAGACTAATTTGAATATTCCTTGTTGCTTTGTAGCTCCATGTTCATGATGGCAGAAAAGAAAATATAGATGGCTTTGTGAAGACTTTCATCAAACCACCTCCACTTGATGGAAATCATGGTGTATTTGCGTTAGATTGTGAAATGGTATGCTAAGTTAGGATCCTTTTAAAAAATGCAATTTAAAGTGCAATTGTGTTTTCCTGGCAGTATAACTTAAGGACAGATGTTATTTTTCTAGAAAAAGAGGTGCTGGAACTCACCCTGAATGCCTCCCTTATTCTCTTAGAATGGCAGTGGCACCCTTCTGAGAGGTGCTGGAACTGAGTTCCGGCTGAAAAAAGGCACTGGATGCTACTCTCTTCAGTTGAGAAATGTAGATCAGACAGGACAGACTGACTTGAGAAGGAAAAACTGCCTCATAAAATGCACCTGCTTTTGTTGCTCTCCTGAATTGCAGTTGGGAATTATTTTTATTGTTTTTATTCTGATTGTATCTAACCCTGGTGTTGCTACATGATGAAGGAATAGTTAAAAACTTAAAATATTTTGAAATTAAATAAAATATGTAATGCTGGCAATATCCTTCTCTGGGAGTTGGATATTAGTGGCTTTTTGTTTTTGTTCATTCCTTCTCTAGATATAGAAAGTGCAGGATGTATAGGAAATAGAGGACCATTTAGCAAAAACAAGTACACATTTTTACATGCAGCTACATGTGTCTTTTTCTTTCAGTGTAAGCAATTACTTATAAAACTTGATTAACGTAGAACTTCCATTGTAAATTAACAATATAATCTTTTGGGTAATCAAGTAGCTTACTAAGAGGTAACTGATGAATTGAAAACATCTTTTATCATAATAGCTGACAGGAATTTCTAGGAATTTCCCAGAGAAAAATGTTACTTTTAGATTTTAAAGTTTCTAGTATATACCTACACCATGCACTGCCATGATTTTCAGTGTAAAAAATATGTTTGCAAAGTAGCAAAGATGTGTTCACCTATCTCCACCATTTCAAAATTACATTAGTTTTCATTTCAGTTTATTCAGAACATAATCAGGAACTAAACTTAATTATGAAAAATTCTATTTAACACATTTCTCTTCTAGTGTTATACAACACGTGGATTGGAACTCTCCAGAGTGACAGTAGTTGATCCTTCACTTCATGTCATCTATGACACGTTTGTTAAGCCTGATAATGAAATAATAGATTTTAATAATAGGTATGTGTCTTATTCAAATACCAAAACATCAAGTGTTTGAAGATAAGTAACTGTGTTTGCACTCAACAGTAAACCAGAAATCCTGAGAATTGGTCAGACTCTGCATGTGAGTGCAATAGGGCTCCTTTGCATTTGCTTCACTCCTCCCTTTGTGTGAGCAACTGAACAAGCCAGGTTTTAATGCTTTATCATGTGAACCCAGGTATAATTAATTGTTTCTAATCAACCCAAGATATTAAGCATACCTTAGAGCGTAGCTTCCTAAGTGTAATGGCAAATGGCTTCAAATCAAGCTAGGTTATGAAGCTGTGTTTGGCTTAATATCTTCAGCTGTTTTGAAGCCACAAATTATAATTCTAATCTTCACGTGTAAATGATAAGCTATTATTTAAGTGCTGAAACCCAACTTTGATCAGCTGCGTGCATAAAAGGGAGAAGAAGGAGGCTGTCCTTGTGCATAACTTGGCCCATTAAGACAGGATTTTTGATTAGCATTGCATGTGAATGCTGTCAGTGATGTTATAACCCATGGGCTACTTGTATAGCATCACTGCTTTTTGCTGTAGTATTTCTATAAGAATTGCATCAGGGCTCTGGAGTTAAGTTACTTATTGTTATTTTTTAATTGAATTTTATAAGTAATAATTAAGTGTAGGTAAAATATATGCAAAATACCAGCAGAGAATAGGAGTCAGACGAATAATAGACAGATAATATTATTACTTTGTCATGGTCTGATTCCTTCCCCAAATTTTTCATTCCAAAAGGAAAATAAAAACTCTTCAGTTGTATCAGTTTTGGGATAAGTGAATCTGGTATTTCTAAAATATTCATGTCTCCCTATTGTTTTACTTCCCTTGACACTCTGATTTGCTTTAGGTTTTCTGGAGTGACGGCAGAAGACATGAAGAGTACTGTAACATCAATTCGGGACGTGCAGGCAATATTGTTAAACTTGTTTAGTGCAGACACAATTTTAATTGGACATAGTTTAGAGAGTGATTTGTTTGCTCTTAAGGTAAATTATACAGAATGATAATATATTTAAAATGATTTGAAATGTTTTGCATAAAACCTGTTCAGGTTTAACTTCTGTGTACTGTCTAATACCGCACACAGAAGTGCCCTGCTGGATTTATACCATCTAGCGCAGCATTCTGTTTCCCACGGTGATTAACCCACTGCCTCTGGGAACATGAGGACAACAATTCTCTCCTTTGTGGGTCCAGGTTCACTGGTGTGGTGTGGGTGAGGGATAGATCTAACATGAATTGCAATAAAACAGGATAGGAGTATCGGAGTTTAAAGAAGCCATAACTTTATTGATTACAGATTTCAGTAGGTTTTGGCACTAGGTGTATATCCTGAAATGGACCAATCGTTGTTCCCCAGTGACTGATATTCATAGGCACACTGCCTCAAGTCTTAGAGGTGACATGCAGGCATATAGTCATCATGAATAATAGCCATTGATGGGTGCCTGCATACTTGATGAATTTGACTAATTTTTTAAAATAAGCAAAGCTAGTCATCATCACAGTCTATTGTTGCAGCAAATTCCATACTTTAACTATGCTCTGAGAAAGAACTGCAATGGTAAACATGTTACAGAGAATGGGAGGATGGGTTGTGTAGCTTGCTAGCCAGGAAAGAGTCTAGGATGTGTAGTATGAGGCCTTTTATAACCTTCCCCCAAATCTAGTTAAAATGCCATGTTGGGCCAAAATCCAAACCCTTGTGAGAGTACCTTGCCCTCTCACCCTCAGAATGGCCAGGGCTTCCCAGCCATTGGATGCTATGCTACTGGAGAGACATGGGAATAGTGCCACAAGGTAGCTGCAGCCTTTTCACCACTTCCCAATGGCATTGCTGTGGCTCAGAGGCCCCTATGTGAAAAAGTTAATGTGATACGGTTTTTGTTGTTGTTGTTTAGTCATTTAGTCGTGTCCAACTCTTTGTGACCCCATGGACCAGAGCACGCCAGGCACTTCTGTCTTCCACTGCCTCCCGCAGTTTGGTCAAACTCATGCTGGTAGCTTCAAGAACACTATCCAACCATCTTGTCCTCTGTCATCCCCTTCTCCTTGTGCCCTCAATCTTTCCCAACATCAGGGTCTTAAAGCTTTAACTGAAGCGATAGTGTGTTTTTTAACCACAAGAATATTTTAGGAGGCAAGACACAATCCAGTTTGAAGTGTCACTGAATCATCCATTTCTTTTCCAGCTGTTTCATAATAAGATTGTGGATACATCCGTAGTTTTTCCTCATCGTTTAGGCCTGCCTCATAAAAGAGCACTTAGAAATCTAATGGCTGATTATCTCCAAAGAATTATTCAAGATAATGGTAAGGCCTGGCGAAAATGACAGTGTATTTTACAGTTAATGGAGAAGAACCAAGAAGCAAGCAATACCTATGTTGTCACTCAGACTTTCCAGTTCGATCCAGGTTTCCCAAAATAAGGATTGGTCATGTGCCTTGTTTGATCACTGGAAGCTGAGTGTGTGAACTGACTGCATTGAAAATAACTGTCTCTGAGGTGATATTGAATGACATGAAAGTTCTCCCTGTGATGTCAGGTCTCTGGTGCCTATTCACACATGCTAATGATATCTCAATTGCTTCTTTTAAGTTATGAGCAAGTGTATCTAAGAATCAGCTGTAAGTTCACAAGAATTAAATAGTATGGGCTGTGTATTAGAAGAGATTCACAAGCTGTCCTCTTTTCCTTAATTCAAGAAACAAGTGGCATGTGCCTTCCCCATTAAAACTAATCACGCAGATACTACACATTTAAAACTTGGCCAGAGGCCTGCCGTAGCAGAGTGTAAGTTAGCTGGTTTCCTCTGTGATTTTAAGATCTTAAATGTAAATTAAGTCTACAGATGTATGGGATTACACATAAACTTCTTGTAGGATGAGCTAGAAAGTGGAAGAATGCACAGAGGGTAATTGAGAGTATGTACTATTAGAACAAATATCACTCAGAAGACAGCTTTCAATCCTCTCATCATTTTCAGGAGCTACACTGCTAAAATTGCAACAATATTAGTGCTTTCATGTCTAGTTTGTATAAATCTGTGCTCACCTGCAGTGCTGTCGTGCTATTAAAGCATCTTCGCCTGTTCTAAATAGATGGTATCCAAACATTGGATGTATTTTGTATGATTGATACATGTTCTTGAACTGAGTTATTCACCAATACATAATGCATGATGTCTTTTTAAGTCTCGTGGGGTTACAGTTACAGAAAACTAATGCATATAATCACACATGTACTTTACAGTTGCTCCATTACGATGTAATGCTGGAGTCATCAGGAGTTCAAAAGCCTTTCTTCAGGATTCAGAGCTGGAGTAGGGAACTTGTGGCCCTCCAGATGCTGTTGTACTAAAACTCTCTTTAGCTCAATGAGCATGACAAATGATGGGAGTGAGTCCCACAACATTGGGAGGGCCAAAGGCTATCTGTACCATCTGAGCTGCCCCTTTAGGAGCCCTAGAGAAGATATTAAAAGCCTATCTAGCACTTGTTTTACGGGCTATGCTATTTTTCAGTACGGTGGTACCTCAGGTTAAGTACTTAATTCGTTCTGGAGGTCTGTTCTTAACCTGAAACTGTTCTTAACCTGAAGCACCACTTTAGCTAATGGGGCCTCCAGCTGCTGCCGCGCCGCCGGAGCCCGATTTCTGTTCTTACCCTGAAGCAAAGTTCTTAACCTGAAGCACTATTTCTGGGTTAGCGGAGTCTGTAACCTGAAGCATATGTAACCTGAAGCGTATGTAACCCAAGGTACCACTGTATTAGGCCCTGAAGTGTATTTTGCTGCACAAACAAATTCTTATGAACTGACGAGCTCCAATCACACATGAAGTTCTAAATAGTGAATGATCTGCTGTTATGGAACATGTATGTTCGGGCATAGCCTTGCATACAAATGCTTATTTTAAAAAATCCAAAAGTGATGTAGCAATAAAATGTGTACTACCTGTTTCTTGCATCTGTAAACTTTCCTCTGCTTTTCCTTACAAAACTAATACTTTGGAGTGAAAGGTGTCTGGCTGCTTCAAGTGCCAGCAGTATCAGCTGCCAGTTGGCAGCTTTTGATCTAGTTGAGCATAGGTCCTATTCTGTGACAGATCTAGATCATATTGTAGTGTGACTGAAATCTGAAACCTTGAAACCTATTCAGGTTTCTTCTGTGACACTGTGGCATTTTTTCTATACTATTATCCACCCTCAATACAGTTAGGCTGTGTACGCATTTGAAATAACAATAATTTTATTATTTATATCCTACCCATCTGGCTGCACATTCTTTCCCTCAAAGAATTATGGGCACTGTACTTTAGTGCAGAATTACAGTAATCCCAGAATTACAGCTCCAAGGAGCAAACTAGTGCCCAGAATTCTTTTGAGGGAAAGAATGTGCTTTGAGGAGATAGTGTACAGACTGCCTTAGCGATTCATTATCTTCAAGATAATTTTCAAACTTGCTCTTTTAAGAGGGTAATTTTGGAAACAAATGCAAATACTTGAGTTTATTACTACAACTATTAATGTTAAATATTCAGTACCAACTTTCTAATCTTTTAAATACTATGCATATTCATGAACGTTATTTTTTTCTAGTTGGTGGTCATGACTGTAGTGAAGATGCAACTGCTTGTATGGAACTTATGCTTTGGAAAGTAAAAGAGGATACTAAAGGCAGAAGATATTAATGCTTTGCAACAACAGCCTTTCTTCATCATTTCCTAGTGAAATACAGTTTTCTACCCCTGTTATTGTTCTAATTCAAAAGAGTACTGTGGTAAGTATATGCACTAGTTAGTTTTGCTGGAAGTTTGGGTTAATGATATTCAGGATTATGATATTTTTGTTCAATATAATATTAGAGTTGATTATGGGAGCTTTGTGCTAGTCAGAATTGTTAATGTAAACAGCGAACATTTCCCAATTTTGGCAGTTTGGAAAGAATACTGTACTTATTTTCTTTTTATGAAGAATCCTGTACTTATTTTCCCTTTATGAAACTTCTGTGTGTCCTAAGCAAAAAAGTTGTTCTCTGGCTGTCACTGTCTGCTGAAATAAAAACTCAAAAAAGCTGATATAAATAAAACAAATGTTAAACATTATGCAGTCCATTCATTTGGTTAGCAGATCTCTAGCAGTTGCATAGGTGGCCATAAGTAAGCAATTTGTCACTGTCACTGCTTTATGGCTTTGATCTATTTGTTAATCTTATGGAACAAAATAAGTTAAATTGCAATTAGAGATTAAAGGCAGCAGTGAAAATGTAATTTTTATTTTTAAATAAAGAGTCAAAGGCTGTCCATTACTGAAATTTCTGTCAAGTCCATGTTCCAGTTCTCAGTTGTATATACAGTGGTACCTCGGGTTAAGTACTTAATTCATTCCGGAGGTCAGTTCTTAACCTGAAACTGTTCTTAACCTGAAGCACCACTTTAGCTAATGGGGCCTCCTGCTGCCGCCACACCGCCGGAGCACGATTTCTGTTCTCATCCTGAAGCAAAGTTCTTAACCTGAAGCACTGTTTCTGAGTTAGTGGAGTCTGTAACCTGAAGCATATGTAACCTGAAGCGTATGTAACCCGAGGTACCATTGTATCAGCTTGAGATGAGCATACAGCACTACTTAAAAGTTTTAGCTAGTTAGTCCAATGAGCCTAGGAGAGCAACACTGGATCATCCAAGCTGGATTGGAGCAAGTCTCTCACTAACTTTTGGGAAGAATCTAAAAACATTCCTGTTCACCCTATATATTTGATGGCTAGAATGTCTGTTAAAGGCCAATCCTGAAATAACCTATGATTCTTTTAAAGCAGTTGTAAACTGTTTATAGAAGTTTAAATGGTTTTTTCTTATTCATGTGTGTGCCACGCTGGACTACTCCAGGAGGAGGGACATGATATAAATTTGATAAGAAAATAAGCAAATATACAATATTTGAGAAGATGGGTGCAGAAAGAACACCGCGTACTACAACACAAATATACATGACAAATCACTGTCTCCTTTACATTCCTACCGTGTTTTGTGTTTTGCTTGCAGTGGCTCACAGGATTGGCAGAGGTTAAGTATGCAGTGTGACTATATTGCTTGCAGTAAATTCCAACATTATAGGGGGGAAAATACATAAGTCTATGAAATGTAAAATGTATTTATTTCAGTCACTTTCCAAAAAGTGTATGTGTGTGAGTGCATGTATAGGCAGACAAAAGATTTATATAGATATATATAGTGCACATGCACACAATACACATAAACACACAAACATACCTATGTACACATATACATACACATTCCTACAGCATACTGATTCAGGACTCACTCACAAAGTGTGTGTATAGCTAAGAAGGTATTGTACAGAAAGCGTTCTATGCAGTTTTGTACATCAGCACATTTCATCTTCCTTTGAGGTTGCTCAAAACGATAAATAACTGATGATTTTCCATCTCAAGCAGCTTCTTCCGCAGAACAGTCAATGCCTGCATAGGTAAACTTCTCATACAGGGTTGTATTCACATAAGTCTGGAATTACAATTAAGAAGAATAGGCTCAGAATATTTTCTCTTTGCCCTCAGCAGCACATAGAAATTTTCTCTGTTGCAGATAACATCCATCTCCCAAGCCCAAATCGTGTCCTTTTATCCCTAATGCGTCACAAAGAGCTGCACTGGTCACAGGACTCGAAAACAGTTTTAGGCTACCAGTTTATGCCAGAACTGCAGGACCTTCAGCTGTTGTTTGGTTAACAAGTTGCATCGACCCTGATTGTGGACTACAACAACAATTGTTGGGTGACAGGTATCCTAGCCCTAGTTGATGCCTTAAAAAAACCTATTTTTAAAAGATACTGTTGATGCTCCTGCTGATCAGACCCGCCTATGTCAGGACATAACCTATTAGCTGCAGACCAGTGGTTAGACCACCTGACAAAAGTCTCCTTTAGAACCTGGTGATGTACAACAACTCCTAGGTACAGTCATACTTTGGTTTTTGAATGGAATCCAAAAACCAAGGTGCAGCTTCCGATTGGCTGCAGGAGCTTCCTGCACTCAATTGGAAGCCACTTCAGACATTCGGGTTCCAAAAAATGTTCACAAACCAGAACACTCACCTCTAGGTTTGCGGCGTTCGGGAGCCAAAACGTTTTGAGTCGCAAGGCATTCAATAACCAAGGTACAACTGTACACCCAAATAACTATCTCATCGCATTTTATGTGAAGAATCATATGTGAATATGGCCAAACAAACACGTGCAAAGTTTTCACATGGGACAGGAGCTGACCAGCGGGGAATGATTTACAGTGGCAACCAAGCAAACTCGTGAGCTGGGGAGCTGAGTAATTTTTTTTTACCCCAACCTGACAACCGTGATCATCTTTTACCTTTCTTTCTTCCAACATTCTGTTCAGTGATACGAGTATTTGGGCAAATGACGGCCTCTCGTAAGGTTTTTCTCTCCAGCATTGTCTCATTAGGTCATAACTGAAGAAGAAGAAGAAGAAGAAGAAGAACGTCATTACAGCACTTGAATCTCTACAAATGCGCAGCAAGCGGCCCAAAATTTAAAAGCGGGAGGCGATGACGATCTGTGAGATAGCATGATAGCAAAAAGCAGAAAAGTCAGGCTTTCCAATGTCCCTGGAGTAGAAACACAAATGGCAAGAGGCTGGGGGAGGTTTTCCTGGTCAAACAGTATTGTTATTAAAAGAAGATGTAAAAAAACAACCCTCACAATTCATTTCAACAGGGTTCAAAGCAAGAGAAACAGCAGGTCAGGTGTGTGTAGGGAAAGGAGTGAAGCTTTCTCTTGACCTAAGTGAGACATTATCAAAACAGCAAAGCATTTCTTACACAATCAATTTTTATAGGGCCAATTGACAGATGAAATTGTGGTTTCTGCTTTAGGATAATCACTCTAGAACGTCAACTTCTTTCATGGTTAGCAACTTCCTTCTGCTTTCCAAACTAAATTGGTCAAAGTATAATTAATTCTAGGAGTCATCTCCTAACTTACCAGAAGCAAATTGCCCCATATTCAACACCCGTCAATGACAGATGTATTTTCTAAGAGAAGTCGTCAGCCAAAGAGGGCATAGGGGGAAAGGGCATTCAGTGAGATTGAGTACTTACACCTCATCATCACAGTTGAGAGGCTTCTCCAGTCTGTACCCTTGGGGTAGTTTCTCATACAGTTCTGCACAAGTCATCCCACAATATGGTGTCCCTCCTAGAACAGAAGATTCAACAGGTTAGTGTCCTAAGGATGCTTGGGGGAGAGGACGGAGGACTATGCACAGGGTAGGCACCGCTTTGCCACACTCCTGGTGCTGTTTGCCCTGTGTTCCTGGCTGTATACCATAAGGTTGCAAATAAAAGCCACACTTTAACTTCACGGTCAGAATTTGGGGGGAAAGTGAGGCTTATATTCAGGCCAGTACAATATTATTGTCAGGAGTGTGTGCAGGAGCCAGGCCCTGTGACCAGTAGGGCTTTGCAGGCCTGGGGCCTTCCTAAGTTTGTTCTGAAGAGGCAAGGCGTGGCTGCACAGGTGAGGCCGATTGGTAACTCACAGTACCTGGTGGCAAGAGCTGGGAAGGGTTATAAGGTCAGCATTTCCCTTCAGCTCTTTGCCACAGCAACACGCTTCCTGTCTTGCTGCGTTTGGCTTCTTGCTTCCTGATCCTTGAATCTTGGCTTCTTGACTCCCTGCTTCTTGATCTTTGGACCCTTGACTCCTTGCTTCCTGACCCTCGGACCCTTGGCTTCTTGACTCCCGGCTCTCTGACCCTTGGACTCCTGGCTTCCTGATTCCTGGCTTCTGGACTCCCGTTCCTGCTCCCACCCTGCCATCTTGCCCCTGGTCCTGACGTCTCCAGCCAGGACTTTGATCGTCTGTGAACCGGACCGTGACAGTTATCAGCAGTGAAACCAAGACAGGTAATTAGTCTAGGCAAGGTCTAAACAACTGTTGCACCAAGCCCAGTAACCATGTATGAAGGCTTGCCAGTATTTGGTAAAAATACTATATGCAGTTGTGGGTTAAGCCAATCAGTGTCACCCAGTAGCTTCAGAACTGACCAAAGAAAACACTTTGCACAATACATAATCTGCTTACACAACTCCTTGCCCCCAGAGATAGTGATGGTACTGAGGTTTGATGGATTTGAATTATGACTGATTTGTATCATTTTGTCATTGCATTTTATACTTTGTCAATCATATATGGCTGAGAGCTCTCACAAAGGCTTTAGCTGTGTTATTAAGAATTTACATAGTGCTCACAGACTTCTTAGTGGTTTACAAGTATAAAAGCCAATTACACAAACATTATGAAAGTCCATAATTAAAACAATAAAACAACACAGCAATTAAAACAGGAGAGACTCGGGTAGAGAAATCCAAGGCGTGCCTGTCTAAACAGGTGTGTCTTCAAAGGCTAACAGGATGCCAATACAGTTGGGGCTTCTTGCATTTTGGCATGATAAAGTTTCACCCTTTCAAACGTACCAAGACCTGCTGGCTTTCATAGTGAAGAGGTCAATCAATGCCAGTGAGCGATTCTAGCTAAATTGAATCTCCATGTTCAAAGGCAGTGTATCTTTAAAGAATAGTTGCTGGATATAAGCTAAGAAATTACTGCAATGGTAAATGGTAAAGTAAAAGGCTTTTGGGAACTGATTTACAGCGAACTTAAATTTTTTTTTAAATATACCTTTCCCCAAAAGCCTGAAGCTTTCCTGCTAGGAATAGTCGACAAGGAAATAAAAAAAGAAGATAGAAATCTGTTTCTATATGCCACAACGGCCGCTAGAACTATGCTAAAGTTGGAAAATGGAGTTAATACCTACTATAAATGACTGGCAGATCAAGATGATAAATTATGCTGAATTAGCTAGAATAACGGGAAGATTAAGAGACCAGGATGATCAGAAGTTTCATGAAAATTGGAACAAATATCTGACGTATATAAGAGATAAGTGTAGAATTTTGATGACTCTGGCAGGGTTAGAGTGACTCTAACAGTGTTTGGCAAATATGTAAGGGAGATAAAACACGTGACTTTGGAAACTGTCTGATACTTACCAATGAAGTGAAGGGAAGTCCGAGGCTCGGCGGAGCCCAAAATAACTGTGTATTATATATATGATTCTTGTAACAGCCATGTTATATGCAACTTATGTAATCTAGATTGTATATATGTATAGCCAATGAAAAACCAATAAAAATTTATATGCAAAAAGAAGAAGAAGAAGAAATTACTGCAATGGACAAAATGGATCTTTGGTCTGACCCAGCTATATTGTTCTCATATTCTTAACCAAAATAATAATGCTAAATGCACACACTTACCTAAGCTAACTATTTCCCATAATAGCACGCCATATGACCACCTATGAAAAGAATAAAAAGAAAAGCTGTAACAATTGTACAGTGGTACCTTGGTTTGCGTACGTCTTGGTTTGCATACGTTTTGGATTACAAACACGTCAAACCCGGAAGTGCGTGTCCCGGTTTGCAACCTTCTTTTGGATTACAACCCATATTTTTTTATTACGAACAAATTTCTTTTGGAGGCCCCATTGGTGAAAGCACGCCTTTGGTTACAACCTGTTTTGTTTTACAAATGGACTTCTGGAACAGATTATGGTTGTAAACCAAGGTACCACTGTATATAGAAGGACTGGGTATTATAAAATATCTAGTGCTAGATAAACAGGCACACACCTATAATTATTATAGCTAAAATCAGGTCCAAGATACTTGTGCCATTACAAAAAATATTCATTTTGCCTCCCCCTTCTCTATTTTTATTATGAAGACAATGAAATACAAAACCAGAAATAAACCTCCATGTGCTTGAAAATAAGTTGGTTTTTTCCCCAGTAAAACTGGCATGGACACATCTATTTTAAAAGAAATGAAGCAGAAGTAATAGAAATAAAAGGACACAATCGGACAATCACTTCTTAAAATGTAAAACCTTTGCCTTTCTCTAAACATGCTGATACAGGGAACTTGCATGGCATTTAAGGCTCAACTATTGCTCTGAAAACCATTGGGATCGCATTGGCTGTCTAGTCTTGTCAGCGTGAGGGTTGACAAACATTGTATGCTATCCTAGAGAAGGAGACCAATGGTAGTTGGTCCCAGCCAAGTCAATGGAATGTCCAGGTAACCATTGGAATATATGTTCCCATTTGCATCATATGCTAGACCAGGACAGGACCTCTCCATCAAGGGTCCTCTAATCCACTAATGGAGAAAATCCATTGCTACAGCATCTCAGATAGACCCGTCAACCAGCCTCTGCTTAAAACCTCTAACACAGGGCTTCCCAAACTGTGGTTTGTGGGCTGCCAGTGGTCCACAAGCTTCAATCAGGTGGCCTGAGGCATGTCCGCATTAAATAGCCATATTGATTTTTTTAAAAATTGCATTCTATTGCATTACAATTTTGAATTCCATGGAAGGCAGATTATTATTATTTTAAAACATTTTATTAAAGTTTTCTTGGTTTACAAAGGTATGCGCAATGTCTCTCTTTTCAAGTTACATTTTCCATAGGTCAGTTTCATTTGTTGAGGCCTTAGGGTTACATTAGGAAGAAAAAAGGGGAGAAGAGGTGGAGGGGGCCATGGTGGGTGGGGGTGGGGTCGGGAGGCGATATTTCTATTTTGCTTAATGTATGTGTGGGGTTTTGTGTCAGCGTCGTTTGTGCAGGTTCTCTTTGCTATTTGCTTGTGTTCTTTTGGTGGTGAGAGAAATTGTGGTTGGCCTAGGGTGTGGTTGCTTGTTCGTGATTGGCTGTGCTGAACTTTGTTTTCGTGTGTGAGTGGGGTGTGTGTGTGTTTTTGAATCGGGTTAGCCATATTGATTTGTATGTTGTTGGTGGATTCTTGTCATTGTCTTGTTGGGTTGTGTATGTGATGAAGGGGAGCCATACCGGGGTGAAGCTCTGCTCAGGAGGCTTCGGAAGGCTATCCTTGAAGCCAGGAGAGCAAGAGGGATCGATCCCTCTTGCTCTCCTGGCTTCAGCAAAAGCAACGCGAAGCCTGCATTCACTCCATAAGACACACACACATTTCCCCTTATAGTGCAAAAAATACGGTAAGTTCTTAGCCCGAGGTACCACTGTATTGTTACAAATCTATTTATGAATTTTTATCCCACCTTTCCAATGCATCTGCATTACTGAAGGTCACTTTAGCATTACAGAGTCAGAAAATACATAAAGAGTCACTTACACATCACTGTTTGAGGTATACACGCTGTAATTTAGGGACTCAATCGCCATCCATCGCACTGGAAGCCTTCCCTAGAACAATGAATTTGGAATGGTGTTACAGTCTCTCGCAACAGTTCCGTTCTGATGCATTACCGGAGTCCCCTAACCCAGAATGGCTTTCCCCTTCATTTCGATAGACCTCTTTGTAAGCAGCCCTTTGCAGACTGGCTCCCTGCCCTTAAATTGATGGCTACTGCCCCCATGTTTGTTGTTTGTTTGTTTGTTGTTGTTCCCCCACACTCAAGAGAACCAGGGATGCATCTAGAGTGGCACTGGTGAAGGTTTTCAAATCTGTACATTATGATGTTTGCATTTTGATCTTGCTCCTGCTCTGATGAACTCTGAGGTTTGTGGAAATGCAAAACTCATCTCAACTTTTCTCACTTGTAGCAGCTGGTTCTCCAACTCTTAATGGGTGAAATCTACAAATAACAAAAGCTGAAAACTTCCCCCTTAACTGTCCACTGTCCCAGTCCTAAACAATTAGACTTTAGGGTTAAGTCCCAGTGGTTTCAACAGGACTGCGGCCTTTGTCCTCTCAGATGTTATAGGAAGCTCCATTTTTAATTTCTGCTGCTTCTGAAGAGGAATTTCATTTTTTTTACAGGTAATAGCAAAGGGCAGTTGTTACCTCTGCACAAGAAACATAGCTGACACATTTATTTTGGTCTTTCTTACCATTGTCTTTTTAACATAAACCTCTTGGCCTCTAGACAGTCCAAAATCTGCTATTTTTGCAACATAGTTTTCTCCAACCAAGATGTTCCTTGCTGCCAGATCCCGGTGGATAAACTAAAGGAAACAAAAACACTGTTGCTTTTCTTCTCTCTTCCCAAAATAGAAAATGTTTGTCCTATCACACATTGCAAAGGCTTATTGTAACTTAAGCCCTGTACATACTTCATGGGCTTTTGGCTGGTAATTATGAGGTCACAGAACCTGTAGCCCTCCAAATATTGCCCTCCAAATATTGCTGAACTCCAACTGCCACCAACCCTAGACAGCTTGGCCCAATGGTCAGGGATGATGAGAGGTGTGGTTGTTGTAGGGCAGGCATAGGCAAACTCGGCCCTCCAGATGTTTTGAGACTACAGTGGATGCTTGGGTTGTGAACGTGATCCGTGCGGGAAGCACGTCCGCAACCCGCAGCATCCGCAACCTGCAGCTCCGTGTCTGTGCACGCGCGGCTTGCGATTCGGCACTTCTGCACATGCGTAAAGTGCAATTTAGCACTTCTGTGCATGCTCAAGCACCAAAACCTGGAAGTAACCTGTTCCGGTACTTCTGAGTTCAGTGCGGTGCGCAACCCGAAATTGTGCAACCCGAAGTGTCTGTAACCTGAGGTATGACTGTACAGTTCCCATCATCCCTGACCACTGGTCCTGTTAGCTAGGGATGATGGGAGTTGTAGTCCCAAAACATCTGGAGGGCCGAGTTTGCCTATGCCTGTTGTAGGGGAAGAGGCAGGCCTTTCAAATGCAGGGGGCCCAGACTTGAGTAAAGCTTGCAGGCTCAGTCAGGTCTTCCCTTCCTCCAGTTTACAATCCATATACCTATGTGTGATTGGCCAGTTAGGCAGACAGGCAGTATTCGATCTCCCCGGCCGTCAGAGGGGAGCCAGGAATCCACTGGCCAAGCCGTTCCCGCCGGGGAGGCTCTGGCGGGAGGTGACAGTGCCCCACAGCATAACTGCACCTAGGAAGTAGGTCAGCGGACTTCCCCACCCCTGTCGCTGATAGGGTTGCCACCTTTGGTCTGGCAAAATACAGGACAGAATGGGGTAGGGGACTGCATAACTTGCTAGTGTCCCAGACAGACAATTTTTTATTGCAAGAGCACAATGGCCATTTGGGTTCCCATTATCTCATGCGATTTCGTGGCGCAATTCCCTGCCCCCCAAAGTGTTTTCTCCCCCTGCATATGAATTCGTGCAGTGCCCCTAAAGTCGCATTTGTGGGTGCTGTGCGTGAAAAAGCACTTTTTTCGAGTGCGGGGAGCACGGTGCAAAATCGCAACGAAAATGGGCACTGTGTTCTCACGACAAAAAACCCCAGCAAAATGGCGTCCTGGATTTTGGCTTCAAAGTGTTGGAGAGTATGGGGCAGAGAGACAGAGGGAGAATCAGCAAAACTGTATCCTGTATTGATTCATCTATCCTATATCGAGTCAATGATAGCATTTTTACATTGAAATATTACACAAGATGGGTGGCAACCCTAGGGGAAGACTCAGTAAATAACTTGCATTAGCAAAATGAAACAAAGCAGCCTACCTGTTTTTGACTCAGGTAGTCCATCCCTCGGGCCACATCCGCTGCAAAGTGCAGTAACTGCTGCGAGGAGAGTGTGGAGGCTGTGCTGTTGGCAATGGCAAAGGCCGGGTCGGTCTCTAAGACCCTGCTCTTCCTCAAGAAGTCTAGCAGGTTTCCGTGGGGAGCATATTCAATGGCGAGGTAGAGGTACCCTGGCATAAAACAGCGAGGAGTTCAGAGAGCCTGTGCGAAAAATGGAGTCTTGGGGGCAGGGCTTCTTGAAGGGTTTGGGGGGCCCAGAGCATTTTCCCCCTCCTCACCCCAGCCCCAAATGAAGCTGACCAAAGATTGCCAGTTCTCTCTATGCTATCCCTGCTGGATGAAAGGCTCTAATGCAAACCCTATCCTACCCACAACTTCTCTTGCCTTCAGTGTTTCCAATACAGTGGCACCTCGGTTTTTGAACAACTTGGAACCCGAACGCTGCAAAACCAGAAGTAGGTGTTCCAGTTTTCGAACTTTTCCCCGGAAGCTGAACGTGCTCCGTTTTGAGTCCTGAGATTCCATTTTTACTGTCGTGCTGCTAATTTGTGTCCCCCCATTGTAATTCAAGCCTTCCATTTCTGATTTCAGTGTTCTGAGGTGATATTTGGAGCTTATATTTGGTGTTTTTGTTTTTGCTATTTACTATGTGTGTTTTTTTTGTTTTTGAGGCTTTTTCGGTTAATTTGTTTCTGTGACTGTGTGGAACCCAGTTCAGCTACTGTTTGATGGATTTATTGATTGATTGTGTGACTGTGGAAATGGATAAAAGCCCCCCATCCAAACAATGACTATCATCAGTGCAGGTAAGAAAAAAATTAAATATATATTTTTATCATCTACAATACCGTTTTATTTATTTTATAGTAAAGTACATTGATTATTGCTTTCATTTTATGGATCAATGGTCTCATTAGATAGTAAAATTCATGTTGAATTGCTGTTTTGGGGGTTGTTTTTAAAAGTTTGGAACAGATTGATCCGTTTTGCATTACTTTCTATGGGAAAGCACGCCTTGGTTTTGGAACGCTTTGGTTTTGGAATGGACTTCCGAAATGGATTAAGTTTGAGAATCAAGGTACTACTGTATCCAGTATGTACTGAGCAAATGGAAAAGCAAATCAAGTCTTCTTGACTCAGATTCTACTCTGGGAGATGATCTTCCATCTTTTATAACAGAGGTAGGGCAGTACCACTCTTGTCAGCCCATGTTGTTGGCCAAGCCGGCTGGGGGATGATGGGAGTAGGAACCTAGCAGATTCCCCACCCCAGGTATTAAATGCAACTAATTCTCCAAGTGCTAATCCTGAGGCAGCCAAGACAGCCTGTGCTCACATTGGAACAGGGAGTCAGTGCAGATGTTGGAGCACTGGAGAAATGTACCTCCAGTGGCCCACAACTGTGGAAGTGAGCCAATCCCACTTTGTACTGGCTGAAAGGACACGGGTGGCGCTGTGGTCTAAACCACTGAGCCTCTCAGGCTTGCTGATCAGAAGGTCAGTGGTTTGAATCCGTACAATGGGGTGTGCTCCCGTTGCTCTGTCCCAGCTCCTGCCAACCTAGCAGTTCGAAAGCACACCAGTGCAAGTAGATAAATAGGTACCGCTGCAATGGGAAGGTAAATGGCATTTCCATGCGCTCTGGTTTCCTTCAGTGTCCCGTTGCGCCAGAAGCGGTTTAGTCCTGCTGGCCACATGACCCAGAAAGCTGTCTGTGGACAAATGCCAGCTCCCTTGGCCTGAAAGCGAGATGAGCGCCGCAACCCCATTGTCACCTTTGGCTGGACTTAACCATCCAGGGGTCCTTTACCTTTACTCTTTTTTTTAACCTGCACTGGCTGAAACTTTAAAACAGGGCAAAAAGCAGCAACACTCCTGGTTCATTTCTTGGCAGGATCCAAAGGGATGCTTCTTTCTTACAAAGCCGTCAAAGGCTTGAGGCCAGGATATCTGGAGGACTGCCTTGTTCCACATGATCCTGTCCACCCAAGACACTCTGCATCAGAGGTGTATATGCTATGCATCTCGCCACTCTCAGAAGCACAACTGATTGAGAAAAAGCCTTTTCTACTTTGGCAAGTGACAGTTTTCGAGTCCTCACCAGAGAGAAAGGATTCTTCTCGAAAATCTGTGCTTTCATATTCTGGAAGAGATGCCTGTGTGTGTGTGTGTGTGTGTGTGTGTGTGTGTGTGTGTGTGGTGACTGAAGCACATCATCAAACAGGAATATATGTGTGTGTGTGTCCCTTTTCGTGTTTTAAAAATTGTGCAACATATTTACCTGTGCACAAATTCCAGCTGATCTTATTTTGAATATGTTTTAAAACCATTGTAGCCACAGAACTTTAAAACAAACACCTACAGAGAAGCATTGTAGCAGGTGAGAGCTGGGAAGATTCAGAATGTAGATTGAAAATTAAAATATAATTGTGATTGAGGGCTCTCTGTGTGTGTGTGTGTACACACACACACACACACACACACCATTGTTGTTGTTGTTGTTGTTTTATTTCTCTCTTTCCCCCTTTTTCTTCCTTTTCTCTTTCCCCCTTTTTCTTCCTTTTCTCTTTCCCTCTTTTATCCTACTACTTTTTCGGTATTTTTAAAATCATTTTTAAACTAGTTGGGTTTTTATTGTCTTGTATGTTAAACTCTTAACAAAACTGAAAAAGAAAAGCATTGTACCTCGGTGTTCGCATGCTCCCAAAAGGTTTATGATGTTGGGGTGATGTCCAAGTTTACAAAGTACTTCCAGTTCCCCAGCAAAATCTCTGTGATCATCCTTGGAGGCATATTCTGCAAATTAAAAAAGAGAGTGCTGTGCATCAGTTACTCCTACAATCTTTACCATGTGTTTAATTAATGCACCTGATGAAATGGGCTTTAGCCCACAAAACTGTACGTCATAATAATTTATTTTTTTTAATGTGCTTCCAGGTGAGATTGGATCACATGCCCGGAAGTTCAGGTTGACCCTCTTGCACAATACCCCTCTCCCTAAGTGGACTTCCTACAGTAAGGAAAGTGATGGGGAAGATTCGCTAGAAAGTGTGGGATAAGAATTGTTTGACGCCGGGCTTATCCACACTCTCCCTTGATCCTCCTTGTACAGTATGTTACTTGCACCTTCCATTTTTTGGGGGGGCGGGGGGAGAACCATATGATGTTCCTGCTGAAATGGTGGCATGTTGATTTTTCTTAAGTCTAAATTTGCTTTCCCATTAACGATGGACAAAACGTATTTGGAAAATGCGGATTTTCAGCTGTTGGCGAGCCCGCTATGTCAAACAATATCCTCACAGGGAAATGGTTAAGCAGATCCTGACCCTACAGACAGAAAGAGGACTTTGAATAATAAAAAAGGGGGTAAAGGTTTCATGCCCACTTTTTAAGCTTTGTGTATAGATTTTTACGTTAGTGTAACTTTTAAAAACTCACTTGTATTAAGATGAACAAGGTCTAAAAAATGGATTATTTTGCATGAACGTGCATGAACAATTATTAAACAATGAAACTAAGAGGGGGAGGGGAGTAAAGTCAAGCAAAAATTATGGTTTAATTTTTTTATTATGATGGTTTTTTCTTTTCTTTTCTTTCATTTCTTTTCTTTTTCTTTATATGTTGTTGCTTTATGTTTATTTTTGATGTTATCTTTTTGGAAAATTAATAAATTGTCCTAAAAAACAAAAACAAAAGCAGATCCTGACCCTACTGCTTCTCTGCTCATTCCCACTTTTTAAAAAAAAGAATAACTGCATCCAAGCTCTGTTACATGCTTTTGCGTATAATACGGTTAGTCCATTAAGCCAACATCTAAAAGACCATGATTCAAGGCCAGGTATTAGCAACCTGCAAATCTCTCCTACAGATTTGCTGCCTTAAAAGACTCACCCTTCATCCTTTTAATGGCTGCATCCATTCGCAAGCCATCCTTCTTGATTCGTGCTTTGAGAACTTGGCCAAAGTTGCCTTCTCCAATCACATCCTGAAATTTGATGTCATTCCACTCCAGAACTGGGTAGATTGTGGGTTCTGGGCTATTTTTGGCTTTCCGGCTCAGAGTAAGAGTTCCTGAATTGAACTGCACAGCCGGCTCATCTCTCTGGAGGGAAAAGTTAGGCAAACACTATTTAGTGGTTGGTACATAAGAAGATAACAACTCAGAACGGGATGCATTAAAAGCATATTTATGTAATCTTGTTGTGAGAAGTGGTGTTGTTCTGTGAAGATGAAGTTTCTCTAAAATGAGTTAAAAAACAACACTTGTATCGGTGTGCAGCAGAATAGGTTTTCCTTGGCTGAAAAGCACCCATAAACATATAGTCAATTTAACTGACCAAAGGAAAGTAGGCACAGATTTTCCAGGGGGAATATGAACCTGCATTGCAGGATATAATCCTGTTATATCTGGTTGCTTATATTATATCTGCATGAATTGGTATAATTCCTCCTAATTTTTACCAGGCACAGCCCACCCATCTGGTGATCTGGCAGTGGGTTTGGTTTTTGTAAAGTATCACCACTTAGGGTGACAATCAAGGTTTTAAGTAAGTTACAAGCAAAACCAATTTCGATACAGGAATGTTTAGGGGAGGGGAATAATCATTTCCCATTTTGGGAGTCCCGTGATGACAGTTCTGTGTGACACCTTTAAGATTAACCAGTTTGAAACGGGAAACGCTCATCAAACTGTATTTGAAAGGGGTAAAAGTATCCCTGAGGTCCAGTTGCGAACGACTCTGGGGTTGCGGGCTCATCTCGCTCTTTGGGCCGAGGGAGCTGGCGTCTGTCCGCAGATGGCTCTTGGGTCATGTGGCCAGCATGACCAGAGCAGTGCACGGAAACGCCATTTACATTCCCGCTGGAGTGGTACCTATTTATCTACTTGCACTATGTGCTTTCGAACTGCTAGGTTGGCAGGAGCTGGGACCGAGCAACGGGAGCTCACCCCATTGCAGGGATTTGAACCGCCAACCTTCTGATCAGCAAGCCCTAGGCTCTGTGGTTTAGACCACAGTGCCACCCACGTGTACTCTTCGCTTAATGCCTCATTCGCAGATCTATCCTCAAGGAAAACCAAAGGACTTACAACCACGTTTTGGAAGGCCTGGGCCATTCGCCGCTGGAAGTTTGCACGCTTTAGCTGTAGCATGATGAAAAAGGCCAGCAGGATTGTCAGGCAGGTCATCCCTGCAGAGCCCAAGATAGCAATCAGTAGCATTCTCCCTCCTTTGTGCTCAAATGGAACTGTGGGAACTATATGCATTAAAATAAAATAAAAAAATCAAAAGAAGTTGAATTCAGCACCTAGTCAACAAATACTAGAACCCATATTTTACAGGCATAAAATCAAAGGCAGGGGAATATTGGTGCGAGCTAATTAAAGCTAGATGCCTTTATGAAACCAGAGGGATGTAAGGGACTCACTCACATGCTTCAATGGACTTTAGGTTCTCTGGATCGTGGCCTATAATCCATTTTGGCAGAAGTGGGTCCTAATAGCGCATTCACCCTGACAGCATAATTTTCCTGTAGTGCTTTAACTTGTGTTTCTTACACCCTGTCCTTGTATCTAGTGCTGACAATGTTCTATTTCCAATTGGCTGCTCTAGAAAGCATTGGTACTGAGAGCATAACTGCAGACCACAGGCAGCAAAGTTTGATAAAAGTTCTGCAGAGCAGTTTCCCTCCATTCACATGAGTGAAGTTCTGCTCGTGGGAAATTGGGGTCTATAATGTCCTAATTATACATAAGCCACATACACACAAATGGCAAAACAACAGCAGTTAAAGCATCACCATGGAAATCCTATCAACCACAGAATGCATTTTGCAGCTTTTGCTGGGTCTCAATTCATTTGGAATAAACTTGCATAAACTTGCTCAGTGCATGAGATGCTCTGATCTCTGCTAAAACTAACCTTTCATTTCTGGGAGGGTTTTCAGTTCAGCTGAAAGATTATCGCTTGGCCCAACGTTGTTCTGTGCCCTTATCTGAACCACATATTCGGTGTTTGGTTCAAGACCCTTGAGGTGGTACTGGGTGACGGTAGTGTTTTTTATGGTGACATCGATGTGGTTGTGCTCTGTCTTGCCACGGCCTTTGTAGCTGAGGATGATGGAGGAGATGGAATGCCCCACCGCAGTCGACCAAGAGATGACAGCCGAGGAGTCGGTGACATTTATAATTGTGAAGTTATCAGGTGCAGGGGGCCGTTCTGGCAAAGAAACAAGCGTATTAGCTTCTGTCTCGCATCACTCTGCTCATCCACTACGAAAAGTCAAGTGGAATTGTTTTCATCACTCGCAATGAATCAGGATTTGAGCCGGACAGGATGGCATTGTGAGTTCAAAATTTGGCAACAACAAATAAAATAGTTAGCATAACAGAGCAATTGTATATAGTGGCACCTTGGTTCTCGAACGTAATTCTTTCCGGAAGACCGTTCGAGTTCTGAAACGTTTGAAAACCGAGGCGCAAAGGGCTGTCTGCAAATGCAATTGAGAAAATTGAAAAACACGCAGCAGAAGCCATTCAGCTTCTGAGGCACGTTCGAAAATGGAAGCATTTACTTCCGGGTTTTCGGCGTTCAGGTTCTGAAACGTTTGTCAACAGAGACGTTCAAGAACCGAGGTACCAGACTTATAAGTGGGACTTACTTCTGAGGAAGTGTGCATAGGATTGCAGCCAGGGGTGCTGACTTCCCCCCCCCCATTGAGGGGGCCCGGAGTTGTGTGACATCATACACATGACACCATGCACCCCTCTGAGCGTCCCACCCCTGGCTGGTGTGTGAGCGCTTCCCCCTGCATTGGGGGATGGGTATGCTCCCCCTCAATATTGGGGAGGCTCAGCCCCCTGCCCACAAATATTAAGGTGAGCGAAGCACCTTCTGCCCCCTATAGTTGCTGCCCCTGATTTCAGCCTGTTAAAATACTGTGAGCCCTAGCTTGCAAAATATTTTATTTTTATTTTTGGAGGGGTTGTTCTGCCATTTCTATTGATGCACTCCTTAATCCGCAGCCCCCTGAGCTGCATCTTACACCACGTTCTTCTCTTTAACTTTTAATGGATGCAGCATGTTCAACTGATGATTTCAGCAAGCACTCTGACACATCTTCAAGAACTTCATGTGGGATAATACCCCCCAAATGTTTTGCAGGTAAAGTGTTAGCCTGTTTCACATGTGGGCTAATGCAGAATTAGTCTGAAATGCAGAACCAGTTGTTCCAGGAAAGAAACCAGTTTCTCAGGAAATGCTTTTCAGGGGCAAAATAATAATAATAATGCAATAGCTTTACATTGTGTGTGGACTATGTAGACAAAAACAAGTGTACAGTCTCCATTGATTCTAGAATAAAATGCTTTGTAGATGCAAGCCCTACTAAGTAATTTTGTGAGCTTCTCTGGGACCTTCTTAAGCTAAAGAAAAGAGTTTTTAAAATGCTTTCGATAAATCAGCATCTCTTTAAAAAACAACAACCGAAAACCCTCCTCCGCTGAGGTTTTGGGAGTATTTAAGCTGCATTGATTATTTAAGCTGTATTGATTGGTGGATTTAAAAGGCAGGTTAATAATGAACTAACAGTACCTAAGAATCCTTTAATCAACTGACAGATTTAGAAGTTAGGGAATGGTATTGGCCCTGGTGAGGAAATATAATAATGAGCTCCGTGAATCCCTGAAATAAGTTTTCCTGGTGGAAATCAAGATACTTGAGCGTGAATGAAGTGAGGAGCATGAAATGCCTTTTGCTGCCACTAGGTGTCAGCAGGCACTCAGTTATTATGAGATCTCAGGGCTGTTCACAGCATAAAAATACAAGGGGGGGAAACCCACAAAACATACATAATAAAAACAAAAACAAACCTATGACCTCCCTCTCCCCGCTTCCACAACACATTTTAAAAGGGTCTTGGGTGTAATCAACCCAAGGCCTATTTAAAGAGGAACGGTGAGCCTCCCTGGGGAGAGCATTCCACAAATGGGGAGCCACCACAGAGAAGGCCCCGTTCTCGTGTTGCCACCCTCGGGACCTCACGTGGAGGAGACACACAAAGAAGGGCCTCAGAGGATGATTTCAGGGTCCAGGGAGGTTCCTATGGAAAGAGGCCGTCTTTGAGGTATGGCGGTCCTGAGCCGTTTGACCTCCCTGACCCATTGACCATTCTGGCTGAGGCTGATGGGAGCTGGAATCCACAACACCAGGAGTAAAGGAGGTTCCCCAGCCCTGGGGTGGACCATGCTGTACAAATTACAAATGAGGCCTGCTAGGTCATACAAAGTGGGCTTGTTAGACTCTCCCTTCACTCACGGTCACTGAAGGTCCACGCGTCCAGATAGTCGCTCCATTCTCCTTCGGACTTGCTGTTCACACGGACTCTGCACTTGTAGTGGTGCCTGGGCTCTAGATTGTCGATGACCAGGGTGGACATGTTTCTCCCCAGCTGATGGGTCGGGGGGACACCCCCGTTCTTATCATCCACGCTCTTACATTCCACTTCGAGTTGGACGTCCTCTCCCACCGGCTGCCCCACCGGCTGCCAAGAAAAGGTCAGCGCCGTCGTGCCTTTAGGAACGAGGGAGAGGCCCCTTGGCGGAGGGAGGCCTTTAGAGAGTCGTGAGAAGGAATGTTAATGCCTTTGGAACCCCTCAGAGCAAAAGAAGAACCTGCCAAGATGATGCCAAGAGTCCTTTGTGGTCCGCCATCTTGTTCCCCACTATGGCCGCCCAGGGGTTTCCAGAAAGCACAGCAGCAAAGTGCGGAGGGCCTCCTCTGTGTCCCTAGTGTTTAGGCTCTGAGAGCCCATTGAGCTATCATGGATATTTATTTTTAAGATAACCACCATTACCCACCACTACCCGGCCTCGGCCCAGTATACCTGAAGGAGCATCTCTGCCCCCATTGTCCATCCCAGACACTGAGGTCCAGCTCCGAGGGCCTTCTGGTGGTTCCCTCCCTGCGAGAAGTGAAGCTACAGGGAACCAGGCAGAGGGCCTTCTTGGTGGTGGTGCCTGCCCTGTGGAATGCCCTCCCTTCAGAGAGGGCATTCCTCTCTGTCAAGGAAATAATGCAGCTCATTGGTTAGTCTGGAGAATGCTCAACCACAAGCTTGTTTTGAATGACATTCTAAGCCAAGCCACGGGTCAGCTCTGTACAGCTGCAAAGTGATGAAGGAGGTGCAAAGTTATCACAATCTCCTCCCCAGGAGCTTGCACACCTGGATGGTTTTTTTATTATTATTTATTTATTATTAGAATTTATACACCGCCCTATACCTGGAGGTCTCAGGGTGGTTCACAAATAAGATCACAATATATAAAATCAAATTAAAAACAACAACCCAATAAAAAAACCTCCAAAAGTGAGCCACATTCTAAAAGGGTATTGGATGTCAGTAAGATCAACCAAAGGACTAGTTAAAAAGGAATGTTTTTGCCTGGCGCCTAAAGGTGTATAGTGAAGGCGCCAGGCGAACTTCCCCAGGGAGAGCATCCCTTAGACGGGGAGCCACTGTAGAGAAGGCCCTGCTTTCGTGTTGCCACCCTCTGGACCTCTTGAGGAGGAGGCACACGAAGGTGGGCCTCGGAAGATGATCTCAGGGTCCGGGTAGGTTCATATGGAAAGAGGCGGTTCTTGAGGTATAGTGGTCCTGAGACGTTTAAGGCTTTTAAGGTCAAAACCAGTTTGACTTAGCATGATGCGCCACTAGGGCACAGTAACAGAGCTTGAGATTGTATACAATGTACTCTTTAATGGCTCTAATTCAAATTATTGTTATTTTTACTTTAAAAAGTAACAAAGCTTGATATTGTATACAAAGTATACAGTATACAGTAACAAAGTATACAGTAACAAAGTATACAGTAACAAAGCTTGATATTGTATACAATGTACTCTTTAATGGCTCTAATTCAAATTATTGTTATTTTTACTTTAAAAACATGCTCAATTTATCACTTTTAGATAAATACCTTTTCCACATGCAAATGGCTATGCACAGTGCTATTTTTCTAGAAAAAGGGGTGCCAGAGCTCATCATGAGCTTTCTCCCTTGTTCTCTCAGAATAGCAGTTGCGCCCACCTGAGAGGTGCCAGAGCTGAGTTCCAGTGAGGTCTGGCTGAAAAAAAAGCAACTGGCTATACAGTGGTACCTTGGTTCTCGAACAGAATCCGTTTCGGACGTCTGTTCAACTCCTGGAACCATTCCAAAACCAAGGCATGGCTTCCGATTGGCTGCAGGAGCTTCCTGCACTCAATTCAAAGCCACGGCGGACGTTTGGCTTCCAAAAAACGTTCACAAACCGGAACACTCACTTCCGGATTTGCGGAATTCGGAAGCCGATTTGTTCAACAACTGAGCCATTCTGGAACCAAGATACCACTGTACATGCACACAAGGTAGCCACAGGTAGGAAGACATTTGTAAGATAGTGAGCATCCCCTTTGTGAAAAAGTTCTGAAGACCTGCATACCAACAGCAGCTGTAGTGAAACTGGCCTCTGGCCCAGGATGCCCGACGCCCTTTTCTCCTCTGCGAGTCAGCCGGACACAGAAGGAATATTCTGTTTTGGGTTCCAGATCGCTTAACTTCCAGATCCTTTCAGTGACTGCATTTGAAAGGAGGAACAACAACAGAATTACACGCACTGCTAAGTGATAAGGGAAGATAGAGTTGTAAACAAACATACTTCTTTTGCTCAAAGGTTGCACAATGTTTACTGAGGTGCACGTGTTCTGGTTGGCTGTGTAGTTCTGAGGGAGTTTTCCTCTGTATGTTTGGTCAGATGTCTCCCTGCTACGTACAGGACCTCTTTGCTCCTTTCTTCTCAACTAGGTTGCTCAGTAAATTATTATTGGGACTTTTCTGTTTGGACTCTGCATTTTAAAGATTTTAATGCTTTGGGAAACAATGGAAAAACCTATTTGCCAGAGGTACGACTGGGGACACACCACAAGCAGCGCCTTTGTGGGATTCAATACAAGCTTTGTGCTTTAATTGTAACCGTACTGAGACAATTTTTGATATATTGTGATGAATAAAGATATAAAACGGAGGAGGAGGAGAGGGAGAGGGAGAGGGAGAGGGAGAGCTTGGACTTGATATTCCACCTTTCACTCCCCTTAAGGAGTCTCAAAGCGGCTAACAATCTCCTTTCCCTTCCTCCTCCACAACAAACACTCTGTGAGGTGAGTGAGTCTGAGAGACTTCAGAGCTCAAGGTCACCCAGCAGCTGCATGTGGAGGAGCGGAGAAGCGAACCCGGTTCACCAGATTACGAGTCCACTGCTCTTAACCACTACACCACACTGCCTTTGACTCTCTCTCTCTCTCTAACAAACAACAGCACCCCGACCTGAATTCGGCAGAACGCAGCAGAAGGGACACGTGCATGATGTTGGCATACCCCCGCGGTGTCTGCATAATAATAATAATAATAATAATAATAATAATAATTTATTATTTGTACCCCGCCCATCTGGCTGGGTTTCCCCAGCCACTCCGGGCGGCTTCCATAGAAACCAAAAAACACTAAAATATCATACATTAAAAACTTCCCTGAACAGGGCTGCCTTCAGATGTCTTCTGAATGTCAGGTAGTTGTTTATCGTTTTGACATCTGACGGGAGGGCGTTCCACAGGGCGGGCGCCACTACCGAGAAGGCCCTCTGCCTGGTTCCCTGTAGCTTTGCTTCTCGCAATGAGGGAACCGCCAGAAGGCCCTCGGCGCTGGACCTCAGTGTCCGGACTGAACGATGGGAGTGGAGATGCTCCTTCAGGTATACTGGGCCGAGGCCGTTTAGGGCTTTAAAGGTCAGCACCAACACTTTGAATTGTGCTCAGAAATGTACTGGGAGCCAATGCAGATCTCTCAGGACCAGTGTTATGTGGTCCTGGCGGCCAGTCCCAGTCACCAGTCTAGCTGCTGCATTCTGGATTAATTGCAGTTTCCAGGTCACCTTCAAAGGTAGCCCCACGTAGAGCGCATTGCAGTAGTCCAAGCGGGAGATAACTAGAGCATGCACCACTCTGGCGAGACAGTCCGCGGGCAGGTAGGGTCTCAGCCTGCGTACCAGGTGGAGTTGGTAGACAGCTGCCCTGGATACAGAATTGACCTGCGCCTCCATGGACAGCTGTGAGTCCAAAATGACTCCCAGGCTGCGCACCTGGTCCTTCAGGGGCACAGTTACCCTATTCAGGGCCAGGGAGTCCTCCACACCAGCCCGCCCCCTGTCCCCCAAAAACAGTACTTCTGTCTTGTCAGGATTCAACTTCAATCCATTAGCCGCCATCCATCCTCCAACCGCCTCCATCCTCCATCCAACCGCATGTCCCCCCGACATACGCGAGTGACGTCAGCACACCACAGGGCATGCTGACGCCATGCACGCATGCTGCAGGGCATGCGCACACAGCGGGGTCGCGTGGCATGGCCCCAAGGCAACCTCAACCAAGGCAAGGCAGCGCATCAACTGCGAGCATTCTGCTAAACACAAACAGTGTACCGACGTGTGATGCTAACCATTGGCCCACCACCCGAACCAGGTTTAACTGCATCAGCATTTAAACACTGCAAAGCCCGTATCAGTGGAATAATAATAATAATAATAATTTATTTATACCCCACCCATCAGGGACGCGGGTGGCACTGTGGGTTAAACCACAGAGCCTAGGACTTGCCGATCAGAAGGTCGGTGGTTCGAATCCCCGCAGTGGGGTGAACTCCCGTTGCTCGGTCCCTGCTCCTGCCAACCTAGCAGTTTGAAAGCACATCAAAGTGCAAGTAGATAAATAGGTACCGCTCTGGCGGGAAGGTAAACGGCGTTTCCATGCGCTGATCTGGTTTGCCAGAAGCAGCTTAGTCATGCTGGCCACATGACCCGGAAGCTGTACGCCGGCTCCCTCGGCCAATAAAGTGGGATGAGCGCCGCAACCCCAGAGTTGGTCACGACTGGACCTAATGGTCAGGGGTCCCTTTACCCTTTACCTTTACCCCGGCCATCTGGTTCGGTTTCCCCAGCCACTCTGGGCAGCTTCTAACAAAACACTAAAATACAATAACCTATTAATAACCTAAACAGGGCTGCCTTCAGATGTCTTCTAAAAGTTTGGCAGTTGTTTTTCTCTTTGACATCTGATGGGAGGGCATTCCACAGGGCGGGTGCCACTACCAAGAAGGCCCTCTGCCTGGTTCCCTGTAGCTTTGCTTCTCGCAGCGAGGGAACTGCCAGAAGGCCCTCGGTGCTGGACCTCAGTGTCTGGGCAGAACGATGGAGGTGGAGACGCTCCTTCAGGTATACTGGACCGAGGCCGTTTAGGTAGACCACTGCCATGGCTTTCCCTAAAGAATCCTGGGAATTGTAGGCTGGTGAGGGGCTGAAGAACCTCTGCTAAAATTCTCCCTCATGGAACTGTAAGAAGAACTTTGATGGATCAGTGTCTTGTCTTCAGTGGTCAAACAGATGATTTTGGAAAGCTCACAAGCAGGAAATGAGTGCCCTAACCTCCTTTCCAGTTTTTGTGGGGACCACAACTGGTGGCTGAAGACAGGATCCTGGAAGTAGCAAGCAGCCATGATGATCAGAAGCTACTGACCAAAGTGTCCAGATTGTTTGGGGGAAAATAAAACGATGGTAGCACCTACATGTGGCCTATATGAAGAAGCAGAAACTCTTGTGATAAACACTTACCTTCCAAGGTCTTCCACTGAAATTTGGCGGTTTTGTAGAGAAGCTGCGTTGAGACAATCGGTCCATCCCCACTATATATATCAGCATTTGTATCAATGAGGAGAAAATTATGTCCTCTTTCGACCAGTGTTGGAGCTTTTTGAGGCATGGGAAGAACTGGTCAAGAAGATGAATTGTTTAACAACAGCAAAAATAGTAATGAAGATTTTTTTTGTCTCCTGAATTATCAGGAGGCATGCAATGGATCAATACGATTATTATATTTATTCTGTTGCTCTGCCTTGTAGGGAGTAATCCTCAGGTGAGTTTGTCCTGATACATCCTTTCAGAATGTGAGCCCCTAATATGGAATCTACAGAAACCTGTTATTCATACATTGCAAGGCAGAGTGATTAGTTTCCCCATCAGAAACAGTAACTTATGAAACAGCTCTTGAAATGGGTGACATTAGAGAGCAGTGGAGACTGGTCTATAGTTGGCTCTGCCTCTCTTTGGCTCTGTCGCCACCTACTGTTGACCTCCTGCCTTACACCCAACAGACATCAGCCACCACGGATAAGAGACCTCTCTGATTTCAAGCACCAGGTTTGGCGATGCATTTTAGGGTGTGCTCGATTTCGGTCACGTGACTAATGCCACCACAGCTAAGAGACCGATTCATTTACTTCCCATGGGCCATCATGGCCGAATTGATTGCCCATCCTCCTTTTCAGGCAAGATTCTTCTCCCTCTGTCTTCCCATTTCCTTTCTCATACTCATCTCATTTTTCTCTCCAAACAAAATCAGGTCTCCCTACAGTTGATGGGACTCCCTGACAGCCATCGTCTCCGTGTCGTTCGGTCTAAAGCTATCGTTCTTTTCTAACTCAAAACTGTACTCAAGTCAACATTGGGTGACTGTTGTTGATCTTCGTTGCCAGTGACTCATTTTGTCCTCCTGTTATGCAGGCAAGACTCAAAGGGCCTTTAAGATCTGTGGACATTTACATCTGTCAGATTTAGCTGACTGCTTTCTCAGTTCTTTGGTTTCCTTGACAACTGAAATTATTTTCAGAGGCCTCTGCTTCCGGGCATTCTCATTAGTATGGGAAACCAAGCACCAAAGTCATATACTGTTTGCCAGACTGGATTCTGGGGGAAATTCCTCCCTCCTCTTTGAGGGCGTTTTCTACTTCAAATCAACATTTCAGCAAAACTCATGACTTGCCCTCAGAGGAACTACACCTGACTCTTGAGGGTGTATCACCGTTGAATATCAACGAAGATTTACCAATCCATTAATTAATGCATGCCTATTGCAATCAATGATGGGACGCGGGTGGCGCTGTGGTCTAAACCACTAAGACTAGGGCTTGCCGATCCGAAGGTCGGTGGTTCGAATCCCCGCAATGGGGTAGGCTCCTGTTGCTCGGTCCCAGCTCCTGCCAACCTAGCAGTTTGAAAGCACATCAAAGTGCAAGTAGGGAAGGTAAACGGCGTTTCCGTGCACTGCTCTGGTTTCGCCAGAAGCGGCTTAGTCATGCTGGCCACATGACCTGGAAAAACTGTCTGCGGACAAATGTCGGCTCCCTCAGCCAGTAAAGCGAGATGAGCGCCGCAACCCCAGAGTCGTTCGCGACTGGACTTAACTGTCAGGGGTCCTTTACCTTTTTATTCCAATCAACATCATTTAAATGCACACTTAGGCCGCGCTGATTTGGGTGAGATATTTTGGTGTAGTCAAGTCTGAAGTCTTAAAGGTTATCAGTTACCTTTAACTGTGACTTGGAAAGGTTGTTCCACCATGCCCGCCACTGTCTCAACAATGTAGACCCACGTTCCAGAATCAGAAGGCTGGACTTTTTCAACATGAAATGTGGCTTCTGTAACTTCTGACTGGTTTCTGTTTGCCACTTGCGTAGGCTAAAACAGAAAACAATAGAAACAAATTATTTAGAGAGCCAGTGTGGTGTAGTGGTTATGAGCAGTAGTCTTGTAATCTGGCGAACCGGGTTCGCTTCCCCGCTCTTCCACATGCAGCTGCTAGGTGACCTTGGGCCAGTCACACTTCTCTGAAGTCTCTCAGCCCCACTCATCTCACAGAGTGTTTGTTGTGGGGGAGGAGGAAGGGAAAGGAGACTGTTAGCCGCTTTGAGACTCCTTTGGGTAGTGATAAAGAAGGATATCAAATCCAAACTCTTCTCCTCTTCTTCTTCTTCTTCTTAAATTAAACATGTGCAGACCTCACTCATAACAGTTCACTGGATTTACTGAAACCTCTTTCTTTTTTTTGCCTTCTTTGACATTCCTTAGATATTTTGACCAAGCAGGTTGCTCCAAAAATTCACCTAGAAATTTCATTTAGGTGAATTTTGCTGCTGTTCAAATTGGTTTCATCCTATTTTGGGGGTGGGGTGGGGTGGGAAGTGTCATTCAAAAGCAAATGGAGCCTTTGAATGTTGCATATCAGCCGAGGGCTTAGTAATGCACTTAAAAGGATATCTTGTTTATTTGGTCACAGCATCTGAGGAATCACTATGCTGCAGGATAGGGCTACCACACTTTTAATAGTTACATCTGCTGAAATCCTCTTTTCCATGCAGTTATTAAAAGTGCAGGATGAGCTTTTATTTTTATTATGTATTTTGTGTTTTTTTATATAGTAATTTTATGTTGTGAACCACCCTAAGCTCTATGGGTATAGGGCAGTACACTAATAAATAATAATAATAATAATAATAATGATAATAATAATAATAATATACAGCTCCTGCACACTCAAAAGAGGGAACTGATCAGCAACTTACCTTAAGGACCGTCCCATCTTTTTTTATTAGTTTAATTTCTTCTTTTGTAGGAAGTGGCTTGCCGGTAGCTATGCAGCTAGATTTGAACTCCGAACCGGCGTTGAGTTCCACAGCACCAGGCAAGTTCTTTATCTCAGGTGATTCATCTGCTGCACCTGTGTGTGAGGGAGATAAAAGAATTTACAGCATGCTATGTAGGTTGTTCATTCTCGCCAGAGATAGAAGGGATCTGGCCTGGTATTCCTGGCTCAGTTTGGGGAAAAACACACTATCCTATTTGCAACCAGGAAGCTAAGAAACCAGGGTTGATAGGTTTAATTGGATTAATCAACTTATGATAGCAGACCCTCCAAGTGTCCCTATTTTCCAGGGACAGTCCCAGATTTACAGAAGCCATCCAAGTTTCTGATTTGATCTCAGAGTATCCTACTTTTCCTTAGGATGTCCCTATTTTCATCAGAGAAATGTTGGAGGGTATGGAGTTATGCAACCCACAAGCCAGGGAAATACAACTTTTAGAAGACATCTGAAGGCAACCCTGTATAGGGAAGATTTTTAAAAATGTTTTATTATGTTTTTATATATGTTGAAGAAGGGCCGCGGGTGGCGCTGTGGGTTAAACCACAGAGCCTAGGACTTGCCGATCAGAAGGTCGGCGGTTCGAATCCCCACGACAGGGTGAGCTCCTGTTGCTCGGTCCCTGCTCCTGCCCACCTAGCAGTTCGAAAGCACGTCAAAGTGCAAGTAGATAAATAGGTACCGCTCCGGCAGGAAGGTAAACGGCGTTTCCGTGCACTGCTCTGGGTCACCAGAAGCGGCTTAGTCATGCTCGCCACATGACCCGGAAGCTGTATGCCAGCTCCCTCGGCCAGTAAAACAAGATGAGCGCCGCAAGCCCAGAGTCGGTCACGACTGGACCTAACGGTCAGGGGTCCCTTTTACTATATACGTTGGAAGCTGTCCAGAGTGGCTGGGGCAACCCAGTCAGATGGGTGGGGTATTAATAATAATAATAATAATAATAATAATAATAATAATAAATTGTCTAGGATGTCCCTATTGGAGAGTACAGAGTTATGCAAACCCCGAGCTGAAGAGATAACTAACTATATAACCTTTAGAAGACATCCAAAGGCAGCCCTGTATTGAGAAGTTTTTAACGTTTAATGTTTTATTACGTTTTTATATACAGTGGTACCTCGCAAGACAAAAAACTCACTAGATGAAAGGGTTTATTGTTTTTTGAGCTGCTTCGCAAGACGATTTTCGCTATGGGCTTGCTTCGCAAGACGGAAACGTCTTGCAAGTTTGTTTCCTTTTTCTTAACACCGTTAATACAGTTGCGACTTGACTTCGAGGAGCAACTCATAGAACGCGGTGTGGTAGCCTTTTTTGAGGTTTTTAAAGACTTTGGTGATTTTTGAAGCTTTTCCAAAACTTTCCCGACACCGTGCTTCGCAAGATGAAAAAAATTGCAAGACGACAAAACTCGCGGAACGAATTAATTTCGTCTTGCGAGGCACCACTGTATGTTGGAAGCCACCCAGAATGGCTGGAGCAACCCAGTCAGGTGAATGGGGTATAAATAATAAAATTATTATTATTATTGTTGTTGTTGTTGTTGTTGTTGTTATTGACTAGTCTAGGACATCCCTATTTTCATTGGAGAAATGCTGGAGGCTATTAGCATGTTCTCTGCCACTGAGCTACGGCAAGCAAGTCTTGGCAAAAAAAGAGACAGAGATAACAACCTTTGTACGAAGCACAAAAGACTTTTGTTGCACTACAGTGTTACCTTTGCTTTACCTTCTTTTTCACATTCCAGACCGTGCCAACCCACGTGGCAGATGCAGCCCTTAAAGCTGTCGCACGTTCCCCGGTTGCTGCAGCCGTTGCACTTGACTTTGCAGTCGGGCCCATAAAAACCGGGCTTACAACCTGCAAGAACACACAGGCGGGATAAGAGTTAACTGTGTGGCATCAGATACAAGGATCGTTCTAGATTTCATGAATCAGGTGACTGCGTCAGCTTGTTAGAGTTATCTGCTTTGAGTATTTCTGTGTGTACTGGGGACGCGGGTGGCGCTGTGGTCTAAACCACTGAGCCTCTTGGATTTGCTGATCAGAAGATCGGTGGTTTGAATCCCTGCGATGGGTGAGCTCCCATTGCTCTGTCCCAGCTCCTGCCAACCTAGCAGTTTGAAAGCACACCAGTGCAAGTAGATAAATAGGTACTGTTGTGGCGGGAAGGTAAATGGCGTTACTGTGTCCTGTTGCGCCAGAAGCAGTTTAGTCCTGCTGGCCACATGACCCGGAAAGCTGTCTGTGGACAAATGCCGGCTCCCTTGGACTGAAAGCGAGATGAGCGCATTAGATCAAATCTATGCTTCCAGGTGCCATAAGAAAGCTGCAGAGATAGCGCAGGATAGTGTGCACCCTGGAAATGATCTCTTTCAGCTTCTGTGTTCTGGAAGAAGGTACAGGGTTATAAAGACTAGGACTAGCTGCCTGAGAAACAGTTTCTATTCAAATGTGATTTTGGTTTTAAACGCAGTGTAAGGTAGTCTCTATGGGAGTATATTGTATTTAATTATGGGGTATCAGAGTTTTTAGAGGGCTAACTGGGCTGAGATAGCTGGGACAGCAGGCTTGTTGGTTTCTGAATGTCTGACAAACAAACCTAGCAATCTGGCCCACAGTCTGCTTTTAAGTGACTTTTGTCCCTCCCACTGCCCCCCCTCACAACACCTTCACACATCACCAGTGTAAAGCGTGTATATGATTTTACCTTCATCACACTGCAGTCCGTTCCATCCTGAGGCACATGAACAGCCGTATGGGTCAGGCAGGCAAAACATAAAAGATTTGCAACCTGACTTTTCTTTACAGCTCTCTTGGCAAGCCTTGCCAAATTTGTTTTCTCCACAAGCTGTAAATGGAGAAGAAAAGTGTCAGACCAATGAAGTATCCCTCTTATGATTCTGCAAGGTAAGTTATAAATCCCGCCCCCTTCTTTATTGAAATTCTGGTCTTCCTGGTTTCTGATTTTCCCAGTCATTTTCGCCATCTCCGCAAAGCCCATCAGTTTGGTCTGCCATTCCTCTCTGGCGGGAACTTGGTCTTGCTTCCATCTCTGGGCTAACTGGCTTGTTTCTTCATAGCACATGGGGCCAGTTCAATACATTTTGGCGCCTGAGACGAACACCAAAATGGTGCCCGCTTCCCTCCCCAACCAGAGAAGAGAGGGCAAGTAGAGATCTACATCAGGAACAAGGGTGGAACAAAGATCTACATCACAAACAAAGCAGGAATAAGGATCTACATTGGGTACAAAATGGCGGGAGGAGACTCAGATTTGTCAAGAGGCCACTGCAGAGCAGTCATGGTGGCCAATGTGGCAGCTGATCTGGCCTCCAAGGCATACGCCACAGCAGCAGGCAATGCATTCCTCAGAGGCTGGATCTGCTGCCCCGTGAACCCTGCCGCCTGAGGCACTTGCCTCGCCTTGCCTCATGGGTGGGCCGGCCCTGACTGTGCACCACAGGTAGGAGAGGGGCAGATTCAACTGAGCAGCATGCACCAGTTCACTGCTGCTTCACGGTAAGGACAGTTTACGGTTTACCATGACGCGCAAACTAGGCGAATGCATGAATGAAATGTGGAACTCAGTAATTTCCATAACAAACACTTTGTCAAGCAGAGGCATGACCAGGCGTAGGCAAACTCGGCCCTCCAGATGTTTTGGGGCTACAATTCCCATCATCCCTGACTACTGGTCCTGTTAGCTAGGGATGATGGGAGTTGTAGGCCAAAAACATCTGGAGGGCCGAGTTTGCCTATGCCTGGTCATGAACATTTGGAACGGCTGAAGGTTAACATTCTACCTGTTGGAAAAAAAATGTATTGTACAGTGGTACCTTGGTTCTCAAACGCCTTGATACTCAAACAACTTGGAACCCAAACACTGCAAACCCGGAAGTAAGTGTTCCGGTTTGCAAACTTTTTTGGAAGCAGAACGCGCTCCGTTTTGAGTGCCACACTTCCATTTTGAGTGTTACACTGAGGCCTGTTTGTTTTTGCTATTTATTTTGTGTTTCTGTTTTTGCGGCTCTTTTTGTTTTGTTTTCGTGACTGTGTGGAACCCAGTTCAGCTACTGATGGATTGATTGTGTGGCTGCAGTACATTGCTTATTGCTTTCATTTTACGGATCAGTGGTCTCGTATGGATAGTAAAATTCATGTTAAATTGCTGTTTAAGGGGTTGTTTTTAAAAAGTCTGGAAAGGATTAATCCGTTTTGCCTAACTTTCTATGGGAAAGCGCACCTTGGGTTTGGAACGCTTTGGCTTTGGAACAGACTTACGGAATGAATTAAGCTTGAGAACCAAGGTGCCACTGTACTTTTATGAAAGGAAGATTTTATCTGCCGCATATGCTTTCATTTTTGAATGTTTCGACGTCTCTTACCCTTTTCGCATGTTTTCCCCATGAATCCAGGGGGGCAAATGCACTCCCCAGTATCTTCATGGCAGATGCCGTTGTTCTTGCACTCTGGACAGTGAGAGCTACAGTCAGGTCCCCATTTCTGAGATGCACACCCTTCGTGGAAAAGTATAAGAATCAGTGAGCGAAATAATACCGAGATCCTGAGCCAAATACAGCGCTCTGTGTGTGTTTGTGGTTTTTTAAACAGGTGTCTCATGTAAAAGCTTCTACAACAACTCCCAAGTATGAGCTGCTCTGTTACCTCCTCTGCTAGGAGTGCTTTTAAATGTGTTTTAAATTTATGGTGTTGATGTGTTCGGAGATCAACCCCGTTGTGTTCTGCTGTTTGTTTTTAAATATTGATTAAGCATTCAGAAAGAACAGTTCCTTACACATATGTTTCCTTCGGAACTGTTTACAGCTGTGCTTCCCCCCCTAAACATGTGTGACTTTGGGTCTATTTATGGGGGGGGGGAATGGCATACAAATTGAAAGAACACATGAGAGAAAAAACCAGCAAGCATGGTTTTCCCCGTCCATTTAAACTTGGCCTTGTTGTATTCTAACTATCAGCTGTGCTTCCTCCGCTGCACGGTTTCGGTAAAAATGAAAAGAGAACTTTGACGTTTCAGCTTTTTTCTGCAAACCATCACTTGCTCCTTTGCCACGCAAGTTACAAAATCAGACCCACCTGTACCCTATTTCCCTCACCTGGCAGCGTACCAGTTCTACACCTCTCCAGCTCTCCATCTAAGAAAGATACATATAAAGATAAAGGTACCCCTGACCATTAGGTCCAGTCATGACTGACTCTGGGGTTGCGGGGCTCATCCTGCTTTATTGGCCGAGGGAGCTGGCTTACAGCTTCCGGGTCATGTGGCCAGCATGACTAAGCCGCTTCTGGCGAACCAGAGCAGTGCACGGAAACACCGTTTACCTTCCCGCCGGAGCAGTACCTATTTATCTACTTGCACTTTGCCGTGCTTTTGAACTGCTAGGTTGGCAGGAGCAGGGACCGAGCAACAGGAGCTCACCCCCTCGCAGGGATTCGAACTGCCAACCTTCTGATTGGCAAGTCCTAGGCTCTGTGGTTTAACCCACAGCGCCAACCTACTACCATTATTACAAAGGCTATAGCAGCAGCTGGTGAATCAGCTATGCTAACTTTTATTCCCCCTTTCCCTTTAAATTCTGGGTTGTCGCTTCATCATTTCTACCTTGTTGTGTTTTAACTAGTATTTAACCAAATCGCCCTGGGATTTGGATCAGACGAAGGGAAGTTTAAAAGTCGAATTAAATTAATAAACATATAACTTTGCTCATAACTAAATGTCAGCCCCGTTAATTTCAGAGGGTCTGCTCTAAGCACAACTAAGTCCTGATCCAACTCTTTGTGTAATAATAATACTAATAATATAATTTATTATTTATACCTCGCTTATTTGGCTGGGTTTCCCCAGCCACTCTGGGCAGCTCCCAACGGAATAATAATAATAATAAAACGATAAAACATCAAACATTAAAAACTTCCCTAAACAGGGTTGTTTTCAGATGTCTTCTAAAAGTCAGGTAGTTGTTTATTTCCTTGACATCTGATGGGAGGGCATTGCACAGGGCAGGCGGCACTACCAAGAAGGCCCTCTGTGTGCACAAGTCCAAGGCTTTCTGTCTATAGTTTTAACTTAAGAAGAAGCGGATCAAATCTTACTTCTTACTATCAGCCTAGTATAAGCTGAAGTGAAGTGGCTTCCTCCTATGTATCTGACAGAGTACACCGCTGAATCTTGAGTCTGGTCATTCTGCAAGAACACATTTAGCACTTCTGGGACTTCGTGCCTGAGGACAGAAGATATGAAAGAACCTGTAGTGGAGAGAAGAGCCCATAAAAACATAACTGACAAGAAGATTGACGGAAGAAAAGGACTTGCCAGGTTAAAGGAGAGGAGTGAGGACTCTCTGAAGGACTTCAGGGTGCCTCATACCTCAAACACAAGACTTCCCATAAGATAAACTTTTCAAGAGCATACATTCAACTAGCAACAATTAAGATATCAAGAGAGATAAGAAGCACATTTCAGACACTTCTAACACACGCCTTTCTAACACATGCCTATGATGTGTGAGGTGGGCACTCATAATTCATCATTTTCAGTTCACATGCTCCTTCCCCACACCTGATGACACCTAAAGAACCCTTAATAAGAGGCCACCTAAGAGTCTTCTCAGATCATAGACTGAACCCTGCGTCATATCAACACAGGTGCTCACGTGTTAACCATAAAAGCAGAAAAAAGGGACATAGATACCATTTTTATAGATAACTGCATCTTCTTCCTTAACAACCTTTCTGATGAAGGGAATGTCGACAGGTTCTCCGCGGTTTGTGGTAATGGTTAAAGCCACGGGAAGAAAGGTAGCTAAAATGAAAAAATAAAGGTGGTGGGGGAAAATGGTTTGAATGAAATGTGGATTAGCTCTAATAAACTTTACCTCTTTGCTAGTCCTTCAGAACAGAAGGTGGAAATGTGATATACTGGGGGAGCAATCTAAATGTGAAAAGATGGGGCAACTCAATTCATAGCTTGCACTCTCTTTTGGAAACTCATATAAATCCTCCAGAAAGGGGGGGGGCGGGGCGGAAGCATAACAACAATGAATACTTTGGCAATGGTCAGCAGAAAGGATAAACAAGTTTGTTGCAAATGATTCCACAAGCCAGAATTGCAGGGTTCATCCATGAAGGCTGTTTGGAGTTAGTTAGTTTTTTTAACAAAAAAAAATACTTTGGAATAAAACATGTTTCTTTTTTGGCTTCCTTGAGTCCCACCCACCAACCCAGCCACCCCAAAGCCCTAGTCCTTTTGTAGGTGTTGTTTAGTTTATCTGCAAACTCTTGGGTTCACAGTATTGTTGGACTGGAAAGGAATCCACCTTCTTTAATGGGCTCTGTTCCAACGTATTTTTAGCTCGTGGCCTATATTTGAGTTAATTCATTAGTTTACAAATGGCCTGGAACTCACTATTCAGAGAGGAACAATAACTGGGCTTTGGAGCAGAGGCCTGTTAGCATCACATGTCGATTAGCATCTTGGCCAAGGATACAAAGGTTCCTTGAGGTATATACACAAGCACTTCCGCGCACAATGAAGTTTCGCTGGAGTTGGCTTTCCCAACCATTACTCCTCCCCTTGCCTTGAAACGGTGGTCCCAAAACACCCCTGCTTGTTTCAGAAGCAGTTTCTTTGCTGCCTCCATATATTTCAAACACACCTGCTGTTATTGGAGGGACATGAATTGTTATCCACTCTGAAGTTGAAGTTATATATTTCAATATCTTATTAAAGCTAAAGATTGGGATTAAAAAAGTGGAAAAGAAATTGCTGGACAAACAATTTGGATTGGAATACAAAAGAGGGAGGTATGAGGAAGTCCAGAAAATAAGTAACTAAAAAACGGAAATGGAAAAGAGATATTGTTTTTAATTGTTATGTTTTTTGTTCTTTTATTGTTGAATCTTGGGTTTTTTTTGTTTTTGCTATATGTATTGTGTATGTTTTTCTTTTCTTTCTTTGTTGTTCAAAACTTTAATAAAAATTATTAAAAAAAAATATGAATTGTTATCCACTCTGAGTAGCAGCTGTTCTCCGGGGTAATGGGCAAAGATGCCTTTTCCCATTACCACCAACTAGGGATGGGCACAGGTGTCAATTTCGGTCTCTCCCAGTTTTCCATTCTCCCAGTCTTAAGTCTACACGTTTCTTCATCTGTGTCAGATGGCAATGGTGGTTGCTCGCAAGCAACCAGTCAGGACTCCGACCTGTCTTTTACAGGTTTTATTTTGGTGCAAAGCTATTTACAGTGCAGAACCACAAGTTCATGTCTGCCTCAATCGCTAGCAGAATCCGGGAGTGGTCGTTTCTGGGTCCTCCCCCAACATAATAGCTTAGTCACCCCCAGCCTTTTCCTTCCTTCTTTGCGTTTTACACCTCTGCGCAAGGTGGGCAACAGAAGAGGGGTGCTTCCCTCCTGGCTGGCTTGGCCAGGAGTGGTGCTGAGGCTCCCAGCAGCATCCCCTAGCCCTTTCCCCTCCTTTACCCCAGAGGTGTGGCTTTCCCTACCCTCAGACTGACAAGGTGCGGCGCTGGGGCTCCCACCAGCATCCTCTGGTCCCTTCCCCTCTTCCCCACTGGAGGTGTGGCTTTCCCCACCACAGGAAGAGGAATTGCTTCGCAAGTTTTTCGGAGGTTCCCTGTAACCCAACTGCCCCTCTGCTTCCCCTCCCTGTTCCGATGGCAGTCCCCTGACAATCAGTCTGTGATTTTCTTTTTTATTATCATATTTGCTCATCAACGAGCTGGAGGCAGATGTTTGGAACCATCGTGCGAGGAACCTGCAGAAGTATTCAGTGCTCCTCGCTGCCAATGTGATCCCAGCCTCTTGCAGAGCAGGATTACAAAGGGTGTGTGGATCTCCTTGTCCCTCATCACGGGAGCGCCCAAATAGGACTTTCCACACTTTGCAAACTTGGGATAAGCTGGCCTGGGTTTGGCTGACATGATGGGGCTAAATCAAATCAACGACATGTCACTTCCAAAGTGCAATTAATTTACATTTTTTCTGCTGAACGGCCATGGGAAGGACATATAACACAGAAGACTCTACTGGGGAGAAAACAGATGTGTGACAAATGGCCCCTGGAACACATGGCAAAATGTCTTTTTCAGGCTAGGAGAATGAGATCATTCTGAGGTTCTGTTTTGGTCCTAAACATTAAGACATTCAGCTACACACACAATTCCTTGTCTGTTTCAAGAAAATTAACAAGGAAAGCTTTGTCTGCTCTGATAAAAAATCTGGAGGATGGGCTGATGTCCTTTCGGGGAAAAAATATATATAATTAATGTAGTATGCAGTCCATGCCAAAACATGCACAAAACTTTCAAAGGAGCTCAGAAACAAAGCATTTCATAATACTCCAATAACTGAAACGGGTTTCCAGCTCCTTAGTTTTGTCAAGGGTTCCAGGAAGTTTCAGAACTCTTCTACTTCAAAACTTTTAATTTATCACAGACCTTTGATGAGCTTGTGTTGATCACGTCCATTTGCATAAGATTGCTAGCTCGCATAATTTAATGTCTAGGGATGACTCGGTCTAAAGATTTGTCTGGTCTTCTAATACTCAGGCTGTAATTCTTTGGCCACTTACCTGGGAGTAAGGCCCATTTGACTCAATTGAACTAATTTCTGAGTAGAGGAGGACTGTGTATTATCCATCTGATTTGCTCCAGGAAGGTCCCACTTTTCCTTAGGATGTCCCTATTTTCATTGGAGAAATGTTGGAGGGTACATCCTTCCCTGTCTCTCAGTCTCTCAGCTAAAAAGTTAAAGTTCAAAGTCTCGGTTTCTCTGTTTTAGAGGAGAGCCTAGGTCTACACCTCTTTGTTCAGATTGTTAGATGGTCCAGCACTGTTTCTAACTGGGTCCATCAAATCGGAATATGCAAATTCAGGGAAATAAGCTTGCAGCAATATGCAGGTGCCCCATATGGGGATCAAACCTGCAACCTTGGTGTTACCAGCACCATGATCTAACCAACTGAGCTATGGGCTCGCAGTCAAGGCTAGGCCTCTAGCCCTTTATAAAACGCACCATTCCCAGGCCAAAGCTAAACTGGTGCTCTTCAAAAGTACCACGAGAAGCACCTTATCCTATTTAGAATTAATATTTGCCCGTGGGTAACTACTGCTATCTATTTAGAGTCTATTTTCAAGCATGACACACCTTTTTTTGCAAATGCATAAGGTACCTGTTTGTTGCATCTTCATCGTATGTACCCTCATCGCTTTGTCTTTGAATTTTCCTTCACAGAAATACGCTCCAATGCTTTCGCCGGATTTTTCCCTTGGCCATACCACTTTCTTCGCTGCCCCTCTCGCCTCGTCTTCAGCCACGGCCAGGGGGTACGGGTGCTGGCCCATCAAGGCCTCATAGTCTCTCCCAATGGTGATTGAGTCCCGAGAACGCCATCTTGAGGTGATGCAGGTCAGCGATGTCTCTGAATCAGCCACGGTAGGGAGGGAATTGATCAGTATCAAGTCAAATGCTCCTTCCACATTACCTGGCAAAGAAAGGGGAAAGTTTGTTATTAAATTTCAAAGCACAATCCGTTCTCTAACCAAGCTGCCAAACGGCTCCAATTCTGGCGAAACTTTCTTGAGAACATCACAGGTACTTGCCAATCAGCACTGTGCACAGCCGGCTTCTGCTGCAATGTCTATGTTAATTGAGGTTGTTTCTGGAGAGATCCTACTCTGCCCCAGCAAGGTATGTCAAGTGTGCTTCCAGCTAATATGTGATTTTGAATGCGCTGGGTAGTAAAGCATGTGATTACTCTTTGGTTTCACCTTTATGTTTAGAGTCAGCTGCACTCTGCATATGCGCAGTGGAACCTCCATAGGCCTACTAAGTTTGGTCAAGTTTTCAAAGAGCTTCCTGAGTTATAGAAGTAATGCGCTAAGATGCAGAATACGAAGAAAGCCAGGGTTTCCCATAGGTTTTTAACATGTGCACTTTGGCTCTCTATCAAAGGGAGTGGGGCACATTTATGTATCAGCGTTTTTCCACTAGGGTAGGATGAAGCACATTGAAACACACTTATACTGGCCACTCCCAATGAGATTGTCACAATCACACTCTTTGAACAGATAGCTATGCATTACCTAATGGACAAAGAAAGCCTTCGGAAAAGAACATGCATAGTCAATTAATATATTAATGCTTTCTACAGAAATAATCGCTGAAAGAAATGCCTCTCATCATACGTTAATGGAAATACTTCTTTTATTGAAGTCATGTCTCTTAAAGTCTTCTTTGCTGCTGGTTTATTCCTACTATTTACTAGCAATGGGGCAAATTCAGGATGGATTAGCAAATGAAAGGGGAAGATTCAATATATTTGCCCTTGTGGCATCTGAAAGGTAAAAGGTAAAACACCCCTGGATGGTTAAGTCCAGCCAAAGGTGACTGCGGGCTTGCGGGGCTCATCTTGCTTTCAGGCCGAGGGAGCCAGCGTTTGTCCACAGACAGCTTTCTGGGTCATGTGGCCAGCAGAACTAAACCACTTCTGACGCAATGGGACACTGATGGAAACCAGAGCGCACGGAAATGCCGTTTACCTTCCCGCTGCAGTGGTACCTATTTATCTACTTGCACTGGTGTGCTTTCGAACTGCTAGGTTGGCAGGAGCTGGGACAGAGCCACGGGAGCGCTCACTCTGTCTTGGGGATTCAAACCGCCGACCTTCCAATCGGTTAGTCCGGCTGCTTCTGCTGCTGAGAGGGAGGTGTTCCAGCATGAGGCATTACCTCTCTTCTTCCCTGCCCTCAGATGAGTGGCAACGATTTGGGGAGCTCCCCGGCTCCTGCTGCAGCTGGGGAGTTCCTGTGTGCCACATTGCCAGCTGGCTTCCCCTGCCCCCCAGGGATAAGTCGAGCTGCAACGATGTGAGGAGCACCCTGGCACTCACCGAGCCTCTAAAATGAACCCTACAGTGTGCAAATGGTTCGTTGCAAGCACAGTTAACACCTCGTTAATGTAACCATAGTCCACCCTCCAATAAAACATTTCCTTCCTTTATTACAGGGTTAATGTGCCCTTCTGAATTGCATCCCAGGCAAAAAACCTTCAAGAGTTGAAACTTTCCCAATCATCGGATAGTCATGCTGCAAAAAGCTAAAGCTGAAATACAGCGGTACCTCGGAAGTCGAACGGAATCTGTTCCGGAAGTCCATTCGATTTCCGAAATGTTCAGAAACCAAGGCACAGCTTCCAAGTGGATGCAGGAAGCTCCTGCAGCCAATCGGAAGCTGTGGAAGCCACGTCAGATATTCGGTTTGCAAAGAACGTTTGCAAACCGGTACAACTGTATATATTTGTGCACATGACACAGATGTTTAGCAGGCAGCTGTTTTAACACACTTCATGAAACTATATTGACCCGAGAGCACTGAAGTGCATTGTGGGTATGTCTCCTGCTCCAGACTCCACACTCTTAAAAAGCTTGCAACTTTAATGCTCTAATGCCCGTGGGAAAGTTACCAGCACTTTTGGAGGCTTCCAAGGCAGCATTCTTTCTTTAATACCTTGATTTCACTTCAGCCAGCTAGCAAGCTCAGACACGTCACTTGGTCATTCATTTATCCCATATGTTTTGCGCATTGGGATTTTATCAGGAACGTGGAGCAAAACGAACAAACCCACAGGGAGAGCTAGGAGACAACTGTCTGCAAAACGCTGGAGCTCCTCTGTGTCTCCTTCAAACAGACCTTTGATACCAGCTGTTCTTTCTGTCCTTTCACCTCTCTATGAAGACAACTTGCCACCTGCGGAATAAGGATTTGAATGAAAGGGTCCAACCACCTCCGTATCCTCCTACATTTCTCTGATGAAAATAGGGACATCCTAAGGAAAAGCGTGACATCCTGGGATCAAATCAGAAACCGGGGCAGCTTCTGTAAATCTGGGGCTGTTTCTGGAAAACAGGGACACTCGGAGGGTTTACACCTCAGCTTGATAATAATACTGGAATCACACTTGAGATCATGCCACAGCTACACATCTTACCTGATCAATTTTATGAGGTAAAAGGTAAAGGTAAAGGACCCCTGGGCAGTTGAGTCCAGTCAAAGGTGACTATGGGGTTGTGGCGCTCATCTCACTTTCAGGCCGAGGGAGCCGGCGTTTGTCAACTGACAGCTTTCCGGGTCATGTGGCCAGCAGGACTAAACCACTTCTGGCGCAACGGGACACCGCGACGGAAACCAGAGCGCACGGAAACGCTGTTTACCTTCCTGCCACAGTGGTACCTATTTATCTACTTGCACTGGTGTGCTTTTGAACTGCTAGGTTGGCAGGAACTGGGACAGAGCAATGGGAGCTCACCCTGTCACAGGGATTCGAACCGCCAACCTTCCAATCAGCAAGCCCAAGAGGCTCAGTGGTTTAGACCACAGTGCCACCGGTGTCCCTTTTTATGAGGCACACACATACACACACACACACACACACACACACACAATATACCTTGTCCTTGTAAATCCAGTTCACTGAATACCTAGATTCAAGGCCATTATCCAGTTTTAGAACTTTGACCTTGATCCTCTTGTCAGGGTTCCACGTTCCACGCATATTGTGGCGCTATATGAAAACCACTTGCTTCTCCAAGTATAATTTGCCACTCTTACTGCCTTCCAGTTCCAGAACACACGACGATGTCCCCCACCCAAAGAGATTGCTGACTTCGTTTCTGTCTTGGTACGTCCACATGTTCTGCTCACTTCCTAGGAAGTACCGTATTTGGGATTGGCCGAGCTGAGGCATTCGGTCACAGAAAACCTGGCCGATTGATTCACACACCAGTTCACTATGTCGGCAGGTAATGCTGAAGACCAAATGAGAGAACCATGCCTATGCCCCTCTATTTGAATACCAGGGACAAACTGCCAATGCTTGGTCAAGCAGTATTCCCTATTTATAATGGAGAGCATTGCCCATAGTTCACCAATTTGCCTCCAGTGTGAAAATAGCTTAAGCTCAGAAAATATCCCAGCCATAAAAAAAACATGTTTTGTGTGTGTGTGTGCGCGTACGTGCAACTCACAAAATAAAATTATGGAACAAAATCACGCTGCCTAAGAAACTGTTGACATGTTTTTGCAGAATAATCATTAAGTTTCCTTTCTAACTTCACATTTCCTCCCTATCAGCTTCGTATGGAAGGTGGAACAGATTACAACTTTCCAAGAGAGATAACAGACAGGGCTTTTAAGTTATTGTTTTCCCCCGTTGAAACAGTCCCCTATTTAGCTCGCCTCTTGTGTAGCCTCTTGATTTTGCTAAGTGGAGCAAAGTCGCAAACAGCATTTCCTTTTGCTCTTAGTTCCTTTTGCCCTGATATATTTTTCCTCTTTTGGTTTTGCTTTCTAGGCTTTTAGGTACGTTTGTGTGGTGCTGTAGAATTGTTACTGGAAATCGACGTGGCTACGTTTAAGAATGATTGTTATGCATTACTTTATCTAAAAGTGACTGGCCTGAGTCTCATGCGTGTCACTGAGACGGGAGGGTTTCGGTTACTTTTTGAAGTATCAGTTCATATTCAGGTAAATGTTGTTGCACTACAAATCCCATCATTCCCGACCACAGGCCATGCTGGCTGGGATTGATGGGACATGTAGTCCAACATATGGAGGGACACAGGTCCCCTACCCCTATTTTCATGGATAAAATTGTTTGAACTTGGGCATGATACTCCCAATCTGGGCATGCATATAAAATCAATGCAAGACAATAATTCACATTAACTTTTCCATGTAAAATACACGTGAATTGTTGTGTAGGGAGGCCTCCCAGGCATTTTTGCTGTAGCACCACAATTAAGGCACTGGAAGGCCACAAAACTGAGTAACTAGTGAGATTCAGAACAAAACTCCCTGGTCCTGAATGGGGCAACTGTGCCCCTGAAGGACCAGGTGTGCAGCCTGGGAGTCATTTTGAAGTCACAGCTGTCCATGGAGGCCCAGGTCCATTTTGTGTCCAGGGCAGCTGTCTACCTACCAGCTCCATCTGGTACGCAGGATGAGACCTACCTGCCTGCAGACTCTCTTGCCAGAGGTGTGCATACTCTGGTTATCTCCCGCTTGGACTATTGCAATGTGCTCTACGTGGGGCTACCTTTGAAGGTGACCTGGAAAGTTCCGAAATGTGGCAGTTCCGAAATCCGGCAGTTAGACTGGTGACTGGGAGCGGCCGCCGACCTACACTGGCTCCCAGTACGTTTCTGAGCATAATTCAAAGTGTTGGTGCTGACCTTTAAACAGCCTCGGTCCTGTATACCTGAAGGAGCATCTCCACCCCCATCGTTCTGCCCGGACACTGAGGTCCAGCGCTGAGGGCCTTCTGGTGGTTCCCTCACTGCGAGAAGCCAAGTTACAGGGAACCAGGCAGAGGGCCTTCTCGGTAGTGGCACCCACCCTGTGGAACGCCCTCCCACCAGATGTCAAAGAACTAAACAACTACATTACATTTAGAAGACATCTGAAGGCAGCCCTGTTTAGGGAAGTTTTTAATGACTGATGGTTTAATGTATTTTTAATCTTCTGTTGGAAGCTGCCCAGAGTGGCTAGGGAAACCCAGCCAGATGAGCGGGGTAGAAACAACAACAACAACAACAACAACAACAACAACAACAACAACAACAACTTGAAAAGAAACTCTTGCATGGGCTGGTTGAGAACCCCTTCAGTGAATATTCAAATCCCCCCAACAGATACAGTTGTCTGAGCCAATCTGAAAAACGTATTCTTCTGCCACTTTGTCAATATCTAGATAATATAGCCAATCCATGATCCAGAAAATTGGAGTATTATTATTCTCATATGGTTGCTGTGCACTGAAGAGACAAATCAGGCCTTCTTTTCACCTGGAACTCACCTGAACGCATTTCCGTCACCTCTCAGGTGGGCACCGTTGCCATTATAAGAGAACAAGGAAGGTGATCGTAGTGAGTTTTGCTCAGTGGCATTGTGGGCACCTACCATGCGTCCGGGGGTGCGTGTATCCGGGGGGCAAGGCTCAGAGTGTGGAGGGTGAATGGAGCCCGTGCCCAGCCCATGCTGCCACCGGCCCACCACCACCAAGTGGGGCCACGCTGTGCCCCTTCTCGCCCACAGCCCTTGGTGAGCATAACTCACATGCACCCAAAGGACACACTCATGTTGCCTTGTGATGCTGAGAGGCTGTGGGAGGAGGGAGGGCACATGCTTGTTGCATCCTCCTCAGCCAGCCCTGCGGCATTGCAAAGTGGCGTGGGACTGGCAGGGCAGCAAAGAGTAAAATATGCCTCCACAAAGGTACCCCTGGCCACTGCCCCGCTGGCCTTCCCCAGGCGACACCACTGGTTCTGGCACCTCTTTTTCTAGAAAAATAGCACTGAGCTGAATCAACCTATACCTTCAGTGGTGTTGTCAGGAGGTAAAAAGGTAAAGGAAAATGACCCCTGGACAGTTAAGACCAGTCAAAGGTTTGGTTTTTGTAATGTATCACCACTTAGGGTAACGATCAAGGTTTTAAGTAAGTTACAAGCAAAACCAATTTCGATACAGGAATGTTTAGGGGAGGGGAATAATCATTTCCCATTTTGCGAGTCCCGTGTTAACAGTTTTGTGTGACACCTTTAAGATTAACCAGTTTGAAACGGGAAACGGCCATCAAACTGTATTTGAAAGGGGTAAAGGTAAAGGTACCCTTGACTGTTAGGTCCAGTCGCGGATGACTCTGGGGTTGCACACTCATCTCTCTCTATAGGCCGAGGGAGCCGGCGTTTGTCCACAGACAGCTTTCTGGGTCATGTGGCCAGCATGACTAAACCGCTTCTGGCGCAACGGGACACCGTGACGGAAACCAGAGCGCATGGAAACGCTGTTTACCTTCCCGCTGCAGGGGTACCTATTTATCTACTTGCACTGGCATGCTTTCAGACTGCTAGGTTGGCAGGAGCTGGGACAGAGCAACAGGAGCTCACCCCGTCGCGGGGATTCGAACCGCCGACTTTCTGATTGGGAAGCCCAAGAGGCTCAGTGGTTGAGAACACAGCACCACCCGCGTCCCTCAGGAGGATAGGGCTGTGGACAATATGTCCTGGGCTCCACCCAACAGAATATGCAGGGTGGTCTCCCAAATACAGTAGGGTTAGCTTACCACATTTTGAAGCATGCAAGACAATACACATTGCTACCTACCCAAGGGAGGAGGTGTCAAGCCACTGTCAAAAACTGCGTATCATGCATCGAAAGAATGCATGAGGGGGCTTGAGGAACCACGTAGGCTAGCGGTGCCCCCCCATCATGCATTTGGAGGGTGTGTGCATAATTTCACATACAGATTCCCTTTGGGTGTTAGCCATATGTGTGGGCCACCGTCGTGGGGCTTTCTCATTGTGCCTGGTGAGAAAAGGCCTAGGGTCATGCAACTCTGTGACCCCCGCCCTCATGCATTCATTAAATTTACTAACGTCTTGTTTGAACCCCCCTACCCATGGGGCTGTGGTGCTTGTGTGACCCTGACTCAAAATTAAGAGAGAATTGCTTGTGCAATAGCCTTGTGACATGTGGAGATTTCAAATAACATATTTAACGTTTTTTTTTAAAAATGGCATACAGTGGTACCTCAGGTTAGGTACTTAATTCGTTCTGGAGGTCCGTACTTAACCTGAAACTGTTCTTAACCTGAAGCACCACTTTAGCTAATGGGGCCTCCCGCTGTTGCCGCGCCGCCGGAGCACGATTTCTGTTCTCATCTTGAAGCAAAGTTCTTAACCCAAGGTACTATTTCTGGGTTAGCGGAGTATGTAACCTGAAGTGTCTGTAACCTGAAGCGTATGTAACCTGAGGTACCACTGTACCGTTATAAAATATGGATATGCAATATGAATATATTGTGCAAAGGTGTCTATCTGAGTCATAGTTTGCCCAGTCTGTTTGCCGGGACTGCTGTTGTTTTGTCTAAGGCTACAATGCTATGCACATTTACTAGGAAGTAAGTCTCGGTGAACACAGTGGTGTATACTGTACTTCTCTGTAAGCTGGTTTAAGATCAGGCTGAACGATAAGCTGCCTTGTTGTGTTAATTGTGCGAGGGAGCTGACATGCAATGCACCATGGGCCCCATCCCCCTGGTGTTGCGTGGCTTTCCTGCCCCCAACCACTGTGTGTTGAGTGTGGACAACTGAGCAGGGGAACTCTGTTAATACAGACCTTTCTGTACATGAAATATTCAGTGGAAGCTGGAGCACCGATGGTGCAAGACTTATACAAAAGCCTATGCATGAAGAGCCTCTTGGGCTTGCTGATCAGAAGGTCGGCAGTTCAAATCCACGCAACAGAGTGAGCTCCCATTGCTCTGTCCCAGCTCCTGTCAACCTAGCAGTTCGAAAGCACACCAGTGCAAGTAGATAAGTAGGTACCACTGCAGCGGGAAGGTAAACAGCGTTTCCATGAGCTCCGGTTTCCATAATGGTGTCCCCTTGCGCCAGAAGCAGTTTAGTCATGCCGGCCACATGACCCGGAAAGCTGTCTGTGGACAAAAGCCAGCTCCCTCGGCCTGAAAGCGAGATGAATGTCGTAACCCCATCATTGCCTTTGACTGGACTTAACTGTCCAGGGGTCTTTTACCTTTACCTTTTGCCTTCACATAATTCATTTATGAAGATGGCTAAAGTGTAACTGTGTTTGCTTAGTGACAACTACTGGTTCCTTGCCTTCCTAATTCTCCCACCACTATCAAATAAAGGAAGCAAATGTTGTTGAAATGTGAGAGGGGGTTGAGGCTGGCAGAAGGCGGTCTCTGAGGCAGTCCCTAATCTGTGAAATTTCTTTTTTCACAGAGCTGTGCCTGGTAATCTCATTGCATAGTTTTTGTCATATGCTGAATACCCACCTCTTTCACTTAGCCTGGGACACCCAAGAAAGGTATTTTAAAGCCATGGTCTCTTCTTCTGATTGTTATTTGTGTGTGTGTACATTTTAAAACTGATTTTAAAATGTATATTTATATTGTTGAAACCTTCCCTGGAACCTCATGGGACTTTATGGCAGGGTCAGAAACTCAGATATATAAGCTAGGCGCCAAATGGCTCCTTAAACCGGGGTTAGGGTTGCCAAAATGGAATGCCTCGTTGCCATTTTGAGGCCGGACGGCTCGAAAGTTGTATTTCTCAATACAGTGGTATACCTCAGGTTAAGTCCTTAATTCGCTCCGGAGGTCCATTCTTAACCTGAAACTGTTCTTAACCTGAGGTACTACTTTAGCTAATGGGGCCTCCTGCTGCCGCCGCGCCGCCAGAGCACGATTTCTGTTCTCATCCTGAAGCAAAGTTCTTAACCTGAAGCACTATTTCTGGGTTAGCGGAGTCTGTAACCTGAAGCGTATGTAACCCGAGGTACCACTGTATGACTTTTTGGCTCGTAAAACTCATTTGGATTGTGCCAATAAAATATAACGGATAGAATTCGGCAGGATGTGTTGCTGGTACAGTCAAAACTTGGTTGCCGAACCCCTCTGTTTTGGTACGTTTCGGCTCCTGAACGCAGAAAACCTGGAAGTAAATGCTCCGGTTTTCGAACGTTTTTGGAAGCCGAACGTCTGACGCAGCTTCCGCTTGAGTGCAGAAGGTTCTTGCAACCAATCGGAAGCCGCGCCTCCATTGTCGAACATTTCAGAAGCCAAACGGTCTTCCAGAACGGATTACGTTCGGCAACCGAGATTTGACTGTATGTGGAAATAGTCCAGATACTAGGATCCCCAGGCATGCGACTCCAGATGGTGGAGACATCAGGCACTATCCTGGCACCCAGGTATCTTCACTTGGTTGCAGGTGGTCGAGCACCAGGTGCAAAATGCACCTGGCGCCTGGCTAATTTCGAACGCAGATTTATGGTGAAAGGCAGATAAGAAATCCTAGTAATAATAATATTGCTACATGTCGTGGCATACGGAGTTTAAACCACGACGCGGGTGGCGCTGTGGGTTAAACCACAGAGCCTAGGACTTGCCGATCACAAGGTTGGTGGTTCGAATCCCCGCGACGGGGTGAGCTCCCATTGCTCAGTCCCAGCTCCTGCCAACCTAGCAGTTCGACAGCACCTCAAAGTGCAAGGAGATAAATAGGTACTGCTCCGGCGGGAAGGTAAACGGCGTTTCCGTGCGCTGCTCTGGTTTGCCAGAAGTGGCTTAGTCATGCTGGCCACATGACCCGGAAGCTGTACGCCGACTCCCTCAGCCAATAAAGCGAGATGAGCGCCGCAACCCCAGAGTCGGTCACGACTGGACCTAATGGTCAGGGGTCCCTTTACCCTTTACCTATGCTGGTAGATTTTGCATTCTGTTGCTTTCACATAATGGCTTCACTCAGCATTTAAGGGCATTTTTGTTTATCGGAGTTACACCTATGTCGGAATGGGGAATACATTCCTTCCTTTATTGCCTACAGCAGCAGTTTTTTTGGCAGATCTATGGGGTTACACAAGGAAAGGGAAGGAAAGCAATTTCTTTGGCAGCCGTGCTCGGAGGCCTTGTCCCCACCTTGGAACAAGGGTGGAGTTGATTTTCGCCTTCTGGGCAGTGGCAACACCCGCAACAGACCTCCTCCCTTCTTTCCTTCCCCACAACCACTTGGGGGCAAGGTTAAGCGAGTTTTAAAAGCTCTGCCATTGACTCTCTTGCCTCTCCTGCTCAGGGGGAATGTCAATACTGTTTTCCTGGACTCCGCCTGTTGTATCTAAAGGAAGGCGTATTTGCATTGTCTTCCACGGCTCGCCCCAGGAAACATGATATCACACTTGAACAAAAGCGGGAAAGCTGACAGATCTATTGAGATGGGTGTGGCTACACAACACACCTAAAGCAGCTGAGCCGTGTGGATTGGCGGGTTTTCAGCGCTAGGGCTTCTCCTTGCCTTCATTCCTCTCCCATTCCCACCTATGCCTATGTAATTTTAAGGGCTAAATGTTGAGGTTTCAAGGACAGAGCCAATGGGACAATTACCAAAATAAGTATCTTCAGGGCAGCTGCTCATCATACAAGAGAAAAGATTCTCACCGGGAGAGCAGAAGGGGTACAGTAGCTGTTGTTCTTTTATATAAAGAGCTGCAGGTGTGCTAAGTTCACTTAAAAAAACTAAATAAAGCTCCATTTATTCCAAAGAGGACCAAGTGGGAAACAGGGGTATGTCCTCCCCCCTGCTTTTATCACCACACTACCCATGGATGGTATGTTCGGCTGAGAGAAAGACACAGTGATTGGCCAAAGTAACACAATGAACCTCATGGGTGCTGATCAGGATTTGAACCCAGCTCTCCCTGGTGGAAGTTTACCATTTGTCCAATACCCCACATGGAGTCTCAAAAAGTGCACTTCCTTTCTCCAAAACTGACCTCTGTTCAGACATATGGGATTTCTGTATGCTGGCAGCTGGTCATCTGTAACGTTTTAACATACAACCTAATATGACACAAAGCATCCTATGATCTCTGCTTTCTCGTCTGTTCAATAGCAACTTTTTAGCCTGAATAAATTTGAGGCTTCTCTAGATGCAGCTTCTCCTAACTCATTTGTGAATCACCAAGCAAGCTGCAAGCTAAGAGCCGGGCATATTTAAACCTGTTGATTTTTAATGGGCTGAAATTCATCTCATTTTCTCTTGGATTGTACCCACTGTACAGATATTTACACAAAGACCATACTTGCGGAACCACTGTGTATTCAGACAGGTGTGAAGGTTAGCATTTGTTACGGACTTTTCTGCCGTGTTTTCTCTTCAAGTGCTTGACGCTCAATGAAGCTAATGTGGGGATGATGTTCTAGTACTCTAAAGCCTTTGCCCACCTGGTGCCAGGTGACAAATTCCACCATTCCTGACCACTGGAGTCCAACAAAATCTAGATGGCGCCAAGTTAGAGAAGGGCTGTTCTAGTAGTTCATCAGATACAGATTTTGTTGCTCCCAGAAGAACGGAATAGAAAGTTTTTGGAGGTGAATTCTAGACTCCTTTTTTTGTTATTTATAGCATGTTTTTTGTTATTTATAGCATGTTTTACAACCTAGTTTTCAAATTTCCTGAACCAACGCACAAGTACAGAGGGGACTAGATCATAATAGAAATATCATAAACACGGCAATGATTTTGGCATCAACCCTCCAGAGTAAATGGTTAGCAATAAGTGATGGCGTGTGAAAAAAAACTGCTCCCTCCCCTTCTTATTTCCCCTCACAAGCATACTGTGCAATGGGCTCCTCTTATTCCTATTGTACGGATGGACCAGTGAGGTAAGTAAAAACATATTGGATAAACTCATTCAGTGAATCCATGGCTATGGAGGATTTGAACCCAGACCACCCGAGTCAACATGCTAGTTATCACAAGTTTTGCTCTACTTTTCTTATTCCACCTGCCTTGCTTCGCAAAGTTTTTCTTATAGTGCATCCCTATAAACAGCTCCTTTAAAAAGCCAAATTCAATGGGACTTACTCCTGAGTGAGTATAAAATTGGTCCCATCTCAAGTTTGTTTAGGATTGCAGCCTTAATGTTGCAGTGTAGAAAGACTGCCTGGAGATAAGGGAAGTGAGCAATACTTGTGATAAACAGAGAAAATGTAAAAGGAAAAGGAACAAGCTACATTTTCTCATTTTAAGTATCACTATCTTTGACTGAAGTAGCAAAACATCTCCAGGCATTAAAAGCTTGCGTTTAATTGCCAAGCACTAATTATAATAAATGCCACACTTTGCAGTTCTCACAAATCTATATAAACAATGGATGCTAACTCTGCCATTAAGCAGTGATTTAAATCCGTTTGTAATGTAAGCACTCACATTAAATGCATCTATCACAACAATGTTTCACCCCATTAGTGCCTAGATTCGCAAAGTGAAAGGGATGTAATGAGAGATTTCAAAAGTAAAAACACACCCTGATATTGTAGGTGTGTCAAATGTATTTGCAAAGCGCCCCGGGGAACAAAATTGGGAGTCCTTTTCTCAGCAAATTCTCAGACGGTTGATGTGCTACTTCTGAACCGAGTTAGGAACAGTCGCATTATGACCATCAATATCATCATTATTGAAAAGATTTATTACACCAATCTAAAATGTATATTGGATCAAACGAGACAAGGGAAAAGGATTTTGCAATCTGACCTTTCCTTGGTGCATTACAGAAGTTCACTGACATCCTCTGACAGACCCCCCCGAGTAACTGAAGGAGTCTTACCTGAAAGCATGAAGCTGAACCCGCAGAAAACCAGAAGTGGCAAAACAGTCCCTGCTTTGCCAAGTATATCCATCCAGTTCACGGAATAACAGATGCCCCTTTCAGTGGTAAAAGACCCCTTAGTCGTTGCTCTTTGCTTGCATCGTCAGAGCGATGCTCGCCGGCCCAGGAAGCAACAAGTTAACTGCAAGACCGAGAGTGGGCTAGAACAAAACTCTGTGGCTGTCTGAGCAAGCAAAGGGAGTTTTAAGTTCCTTTTTCCTGTTTCCTCTGTAGATTAGGATGGGGAAAGGCAGGATCTTAAAGGCATTATGCATCAGCAGGATTCGAGAGGCTCTCTGCGAGCTCCATCCATCTCCTACATCTAAACACTTATCTGCAGCTCTGGGGAGCGGGAAAGAGGACTGCACTTTGAGAACCCCCAGCAGGTCACGGCCAGCGCTGTCAGAAACAATAGGGACATCCTCTAATAGGAAGAATTAAGAGAATAACAAGCCCCTCCGCCTATGTGTGGTATGTGAAAATGTGCCAGTCCACCTCCTCTTCTAATTACTCCCAGAGATACTATTCAAACTTTCAGGCCCCCATAAAAGGCTTTTAGGGTGGGGTAGAGGGGGAAAAAATCCTTTTGTTTTCTTGATTTATCTGTTTATAATGGCTAACTTCTGGGTTCTCGGGGGTCATTCGAGTCTCCAGAACCTGATCTGGAATCCCCCAGGGTTCTCATTGATGGTCAGGTTCTGTAAGAAGCAAAGCTGGCACCATACTTAGCAGTTCTTAGCTTTTCAGCTACCTGAGAGGGAAAAGTGGGTGGGGGGTGCGAGATTGATTTTTTAAGGGCTAGGGGAGGGAGGGGAGGGTGGTTTGATGCACTGCTTCCTGAACGATCACCTTAGAAGTAAGATCAGCATTCACGCTGTTTAGAAAGCAATGTAGCAAATATGCCCTTGTGGGGGGCCGGACAATATTTTGGAAAAGAAAAAAAAAATGAACGAATTCCTATGCCCCACAAATTACCCAGAGATGCATTTTAAATAAAAGGACACATTCTACTCATGTAAAAACACGCTGATTCCCAGACAGTCCACAGGCCGGATTGAGAAGGTGATTGGGCCAGATCCGGCCCCCGGTACTTAGTTTGCCTACCCACGCTCAAGAGATTAGCAAAGGAGACAAAGAGCTACAACAAAATGTTGCAGCATGGAGGGGCTTGTTCACTGTTCCGGTCAGCCAGTCATGCTCTTTTCACAGATTTCCCATCCCATTTCCCCTCCTCTCAGTTTCTTCCCCGGCTACATTTCCAGCTGAGAACTGAGCTCACATGTGATAAGCAAAGAGCTGCCAGATGTTTCTAAGCAGCACTGGTTGGCTTTGGGTGAGCAGAATTAAGCTGCTAATTTGGTGAGGGTTGGTTTTATTTTCTCTGGATATTTATGTCTGCTTTGGGGCGGGCAGCAATTCACCTGAATTGTAGGCTGGGCAGAGCAGCAAATCTCGGATATATTTCTCCCAAACAGATGTGTCTATAAACTGCTCCAACATGATGTTTTGGGGACATGGAGGTCAGAGACAGCGCTAGCTGCTCCGGCACCTGGGGGCGGGGCGAGCATCCCAGGGGGTGGGGTGGTGATGTCACCCCCCCCCCCAGGGATGACACCCAGGGCAAACCGCACCCACCACACACCCCTTCCTCCCTCGGTGATGGAGGTGATTCAGAAGATCAATTCCATTTTTCCTTTTAGGTCAACATCAAATAGCATTCTCTGATGCTACAATGACACTGGGAGGTTAAATACACATTAAAAGTGCAATCCCATGCACATTTACACCGAAGTAAGTCCTACTGTACCCAGATGCTTGGGACACGGGTGGCGCTGTGGGTTACACCACAGAGCCTAGGACTTGCTGATCAGAAGGTCAGCAGTTCAAATCCCTGCTACGGGGTGAGCTCCCGTTGCTCAGTCCCTGCTCCTGCCCACCTAGCAGTTCAAAAGCACATCAAAGTGCAAGGAGATAAATAGGTACTGCTCCGTCGGGAAGGTAAACGGCGTTTCCATGCGCTGCTCTGGTTTGCCAGAAGCGGCTTAGTCATGCTGGCCACATGACCCGGAAGCTGTACGCCGGATCCCTTGGCCAGTAAAGCGAGATGAGCGCCGCAACCCCAGAGACGGCCACGACTGGACCTAATGGTAAGGGGTCCCTTTACCTTTACCTTTTTTAAGTCCTACTGTATCTAGTGGAACTTACTTCCAGATAAGTGGATATAGGATCGAAGCCAAAGGCTGGAATCATGAACATGCTTACTAATGAATAAACCCCACTGAACACAGTGGGACTTATTTCTGTGTAAGCACGAGAATATTGAGCTGTGAAGTCGCCGAATTATTCTAATGATCTGCTAAATAAGAGCGTTAAAAATCGTCTGGAGTGTCTTCTGCTGAATTTGCATACAAATTTATTAATGGGCAGCAGTCTGTTTCAGTGATCATATCTCTATTTTCAAGAAGATTGATCTCGTGTTGTTTAAAGGGGTTGTTATTGTTTTTTTAAAAAACTGCAAGTACTCCAGAGGAGAATTTTTGCACAACAGGTAATCTTTCCTATGAGTGAGTTTTTTTTCCAGCCACCAGAATGTAAGTCAATCTATGTAACAGAAGTTTTTGCTTTTGGGGAATCTACGGCTATGCACTATTCTGTGTGGGAACCTGCCCTTAGCTGAATGTAAAACGCAGCTTTGCAAACTATAAACTGCATTTTGGCGGGGAAGCGGGTGGAATTTGCAGGATCGACACCCGCATGCGATGCTCCATTTGCACGGCGTAATTCCAGAGGACCCAAGAGGTTTATCCCAGCTCATTTCCTCCTGCTACTATCTCCTCCGAGAAGTTAAAAGAAGCTAAGTTTGGTTCGGCGTTATGCATATCCTGCTTTGGAAACAGTAACAAATGCCAAAAGCCACAAGAGAACAAAAGGCAGATTTTTCGAGAGCTCGGAGAAATGCTTGTGCCCTAGAATCCTATTTCTGTACAACAAAGTTGTCCAAGTTTCCCCAGGGCAAAAAAAGCAAGTATTCCTCAGTATGTCTAAGAGGAAATAAAGATGGACAGTTTACAAGGCGGTTGCTCACTCTTGCTCTCAGCCAAGAAGGAGGAGAAGGTGATAAAGAATGGAAGAATAATAAGGCCAACTGGGTTATACCAGCGATGGGGAACCTTTGGCCCTGCAGAAATTGTTGGCCAGGGAGGTTGCATAGTGGTGGCAGGTAGCAAAAATGGAACCCGGTCAAATTGAGCCAGTTTTGATATCGAGGGCCTGGTCCATATTTTGCATCAGGGCAGGGCTGGATTTAGGTTTGATGAGGCCCTAAGCTACTGGACTACTGCAATGCGCTCTATGCGGGGCTACTTTTGAAGGTGACCTGGAAACTACAACTAATCCAGAATGCGGCAGCTAGACTGCTGACTGGGAGCGGCCGCCGAGGCCACATAACACCGGTCCTGAAAGACCTCCATTGGCTCCCAGTACATTTCCAAGCACAATTCAAAGTGTTGGCGCTGACCTTTAAAGCCCTAAATGGCCTTGGCCCAGTATACCTGAAGGAGCGTCTCCACCCCCATCATCCAGCCCAGACACTGAGGTCCAGCGTTGAGGGCCTTCGGGTGGTTCCCTCACTGCGAAAAGCCAAGTTACAGGGAACCTGGCAGAGGGCCTTCTCGGTAGTGGCACCCACCCTGTGGAACGCCCTCCCACCAGAAGACATCTGAAGGCAGCCCTCTTTAGGGAAGCTTTTAATGTTTAACAGACCACTGTATTTTAATACTCTGTTGGAAATCCAGCCAGATGGGCGGGGTATAAAAAATAAATTCTATTCTATTCTATTCTATTCTATTCTATTCTATTCTATTCTATTCTACTGAAGGTAATGGGGTCCTTTATATGTCCAGCTGTCCTATGTCAACAACAATTTGTTGCTGTTTTTTTGTGTTGAATATATGCTGTATGGTAATTTATGGACCTCATAGGTATCTAAAGTCATTTGCACATGCAGAATGTGGGCACCCTATATGTATAGAAATGAGCAAACTGGTGATATTTTAGGGAGCAGGCTAGCAGGCGGGGCCCATGACTTACATCATAGGAGCCTACTCAACACAAAACACTGTTGCTGTATGCAGGTTTTATTTTATTTGTTTTTTATCTTATACAGTGGTATCTTGGTTTAAGAACAGCCCTGTTTACGAACGATTCGGTTTATGGACTCTGCAAAACTGGAAGTAGTGTCCTGGTTTGCGAATTTTACCTCAGTCTAAGAACGGAAGCCGAATGGTGGAAGGGCATCAGCGGCAGGAGGCCTCATTAGGGAAAACGTGCCTTGGTTTAAGAATGGTTTTGGTTTAAGAACGGATGTCAGGAATGGATTAAATTCGTAAACCGAGGTACCACTGTATTTTGTAAATATACATCCAGTTGTTTTTTTCCTTTAATTTTTTTGGGGGCCCCCCAAGAGAGTGGGGCCCTATAGTTTTTTTAGCTTATACAGTGGTATCTTGGGTTAAGAACTTAATTTGTTCTGGAGGTCCGTTCTTAACCAGAAACTGTTCTTAAACTGAAGCACTACTTTAGCTAATGGGGCCTCCCGCCGCTGCTGCGCAATTTCTGTTCTCATCCTGAAGCAAAGTTCTTAACCTGAGGTACTATTTCTGGGTTAGCGGAGTCTGTAACCTGAAGCGTCTGTAACCTGAAGCGTCTGTAACCCAAGGTACCACTGTACGTAAATCTGGCACTGCATCAGGGTTTGGCAACCTTTTTTGATCAGTGGCAACACTTGTAATTTTGGAAAAGAAAAAAAAAGTGCTACGGGTGCCAGTCACAAAATGGCTGTCATGTGGGGGAGTGGAGGGGGGGGTGGCATATTACAAAATGAATCCAGTGGGAGCATGACACAGAACTGGAAATTTCTGGAGACCCTTTGCAGGCACCATAGGATGTTTTGGTGGCACCTGTGAGCATCATAGTCATACCTCATGTTACATTTGCTTCATGTTATGTTCTTCCAGGTTACGTCCCGCGGCGACCCGGAAGTACCAGAACGGGTTACTTCCAGCTTTTGCTGCTCACGCATGCGCAGAAGCGCAAAATCGCAACCTGCGCAGACGTGCCGCTGCGGGTTGCGCTGTTTTCATGTTGTGAACGGGCCTCTGGAATGGATCCCGTTCGCAACCAGAGGTACCACTGTACTGGCAACCCTTGTGTTACATCAGTGGCATGGTGGAGGAAAAGGACACATTGCCTGCAGACCCTCCAAGTGCCCCTATTTCCCAGGAACAGCCCCGGATTTACAGAATCCCGGTTTCTGATTTGATCCCAGAATGTC